GGGATTCGGAATGCCACGATGATGACACTATCCATCTTATCCGCTTGCTAATCCTGGGTTATGCCGAAAGCATGATTTGCATTGATCATGAATGGGCCAGAGGGGCACGAGAAGGCAGTACAGAATCGCAAGCAGTCGGCACGCGCAGGTCGGAAAGTGGAAGACATACGAAGCAACCTGCATTGAAAGAATGAAAACAACACGACAGGGTGTCCGTGAGGTCGAGAACGCGTTCAATTAGCGCAGAGGCAGGCGTGTCCGCGTCCACCGTGGCCGTAGTAAATGGCCGCGTCGACTTGATGACACCAGGTAGACCAAATGACATGAATAACAGTGACACCAGCATTTGTATGGGTCGGGGCGATGTCTTTCGTATTGCAAAAGTCATTCGGGAGAACACGCGTTAGTAGTTGCGCGTCGTAGCCAGGGAAGAGACGATAACTGCGCCGTCGCGGCAAGTTCGCACCAAGTTCGCATCAGGAAGGAAAGTAACTCGGCTTGTTCTGGATTGGCTTGTGGGAAGAACGAACCAGCGAGCAAACCGTCGAGGAAGCGTGGGGAAGGATCCGAGTTGAGAGGTTCAGAAGAGTTCCGTGAAATTCCGGTTATGTTGTGGAGGAGATCTCCGGGCCGGAAAGCTTTTCTCATTGGATGTGCGCCACACGCTATTCCGAGTCCGCCAGCGGATGATATTTATCAGACCGTCCACGGAGGGCATGAACATGCGCTGGCAACGTTGAATTGTGATTCTTGGCATATCCGGATATCTATCCGGCGTATTCATGGGTGTGACACTGATATCTGACTAACCGAAGACTACTATTCCTCGCGCGATCTGAGCATCCTTCGCTGAAGACGTATCAAACACCTGGTGAGAGAAAAATCTATAGGAACACATGCAGAGCCTTTGTGCATGATACATGATGAACTCCGCCGTCACTCTGACCCAGGTTCATGATGACACGGGGGTCGAGAGTGAGGGGAAACTGACGTGGTCTGTCTATTTAGGAATAAGTATCCAAAAATAGGTCGAACTTGCTACCCTATAGCGGAGTCTTTTCATATAATGGCTCGGGGAAATAACGGTGAGTCATCACATGTTCTCGAAGTGAGGTGCATATGATTCTGAAGGCGAAGAGGTCTGACTTCGACTCGCGAGAGGCACAAATCGCTAATAAACGACGGAGTAGCCTCCGACGGTCGTTGATTACTAGTGATATTGCTTCACTTGTAGGAGAGCGGCGGAGATAGAGTCAGTCTTTGACTCAGTCAATATGCTTTCTGACGTATTTACAAATGGGAAGAAATTATTTTGCCTCTCACTTAATCGAGGTTCACGGATAAAGCCCCTATATACTCTTGTTCTTCTCCTGAATCAGCGGTTCACGTTCAGTACGTTCAGTAATCACGAAGGTCGCACAGATGAGCTTGGACTGGTTCCTGGAAACAAAAAAAACATTCGCGGAACCAAGGGTTCACTGTCGCTGCCGGAGCAAAAAGAGCTACTTATTATCATGCATTTAATTTTCCGTTCTATGAACTTTGTGCGACGCTCTCAAACTTCACGTCTCGAAGCGCTCGCCAACGCAGAGAACACTCAGAATAATATGTTCGCTGTATTATCGGAGCTGCCAACATTCAACGTCGGCCTTCCACTCACCGGAGCATTCGCGTCACCAATTACGACGCGCTGTCGCCGAGAATAAACGTCGTGCTCCTGCATTCTCCTATATTTCCGGGAAAGCATAAGTTTTGCGTCCTCGATAAGGGGCCTTATCCAGAAGCCAGGACATAGGTGTTTTGCCGGAGGAGTGGCGCCCGGTGAATTACAGCTGGGGCGTATGATCTGAAAGCTTCAGAATAAATTGGAAGCCTCATCTCTTACCTTGGTCAATAGTCTAAAGTTTGTGTCGAGAATTTGACGACACAGGCTTTGACGATATCATTGTACTACTTCCAACGGGCGACCGATCGTGACTCTATTATTCTACCTCACAATTACTGGATAGAGGTGAGTCATACTCCCCTCTCTAACTCACACCTTGGGACTGATGGTACGAGTTGCGAACTCCCTCAGAACGAAACCGACCGGTCCGAAAGGCCGCCGGCAAGCACGTGGTCAATATTGCCGATTCCGGAAATGACCGTGCGCCACAGTCTCGACCGCCAAGCCAATTCATCTCCCCTTTATGTCCTACTTACTTGTCGATCCTATCTGGTGTGCCAGCAAAAGCATGCTCTCCTCCAGAGTGGATCAATTGAGACCGTTTTTGAGAGGCTGTACAAGGTTCTCGACTAATATCATACGCGCATTCTTCCATACCCTCGAGCCTCGAGGTGTGGGCGGTTATGTTGTTCTTGGTCTGAAAGGGCACTATTCCACTTTTGTATATAGGAACATGGTCTAGAGCTGACGTGTTGGAGACAACATGATCTCGAGCTAGCAACACGTACGAGGACGTAAGCACTCTAGGCACAGCCTAACAGGTCACAGAGGGGATGGGAACCCTCTCCGGAGCGGAAATGAACAAGATAATCCTTCCATACTACTACTTAATGAAATTTCGTAAAGATATGCGTCGCAACTGTTATTAAAAACAGGCCGACGGCAACTTCCTCGCTTCTTGGAAGAATACGTCGAAGCAAACATGTAACAGCTTGTCAAAGGATGTTTTATTTGACCAACCAAACTGTCTACCATGACAAATCCAGCTTATAAGAATACGACATAGACTGCAGTAGTTCATGACACTTTATTTCGCCGGTTGCGGGCTTGAAGTGCCCTCGTTTTGGTCAGCTAGGTGAGGTCGTGTGAACTTCAGTGAAGTTCATAATTTAGTCTTGTAAAATCTGGACGCACTCCTTGGACGCCGTGCCCTGTCAAATCTACTGGTGATCTCTAGGTGATTTCCCAGCTTGAAGTTTCAAACAGCGTTTTACTTGAAAGATGAAGCGTACCCACTCGTTCTCCGTTTCCGCCTGCTAAGTAGCACTTGTATCCTTTCGTCTTTGTAGCACGTCTTCGACATTATGTTGAAGCTCACGAGCTGCCGTGTATTCGTCGAGGCGATTCACTTACTCGCCTTCGCCTCTTCTAGGAGAAGAGATTCTTCTAGCATGCTCCAACGACGATCATGATGGAACTAAAACACTCGAATCATTTCTCTGAATAGACGCAGTAGTCCATCCATTCTGAGAGAGTCTACCTCATGTGTGCCGTGTCTCTCTCTCTCTGTAGCGGTAAATCACGACATCAGGGGACTCAAATCGGATGAAACGCACTCTGTTGGCGTCGAACTGACTGGACGAACCACCAAGGGTTTCCTGGCCTGCATCATGGATTGTCTAACTCTGTAACCTCGAATGCTGGCATTCGGTTCTCTTACCAGCAGAGCTATGTCTGTCACCCCGGCTCATCTCCTAGTCGAAGCGTCCCAATTTAGAGCAGTGACTACTTTTTCACTCACACCTTAAGTACTCTGGGCTGCTCTCATTGACAGACCCCGCTAAACTTTCCTATACATTTATTCACAGAAGTACGGCCTGGTTGCTGGGGGCTCCAGGTTGTCCGGCGGCCCTTGTCAAAAATGACACCTACTTATAATTTCTACGTCTGGCGGGACCTCCAGCTCTACGCTCTCTTGCAGACATGCTGAATACCGGTATTGTTGCCCTGTTGCATCTCCATGATTTTCTAGCACCATTCTTCCATGTCATGATCAATAGCTCCGTTCGGAAACTCCTATTAATCCAGCGCAGTCAACGTGAGCAATCTCCTAACGCGCGATGAATTTCACCTGACCTTGATATACTGATGAACACCCACCGCCCAAGTATAGGGAAGTACTAGTCCTTTCTCTGCGCTGTACCCAACGTGCAACGGCGGCATTTAGTTTTGAGTAACATCCGGATCCTGTCGGTATGGTCTGCAAGGGAAAGGTGCCAACTCCACTGCACACACGTCAATAGAAACACAGTCAAGCATACTTCGGGTCGATCAACTTCTACCCTGGACATGATATCCGGTCGAACAAAGGGGAGGCTGGCCGCTGATGTTAGACGGTAGTCTGCCTTACGAGCAAACGATTTACATACCATCTTGAAGCATAAGAAGCGGAGGCAAGCGCATACAGGAAAGCCTCAACAAGTAGTCTGTGATAAGCTGATGTCGAAGCGAGGGAATCTAGGTTGGTAATCTTCGTGAAGAAACTCACATAAGGACGGATACAACACAACGAGATCGGATATTGTAGAAAGCTCCTCCAGTCCATGTCAAGCGTGTCAGACATCGAGATGGAGAAGAAAGGCTGTTTAACTGTCAGGGAAGTGACTCTATGACCTGGGCAAGATCGGCAGGGAGGAGGAGACCTTGAAAGCCTTTGGTTCTGACCCGTTTCTCCAACGCTTCAGCGAGGTCAGAAGAGTGTGAACGCGAAGTAAAGGTCGGAAGCGAAATTTCGCGCGGCAAGTAATTTCTAACGCTCAGCCGCTGTGCCTAGAAAAGAAGGGTCCCGACCTCAGAGATGAGCGACAAATATATGTCCTCCGTGTTGACTTAACCTGTCTAAACCTGTATTATCTGTGAGCGCAAGAGGTACCTAAGAAGGATTGGAGTTCATACACATACCAACTTCATGAGGAGCGCCTCCGTCGAGCGCTTAGCATGGATTATAAATTCAATGGTAGTCGCTTTGGAAGCGGGACAAGAACCGCCAAGCACATTATTCAGACCAGAGGCAGGAACATGACAATATTGCATCGAGTGTAGGAACTGCTACGTGGATGTGTATGTCGCAAGCAACAAATAAGTAAACGTTACGCGGGACGTAAGAGACGAGTTGCGACAAGCCTTGGAGCAATGCTGTCAATAACTGGCCGGCCCTTAATGAACCTCCACTAACAAGATTGAATTTAAACCGACTGCGACCGAATGGAGTCCTTTGCGACGATATATGCGAATGAAATCGAGAAAAAAATACGAAGAAATCTCGAGATTGCATTCAAATATAACACGAGTATCGCGGACGCGATGGGCCCTGCCAACCAACTGCGAGAAGGAAAGTTTAGATCAGCAGCCTGCAAGGACATATATGACAATTATTGGAGACTGACCGCATTGCCAGCAGTCCAAGATGTGGTCAGGATCGCTATTGGACGTTAAGAACTCAGCAGTGATAAACAAGAAGTAAGCGGGGAAAGGCTCACTATTTGTTTTTGATTTCAAGCAACCTGACGTAGTTTGTATTGTAGAACGAGTCTGGCAACAGTACCATTTGTTATTATGAGTAATATCGAGCGAGAGTGGCGAGAAGACCCACGTCCATAGTTTGGTTCGTGAATATCGGCTTCATTCTGTGCAAAAGTCTGTCATGAGTTCGTGGTGGTGAGCTACGTGCAAACGTACGTGGTATGCGCCGGAGTCTGGTGTGATATCACGCAAGTAGTTGATGGACTTTGTCGTTTGAGCATAAGCTTCTTTACGCTGCTCTAGCGTGGAGTCGAATAACCACGAGTTCACAACGATGACCTATTTTTCTGGTTAACAAGACTTGGAAGATCTGACGAAATGACAAAGAAAGGAAACCTGATACAAGGACGTCCGCCAAACGGGATTGACGCTCGTATCACTTCCGTCGCTCCCAGTGAACCCGTAAGGACTCGTAAAATGGATCTGGGAAAAGACCGAGAGGCCGAAGGCGGAGGAAAGGGCTTCGAGGAGCTCCGCACGACCCTCTGACGTCGCATGGTTCTTCTGAGGAACTAAGCGTGAAGCCATAGCGATTGGAAGACCGACAAGCTGACCAGAATTTCATCAGCCCAGCAATCGTCCCAGCGAGAGAATGAAACTCACAGCCTGCGCGCCAGCCATTCCTCTAACGTAATTATCAAACCAACTCAAGAAAGTCGGTACTTCAGTGACGGTCGACACGCCACCGAGTTGGGTCGTAAGCTCGATGAGGGCGTGCATTGCCTCTTCTGCCTCTTTGAGATTGAGTCGAGGGGTCATAAGTATGATATTTCCAGTCGTAATTGTGACATAGCCACCCCAGCCTTGGAGAGCGAAGTTCGTGGCATTGTCAAGGAAGATCTCGAGGACTTGCTTGAGATTCGGAGTAGTAGGCGGCCAATTGATGTTTGCTCTTTGAAAAGTATGAGGGCATAAACGGGTTGATTACACCGCAATACTCACACTCTATAGGATTCAACTTCAGACACCATCATCGTCGCCTCAAGCACAACGCCGAAGGTCCCGCCGCCCCCTCCGCGTAGGGCCCAGAAAAGGTCTTCGTTTTGGCATGCATTAGCGATGCGTGCTACGCCGTCAGGGGTCACGACCTTGTACTGCAGCTGTTATACGATCTGATCATGAGCGAGCCGCGTGGGATTGAAGTCAAAGGAGAGACACTGACTGTCCGATCTGCGCCGAGTCCGTACGTTGGCGTTAGCGATGAATGGCCACCTCCCTAGAATTACAAGACGAATCGACCCTCAAGCTGTGGCCTGTGAAGATGAGTCGCTGAACACTGACCTGAGCCCATCCTCCAGCAGCTCCGACAGATTGATCCGACCCTCCGACCATTTGTAACCCGAGTTTATCAAGGTGTTGGAATATTTCTTCAAATTGTTGACCAGCCTTTAGGCTAACGATCGGCACACTGGGATCGACAGTGAAACTGCAATCGACGTACCCCAAAGGTAACAGCGTTATGGGCATCGGAGGTTGGGCAACCATCGGCCACGAATTCAGGTGCATGGTGAATCTGAGTGGGGGGTTGAGAAACGTCTATCCGAGTAGCGGAAATATTGGCCTACGTATTTCATGCTGTGCATCTGTAGACACGAGGTAAGCCATATTCAACCCCAAAAACGAAGTACAACGTACCCACAAAGCTAACGAACCAGGTCCTGAGCTCCGTCCTTTGAAGTCGTGCTGGACACCAACGGTTTAGAGAGCAAAATGTAGAAACTAGATGACAACCAACCCCAGTATTTTTAATAACCAGCGGTACTCCGCTCTTCCTGGCGAAATCAAACGCCGCGATAACATCGTCCTTTCCTTGGACATCAATCTAGGGAATGGGCACGCGTTTGCCTCGATGTGCGACGAACGGAAAGCGAAAACTAGGGACATACATAGTAACTCGGTATGCTTCCTTGCCTACAATCAGCCGGCGGGGAGAATGCAAGAGGGTTGCTGGGATTCATGAAGTCGAGGTGGCATTGGTCACCGTTGGACATGCACATATCGAAATTGGTCTTGAAAACCAGAATACGTGAGTAACATGGGTTCACAATATCGACTCAGGGACTTACGGCACTGTATCCTGCGAAAACGTCGCTTCGTGCGACTGAAACAATGGCGTTCAGGATGGCTCGGACGCTGGCGTGATGAAAGGCTTACTATGCTGGTTGAAGTAGTTTTGGCAGACTGTCCCACACTGACTCGAATCGTTATGTGTGGGCCGTCCGTTGATGGACGAAAAACAAGGCTGGGGCCAAGGGTTGGATGTGGCCAGGCGACCACCGATGGTTGTGTTTAACTGCCGCCATATGTCCGTAACTGGCCGGTTCTTGTCCACCACAGAGAAAACGGATGCGAGTAAGACACCCCAGGAGGCTTGGAGGAACTCCAGCATGCTGAATTTGAGCGTAGGTGGGGAAGGTGTCTAATCGACTTCCTAGAGCATTATATCGCAATCAACGCGGCTATAAAAGAGCGAAAGGGGAAGAACATACAGCCATAGCTTCTGACAGTTGTGATTGCCAGCGAGTGGTGGGTACCACGCTCGTAGTACGCCGATGACCGAAGTCTCCAGGACAGCACAACGTTAACGGGTAGGAATGATGGAGTGGACTAGACTTGTCAAGAAGTATTCCCATGCCCGACCCCGATTTGTTTGCAACAAGAGCAAGGCTTGGCCAAGCGTCCTACAGAACGGTTCCAGGTACTCTTGCAGCTATAATAAGCATGCTGGAACCACATTGGGTGCTTTGGTGATAGAAGCAACGATTGTCATGATCGCCCAACTTGGCTTAGGAAAACGATTTGACGACTGAGAGGAAAGGATCGTAAAGGTGGAAGCCCAATAGACAGATAAAAGAGCATACCTTACTTATTCAGATGCCATGTCCAGGTCAGTAAGTGAATGATAGACGAACAGTCAAAGTCGTCTGCAAGATCAACGCGATCAGCAATTGAAATCTTCGTGATTCTTCGTTCCTTTGTCGTCGGCGAAACTATGGTCTGAATTGAGGAGGAATTGTCCACGGACATTGAAGCACTCGTTTGAGCATAGCCTTTGCAAGATGTTGGAGGAATTCCAAAGAAGATGTTGGTTCAATATTCGAAGAGATCTGAAAATTTGAAGGTTGAGTTTGGAGGATGGTTTCCGGCTCTGCAAACGTTCTCACGCTTACATAAGCTAACCAACTTCGGTACATGTCGATCACAATGCAACTGTGCTCTTCCCGCTTCCAACAAGTTTCCGACCATCGATTGTACTGCAATCTACTACAACAAACCGGCAACCTCAGCACATTATCCGCCATGATGGCACATAAAGCAAGCGTACAACCTAAGTACAAATATTCAACGGCAACCTCGTCGTCTGCACCAGAACCGCGCAGAACAAGAGTATTTGTCCCTCACGTGCCACATTTTCCGCCTGCCCTTTCTCTATGAAATTCTTGTGTATCAAATCTTTGAAACCATCGACCACCGACGAATCGAAGGCAAAATTCAATCCCTGCAACTCCTACACTCAAAGTACATATCTATCACAAAAAGTCCACAATTGACACCGCTTGTGCGGTCTTGGATGCTTAACGGGATCGCAGAAGTGACCCTCTTAGCCGCGGACAAACGCCTGCGCGCCCCTATCGAGTTTTCATCACCATCACCACCATCACACCTTCACGGAACGCCTCCCCGCCTTTCAAAATCTCCGCACGGTCAGATTCGGCCGTATGAAAGTCGGGGTCGCATCGTCTAACAGCTGCCCCACCTGGACATTCTGAGGCTTCAGTCGGTTGTCTTGATGGACACCCTTCGTTACCCACGTCTGAACTTGAAGTCCGTTTCTATCTGGATCGATTCCCACTTCTCCCAAAAAAAGCTGGAATCCCCGCAAGAATGGGTTTTCTTCTCCAAAGAGAACCTGGACCAAAGAGAACCTGGAGGATTTCGGCAACACGATTTTACAAGGAGAGTATCCCCGTCTTGTTCGCTCTGCTCGAACAAACTCCGAACCTGGAGAGGCTCACGCTGCTTGTCGATGAAAGCAACTACGATAACTTTGAGCTAGACATAGAGGAGACTCAACGGGCCCTCTCCAAGCACGCTCTGCCACGTTTGAAAAGCTTCTACGGCTTTGGCAGCATCGCTGCTGCCATAGTGCCCGCCAGACATGTTGAGCCTCGAGATCATGCTCACCAACGACCTTGACCGTTCCTACTGGTTAGAATTTCAAGCAAAAGAACATTTCTTCGACAAATGACGAAGTCTTCCAGAGCGGTTTCCCAGCTTTCTCTGCCTCCATATTCTCCTTCATTGCCAAACATTTCCCTGCCCTCAAGAATCAAGGTGTTAGGGATGCAACTTGAGGACGCATCCTATAACAACTCCTTTCCTTGGCCGCCAGTCCCAAATTGGCTGATCCCGGTCGATGCTGCTGGCCAGCCGGTCTACTCAGACGTACCAAGTGAGTAACTCCGTCACTACTGTAATCATACCATGTGTTGACCTGATATGCAGGACCTCATAGACCACCTCTGCCTTCGCACGGTTCCACTTCCTGAAAACCTCGAATTTCTCTCCCTGGTTCAACCTGCTTTTCTTCCCGTTGGGCCAGGAATCTCAAGGCAGGCAGTAAGATCCGACCCTACGACCGTCGCCGAGAGGTCTCTCGTATCTGTCCTTCTCTTCGAGGGGTTAGCATGCGGAAACTTTTTGGATGAAGAGGGAGCTCTTCGGTGTTGAGGGGTTGAATTGGTAGGTGCTGGCATCTGAAAGGCAGGAGTGGCCCATAGACGAGCTGATCAGGGCGGTCTACGGGAAACCTAGTCTTTCTCAAACTTGAGGAATCCCCGAGACAATGGCCATTCTATTTGTATGAAACAGGAAGCTAAGTGTTTGGTGCAGCCTACTATGACATCGCCTGAATGCCACAGAGTACATGTATCGCGATTTCAAGAGATAAGACCCTAGAGATGGTAGATATGGCTGCTGGTTTGGCTTCGTCCCGTAACTCAAATTTCAGAAGGCCCAAATTGTTACATGAACCGGATGAGATCTCGCACATCTCCGGGATGAATGCATGAGGACTGAAAGCTTTAGGTTCAATAGAGGGCGCTGCTTGCATCTCGCGACTGGTGACCTTCATTGGTGTGAGTTTGAGGCGAGGGCGATTCACGAGAATGACAGCACGTACAATTGTCCGTATACCATCGTTTGGTCAAGATCGCTAGCTGAGCGCTGACCTGCGGCTTCCCGCTTGCCCGGTCTTCGCTTTAGGTGAAACAGAAAAAAAAAAGACTCTTGCGAACATCCGTTGCAGGCCAGACTTTGTCGAAATCCTTCACGACTGCTTACTCCTGGATCGCGAGCCTGTAGAGTGTACCGCATTCTATGGCAGATAGTTCTATAGCGGTACTGTGCAGGGACCAGTAACGGGTCACTTAAGCGTAAATTGTAAATTGTGGAGGACAGAAGGACTCTACCTGTATATAAACTGACACAGAGGTGAAAAATAATATTCTTTGTGTATACCAACTTGTTTCGTGATTTTAGAAGGCATATAGAGGGTCCTACGAATTTTCTACGAAGGAGAGTCAGAATTGCCGGATATGACCGAAACCATGGGAAACGAGTCACGCTAGAAAAAGAGCTCGGCTGTTACCGAATGATGTAATAGATCTAGATCGCACACTGATTGGTCCAAGATCGGTCGTCTGCCTCTTGTTCTCGCAGACTCGCAACCTCCATAGCTGGACGAGTTCTTGCTCTATCTCTGAAATCCAAGCTGCCTTTTACTCGTAAGACGTACCTCTATCTTTCTATTGTTATTTTTTCTTGAAATAACCATCAAACTTGGAACTCATGATTAGATAACAGGAATTCTACCCTTTTTCCATGCTCAGAGAAGATGTACCGTTAGTAGACCTTCCTCTTGGTCGAGAAAATAAAGAAAAAATGAAAACAAATAATATTTTTACTCCAAATTGCGATACATGTATTAGACCAGAAGCGAGTACCTTGTACAGTGTATGCGACTATGATGAAGGGTCTTGATGTGAGAATGATCTAAGATCTAACTAACCCAGATGCGCCTCGTTTGCTGCAGTTTTGAGCAAACCCATAGAGAGAAAAAAATTAAATACCGAAGAAGAGCGTTATAAACAATCTGTATAGAATTTTTTGCGACCTCATGACCTGTTTCTGAGGAGGGAGAGCCCGCTCAGATCTCTTGAGCTTAGAGTTTGGGCCAAATTTGGCAATCTCGCTTGACTGGCCTACAGTCATTGAGCAATTCTCATGTTTAAACTCAACGTGAGCACACAATTATCTGCATAGTACTTCACAAGACATATATCTATGGTTGTACAAATTTTTATGTCCCAAGGCTTCCTCGATCTTCCGCAAACCTGCGGATGACTCGTTACTGCTGGTGACCCGTTAGGGGTCATGTGACAGTAGTTGTAAAGTCATAAAAGCCTTGTGTGGAAATCCTTTGGGAAGATGATACAGGGCACGAATCATCGGCGTGAGTCTCGAGGATCATGGTACAAGAAAGACTTTACTTACCTTTAGCTAGAGAGGTCCTACGGTGTCACATTTCCCGATCGTCTTGAATCTTGAAGGATCCAGGAATTTCTTGGTAGGTGGAAAAACAACCGTCATCGTCGTTATTGAAGAACGAATTGGGGGCCTGAAGGATCGTCCAGTAGAGTGTCCGAGATGTCTAGTAGATTCAGCTATGACGTTGGTCAAATTCCATTCGTCCTCTGACATAAAATAATGCTGGAAAGGATGAACCAGCATTTCCACATTCCTGCCAGATGTCATCATTATTGAAGGTAAAGTGTTAAGAGTGCTGTTTGCATAGAGTGCTGTTTGCATTTGTTGGCGGCGGCGTCTAAAAATCTTGTCATCGACCTTGTCCACCACCACCATCGCTTCAAGACTTTGGACACTAGAGGTCTCCAGCACAACTGCATCGAGGAAACGTCCGACTTTTGCGAGGGACTATCGTTTTTTGGTCAGTTTTATTGATCCGCTTCGACGCCGTAAAACCTGCTAACACCGCTTGTTCGAAGCATAGTCTCATACGTCGGCCACGTTTACACTCGTTGCACCGGTATAGGGTCTAGGAACGTAGGAAATTGTTGTTTCTAGACATTTGGTGAGATTCGAACATCGTTTCGCACCAACTTTCATCCATGTGTCACGAGCTGACGAATACCAGAAGTTACGAACGTAGGATCGCGAGATTGTTGCCTGCAGACTTCTGGTAAGCTTTGAGCGTCGTTCCTTACTAGTTTACGCATAACTAAGACGTTGCAGATTGGCGAAGGAAGGAATTCTCTGGTACTTCTATGGCCAGCCATTCCCCTTACCCACACCCACCTGGGCCTTCTTCCTATTACCAACCATCGCCTCCACCCCTTCACGTTTATGGGAATCACAGCCCGGGCCCTCAACCCCCTTACTATCATTACCCAGGGCCACCACCACCACATATGAATCCACACCCAGCGGGCCAATACCAACATCCACCACCACCAACGAGAGGTAGAGGCTCCTATGGAGGACGAGGAGGGCATTACCACCACAATTATCGTTCTCCACAACCGCAATCTCCTTATGGCCACACGCATCCTTCCGTCAATGTCCACCCACCACCGCAACATGGACAGCATCACCCCTACTCACCTCAGTCTGCCAAGTACAACCAGCCGTATTCGCCGTCCTACCACTATCCTTCGCCTACTGCTCCGGTATTTACGCCTTCATGGCAGCAGCAACCCATCTCTCCTCTGCCAAAGCAGCTTTCGATGCCGCCTCCACAAAATATCCCACAGCCATTCTACGAACCTCCTTCCACCGCGCCGCCACCGCCGCAAGCGAATACCAGCCCTCAAAGTCCCCCAAAGCCTTCTCTTCGCGAACCAGAACCTGAAATCGAAGGTCCGGCTGAAGTTTCTGCTTCATCTACAGCAGCAGCAGCTTCAGAGACTCTAGCTGCGTCATCACCTACCCCTCAGCCTCAAACTTCGACTTATGCGCAGATGGGAACGATTGCCACAGTTGACGCTGGTCCTTCACCCTCGGACTCTGCTGTGTCGAAATCTGCCGTCAGTCCTACCGTCCAATGGGCGATATGGTCTCGGCGCCCTCACGATCCCTCTCACGCACCTGGCATCATCATTTCTCCTAGAGCTCGCCCACCACCCGATGTTGTTCATCAGGCGTTAGATCTCAAAACACCTCCTCCATCGCCACCCGCATCTCCTGCCCCTATCGTAAAGTCAATACCTATCGTCATCGAGGAAACATCGCCAAAACAATCGTCGCCATCTCAGTCGATAGACGAAATTGCATGGTCATCGCAATCTACGTCCTCGGTGCCTTCGTCTTCGGTAACAGAGACAACGGACACCCCAACGGTTCCTGGCTCGCCTGCGTCATCGCACACATCGATATCGGTAACAGTGGTTAAGGATGCAAAAGAGGTTTCGGCGTCGCCTATTGAGGCTGACGCTGCGCCTGCTATTGCGACCACTCCCGTGATAGTCGCGGAAGAGTCAATGTCAACCACTCCTGTTGTAACACCCGAGGCTGCACTGGAGGCAGAGGCAGAGCAAGCGACTAAGGAAGAGTCACCAGCACCTGAGATGGCTGCTGATGCCGTCGTTCTACCTCCAGCTCCTCTCCCAGCTCCTACCACCGCCGCTCAAGCGTCTCCAACACCAACACCTGCCCCTGCCTCTACTCCCGCTGTGCCAAAAAAGTCCTGGGCCTCTCTTCTTCAAACACCCGCTTCCTCATCTTCTTCATCACCCCGGCCCACAAGAAACGCCCTGCCTACCTCGCAAGTTGTTGGATTCTCCGTCCCGGCAGGGTCTGCCAGCCCATCGTCGACTGGAACAGGCCCAAACGTGCCTGTATCACCGTCGAAGAAGAGCGAGTTGGTTACTCTTCTTACGACGGGTGCCCTTACACCTTCAGTCGCAGCGGGTAGTTTTGCATCGGCTGCTGCTGCGGGTGTAGCACCAGCGCCGCTGAAGATTAGGCCGAGAGGTCTGGTCAACAGCGGGAATATGTGCTTCGCGAACTCGGTTTTGCAAATTTTGGTTTATTGCCCACCGTTCCATCGGTTGTTCTTGGAGCTTGGCAGGTTGCTCGTTGGACCTGTCGTCGGTGCCAATGGTCCTGTTAATGGTGCTTCTAAGGACGTTGGCGATAAGAACACTGCCACGCCCCTCGTTGACGCTACGGCCACCTTCCTGCGCGAGTTCGTAGAGGAGAAGAAACGGGGCAAGGATCGCGCAAGGCTTGAGGTTGTTGTGAGGAATGGTGCCTCTGGGAGTGGTGCAGGTCGTGGAAAAGGCAAAGAGAAGGCGAAGGAAGGCGAGGCCAAGCAGGAGGTGGTGCTGGTGCCAGAGGAGGAGGGTGAGGATGACTGGGATGGCGACTCGTTCTTGCCGACGTATGTGTATGATGCGATGAAGGTCAAGAAGCGGTTTGAGCACATGGGTGTATGTTTCCTCGATTTTATACTCGCTGAGAAGGGCGTCATTGACGTGTGTTAACCTAGGGTGGTCATCAGGAAGATGCAGAGGAGTTCTTTGGGTTCTACCTCGACTCCCTTGAGGAAGAGCTGTTATCGATCCTGAACTCCGTCAACCCCCCTAGGCAACCGAAAAGTTCTTCTGGGCTCTCTGCCGTTGAGGAGAAAGAGGAAGCTCCACCAGCTGAGGATGATGGATGGCTCGAGGTGGGTAAGAGGAACAGGACGGTCGTTACACGGACAGTAAGTTTTTCTCTGTACTATTTCTCAATCAGAGTATTACCTGATGTCGCTTTTGTAGATAAAAGCTACTGAATCACCTATAACAAGGATATTTGGCGGCAAATTTAGGTCTACCCTGCGGGCACCCGGCCAAAAAGACTCTGTCATCGTTGAAGACTGGCGTTCATTACGACTAGATATCCAGGTCCGTGCTCTCCCTCCTTCCCTTCTTCCGACCGCTACTCATCGCTTTTTCCACAGCGAGATCAAATACACACCATCCAAGATGCTCTCTCCTACATCTCCCATCCACAACCCGTGCAAGTGACCCAAGCCACGAAGCCTGGCGTTACTATCGAGGCACACCAGCAGGTGCTTATCGAAGCGCTACCGCCGATCTTGGTTCTCCATATGAAGAGGTTCTGTTACGATGCGGCTTCAGGTGCTGTAGTGAAGGTAGGCAAGCATGTTAGCTTTGGGCCGGAGTTGGAGATTGGGCCTGGTACGTGGCTCGATTTTCGTGGTTTAGTAGAGGCACTGAGCGCGAGGATATGTACAGACGTTATGGTCCCTGCCGCTAAGAAGCAACCTACGCGGTATAAACTCTTTGGAGGTACGAATGAGTGATTTCTCGCCGAGGATGAGCTAACTGTAACTTGTGTCTGTAGCCCTCTACCACCACGGCCAATCTGCCTCTGGTGGCCACTACACTCTGGACGTTTTGCACCCTAATCGATACCCGAGCACAAACCCTACTGCCAAACCTCGTGAAGGTTGGGTGCGTATCGATGACGAGCTGGTGTCTGACGTCAGACCGGATGATGTCTTCAACGCGCCGGAGAGGGATGACTCGAGATGTGCTTACTTGCTTTTCTACCGGAGGATATGAGGGCCCTTTCAGGTCTCTTTTATTGTCCTGTCAGATGGAGGGCTAGAGGTAGAAGGTTGTGGCGATGATTTTTTTGTATCGGTGTCTTACGTTACGTTTTCTCTTTCTCCTAGTGTAGCCGTAGTAAGTAGTACATTGTACATGAAATCTACCTTATTTTTCATGTCTTGCTCTGTTCACCCCTCCGTTGCTTGCGGGGTTCGCTAGTTAGTCCGGACAGTCGAGCGGCTCCGAAAGCTTGCGTCATGTGACTCGCACAAGTCCTTAGGATGATAAATAAGATAAATAAATCTCTCCTAAGGACCCATCATCTCCACCAGCGCTTACTTCGATTTTAGACGATTTACCTTGCTTTATCTCTCGCAAATATGTCTTCAGAGGTCGCTACTCAGACTCGTATCACAGAGCCCTCTCGGGGAACCGGAAGGAAAGGAAACAAGTCTCGAGGAGGGAACAATCCTGGCTCTCGAGGACCGAACCGCAACCAACGTGCAAATAGCGGAAACAAAGGAAATAACGCACCGCATAGCGGCGATTCTGCTCCTTCTGGCGAACCTGGTGATGCAAGCAGCCAAATTTCGGAGGTGGTCGACCAGATGAGCGTGGTGGCAGTCTCCGAGGCAGGCGATTCGGATATCTGTTGGATCTGTGCGGAACCTGTGAAGTACTGGGCGGTCCCAGAGTGTAACCACCGAGTGTGCCATGTCTGTGCGATCAGGCTGAGGGCGCTCTACAAGAAAATGGAGTGTACATTCTGCAAGGTGACCTAATTGCCGTGTTCGCTGCGTTTATCAAGCTGATTAGATGTTTGCAATGGTCTTAGGAAGCCCAAGCTACGATGATCTTCACGTCTTCTCCTGATGCACTCTTTGCTTCATTTACGCCGGAGACCATTCCATTCAAGGACTCGAAGCTTTCTATCTATTTCGAAACGCAAGAAATGATGGAGGACACCTTGATTTTGCTTCGCTTCAACTGCCCGGACCAGGAATGTGATTATATCGGAAACGGTTGGGGTGACCTCAGGCTACACGTCCGTGCCGTGCATGGGAAATTAATGTGGTTCGTTTCTTATATTTTCTTTTCAACAGTAGTATAATTAACATTCTCTTGTCTAGTGATCTTTGCATTCGAAACAAGAAAGTTTTTGCTCATGAACATGCTATTTACCCACCTTCTCTCCTTCCTGTCCATCTCCCTTCCGTACAACAACGGGCCAGCAAAGCTGCGCTGAAAGAACCCATCGAGGGTGGTGTCCATCCTTTGTGCGCCTTCTGTCGTGAATGCTTCTTTGGAGATGACGAATTGTATGGCCACATGCGAGAAAAGCACGAGGAGTGCTTCATCTGCAAACGGAACGAGGTTCGAGACCAATAGTATGTCGGATCTTTCATCACTATGAAATCTATGTTAATCTCTTCGCTCATCGTAGCTTCCAGAATTACGATAGCCTTGTAAGTATTCCTTTGATGAGCTTCGTCGATGGCGTCTGATTGCTTATGATGTAGGAGCGCCACTTTAGCAGTGTCCACCATGCGTGCACCAACGCTGAATGTCTTACGCGCAAGTTCGTCGTTTTCAACACGGCCCTCGATCTCAAAGCACATATGGTCGAAGAACACGGCGGTGACATGAGTTCAAGGGATAGGAAGGATGCCAGGAGGGTTCAAGCAGACTTTACCTTTGAAGAAGTTGGTCGTCGCAGAGATAGGGATAGAGACAGGGAGCGAGATAGAGATCGCGACAGAGACCGCGAACCACACCAACCGCGACCACCGCCAGCACAAGCTCTAACACCTGCAGTTGCATCTGCACGACCACCTGCCCCCGTGTCCCGACGGCGAGAAGGATTTGGCGGTGCTTTGACAGACAGTTCTGCAGCGCAAGCATCCACGAATAATGCAAATAACGGGCGAGGATCACACCCGGTTTCACGCCCAGTCTCACCTCCTCCAGCGGCTTCTTCTGCAGATATCGACCCAGCAGTCGCAGAGTACGTCGATTGGAGTTTCGAAATTAATTCCGTTGACCTTTTTTCCCCAGGAGGCATGCAGCATTCCTCGTCCGGCTGCAAAGTTTAGCACCGAACCCTACCACAGCCGTCCCGGTGGTGAAGGCAGCCACTCGTGGCTATAGGTCCTCCGAGTCGAATGCACGAGACTTGATATCGACGATATGGAACGTCATGGACCAGAACTTGGAGCAAACTGCGAGCATTATCAACGCTTTCGTCGATCTTCTAGACGAAGAAGAGAAGAAAGCGGATCTGTTATCGTCGTGGAAAGGCTTTGCGATTGAGGTAATATATGTTCATTTTTTCATGGCCAAGTTCTGATCTACCTTGACCATACAGCAACGACGTCAATTCCCTGACCTGGCACCAAGTGCGATTGGAGCAGGGTATGCGGGGATAGCCTCCGGCCGTGTCCTCAATGCAAAGCATGCCACCGCAACCCGTTCGTCGCAATCGCAACAAGTCTGGAACCGTGTCGCGCAAGCGGCGAGTTCGAGCTCGTCCCTCCCACCTCCAAAACATCAAGAAAAATTCCCTGTCCTCACGCCCTCATCCTCAGGTGCCCCACCTACATCCACAACGCCGTTCAGGCAAGGGCAGCGGAGTACGCCCTGGTCCGGCAGTTCGGCCGCACCACCCGCGCTCCGGACTCAACAGCCTGTATCCATCCCTGCCTCCGGGTCGAATTCACTGGCAGCACGCAGCAGGCAAGCCCCGCCCCCGAAGCTGTCGAATGCACTCTTTCCCGAGCTGCCTTCGTCTGCGTCCGCTCGCTCCAAGCCGCAAGTGAGTGGGAACGTGTCGTTGAAAAAGATATTAGGGAGTACTGGCGCACCGGCGGTGTCGGCGTGGTCAGCACCAGGGCAGGTTTCTGGTGGGTCGACGACTGCACAGGAGGCGGTTCAGGGTGCCGATGAGGGTGTTGAAACGACTGGTGGCCCTGCTGGAGGTGGTGGCGGTACTAAAGGAAGGAAAGGAAAGGGTAAACAGAAGCAGACTCTGTTCACTCTTGGAGCTTTCCCGACGTGATTGTTCTGGTAGACACTCTTGCTCTTGCTTACTGTGCGTTGACCGCAATATTGTACTGACAGCATAGCAGTGCAGACAGAGGTTTTGCCAATAGATACTTTTGGAAGCTGGGATCCGGTCAGTGACTGCTCCGACACAAATTCTGCAGCGGCCATGGTGAGTAGCATTCACCGACATAATTGAAGAGTAACTAGATCCATTATAAAGCTACACAACAGGAAAGGAAGACTTGAAAGCAAGCGCGTCGAGAAAAGAGTGCCCGACAGAAACATATGGAGATAAGAGAATGCACCAAAAAGATTGGAGCGACGAGCGAGGCTTAGATGCATTGGAAGTACCTTCATTTCTGTGAGCGTTCATTCAATGAAGCGAACAGCTAATCTCTTACCAATCGTTCTGCCTCTGACAAGTGCTTCCAGCGACGCAAGTCGTTCCTCCAGTCCACTGAACGAAAACATTTCTCTCAATTCCTCTGCGAAATAAGAAGATCGGAGAAGACTTACCCCAATGCCTCCGCACTAGAGCGTTAAAGCAGCATGAGCGCCGGTCTTTGTGGGTGGAAATATACTGGATACTTACCTGACCCCACTTGGGCACAGCAGGCGCCTGAGGTGCAGGTGGTTGGGTTGGTGCAGGGGGCGGTGGTGGCGGTGCTAGCGTAGTCCCTGGAGCAGGAGGCACCTGGGTTGTACCAGGCGCGGGAGGCGGCGTCGGAACTGATCCGCCAATGCCGCCTGTGGTCGAAACAGCGTCGCAGCTTGCGGGCATCGTAGCTTGCGCCGGTCCTGGCTGGATGGGGTTGCATCCCGGAAGAGCAGGAAGGTCTATAAGATGCGTAAAAGTGAGTATATATATTATGTCATTTGAAAGAAAGAATAAGGAGACTGACATCCGGTCGTCCTCTCGTTAACCTGGACGCTCTGCGTGCAGCGGTTGATGTCGGCGTCGGAGAGCACAGTCAGAGCGCGGCAGCTCGGCGGGTTACCCCCGATGTCAGTGCAAGTATCCATCGCGCGCTGAAGGGAGTCGCCTTCCCATCCGAAAACGTAGTCGCCATGATGTCCGTATCCGGTCCTATGAGCAAATACGATCACGGTGAATCGGGCCAATCGATAATCAACAGAAAATTTCAACTTACGGGTCACCCATGCTAAATACGAAAGGCTGGCTGCCATCGGTGGGCCACATGCTGTTGAACGGCCGTGTGTCCCAGACGGTCTCCATGAAGAGAAGAGGAAGCCTGACAGGGTGCGTAGACGGACATGCTCCCGGATTGAAGAAGAGACCTGCAGCTGGAACCGTTCCAAGGGGATAGGCGACATGGCTCTATCATCGAATTCAACAGGTCAGAGAAATTTAACTTCCCTACGTTAAATTATGTTCACTTACGCTGTGGTCAGGCGTATCCAGGTTCACCCCGTCCCAGCAGCTACCCACGACCTTCTTTAGCGCCCACGGCTCTCAAAAAGGAAATGAAGTTCGACGGCTCACGAAGGGAAGAACGTGTTGCTCCGAATTCCACCCGCACACGCCCTATTAGGGAGCTCGATGGTGTCCAAAGGCCCCGTACCAGGGGCAGACTGTGCTTGAGGGTCGTTCGCACCCTGTGCACCCCAGCAGCGGAAGGTGAGCGCACGGCCTTGTGCACTGTTGGGGTCGACGGTCCTGGTACGGAGCATTGGGTTGCCGACGATCATCCGGAATCCCTACATCCGAGACCGATAAGAGTAAGTTTGAATTAAATCGGTCCCAGGGAAAAGGTTTACATACCTTTCTGAAGGCAGTAACCCTCTCTCCGCTCTGAGGCTGGATGTAGTACACGGTCATGCCCCCATTCGGAGCTCCCGTAGCGGCATTAGCAATTTGTGGGACCTAGTACGGCGCCAATGCGTGTGGTAAATTTCTTGTTTTATGGCCTGAAATTGAACGAGAACGTACGCGAATGTAGCTTCCGTTGGGATGCTTGAAGAACATCACGGCGGTCCAATAGTTGGAATTGTCCTCTTTGAATCGGCAGGTGGTGCACGTCGCGAGACTCGAGAGATCAAGACTGGGGTCCATGCTCAGGTTGAACCTATGCCACAGCGTGAATAACTGGCTTCTTGCAATAAAGTAGAAAGCTCCTACGCATTCTATCGTGGCCGAACGTAGGTGTGGATTAGCCATGATCTGAAGCAGATAGGAGGCGCGAAAGAGAAGCGTACCCCTCCAATGATCTGGTGAATATGAGGAGAAACCTGGCCGGGCGTCACCAGTCTAGGGCCAAACGTGAGCTCGTTGCACAACTCGGTGCAGTCTCCGCTTACGGGTCGAAACGCTGAGTGACGAGCTGAGAGCAGGGGAAACGCAGGAGAGCATCGGCGAACGGCGCCAGAAGCGCAAGCGGGAGGAAAGACGTCCACATTATGGTTCCAAAGGTCGACCACTCACGAAAGACGAGGACGGAAGACCCTACATGTTCCTTTAAATACATGGACCCACAAAACTCTCGAAGAACGCTCATTTCGTATGCCGAAGGTCATTGAAAGATGCGAATTTTCCGCAATTCGCGCGGTTACATTCAGTGTGCCTAAAATAAGCTATTCAGGCTACCGCACCACCTTTGACCTGTCATAATAGAAGGAGGTTCCGTGGGCGAAATGGGCGCGGAGGACATCCGCAATTCGACCGCGTCTATTCAATTTCGTTGAGCGACCATCGGGGGACAGACCTACAGACCGAAGTTCAGGAAGAACAACTCACCCGGGCTCAGTTTCAGGTCTATTTTAGACTATATCGAGGGAATTTGGTTGTCCGGGAGTATGAGAAGCGACGATCTTCATCCTTCGAAGCCTCTTTTAGAGTCCGCCAAGGGTTTATCGAAATGACAAATGCCTCGTGCCTTGTCATGGACCTATCATACCATCTCCCGGATGAATTGAGTTGGTGATTTCGTTCTGCCGACGTTTAGTTCCTCTCCCCGTTCACGTAATCGTCTTATTCTTGTGGGGCTGGGGCAAAGTGGGATGGAGTCGACGGTGGATGAAGCTGAAGGTGGCTTTTTTTAAGCGCTTGCGGACCCGACTTCGGAAGCCATCGGCGTCGCCGAGAGCAGAAACCAGGACTGCCATCATATTTCAAGCAAGCGTGAGGAAGCATCTATACGTGCAGACCTCGTAGATAACGGAAGAGTATGTAGGATTAAATCTCTAGCTCGACACAAAGGTCCAGGGACCAGGTGGACTAACCTCGAATGCTTGAAGTTATGACATACGGTATGTTGACACCTATGGAAAGAAAGGCTCCACTGAAAGGAACTCCTCGATAGATAATCTGGAGTTAATCGTCGATTTATCTTCATTATTGCGCTTTTCATAAATAATGACACTCGAGAAAAAAGTTTCGAAGTCGGCGTGGCAGGTCATGGGGGGTCAGCTTGGGGCTAACTCGGGCCGATCCGAGGTTGCCGACCTGCCGGTGCACTTAACGAACGCCGACGACGCCGAGGTGGAAGGTCGGCGAGCCTTATTTGGGATAACCGACCCCGACAGAATACTTTTGGGGTGGACGGTTAGCCAGAAAAGGTATGACCGACTTGCTCGATCGCAGCCCCCGATGATCTCCGCGGTCGTGGTCGGTGCCCTCGGGTTTGCCTCGGGTCTAATAGCTCTGGTTCGCCTTCTCGAATCTCGAATCTTTTTCTTTTCGAATGTCATTATATATGAAAAGTGCAATAAATGTGTTCCGTTGATGGCGTAGACGCGAAGGGCCGTCAAACTCTGAAATAAAGCTTATGATTCGCGGGGCTTTATTAGGACCTCTGATTATCCCAAAGTAGGTCGGATATGAAATTGGTGGTTTGAGTGGGTTTCCGGGTTGACACAAAATCTTTTTTGGGGTGAATTCCGGGTGGAGGCCGATCTAAGTTTCTAACCTCCAATTTTTCACCCGAACGGGTCGACAAATGTATCCGACCTCTAAAAATAGCAGAAAAAAAATCATAAAAAATCGCAAAAAATGCGAAACACTCTATTTTGACCGATTGTGCCTTCCTTCTCAGATCTCTTTGCCGTCGCCTTCACCTGCTTTCTTCTGAGTCACCAGCAGCCACTATCTGTGGCCCTTGCAGCACCAGCTTGGCATATACATCATCGAAGAACTGCTAATTGAAGCTCGAGGATTGCTCCATTGTTGATCTATTTTACACACGTTGAGGGGACATAAATGAAGAAAGCTGCAGCTGGAAGATGAGCCACAGTACAAGCCACCTGCGAACGCCACTGAGACTAGTACTATGTAGTGTTGCGTCGAGAAATACCATACACGGAAACCCCATCACTGATTTCCTGGTGGCCGGCTGGGTGACGCCAACAGTCGCATGCTCATTGGCGGTGCCGGCCAGACCGACTCGGCTGACGTTACCTATGTGTCGCGCGGCCCGGGCCATATTACTCCCTCAACGTGTCAAGAAGCCCTTCCTCCACTCCCACCTCTTCCCGTAGACCGGTGACCGTCTGTATATGACAGAACATGATCTGTGGGAGGAATCTGTCGATATCGATTCTCATATTCAGGCTGGTCACGAGCCTACTCTTCCCGATCCGCAACCCGACCCCGGCCTAGTAGGTCACGACATTGATACACGACGACGTCGGAATGTTCTTATCTCTTCGTATAAGTGACACCTTTGACGTCTAGGCCCTGGAGTAGTGGGCTCGTTGTAGATGTTCATCTCATTTCTTCCCTTGCCTCCTTTCGCATAACTAACGGTCTTTACTAACAGCGTAGGTCCTGTTTCTTCCTGACCTCCCTTCGCGCAACTGACGGCCTTGACGTCCAAGTCCCAGACGCGACAGATAGGATTAAGGCGAGGAATCATAGCTTGAGAAGAAATGCAACTTCGCAGTACATTGTTGTATGCCTTGAAGACATCTAACTAAGTTCCGAAGTCGCTTTCCGTGATGTTGCTCTTCTCGCAGAGACTTCTGAAGGCTCCCTTGTTGTTTCGGTATAAAGCTAGTGGTGTATCAAATTCCTGGACAAAGGAGGCAATCAAGTTATGTTTTTTTTTGGGTCACCATTCAACTTACCGCTATGTTTCCACCATCCAGCACCAGGATGCGATCATAGGTCAATATCGTTCTGAGACGGTCTGAGAAGGGTTGAATGTCCAGCAATGACCAACAGAGAGGAGAAAAACTAGCTCACGAGCTATACAAATGAGTGTTTTGCCCTTGAATTCGGTTTGGATTGTATATTGAATCTTCTTATCTGTCTCCAGATCAACAGAGGCGCTGATGCACTAATAAGGAGGAGATGAGGTGAAGAAACTGCCAGCGACGCACGTAGCTTCATCCAATATCACCACTTGATTGTCTCGAACCAACGCCCGAGCAAGGCTAAGCAAAGATCTCTGGCCTACGCTGAGATTGGAGCCTCCCACCTCAATCAGTGTGTCCAGCGTGATCCGATCGGTAGATGACCCCTCAACAAGGAAAGAACGACGAAGAGCGTCCCAAAGTCGTGCATCGTCATAGCGAGAGAACGGGTCAAGAGCGGTTCGGACAGTACCTGCATGCGACTCTTCAGTGACACTAAATGATTTTTTTTAAAATTACCGCTAAAGATTGTGGGCTATCATAAAGATTAGTGTCAGACTCGGGACGAAGACGGCCTAGAATTAGAAAGAGAACTCACATCTTGAGGAATGATGGCGACTTTGGTTCGCAGATCCTTTAATCCGATCGTTGAAATATCCACCCTGGGCATGAATCAAAGTTTAACGGGTTGAACTGAGTGAAGGAAGTACTGGGCATGACTTACCCATCAATTGTAATGGTCCCCGCGAACTCGACGATGCGAAGCAAGGCCAATGTTATCGAGGATTTACCAGCTCCCGTTCTTCCGACTATTCCAATCTTTTCTCTACCATTGATAGACAGGGAAATATTACGAAGAACATTGGGGAGGTCGGGTCGATACCGCATGGAAAGGTCTTTGAACTCGATAGCACCGGCAGAAGGCCATTCTGGAGGTGGCCTATTTTCCGGAATTTCGCTTGCTGCTTCTTGTTCTATTGAATCTGAATGACTGTAGTTTACGACTGTGGTGGTGATATAAATTAGCTGAGTTATTAAGGTAGCCATGAAGAGTAAGCTAGCATACCTCTTTCCACTGAGTTCAAATAGTTCTGCGCCAAACGGAAACATTAATGCAGTTCGTCTCAAGAATTCTTGGAGACATACCTCCACTTCTGCTGTTTGTCTCGTAAGTATACTACATGCTTGCGTCAAGTATGCTGGGCAATGGCACCGCATCAGCCGAGCTCCAGGAGACGGTGCAGGAAATTATACTTGTATAAGTTAAAACTAGGCCGATCTGAGCGGCCGTGGTACCTGAAACGTTGAAGACCGCGAAGAGGGTAACCTGCAGAGCATAAGAATATCGTAAAACATAATGGCACGGAGACATACGAAGAAGACCATAGTGGCGCCACAAAACTCTAGGCGAACAGCCAACCATCTGCGAACATAGGGGTTCATTGTTAATAACAGGTAGACAACTCGGATTAGAGTGCCCACCTCTGGATTGTCACGGTCAGAAACAAAGACCGATTTTCCAGGTCGAGGTAATACTCGTTTTCTCTGAGAGAGCGGGGTATCTCTCCATAGGAGCGCAAAGTTAAAAGGCCTAAACAACGATAAACTGGGGTTGCCTGCACTGCGGCACTGAGAGGGATTACCTGTTAGTGACTCTGAGAAATGAGAATACACGAGCGATCGCAGCATGGAGCCTTCATGCCCATTGTTAATGGAACAATCAAATAGCCAGATCGCCTAAAGGAGAACTTGCCCAGTCGTTTCACTTCTAGGGCACTGGCTCTGTAATACGCAGCAAAATACTGGTACCCAATAGCGATGAAAACGGCGACGATGACTAGACAGTTTTGCTGTTTCAGAAAACCGAAGGGCAGCAACCTGGACGCGACTTACTAAAGTAGTGCTCCACCACAGTAATAATCACAACAGCTCCAAGGACATTGGACATCATCAATATGACTGGAGGATATCAGTATTGAAGGGTTCATGGAGGAGCTTGTCACGCACGCATTCGCAACGACACTAAGCGAATGGTTTGAGAAATGATCCATCGAAGTTCTAAAATCACCCACCTGGGAGTTGATTGTCGATGTCTTGTTGCACTATTTCAAAACGAGCACCATGATGATATCTGGGTACGTACTATCAATGTCTTTGCTGAACACGCCAATGATCCTGCCCATAGGCTAGAAATAAAACAAGCATTAGAATCAGATAGGAGTGACTCTGAGAATGCTCACTGTGGTATCAAAAAAGGACATCGGGGCATGGAAGATGTTGAAGACACAGTCGTGGTGAAGGTTTTGCGAAACAAGGTAAGAGAAAATATTGCTGGAGAGACCCCTGCAAAACATCTTGAGAAAGCTGTCAGATGACGGTGCAAGAAGACATACAGGACAAAGGTAAAGATGGACTGGGTGACTCCTAGAAGAGCATATAACGTTTGGTAAAACGAAAACGGGCGGTGAAAAGCGCTAGGAAACGGTCGGCATCATCGGGTGTTTGCGAGAAATGAAGAGCGTACTTTTCCTGCCACCAGACCAGAGTGTAAGAACTGGTGATTTGGCAGCCTTGGCTGAGAAGCAAAGCGATGATCAGCAGTGGTGCGGTGAAAAACCCTCGTCCGGCGTCGACATAAGCTTTGTAAACTACAAAGACAAAAGTCAATTTTCGACTAACTTGATTAACTTCGTCAACAGACCTTTGGCGGATATCGAGCCGGTGGTACGTTGCTCCTTGATCATCAGCTTTCCCTCGAGTTTACCTGTGCCGGCAGCCCGTCTCTTTGCCAATTCAATCTTTTCTCTTTTTATATCTTCCGTCGGAACAATAGTTCGCAACTCTTGTTGAGGATCATCGCTACCACCAAATTCTCGATCAAGTCTAGCGAATTCGCCGTTTGCTTCAACAAGTTCTGGGTGAGTTCCTTGTTCCGTGATAGATCCATCATGGAGCGTGTAGATGTAATCGCAATAAGAGAGGAAATGCAAGGCGTGTGTGACAAGTATGACGGTCTTTCCCTGATTGCGAAGTGCTCCCAGAATGACGGTATGAAACAAAGCCTCACCAACGTGGGCATCGACTACAGTACATCGAGGGGTAAGTAATCCAAATGAGCACGAAAGAGTTAGGAGACAGACCAGCGGAAAGTGGATCAAGCAAAATGACGATATCAGCATCATAATACAGAGCTCGAGCAATGTTTATCTACGGAGAATCAGCGTGTGTGCATTGGCATGCGCGGGTTTGAACCTACACGTTGCTTCTGACCAACGCTGAGATTGACGCCCTTTTCTCCAATCTGGATCATGCAAGGTCAGAAGAGGTTTGAACACCTACAGATCCTGAATACCTCTGTCAAGTCACCATCCAGAAGAACCTCGAGGTCCGGTAGGAGAGATGCTTGTTCGATGACGCGCCAATATTTTTCCTTGTTATAGGCTTTTCCGAACAAAATATTATCTCGCTAAGGAACCATCAGACAGGGACAAGAGAGTAAGAGAGGAAAAGAATTACCACAGAGGCATTTTGAATCCAGGCTGTTTGCGAACAGTAAGCCACCCTTCCTCCAAAGACTACACTGCCTGATACCCTCCGCATTTCGCCAAGTAGACCCAAGAGAAGACTCGACTTGCCAGATCCCACCCGACCAACTACAGCGACCAAACTTCCACGCTGCACGTGCATGACGACGTTTTGAACGCGGAAGGGGATGCTAGAGGAGTCAGGCCCGTCCACACCACCCCCCTTTTCTAATGTCTCTTCCCATTCGAAGGTGGCGCGGTCCACTTGCAGTACCCACTTGAGCTCTAGGTCGACGACAAGAGCATCTCCGATTCGTACTTCGGCTTCAAAGACCTTGTGAAGTCGAAAGAGGGCGCTTCTCGCATCCGAAGTGGCTGATAGCGCACGAGGGAGGAACATCATAGGCTGACGAAGGAGCTATGAAACCATTCGATTAGCGCACTAATGGGCACAAGAGAAGAACGCCCTTTACGCCGAAAAGACTGAGTGACGAGAAGATGACCGCGACGTCGAATCCGCGCGTCACATGGGTATATGTCACGAAGGCAAGGGTGGCGGCCAGCACGGGTATAGAAAAGGCTATCGCGGCGCTGTAGAAGAAATCTTTAGTTTATGGTAAATTTCGCAATGACGCCGCACTTTGCCGATTGGGAAATGAGGATACTCTTGACACCTTTCAACTCATTTCTTCTAATGGTAGATATTCCTGCGGAAGGAATGAGAGAGGGGCTGGACATCTGATAAAGCACCTACGCCGGAGGAACGGCTCTTCATAAGAGAAATATTTCACGACGCGCATGGAACCTTGAATACACGTCAAAAGAGATGCAATGACAATAAATGAGCATTTCAGTCACCTAAAACTTCAAGCAATGTTTTGGCCCGTTCATCGGTATAGTTCATGGAACTCTTTCTAATCTTAAACTGTTGCGCCATTGCTCGTTCTTGGATCGGCGCCATAATCACGAAGAGAGCGAATCCAGCCAATGCAGATGGGCCCAGCTAAGTCGCAAGTGTTATAACCCACGGTAGCCAATACAAACAGCCGAAATACCTGGAAGAGCAGAATGATAAGACACACAGTAATTTGAATCGGCGCCGTCCAAGCTAAAGCCCGAGGGTACTCAGATGATGAAAAAGGATAATGAAAGTGGATTACCAGCGTGCTAGAATGCGAAAACAGGTGAATCATCCTTTCGGTGCTAAGAATGTCACAATACACTCACAAACCAGTGAGCACAATTGTCAATTCGACTGATCTAAGATTCTCTTCGCTCACTGACAAATAATAGGGATAAGAAAGTGGGACGTACATCGGTAGAAATGTGGTTCATGAGGTCAGAATTACTGATTGACACCCGCGCTTTGCCAGTGAGATTCATGCCGCGGTTGTATATGGATTTGATGAGTGCTGCGCGAATCAGCACACCAGTAATCATGGAACGCCAGAAAAACTAGGATCCCAGTCAGTATGAAGGCTGGCAGTTATTAGAAAGATTTGCACTTGATGATGGCCGATACTCGAGCCCATTGTGAGTAAAAATAATCCGACTGCCATTGCGAAACCGATGCCGAGACTGGGGCCTTCTTCACCTCTGGACTTCGCAGATTCCCGGTCCTTCGCAAAATTGATGATAGCCTAAGAGACGTAAATAGAATAAGGTATGGTTTATGGAAATAGGAAGAACACACCTTCACTACCAATGGACCCATCAATTGTGAGATGTCGCCTATAACCTGTTCGAGGCGAGAACGTAAGAACAGCATGTTCGTGCATCATGGAAAGTAACCCACCTTGAACATTCCTCCACTCCAGAAGAAAAAGCCAATCGTATCGTTCAAAGCAAGGGATATACTAGGGTGTTGTCGACCGCCCAACTGGCGCCAGTAATCGTCTAATTCAGCGTAGCGCCGAGAATAATTCCTTCCCGCTCGCATTGCTCGTATGAACCAATAGAGACGTCTGAGCAAGTTGGGTTGAATGATTCCCTTGCCCAATTGCGCATTCCAATCCTCTGCACTTGCTTTTCGACGGGACCAGGCTTCGTCGAATGTGGACGCGAGTACGGCGGTTGTGTGACTGTGGTCGAGTTTCCATAAATCTGGCGCTTGAAGAGTTCTCTGATAACCTAGCCTCTGCAGCACCTTCAGCATCAAAAACGAAACCCAGAAAATAAACGCATGCCATGATCGGAGTGACCCAGGTGTATGTGAGCAATGAAGCGATGGACGCGGTGCTGAGCGGAATTTTCTCGTGTAAAAGTTAGTTTTCGAAAAGACATGCGAGTTAGACACCAGCATACAGGAGCATCTTCCAACGAAGCTGGCGGTGGGGGAGGTGTCCCACTTGGTATCCTAAGGCGGAGCACGTCAACTTGTTTTCAACTAAATAGAAACCGGAGTGAACTGGACGCACCAAAATTTCCACCAGCTAGTCCGTGCTCTGGTTATCACTTTCCCAAGGTCTAACTGAACATCCAGATCATGACCTTGCAGAACGGATGGAATTCCTTCCTTTGTGCGAATGGAGGCTTCGCCAGAGGGGGAGGGGGAGGAACTGGAGCCGCCTGCACCTTCCTTTGTAGCCATAGATCTCCCCGGGGTCGACACTGGCAAAATGGACGTTCAAGTACATCCGTCTAGAGCATGCAGGAGCTATATAGACAACACCTATCAGCGTACACGTCAAAGAAGAAGCGGCAGGTGGCGGGTTGGATCATTTTGGTGTGGAAAGAATTCATCTTGGGGTATATGCACTCTCTTATCATTGGACTGCCTAAGTTCCTAATCTCATCGGGGGCGAAAGCGTGTAGCAGGAGGGACGTTCTGGAACGAGTTGGAGTGGGACTCGAGGACTTCCGACAAAGACCTTCCAACGTAATGCGATTGGAAGGTTCAACACCGTCTAGTCTATACTTTCTTGAGCAAGTATCAACGGCCTGCTCGATAACTTACGCAGCAGTCAGCCGTCATGACTCTGTTTAATTAAGAACCTGTTCCTATTGAGCTTCCACCCTCAACGTTTCGAAGCTGAATGAAGAGCCATTTGAGTCCAAATAACGCAAAACTGAAAAGCGGAGGTGGTGGCAGAAAGCGAGTTCATGGTTCGCAGAGATTTGGACGTTGTCCGGAGGCTACCTTTGGGATACTTCGAAGTTTAGGGCCATGAGGATGAGAATAGCACGGAGGTAAGTACCGAGTCAGGCACTGGGACTCGACATCTTGGATTCTTGGTCCTGCAACGTTACATAAGCGACCTCTTCCAACTTTGCTCTTCCTTCCTCGTCGACCGGCCGACAAACGTACAAGACATGGTCGTAGCACAGACAGAAGTCGTCAACGGCGATGTCTCATCCCTCTCCAAACAGAAACTCAACGGCAAGCCTATAAAATCCAAAAACCAGCTCCGGCGGCTAAAGCAGAAACAGAAGAAGCAGCTCGTGCGTCTCTCGTTTATCTCCAATTCTGGGCCGTCTTGACGGATTATGCGGTGTTCTGCGTGTATAGGAGCAAGAAAATGTCACTGCCAACGGGATTCAGAAGGATGAAGAGCGAGAGGATGGGGAGGACAAGCCGTCCAATGTCGAGTACGTGTCTGAGCAGCTGGATATCACCGACGCCGGCCTTGAAGCGTTTTCCGACGTCTTTGCGCGCTTTCAGCTCCCTCCTGAGGAATCTACGGTGCGTCATCTCTCCGTACCCATGTATTCCATCTCAGCAGCCCCCTTCCATGCGATTAGCAGGGCAAATCGACCGACGGGACGAATAAAGGCGAGGTCATCTACTCCGACGACGACATGGCCTCGGAGGGTGATTCAGACACGGAGAAAAAGCCCCTCTCGAAGAAGAAGGCGCGCAAGCTCTCGCGGCTGACCGTCGCTGAGCTCAAGCAGCTCGTCAAGAAGCCCGAGGTCGTCGAATGGACAGACGTCACCGCCGCGGACCCGCGTCTCCTCCTGCAACTCAAGTCCTACCGCAACACCGTGCCCATACCCATCCATTGGAGTGCCAAGCGGGATTATTTGCAAGGGAAGAGAGGTATCGAGAAGCCCCCGTTCCAGCTGCCGTCATATATTGCGGATACGGGCATTGCGACAATGCGGGATGCGGTGAAGGAGAAGGAGGCGAATATGAGTCTGAAGGCGAAGACGAGAGAGAGGGTGCAGCCGAAGATGGGCAAGGTGGACATCGACTATCAGAAGCTGCATGATGCGTTCTTCAAGTTCCAGACGAAACCGCCTGTAACTGGGTTTGGGGAGATGTATGTGGTTCATTTCTTTCTACTTGGCGAGTCCTCATTGTTTTATACAGGTACTACGAAGGAAAGGAATTCGAAACATCATTAAAAGAAAAACGACCTGGAGACCTATCACCAGAACTCGTTGAGGCTCTGTCTATCCCTCCGCTGGCACCTCCTCCTTGGTTGATTAGCATGCAACGATTCGGTCCTCCTCCGAGCTACCCTACACTACGGATACCTGGTCTTAATGCTCCCATTCCTGAAGGGTCGGTCTTCATCTTCCTCCAAAATGTTATTCTTTCTAAATCTTCATTTCTAGTGCTCAGTGGGGCTTCCATCCAGGTGGATGGGGCAAACCACCGCTTGATGAGTATAATCGGCCGTTGTATGGTGACGTGTTTGGTGTCATGCCCAAGATGAACGATTCTGGGGTAGGTCAACAGACTGTTCAGGAATTGCATCCCTCTAACAGTGTATATCTAGGCTGGCGAACCAATTAATAAAGAGGCATGGGGCGAGCTTGAACCAGAAGAAGGTCAGTTCCATGTTTTCTGTCCACCTTAAAATTTCTCACCTTTTTTCTACAGAGGAGGAAGAAGAGGAAGAATCAGAATCAGAAGAGGAGGAGGAAGAGGACCAACCTGCTCCAACGGATGGCACACAGACACCATCCGGCCTGGAGACACCATCCGGCATGACGAGTGTTGTTTCGACTGTTGCCGGCGGCTTGGAGACACCAGACTTCCTGGAGCTGAGGAAAGGACGAACAGTGTCGGAAGCAGTCGACTCCGGCCCAAGGTCGCTGTACCAGGTTTTGCCGGAGAAGCAGACCGCGGTGCGCGGCCTGATGGGAAGCGAGCGTGGATACGACGTGAGCGCCGTGGCTGGTGCGCCCATCCCCGTGCTTGGCGACGAACGAGGCACAAAGGTGCGGATCCTTGCATTTTCGGCGGTTTGGAAATGGCTAAAATCATTCCCGCTCACCACCCTCTACCTTTTAGCGCAAGAACGGCGTGGACGTGTCTCTGGATGCGGCGGAGCTGGAAGGAATATCGGAGGAGGATCTGCGCCGCAAGTACGACACCCACTCGCGGGGGAGTGCTGGAGTGCCTGGAGGGCGAGGGGAGGACTTTTCGGACATGGTGGCGAAAGAGATGGCGAAGAAGAAGCAGAAGATGGACCGCGAGAGGGAGGGCAAGAAGAGCGGGAAGGAGTTCAAGTTTTGATTACTTTATGCACTATGCTTGCTCTGTATATTCTTGTCATTTGAAGTGCCTGTTTCGTCTTCCACATGGAGACACAGCCGCATCAAGCAAGGCTCCTCCGGGCGCACCGGTGTCAAAACACCATCAGAGCCCTTCGCCGCCCTCCTTGTCCCTTCCCACAATCTTCCGTGAGCCCTTCGCGCCATCTCGCGGACAAATGTCCCAGGTCAGACTGTAAGTAGGCGCCTAAAATCGCTGGCTTTCGACGGTGTACTCATTGGTATCGACGCAGAAACCTTCAGCCTCCCCCAAATGTCGACTTTGTGACCGGTATGTGCCCGAGTTTCATCCACAACTCTGCGTTGGCCGCTGACCATCGTTCTTCTCGATGACCAGGATATCCTGGTATCCCTCCTGGCCCAGAACGTCCCCAAGCTGCGGTCAAGGGTGTACGTAGACCGCGCCCCTTTTCGAATCACTTTCTGAAACGCGAATTCCAGGCCATCGAAGTTCGGGTACCTCCTCAAGGCGTCAAGGCGAAGTGGGTCCGCATCGAGCTGCGTAAGGTGGAGACGCTCCCAGGAGGAGGTCCGGCGAACATATTCCATGACTTTGTGGGCCCTAGCCCTGTCAACCTCTGGAGCTCGTCTGATGAGTACAATCTACTACGCTCGGTGAGGAGTTGCGTTGGAGCGACTTCGTTGGTTACTGATTACCTCTCTGATGTCTCGCAGCAAGACTTCCCGTTCTCGATTCGGATACCTGAATCAATACCTCCCACCATCCAGCTTGATAGCAGAGGTGTGCAGGCGTTTAGATTATCTTTGGCATATTAAGGATTGCTCACGACGGGTCACAGCGGGCATCAGCTACGAGCTAGTGGCGACAGTGTGTACCAAGGGCAAAAGGTGCGTAAGCAAGCCGCCGTACAGCGAGCATTCCTTGACCTCGGCGCAGGGGCTTCCTCCGAAAGGCCAAGTCCGTCGTCACGACCGTCTCTGCACCAATCATCATCGACAAGCACGAGCTGCACTCAACATGGCCGGTTTACTGCCAGCCAGATGTTCGTCAACTCGCCCAGGATGGCGTCTCACTCATCGTCGAGCGCAATCGCACCTGCTTCGGTCCCGGGGACAGGGTCTCGATTGTCGCGACTGTCAAGTCCGACAGCCTCAACACCGTCATCCTTCGCGGGTTTGAGATCTACATAAAAGAGGCAACGGTCTTCCGCCCAGGCATCCATGGTGCAGGAAAGAAGCACGCGCCGCAGGTCAAACAAGAGAACATTGCAGAAACGAAATACCCAATCAATGCAACTCTGTATGGCGGTACACAACATACCGCCGAGCTCAGCTGCATGATCTCACCCCAACACACGACGACGACGTTGAATGCTGCTCGACACATCGACGTCACATATACGTTGTGCATCAAGGCTCTCATGGGCACGGGAACACACCTCGTGCTGGATCTACCCATTATTATGTCGAATTGGCAGAGGTCAGTGATTTACGTTTGCGCCCTTTCTTTGCAGTTTTTGATCCGTCGCTATTGCAGAGAGGTGTCGTTCGAAGCTATCAGGTATATCTTGAACTTCTTCATCTTACGCTTCTATCTAATTATTTGCCAGCCGGATCGGAGCAGCACCGAGTTTATCACTTTTCCCACCTGCTCAAAGTGCGGCAGCGACAATGCATGCGCTACAAGCAGCTCGCATCGATCCAACTCGCGGACGCCCCGCAGATGCAGTTGCGGCTACCCTACCCCTCAACCGCGGCAATCTGGAGAACACATACGGCCATGTTCGTAACAACTCGGCGAATGCCTTCAACTCTCTCCCAGGAGCATCCTCCTCCGCTGCCCGAGGAGTGGGCGAAGATCCTTACGGGCCAGGGTACGGCAGAGCAGGAAACCTCGCAGACGAATTCGGTGCTACTACAGTGGCTGTTGGCTCCTCGTCGAGTGCGGTCCAGACTCGCAACAGACCTGGTTCTGCGGGTGGCGGAAATAGGCTCACAATCGTCAATCCGGAGCCGTCGCAAGAGATACCATCTCGTCAACGAACGGCTGGGTCATCGACAGCGACGGGGTCGGCCAGGCAGTGGCCTACTGCTGAGGAAGAGAAGTTGAAGTTGTACGAACAGGCAAGGGCACAGGTTGCGAAGGTGCAGGGTGTGGCTGCATCACCGGTATGTTTATTCGCATCCTTCATCCAATACATGGTGTCTAATTTTGTGTAATCATCAGCCTCCTGCTAGTGCTAGCTCTCCACCACCTCAAGCTACCGGAACTCCTTCACCAGGTCGCAATACCAATGCCGGTAGCTCACAACAAAATCAATGGATGACCGCGGAGGAAGAAAAACTTCGCCTGTTCCAACAGGCCCAAGCCGCCGTCCACCGAACCCAGGCTGGTGCTAGCCAATCAGTACCCACCCACGGTAGGAACACCTCTGATCCCAACCAGGCTAGCGGAGGCTCGAAACCCTCTGGTGCTGCCCTTTACGCACAAGCAATGAGTGCTCAAAGCCGTTCAACCTCCGGCTCGCAAGCAGGCGGCAGCTCTTCACTGCCCAAGCCCGCAACATCAACGGGTGCGCCACAGTACCCTACCGCCGAGCAAGAGAAGGCTGCTCTGCGGCGCTACGAGGACGCGAAACGAGCCGTAGACAGGACGCAGAATAGCAGCTTCCCTGAGCAGACGACCTCATCGCGGCCAGCCAATGCTGGGCCTATTGCGTATGACTCGCTGTTCCCGGCACCTTCGACCGGCCCGCCCCCTCCGCCTGCTGATGCACCGCCACCATTCGACACTGCCGCAGGTGGAAGCAGCATCATGGCGCATCTGTCGGAGAAGGAGAGGCTGAGGCGGGCGTATGAGGCTCAGGACGCTGCAGCGGCCGTTGCTGCGCGGCAGAGCCCACCCCCGCCAGCTGCATACACAGCACCTCCGCCTGCTCAACCGACTGCCGCTGCACCGCCGAGCCCTGGCCAGTATACGAGTGCATTGGAGGAGAAGGAGGCGCTGAGGCGGAAGTTCGAGGCGAGGGATAATGCTTTGGCTTCCAAGACTAACAATGCACCTCAACCCCCACCTCCAAGGTCGAACAGCGGTGGAACGACGGCACCTAGCAGCCCCCCTCCAGGCAGCTCGTCACCCTCTCGCAACACCGGCCAGAGACCAACGCCCGTTCCGCCGAGCCAAGGCCAGCAATCTGGTAGCACACGAGTCTTGACTGCCGCCGAGGAAAAGGCGCTCCTGAAAGCAAAGTACGAAGCACGAGATGGAGGGAGAAAACCTACTCCTGTTACCACAGCTGCGCCGACGACGAATGGCACCTCCACTGCCAACGGTGCCAGCACACCCCCGCCTCTCATGCCCCGCCCACCTGCAGACTACATCAAGGAGACGCAAGAAGAGGACGCACGACTCTCGAGGCTGAACGGCGACGCACCGAACATAAATGGCACCCCGAAGAAGCTCAACGGGTCGTCGTCCTCCGCGTCGCTGAATAAGCCGGCTGCTGATGCCAGTGGTGGGCTGGACATCAAGCCTTTCACGCCGTTCCGTGCTGGGTTTGGGGATATTGTCACACCTGGCCCGCCACCCCCCTTACCACCCAAAGCAGCTGAGTAGGGTCCAAGTTTCTTTTTTTTTTTTCTAGCCACGTTGCGCCGTTGTTATATTCCCATTTTTCATCGATATCCCAGACTCTCCTTTTGCCATTCGTTTGTTATACTATTATGGTGTACGACCCTCGTTTGTCGAGGACACGACACGATACTGTTTTTATACTGATTGGTGCATACTACGTATATGATATCGTTCACTCCGTTTAACCCGATCTACACAACCTTCCCTTACTTATGTTCTTCCCTGTGTGCGTCAGCTCTGACCTTCTGATGTTTCTTCCACACTCCACTAAGTTCTGTCCCTACTAGTAACCTTCCACCCCCATATCTATCTCGCATCTCTATGGCATATTTTTTTACAAGGAAAGAAATTGGATTCTTGTTTCGCACACCGTCGTGACCTCGAATTCTACATCTCCTACGGGAGGGACGCTTCCTGACAGCCTTTTTTTTCTGTCAATGGCTTACATAAAATACTTATTTAAAGCCTCTCAACCAGGACGTGACTGATAATTGGTGAAGGCCTCGAAATCCCTTCCGAGAGCATAGATAGCATGCCAGAGCGTAAGGCGCTCATCTTCAGGTTCCGGGGGAACAGCGTTGTCGGTGGCACCAGTCGCAGGGTTTGAGCTAGTGTCGCCGTCAGAAGTGATAGGGAGGTCTTGGTCGTCGCGGACAAAAGCAGGATCCGGCGTGAGACCAGCCATGGTTTGTTGATTTTCGCGTGAGAACAAAGTAACGGAAGCGTCCGAGAGATAAGATAACGAGAGTGATAGATGAGAACGAGGGGTGGTCGAAACAAACTGTTACGGGCAAGGTCGCTGATCGAAGAGGCGAGGACGGGAGAAGCAAGGGCGTGGTAACAAGAAGAGGAGTGTGTTGTTTCGACGAGGATACAAAAGGCAAGAGTACGGTATATATGACATGTGAGGTGGAGCAGAGATCGGTGCACGGACTTGTGCACAGACATCGTGACGTAGCCGTCTAGGGTTGCGTATATAAGTCCCAGGGGTGTAAATAGGTAAATTAACGGGGCAAATTTTCGCGCACGGTAAATAAGTGTTATTTACATTAATTTACTCAGGGTTTAGCACAGGCACGTGACACAGGACCCTAGCGTCGCCCTCGCCCCAAATTTCGCTCGCAGCTCCTTCACAGACCATCGTTCGACCACTACGTCCAGGACCCAAGTTCGAAAGTGCCGCCGGACCCTCCACCTCCATCCCTGCCTTCGATACCCCCGATTTGGCCGTGAATTATTTACATTATTTACACGACCTCCCGATGGTCCATGCAAATAAATGGTAAATTAATGTAAATTACACTGTAAATTACAAGGTTGCAAATAAATCCGACTTATATACGCAACCCTATAGCCGTCACACTGGGAGGCCTTCAACCCCACTCACGTGACCGCGGTGATGGTGGGGATTGATCACCCCCAGCTGGCCAAAGAAGCTCAGTCCTTTGACCGCACCACTCATCTATCCTAGGTACTACATCTGTCCCATTCTCTGTCTGGTGATGCTAACGAGTTTGATGATAGCAGCCATGCCGTTCCAAACGGATGAGACTTGGCCCGCTGGCCTTCTCACCATTTTCAACCATGCTCGCGCCAAGCGCACTACATTCGAAAATCGTTACTATGGTCCCTACGACAAACTCCTGAACTACTGCTTTGGAGAGTCCTTCGCCTTCTACGTCGCCCCGCAGAATCCTCCCAGGGACGATAGCCGTGACACCGTCGACTTCATCGTCTTCCTGGTCGTATTCGACAATCACGACAGGCCTGTCCTGATCGTCGAAGTTAAGGATGACGGTTGGTCGGAGAAGGCTGAATTACGCTATCGCGCAGACGAACAAATGCGCGGTAGGTACGCATTGATGCTGGACGACTGTCCTCTCCCTCGTCTATGGGGCATCAGCCTTCTCGGCACCTCCGCACGCGTCTACTGTGGTGACACCGCCACGTATCAGGTGCAACCTCCCGCCATCGTGCGCCCCGACCCTTCGCGTGTTCTTTCGCCAACCTTTTTAGCTGGGGAGTGGGACCTGGACATCATGACGGAGGAGGGATTTGAGAAGATGAAGGAAATCGTGACTGATATCCTAGCTCATGCCGGCAATTAGCTATTGTTTTGTGTCTGACTTCCACCATGTACCTCTTTAACAGTTTCCTTGATGATTTAAAAGGGGTGGTCAAGCGGACAAGCCATGGCTCTCGCTCTAAAGAGGCGTGAACGGATACGCCACGGAAGCATTAGCGTATGTAAATAGGATACGCACGGACCGCTGTTAATTACTTTGGCCGTGGAATGCCTTGCATGAGGTGCCATGGCACTCGTAACGCTAGAAGCATTCTACTCAATTGCCGCGCAGGCGTGTTCCGTTTGGAGTTCCGACGATCTCTCCAACTTGAAGTTTGGTCTTCCAACCACGTCATGTCCCTCTGAGATGCACTTTCATCGGCTTGAATACGTAGTGAAAAGGCGTGTATCATCGAGCGCCAGTGTTTCACGAAGCTGGGAACTGTAAGACCTACAAATGAATACGATACGCAGGACTCACAAATTAATATGCTAGTGTCAGTTCATAAGTCGTCATACTACTCGCCGTCAACTCGTTCAAGTCGGCGAAATATTGTCGTCCAACTACTCAACATTGTATAGAACGTCAATTATGCCTAGAGGGCGATTTCTGTGATTTAGACACCTCCACTAGCCTCGACTTCCATGTGTACACATTGCTACTGATACGAATTGAGCGCCCGTTGCAGTGCCTTTGCTTCCCTTTGGTCGCGGCGTCGCGGCGTGCAGGTCACGGTGTGCTACAATCTCAGAGAAACTTAGTGTTTATGTCAGGGGTGATCAGTAAACAGAAGCCTTTTCTACTCAATCCCGATCACTTCGCGTTTGCATTGAACGGACCTTACTTACAGCTCTGTCCACTTCTCCCATGTCGTCTGGAGCCACCGTCCTTTGCCAGAGCAAGTCCTGCCCAAACGGGAACCCCCCGTCGCGTCTCGAGTGTCCTACCTGCAATAAGTATGCGAGAAATTACCCGTGGCCTGCCCGATTACAATTTTAAACCGCGTTTATTAGACTGGGGATACGCGGCTCGTTTTATTGCGGACAAGAGTGTTTCAAGGCTGGATGTGCGCCGTTCCTTCATCTCGACGTTCAACATCTGATGCCTCCAATATTGCACAGGGGTTAGTGCTCTCCCTACAATCGGCCGCGCAGTGCTGCCGAGCTAAGCCACATCCCATGCATCATAGAAAACACACAAAATTATCCATGACCTCGCAAAGTCCGGTAGTGCCACCAATCAAGGTGCGTCACCTGCCTATCTGGTAGCATGAATGGCTCGACATGCCCGTACATGTGTAATACAGATGGTACCTATAATCCGTTTGCCAACTACGCCTTCACTGGGACTATGCACCCCGTCTATCCTCTATCGCCTACTCGCAAAGTGCCAGACCACATACCTCGACCTGACTACGCCGAAGATGGTGGGTAATATATTCTTGAACGTAGAGCTTTAGAAGTCCTTACTGGCTCTTCACAAGGGAAACCGCGATCTGAGATGCAGCGCGCCGGGCAACCCCCTCGTATCTTGAGCCCTGAAGAGCAAGAAAAGATGCGCACGGTCTGCCGCGTAAGCGAAGCAATATCTGCTAAGCCCAAGCCACGTCGCGCTCACCCCCGACTCCCGGTCTAGCTGGTACGCGAGGTTCTCGACATCGCTGCAGCCAGTGTCCGGCCAGGCATTACAACTGACGAGATCGACGAGATCGTCCACAACGCCATCATCGAGCGAAATGCGTATCCCTCCCCACTCAACTACCGGAACTTCCCTAAATCCGTCTGCACGTGCGTTTCTCCTGTCTTTCTCCCATGTCCTTCTCTTGCTGGGTTTACGGCGCCTAAATGACCCTGTTCGAATATCTAGGTCTGTCAACGAGGTTATTTGCCATGGTATCCCAGATCAGCGGAGGCTGAGAGAGGGAGACATCGTCAACATTGGTCTGTCTTCCCGTTTCTCTGAAAAGGTCGTACAAGTACCTACTGCCGTCTAGATGTGACGTTATACTACGATGGTAAGCATCGCTTCTCTTTTTCCCTTTGCAGGCATATGGGCAAACCTCGACGCTATAGGCTATCATGGAGATCTCAATGAGACATACCCAGTCGGAGAAATCGACGAAGATTCGAAGAGGCTCATCCGCACGACCCGCGGGGCTCTGGATGCAGCGATCGCCATGTGCAAACCTGGGGCATTATTCCGAGACATAGGCAAAGTGATGTAGGTTTTCTGCCTCTCAAGGTGTGCTTCAATCTGAACGGCGTATCTAGTGAGCCACTTGCACGAGCGGGCGGCTGTGCGGTAGTTCGCACATACACTGGACACGGAATCAATGACCTCTTCCATTGCTCGCCGAATATCCCCCATTATGCCAAGAACAAGGCCGTCGGTACCATGAAGGCCGGAATGGTTTGTCGAAATATCGGGACCCACTTTCACTGGCTAACATAACCTTTGTCCTCAATAGACATTCAGCATCGAGCCGGTTGGCATTTTCGTAAAATGACCTCATGCTGTTTGGCTAACCGGTATTCCTAGATGTTGAACTTGGGTACCAACTGGGGTGATGTTCATTGGCCGGACAACTGGACGGCAACCACGACAGATGGCAATAGAAGCGCCCAATTCGAGGATACGATATTGTAGGGCGTTTAGCTTGCCTAATGTCCACTCGCTGATCAATTACGTCCGTCAGAATTACCGAGAATGGGGCAGAAATCCTCACAAAGGGCACTCGTGCAGTTTTATAACGATACTGATACGTAACTGAGGAAATACACTATGTCCACTATCCACTATAACAAGGAGATATAGAATGACGCAAACTAGTTACTAGGTGACCATTCTTATGGTCAAAATTGATTTTTGTCGATTACTTGTTCTTCGCCTGCAGGATCTCGTCATTCAAATCCTGCGTAGCATTGTCGAATGGTTGTTCAGGATCGCGCAATTCAATTGACAGGAACTCTATCCGAAAGACTTGCCCGGCGTGTTCTGTGAGGAGCATGGTCGTCGTGGCCGTCTTGATGTTGGCTTGTGTTGCAAGACTGTGCTCAAAGAGGGGCCATACGCAATCGCTGAAGGTCGGCGTACGAGCTATGACGACTTCGTGACTTTTGTGGTATGTGAGAGTCGCCATCGGTCGTTAAGAACCCAACAACGTTGTCGTAGTCGCCGGCGTCTTCTTCGTCAGAATCGTTGGGGTGAGATCCTGCTGATATTGTCACCAGCCCAGGCACTAGTACCACTTTTTGAACTACGGCTCCAGCCGAACAGACGCTCGTCGATCCATGTCATAGGGTGCGTAAGTCCGAATCCTTGGGCACCAACGGCTCCTGTGCTGCTCGTCCTTCTCCAGAGGCCTGACGATCCGCTTGGAAGGAGGTGCGCTAGCCGAAGGGACAAGAATCCGTGCCTAAAAAATAAAATAGATAAATTGCTGTATGTACATAAAGGTAAAAGGATTGAATGAACCTCATCAAAGTCTTCGTAGATTTTGGGTCCATAGGCTCGCGACTTCATTCGCCAAATGTATCCTCATTGCTTCAAGTTTGTCCAAGGAACGTTGTTGGCCAGCAGCCAAAGCAACAATAAGAGGAGGTAGAGATCTGGAACAACATTTTGAATCATGGTCATGGATAGGGAGAAAGCACCTACTTTAACATATCCATATGCATCCCGGCTTCACCAAATTTGAGGACGGCCAAAGGCAAGGCGGTGCCAACCAAGAACGGTGTTGCTATTCTCGACTTCAACAGAGCATGAGCTCGTATCACGACCATGTAGCCACAATGGCATAGAATGCATAGAGAACGGGTGTAATGCCCAATGCAATCAGAATCTTCTAGGTTGCCAGAACGTCGCGTCCAGCAATTTTGATAACAGAGGCAGCAAGAGCTTCTAAGGACGAAGGGTTAGACTTAGACTAGCAACAATACGACATGAGCACTGCAAACCTTTTGCCCTTTTCCTTGAGATGATGGGAGCGATGATGAACATTGGGCCATTCAAAATCGTTCTGGTATTGCGAGCAATGTCCAGAAGAGGAGTAGATCAATACGATATGTCAAAACACCAACGGTTTTCCAGCCTGCCTTTTAAGCACGTACTCATTTTTAACACGACACTCACTTGATGATCTCAGAGGCCAAGATCGCGGACAAGGCGGCTATACTTCGAAACATCAGCACGAAGTTTCTGAACACGAGGCTCGTCCTTGAAGTGAACATAACCTTCCAGCAATTTTCGATTCAGTTCGTCTGGTGCCGCCTTTGATTTGTCAGGCGCCAATCTTGAGGGAGTATCCATACCCGCAATGCAGTCAGTCAGACGAACGTCCAATCAACGTGGGAGCTCGAGCTCGACTTAATGATACGACGCGACGGACAGTCGTCGAGCACCCGTTCCGTGGTAAGAATAGGCCGTGAATGGAAGGTTCTTGCTAGCCATACGGAGAACCAGATCTCTCTGGCATCTTTTGAGGCTCGTAGGGCTTTCAAAGGCGCTTCAGGACATTGTCCAGTACGTAAGTCGTTGCAGATGGGCAAAGCTTCTGAATCGTCCATGGCGGCTGTTTGAACAAAGGGTCGTCCTGGCACGAACGTCTGCCAATGAGTTAGTATATGCGTTATCGTGGAAGCCCAACGGTGTGTACTAACCTCCAGATTGACACATTTTCTTCGGGCGGGAATAAAAAAACTCTGCCAACGTTTCCAACAAGTCAATTGTGTTGCGGACTGAACGAACACAGCAGAAGGACTAGGTGGCAACCCAAGGAATATTCAAGTTCACGCAATGAGAAACATCTATATGTAGATATCATCAGTAACATCATTCTAGTTTGTGCAGGGAGAGGGCTGAGAAGGAAACGAAGCGGTATGGCAGAAACCCACCTAAAGATCCGCCTCTGTGCAGACTTCGTAGGCTCTGGCCCACCTCTAACGGCGAAGCGCCAAAGATTTGACCGTCCTGCTACAAATAACCAGGTGCGTGCTGAAATGAGCCGGGGACGCAGTCGTCTAAAAGGAATAGTAGACTGCTGATATGATAGTTGAACATCAACATGGAAAGATGTGAACAAGGTCGCGAACAAGCCCAGAGTCCGGAAGGCGGATCGAGAACCCGGGCAGAGCCAATCAATGTGAGAGAATTAATCCCACCAATCCCGACGCTCGCATGACACCACCAACCAAAGTTCACCTGGAGGACGAGTCGGACAAGGGCATCCTCGAGGTCTTCTCAGAAGTTCCGGATTCAATTCCTAGCGAATTGGATTGCATCGTCTAAACGAAAAACGCTAAAAGCATGCGCATGTATTCAGTAAAAGACAAACGAATGTAGACACGGCGGCGAAGGACGGAAGGGTACTGTACGGAGGGAGAATAGCATAAACAAGACGTTCGATAGTTCGTTTGGCGGCGTGGTAGGTTTGAGCGTCGATAAGAGGAAAAAAGAGCAGCTTCGATTGGATTATTACCGGAGGGAACATGCATAAAGAACGTAACCCCCTGCGCACTCGACCCGACTCTCTCAAGCCCCAGACAGCGACGGATGCGGTACCGGAGCTGGAATCGAGGGCAGAGTCTATTTGGATTGAACGAAGCCCTTTCCTGAGTATCCTTCTGATGTAACACCTAGAGATATGGGCAAGCGGAAGTTAGTGATGAGCGCCAAGACGGTGTCGATGAAAAACCCAATAGCACAACACGCGCAACACGTCCATCAAAGAAGGAAAAATGGCTCAAGAACGTAATGAGGACAAAAACACGTACCGCTGAGAGGGTTGAGCTTCATCTCCTTTGCACGCTCGTTGCTGGCCTCTTGCCATTCCTTGGTCATCGTCTTCGGCAGTGGGTTGGCTGGGTGGGGTGTCAGGTCAAATCAAAATGAAGGAGATACACGGAAAAGAACGTACAGTACGCCTGGAGGACGTAATACAGAACGGCGGAGACACCGACGAGACCTAGAGTTGACAGCAAGATCTTCATGTTGTCGCCGGGTTGGCTGGTAGGTGCGCGTGGTCCATGGGGCCCGAACGCCACGTAGTATGCTGCACGACAGGAGCACAAACCGCACGAGCATCAGCATACCCGTGCCCTCCCGCCGGCGGAAACACGAAATCAAAAAGCGTACGCACCGGCCTTCTTCTGGTCGAGCGAGAGCTCCTTCCAGTCCTTCTGCTGCAGCACCTCGAGCTGCTCGTGCACGGAGAGCTTCTCCTCGGCAGACAACTTCTCCCACTGGGCCTCGACGTTGGAGAGGGGTATCGGGGCGACGCGGGAAGCAGCGGAGGAGGACGAGGATGCAGAGGCGACATCGACGTGGTTTGCGGTCGCGGTGGCGAGGCCGCGGCGGGCGACAAGGGGCCGTGCGACGGCGACGGTGCGCGCCAGGCGAAGGGCTTGCATTTTGTGGGTTTTAATAAAAAGAAGATGAGAAGGGCAGCGGTCTAAAGAGGAGAGGCGACTGAGCGGTTGGGAAGGCAAGCGTCAAAATACGGGCAAATCGGAAAAAGGTCTCATGCCCGATTCGGACAATTCCGGGAAAACGCAAAGCCTGGTTCGTAGTCTAGGCGGAGCCCGTCCACTCTACGCTCTCGCATTTCTTATAAACCGGTCACGCTCGTCGAATAGCCATAGGACCATTTATCATAGCAAAGCACGGGTTCAAGATGCAAGCAGGTACGAATATGATACAGTAATCGTAGGCAACACTTCACACCACCAGTTCAACGTACAAGTCGATAAAGTACAGCGACGGGCTTAGGCAGTGCCGTCGGCGGCGGGTCCGGGGCAATCGCGAGAGATGTGGCCTTCAGAGCCGCACGTATAGCATGCGCGCTTCTGGGGTTGAGGGCAGTCGCGGCTGATGTGACCCTGAAACAGAGTCAGCAACTGCTGTCAGAGACGGAAGGAAAAGATAAACGCACAACACCGGAGCAGTTGTAGCACTTCGATCCCTGAACACAGTCGCGGGACAAGTGGCCTACACCACCGCAAGTGTAGCTGCAAGTCACATAAGAAATGGGAAAAATATCGTAGAATGGTCAACACAAGAACACACCAAGACTTCTGGGAACCACCACCACCACCACCACTGAAGGAGTTGTATCCTCCAGACGAGGCTTCAGGGCACGAGCGGGCGATATGGCCGACCTTGCCGCACTTGTAGCACTCGGTACCGGAACCTCCGCTGCTGGTGAATCCTCCTCCGCCGGTAGCGCTGTCGGGGCAGTCGCGGGACTAGACGACGAAGACTCGTCAGAAACGGAACAACGATCAAGGAGGCGGAAGCATAACGCACGATGTGCCCTTCCTGACCACACTTGTAGCAAGCCTTAGCCTTCGTTGGGGCACTGCAATCGCGCGAGACATGGCCCTCGGCACCACCTGTCGTTCAGAGAAACGAGCCCAAGTCAACACCAGGAATACACTGAACAAAAAGAGAGAAAAGGCTCACAGTTGTAGCTTGAAGATTAGAAAGAAAAAAAAGAAATTTGCGTTAGCAGCCACATTGAAGGCAAAGAAAGTCACGAAGAACGACAATGCATGCTCTCAGTCTCAGATAACAACATCGCAACGAGGCTTGAGGAGAGATGTACACATGCTGAATCTTCCGCGACCGAAAAAAGACCATTTACCAGGTAGGAGTTCCAGCTTTGGGGCAGCTTGCAGCTTGATGGCCGACTGTAACGAGCGTAAGACAATCACATCATCCGAAGCAGGCAGACGAGACGAGACGAGAGATTGAGAACAGGGAATGGGAGGGCAATGTGGTTTGGATCGACGGCGATAGAGTGCAGGAGAGCCAATGGTCGAGGAAAAAGGAAAATATATTTGATTCGGTTTTCGACGGTTACGATGAGACTAGGTTCCGCAACGAAACGTAGAAGCTCTCGTGCACGAGAAGAAAACACCGCGTCAAACAAGAAAAAGGGAAAGAAAGGGAAAGAAAGCATCGAGGTCGAAAGGAAGAAAAAACTTCGACGCTTGGCTCCCGCGTAAAGATAGGTCCAAGGCGGTGCAACCCCACAGTGGTCGACGGATGTCGATGACCGCCCATGGCTGCCCATCGAGGACCAAGAAGAAAAGTGCACTAGAGGTGTTGAACCACCAGCGCCTCCCTCCAAGCTTCTCGATCGCCTGCTGCCGCTCATCACGAGCGCCAGGAGCGCGAAAAAGGAGACAAGAAGGATTAAGGATGCAGAGTAAAGGAACAAAGTTGGTGGGGGAAGGGAAGGGGGAGAATCAACGACAGCGACAACAACAACACGCACAACCACCGCAGTTAAAGCATCCACGACCGGACATTTTTTTTTCTACTTCTTCTGTACAGATAAAAACCGTTTCACTTCCTGATCTGCAAGCCAAAACGTCAAAAAGAGAGATCGTCAGCATCGCGATAACAGCCAGATCTGAGACAGAAAGCCAGGGGAAAAGCGAGAGAATGGCAGGAAGAAGAGGCAGATTGGGCGAACGCAGCCCGAGAAAACGGCGAAAAAGCGAAAAACGCAATCGCAGGCGAAGGACCGCCGCGGTACCCTCGAATCTCATCTCGCACCACCGCAGTGAGTGTGACTCGGAGGGTACACGTCTCTGATTGCGTTTTGAAGGACCTTTGCTTGCGGGGGAACCCCCTCTTTGCTCGCACAGCACCAGTCCAAAGCACAAGCGCCGATGTCTCACATCCGCCTGACCCATCCCTAGCCTTCAAAGACGCCCAAAGCCACGAAAAAGCATCAAAGGGAGGAAACGCACCTTCGTCCTTCAAAACAACGCCGTTCGAGCACTGAGCCTGAGATTGGAGAGCAGGGGAGATGGTGGGGGGTTAGGAACGAGCACAAAAATGGACGGGATTTTAAATTGGGTCGCCGGCCGTACCGCCTCCGTTTGTCCGAGGCGCCATGTGGGTTAGCGGGTAGATAACCTTGAATTAGGTAATAGATTAATTGAGTTTTCGGCTAAAACACCGCCTGCGTCGCGGTTCTCATTTATTTTCCCTACATCGAGGGAGTCGTCCCAGGCATGAGGACGAAGAGGTGACTCGAAAAATGCGTGTTCTCTCACAGAAATAACGGCGAACTTGGATGGAGGTCGTGGAGTTGGCCATGAGTGCTGCTAAAACAATTGGCCGACACAGCTTTGAGGGTACAAGGGAGGGAGGAGCAGGAAAACGTGTTGGGTAGAGATTAAGATTGCTCAAAGTAGGAAATGGAGGAGACAAGAAGGACACACAAACGAAGGCCGACCCGCCGCCCTATTTATCGGCCTTCTTGCCCTCCGTCTTCCCAGAACTCGGCTCAGCATCGCCCTCTTTCTTACCCTCCTTGCCCTCCTTGCCCTCGGCCTTCTCCTTATCCTTATCCTTCGCGTCCTTATCCTTATCCTTCTTCTCGCTCTCCTCGGCCTCTGCACGCCCAATCGTCGCCTTGTTATCCACGAGCGCGTGGAGGGCAATCACCGCACGGAGCAGGCTGCTCAGATATACCACCAGCATCTGATCGTTCGTGCTCGAGGCGAAGCTCCGTGTCGCCACAGGGTCCGACAGGTCCGGCAGCAGGTTCAGAGCGTCCTGGAGGTGGTACACGATCTGGTGGTTGACCGGCATCGTGCCGTTGGCGACCTCCACGAGGTACTTTTGGATGTCGGACAGACGGGATTCGAGGCCGCGCAGGGAGGCGAGCTGCTCGCTTACGCGTGTCGCGAGGGTGGTGGTTGTTGAGTCTTTGATATCGCGTAGGAGGTGCTCGACGCCGATTTCCTCGGCCTCTTCTGCCTCGATTGCGGATGGGACGTGTAGGAATGTTTTCCGTGTTTCTGTGCCGTCCTTGAGAAGTCGAATCGTTAAGAAGTCGTCTTTTGTTCAAAGGGAATTCACATACATCTTTGATCTCCTCCACGGCAAAGTAAGAGTCTGTGGGCATGCCGACCGCCCCTGGTCGTACATCGACGATAACCATCACTGGTCGAGCAATAAACCTCTTGAACAGATCATTAATCTCCTGATCTGAGGCTCGTAGTTTCGGTCCTGTATGGTACCATCCAATCATGCGTTCTCGGGCTGTTAAAAGTGGGTCAAAGTTCAGTAATTCGGTGACTCGAGACGTTACAAAAGAAGCACGCACCGTTAACCTTCTTGAACATCTCGTACATCCCCTCGATATAATTGTGGTCCAAGAACCACGTCTTGCTATCCTTCTCATCCTCCTCGAACGGGATACCAAACGAGTTCGCCACGTTTATCGTCTTGCCGTAGTCCTGCCCCAGCAGCACACCAATGACCCTCTTCTGTGAACTCCGCGAGATCGACCGCGCATGGTGGTCCGTCACTGAGAGGAGCACGAGCGGGTGAACAACTAGAGTTCACCAAGAAATTTGAGAGATTAGATAAATAAGCGAGAGAGGAAATTGAAGACATACTGACGGTCGTCCCTGCTAGTGATGTGAGCTAGATGCACGCCATATATGTTAGCAAAGGTCCTTGTATATAAGAAGTTGAGCATCGGCGTACTTGTTCTGTCGTTGTTGCCACCATTGTCGCGCGATATCGTTTTCAGAGAAATGTGCGGTATAATCCCCAAGCTCTAGGCGACGGAAAATGCGACGGACTAACGGATGAAGGAGCTCGAGGTTGTGCTTGAAGCCCACTTTGCGATCCATGACGCGTCCAGACGCGCACGTTGTTTGGCCCTGGTGTGCGACACCTTCTGATGATTTGTCATCACACATTCTGTTTTGTTCCTTTTCCACCATCGCTGTAAGGTCCGCTACCTTACATAACATTACATAACGTCACATATATATAGTTGTCCTCGTCACGTATGTCGGTAGTCTTTCTTTTACCCTCGTACTACGTACTCGTCTTTCTGTTCGTCGCTCTCCCGAATAGAACGAGGTCCACGTCTTTTCCCTAGTGTGATCCCGCCCAGTGTTTCCTGTCCCAGCCACGGCAGGTTTCCAATCGCTTCCTCCGAAATCAATGTCTTTGAACTAAATCTCTCTCTCAAGCCAAGCTCAAGCCCAGGAACAGGCAACCGCAGCTCCAGGTCCATCCATGCAAGAACATAACGAATCATGATGGACGATGTGGCGTGCAGGACCCACAGCGATTCTCCGATTTTCTGTTGTGACAAGATGCTAGCTCACGAAGCTCGCTAAACCTAAACCGCCCACTGTCCTCGTATTCGAAATGGAATTTTGCTGAATTATAACGTCAATTTGGGCCAGCCTTCGAAACTCCTCATAAGCTAGGCTCCGAACGAACGCTTTGGAAGACGTTCTCACATTCGTCTCCATCAGCACTCGATATGGCATTCTCCGGAGACCCCAACGACGTTTTGAATCCATTGACCGCAAAGGCATTCCTACCTCCGACCATCGTCAAAGAAGTGGCCATTGGGACGTACTTTCACATACTCTCTATCGGCTCGATTGGCCCGTTGAAGTTCATGGTGAGGTGAGGTGAGGAATACCCGGCATGGTCCATTTCTGAACACTGGGGTTCGAGACTACTCCAGGGGAATTCCCTGCACCCTCATCTCGGGTCTTCAAAATGCTGACTCTCGTATTGTAGACTTTAATATGGGATATCGTGAATAATCTATGCAATGACTATCGGCTCCTCACCAAGCATCGCGTCGCATTGCCTGTTGTCGCGTATTTTGCGTCGAGGTAAATTGTTTCACATCCATAATGATCTGCGCGACTCCTACTAACGCATTCCACAGGATCTCCCTATTGGTTTTTGCTGTAGGGAGAGCATGTACCCTAAGTACAGCCACCAAACATTTCTGTGTAATCCTTGTGCTGATACCAATTCGTAGCCGTCGAAACGGATACTTGCAGGAAGCTTGTTTTGATATTCTGGTCGGTCTTCGCAGTTTGCCTGTGGTTTACGTCGCTGCTCTTCTACGTGCGTGTCTGCGCCGTGTACAACAACAACCGGTTCGTCATCGCATTCTTCGGAATTTGCTAGCTCGCCATGGACGGAATGACATGCTTCGTGCCAACCATGCTCGACGCTGTTGACATCGGACCTACGAAACACTACTTCGAACTCATCGTGCAAGACCTGCCGCAAGTCTCATCCCTCATTGCGTACCTCATCAACGACACCACATCGTACCGATTTCTATCAGCCCTGTAACCACGAAGGGGGCATCTTTTCCAAGATGCATTCGCAGTCTCGTCTGCAGTGCATCTGTTCTCATTTTCGAGAGCGATATTGCATGAAAGCTAATTGTATTATCCGTAGCCCCATCAGAGGGTACGTGTCTCTTTTATTCCCTCCTAGACCAGCTCAAAAACTCATCTGGGCTCAACTGTAGAACACTGCGCTACTAGTAAGCCAATTCTAAAACCCTTTAATCATTGGTGGTCCCTAGGCTCGAGCTGGCTGAAGTCAATAATATCTCGACGTACAACATGGCTTAAACGCTCAAAAGAGACTCCGGCTCCATGCAACACTCTGAATGGCAGTCCTCAACTTGTCCATAATTACCTTCCACCTTCGGTTCTCTCATGCGATGTAAGTGGCACACTTGGTGTTCAACGATAAGACCAGCTCGACTAACGTGTTTCTTTAGCCCCATTATCTCCTGGATATGGCAGAAAGACGGTCAGAGATACGGATCAGTTTGAAGATATATTGAAACAACACTCAGACATACTGAAGCAAATCCAAAGACTAGGACGAAACGTCAAAAGAAGAGGTCTCTGACCACAAAGGCGATCCGTTCTTCTGCTACTTCGGTTGCAAAAACCCTCGGCGATAGGACCCTGTGGAACTACGCAACGCAGCGTCCTGATCTGGATTTCACAATGAGTATATCATGTCTCTCCGTCTATTGAAACAGGTGGAACTTACATATCATCCGTAGTCCTTCCGTAATATGTGTACGGGCCATGTGAGAAGGTTATGACCATACCAGGAGCTCCCGGAGACATGGGCACGAACACCTTTCCATACGTCCTTATAAGCGGCATTCCACCACCCCTCAGCCCCCGTTTGTGGCCGACGTCCGGGACGTCCCCCGGGCACATGTTGACGCAATCAGACTTAAGTCTTCCACCGACATTGCATCGAAGTGTTTCATCGTCAATGCCAGTAATTTGCCATGGATGGATCTTGCCGCGCACCTTAAGAAGACGCGTCCAGAAGTTAATCTGCCACCACTTGAGGCACTCCCTGACCTGCCCGTGCCTGCCCCTTCTGGAGAAGGAGATTGTGTTACTATTTTGGATGGTAGTAAGGCGAAGGAGGTATTGGGCATTGGAGAGTATATAGACCCGAAGAAGACGAAGGAGGATACGATTGACGCATTGGCGTTCACGAAAGAGTTGGGCGCATCGTTCCTGCAGGCCCTTCTTCAAAGTTTGTCGGAGAAGAAGGGGCCGTAGAGCGCATAAGTCGTCGCAGCTATGGGTCACATAAGCGGGGAGAATTTAGAATTACGTTCATCTCTTTCGGATGGTCATGAAGCCTTGCGAGAAGTCAAGACGTACTGCGCAGTTGGATATGAATGGTCGACAGCGTCCCTTTCACGGTCATTATCCGCGTGGCCTCCTCGGGGACTTCCCTGATCGATACGCCAGATTACAATCAAGTCAACTCCGACCACGGGCGCTTATTTTTGGTACATAAAACACCCTGCGGTTCAATTGGTCCCAGCCAACAACACGGCACTTCACCATGTCTTCCATCGCCACAGCACGCCGGGGTCCCGACATGCCGCCAAACGCCGAGGTCGTCCAAGCTTTGATGCGCCTTGTCCAGCAACACCTTCCTGGCGTGTCTCTTGCTGGAGCGATCACAGTCGAGGTTGTACATCGAGCCATCGATGTAATCAAGAAACACATTTTATCCATCTTGGGAACCGGATTCCTCACTGCAGCTGCCGCGACCCTTCTCCCCTCCTTGCTTGTCGTTGCGGTCAATGCCATCGGATTTACAGCTGCAGGAGTGCTCAAAGGTAAGAGACCCACCGGATATGCTTTGAAGATGACACTTACCTGTATATATGCGCACTAGGGACCCTGGCAGCCACTCTTCAGTCTATGTTCTGGGGAGCGAACACTGGCGGAATTTTCTCCGGCTTGCAGGCCTTCGGAGCAACTGCCGCTATCGCATCGCCTGCAGTGATTGGCATCGGAGTTGCATTTGGAGTTATCGGTGCCGGACTATTGGGCTATAGGTGGTACAAGAAGCGTCAGGCGCGTGCCATCGCAGCCGCTGCCAGTGGTGGGAGCGACGACTCTGATGATGACCAGAAGACTTCGAAGAGGCAGGTGGCAGTAAGACAGGTAAGTTCTCGTTCAAGTATTCATTTTGAGCACTATACCAATGGAAGCATATGATAGAGAACCAGTCTCTTCGATTTGTTCCGCCGTCGCCCCAAGGTTGATTAGACGAACACGAGCAGTGAATAGGATTTAAGCGGGTTCTGCTTTTCATTCTTTCGTTAAGCGTACTTGATGCAATTCAGACACAATGCAGATAGAGAATATTCATTAGAACAGGTTTTTATTGCGCAAGAGGTGCTAGAGATTCGTGGACAGCCGCGACAAGAGTTTGAACACCGGTTGGGAGGAGATTTCCAGGAGTAGAGATGCATCGACACGCACAGGCTGCCAAGGTCTACATCGTAAAGGATGTCTCCAATATACATCAGTGAAGAGAATCCTACAGAAGCGGTACAGATAGTTAAAGAGATGAGGGTTGTAGCGAGAAAGGAAACTTTGAGAACGAGTCAATGACAGGATTTAGGAAGAGGTGCATGTGGACATTGGCGATTGCGGCCAAAACGGGTCGACAAGACCAGGAACTTCTCAAACCTCAAGAAATAGTGTAAAAGCGACTCTTTTGGGAGTTACGCTACTAGGAGAGTCGTATATTAATAATTATAGTTTCATACATTACAAGTGCTAAGTGATCGTACAGGAAACATAGATGGTCTGGTCGGAGGAATGCAGGAAGCTTTTTGTCCGAATCTATCCAGCTGAATTTAACTGGTACGAACAGCTACAGGCCAATCTTTTAGCTCGGGCGCTGTCACATGGAGGAAAGACTCACCAATTGGCTGCTTTTCCCGCCTAGATTTCTTGCCCTTCTTGGCCGTACGATGACCAGTGCGGGAATTCTCCATTTCCCGTATCATCGCCGGGATATCATACATCTGGATCAATTCGTCGGCGGTTACCAGCTTCGGCTCGCTCAACTCGTTTGTGGGTGCCTGAGGCGGCATCGGCGTGCGCATGTGCTCCAAGGACGATATGATTGCGCTTACATCGACGCTGCCTTGATTGAAAGAGCCGTAATTACTGTTGTTGTTCGAATGACTGACGATCTTGGAGGATCCAGAAATCTTCGCCCCCTTGAACGATTGATCGACACGACGGGGTGGCTGAGAGCTGGAGGTCGAAGCGGTAGTCGAGGCAGGGATGTTGTTGAAGCTACCATAGTTGTCATAATTGTTGGAATGGTTGACAATCGTCGAGCCTCCGGTTATAGTGGAATCCATGAATGATTGGTCAACAGCATTGGATGAGCTCGAAGAGGCGGCAGTTCCATTAAAGCTGACGACGTTGTTGTGGTTATTCGCATGATTCGTGATGTCGGTATCTTCGATGGTAGCATTGGCGAAGGGAGAGTCGACGAGCGGAGCATTGGAATCTTCTTCTAGGAGGGCTCTCGCCTCGAGGTTCTCCTTCGTCGACTCTTGCAGATCCTTGATCATATGTTGCAGCTGATCCATTAGAGGCTGATTCTGGTCTTTGAAGAAATCGACGCCGTTCCGGATGGCGAAGACGTTACGAAGCTGGAGAATTCAGAGAACAGCAGGCCAATGAGACGTTGCTATAGAATGGACGGATAGAAACTCACATAAAACTCCTGGAATATGGACTCAAGCTCTCCTTTGATCGCCGCCATCTTCTGTGCGTTGACATTCGGAAACAGCAGCTTTTTCCACCACTTGGTTCTTGGGTACTTCTCACACATCTCCTTCAACGTATTTAGGTGCCTAGTCGTAGCGTATCAGACCAACGATCATCACTACGGATGAAGAAGGATAAAGAGAGGGCGTACGCGATGACATCCATGACATGCTTCTCCAGCTGAGCGCTTATGGGCTCATTCTTGCACTCGTCCGAGAAAATGATAATAATCCCACAGATTTCCTTCACAAGACCTTGGAAGCCATCTTCCACGTCGCTCATGCTCTATCAAGGCGGTCAGCGACAATCAGGCAGGAAATGTGGATCGTCATGCCATACCAGGATTGTCTTGAGGAGATTGCTCGCCAGTCCAGAAGCTTCTTTGAGGTACGGAACAGGCGCGAAAGTCGTGACTGTGTCGAGGGCGGATAAAACCAGCTCCGTGGCCGCGACAGCATATTCTCCAGGTGTATAGTCAAAGCCCTTCTTGTCAACGGCTGGGGTTTGGTCATCAGAGGTGGTTTCGGGGGGTCGCTGGGTTGCAGGTGGGGAGCTCTTTCGGCGGGAGGAGCGCCAGGATGTGAAATTTCTCCGGAGGCTCATGGTGAGATAGGATTGGGGGTCGGTGAGATAATTGGTGTTGGTTGGGACTAGCACTGCCGTGAGTTGGGACGAAATAGATTAAGAAGGCGTACGTACGCCCACAAGGCTATTCACTGGTACACTCTTTTGTCTTTGCTATGCAGCTGCACACTCTGTATTTATGGAGTCGACAATGGGCACCCGGGAGAGAAGAATTGATAAGAAGAACCGACGTACACAGAGAATGAAGCGAGCGTGGGCTGAGTACGGCCATCCTTGTTTGAACGAGCGAAATGAGAACAATACCAGGCGTTGGAGGGTAAATTCGGTGAGTTGTCTGCCCTGTAACATCAACCGTGTGGGCCCTGGAAGTTGCCACCGTGTCACCGCTGTCACGTAAAAAATGCACCAGACAGCCGGCTCACTCCACCCAAAAGAGCCTGTACAGGCCATTTGAGCCCCATATTCCAAGTTAGTATGCTAGGTTATTGTTCTCTTATTTCTAAGGCGCCTTGCGGCTGGGATGGCGGCATTTCAGGGAGCACAAACAACGGGCGATCAAACCTAGTTGGATAGCATCGGGGTCAGGAAGCAACGTGGTTGATCTTCCGTGATGTGATGACACAATACACGAAAAGCGCCTCCCCATCGAAGGGAGCACCACCGCTTCTCTTGCTCACCTGGACTCGATCGGTGTACCAAAATCACAGTGCCATCTGCGAGTTAGCGCTCGAGGACGTGAGAATTACTAAATATAGCAATTCCCGAAAACTTTCCTAAAGGAGCCATTTTTACGGTGCGCGCCGGTGATCAAAATCACGACGATAGCCGAGATAGGCACAGTGAGGAAGGTATTCACATCGAAGTACAACGCGTGATACATCGATTGTGGGCATCAAATCGCGCAGAATTTGCAAGCCGCCTTTTCCTGGCGTTCCCAGATGAAGGCCCGAATCGTTGTCGGATGGGTGTCAGAGTTAAACAATGTGGCGTTGCAGCCTATCGACCACTTGTCAAAGTTGCCAGTTGGAACGGTTTCACTATTCAGCCAACAGGAGCGAGAAGGACAAGCAATGGACTTGCATTCCCCCTTTTGGAAGTACGGCATGACTCCGAAGGAGATTGCAGATGTTAAATCTTCATAAGAAATGAAAGGCCCACGCACTATCCAGATGTCGTCCTTCATGATATTCTACTAGTAGGCTAAAAATTGGAAAAGTGTATCGAGCTTCGTGTCAGTTCCGCGATGGGATGGAAAGGGAGAGACTTGCCAAAATTAGACCCATGTCATCCCTTCACGGTGATCACATCGACGTTGAAACTCCGCGAATACTGTCGGATCTCGACGACTGCAAGTAATTTCGAGCCCTAGCGCCGACATTAATAAATATTGAAGCTATGTACATACACAATAGAGAGGACAGATTGTCAAGACTTTCGTATAGTTGGCGTTCGTGTTTTCTTCGTCTTCCGCGTCATTCGCGAAAAGACGGAAATTTTGGACATGAATGAGGACGTCTCTCCAGCACTTCGTGCGGTCGGCCCACGACCTTGCCTTGGGTCGTAAACGAGCTGGACTCCCCGGATGGCGACGCATTGGTTCTTCTGGCCACTTTTCGCAGTTTCATCCGGGCCGGTGTTCATCCTGAGGCCAGTGTCGAAAGTGTACGAGTACTGCGGAGACGAGGACTGACACGTTTGCACCGTCGCCTTGATCTCTCTGCGCTGTTGTGGTGCGGAGCGCTCCATATAGTCGATCCGGTCTGTCGTCAAGACAGAGAACCAGGCAGAGGCTTTCCACACGTCGGTGACCAGGACGAGGGACTTGTTCCAAAGGCGGGCATCGAACTTCTCCGAGAGTGGCTGGCCGTCGTTGCCCATATTCTTGTAGCAATACCACGAGGCGACGTTCCTGTCAGCAAATTGCAGGACGTGGGGTATGTCTCCTGTGTCGATCCAGAACTTCGTCCCGCCGTCTGGAAGGTAGAGCCCACAGCTGTAGTCAGGTGCGTTTATCGACATTGAAGGTTGAGAGGAACAAGTCCACCGCCTACTGAATTTCATGTCAACACGCATGTTAACCAACAACAAGATACTTACCTTTCGCCAGATGATGAGATCGAAACCTTGGAAGTCATACCGGAGGCGTCGTTCCAATCCTTGATGATTGACTCAACCTGACATGGAGCTGGTCCGTAGGCAGAAAAATCGGGCGGAGGGTCTAAGCCCTCATCGATGTTCTCCTGCAAGGTCTTGAAGATATTGAATTTCGTCTCGAATCCGCCCTGTTTGTTGAACACGCCAACATCGCCAATCACTATTTCCCTGCACGTCCTCCCACTCGGTGAGGCGCTCCATAGGGGAATAACGTCCTTCTCCAGGCGAGGAAGGGACTTCATATACATGGCGATGTTCGGCGGTGTGTGCTCGGGCAGGGGTAGATCATTCTGAGGTACAATGCATGTTCGTGAATTGCTCGAAAAGGAAGAAAAGAGAGAGAGAAACCAACGCACGTCATGAGTTACTTCCTTCATCTTCACCTTGTATTGGGGATACAGCCCACGCCCCATACTCTCGCAATATCCATCATCTCGAAGGCGCCGATCCAGTCTTGCTTGACTCATAGCGGATTCTTTGACAAAAGTCAGGGAGGTGAAGGCGCGAGAACAGCTGCTTCACGTACGAGATTCTGCGGAGGGCGGTTGGCTGAGTGGTTGGCTACCAGAGCTTGTCGATATCCGTGGTCGTGGTGTAGTCGGCTCTTCGATCTGTTCTGGAGAGCTGCGTCCCTCTTGCTATCGCAATGGCCTATAGGTCAAATACAGTCCACCCCAAAGACGCAGTGCGGGACCTACCGCTGACGTCGAGTTCTCCAGGTGCGTCTCCTCCTTTCTCGATGCGAGTTGCGCCTTCTAATAACTGGACGTGAGCACTTTTACTCTGGAAGAGAATTAGGAGCTGACAATTGATGCGGATTCATGAATGGCGTAAAGGCCTAGCTGCTTCATGTTGAGTATCTTCGAAGCTATCGGGGTTTAGTCCCAGTTGGTTTCTCGTGTTCAAGAGCCTACTGACCATCGCCGAGGTTGATAACTAGATTATGGTTATGATACGTGTTGTGTGCATTGACAAGGCTGTTCGAATTGTTGTTGTTGCTCGCCTGTAGAACATTGCTGTCGTTTGCTTCAAGCCCAGAAAATCGCTGGACTTCGTCGGCCGGCATGGTATACTGTTCCATGTCAGTAGCGAGCCCTCAGAAAATAAGAAGAGCAGTGAAAAACTACCGTTCCAAGATATATCAATGGTGGTAGAGTAAGGCAAGTATTAAGGGAACTTCACGAGCTCACAGAATTAAACCAGATGGTAAAAGGTGGAAGTATGACCAGATATTCGAAGCGCGGCTCTTTCGGACGACTTCCACTTATATTCACCGTGAACGTAATTTCGCCGTTTGGTGATGATACATATGCCCCCGTTGTACATTGTGGGTCTTGTTGGTTTGCCATAACTTGAACAAGGTGCATTAGACGCACGGCACGCACCTCACGCAAAGGAGGCGGTTCCGTGACGTAACTTGGAAACTAGCTCCGATCTTCCACAGCGATAGAGCGCAAACACATTGGACAGGTGTCTGGTAAGAAAATCGTTATTGTTCCCCGGCCCGCGTGAGCGAGCTCCCACGGTTCATAAACCCAATTTGGTCGTCAGTTGAACCGACCCATACATGCCCCCGCCTACAACTTGCGTCCCAAATGCTCTGTGGGACGCGCAAACCTCCAGAAGATTCTCAAGATGCTGAAACGAGCAGCAGTGCTTCTTATCGAAGTGTGTGCCATTCTTCTCCATGATCGGCGCGTCTAATCATGGTACATTGAAGGTTCAATAAGAGGAGAACATGAAGGGGCTGAGGATCATCATTTTGCTGTCTATTGCCCCGTCTCACAGACGCTGAGCGCTGGTTCTGTCTATGCTCTGTCTCTCATGTCGTCGGGAAATGGGTTTGCTCCACTGGAAATGCTCGGAGTGCAAGGGCAGTCCGACAAGCATTTCGAGCAAGGAATTTCCATTGGCGACGTTGGCTACTTCCACAAGAACGGAAGATTCACATACCTGTTCAACATATTTTACCCGGCAGACGATCCCATTCAGACTCGACACGTCCCACGCAAATTCAGCCCCGTTGGACCACTATCCGACTGGGAGATCCAAAAAATCTCCGACCACTTTGCGCCTGGGGCTGTCGTTGCCAGCGAAGGCGTCCAAGTTACCCAGACGTCTGAACCACCGAGGTATCATTGATTTCTATGCACCCATTCTCCTTTGATTGATCTGCAAACAGACAGATTCGTTTTTCGTCATCGGCACGCGAAGGTGCTGTAGTCGTCTTCCCCACAGGCGGCGCTCGAGAGGACCTCGCTGATACATCCAAACTGTATCCATACATCAAGGAGCACGCGGTCGACTGGTACCAGTCTCGCAACCTCTATAGTGGCAGTGAGAATATTCTCCCTTCACCCCCAGGAATGAACGGAACTCTCTTTGTTGTGACTGGCACCGACAGGGCAACTTCATGTGCTACTGCGTTGTTTCCGATGGATCCGGACGTCGCAATCACTTCTCATTTATTTGAATACGATGAATCGTTAGAGAATGCGTGGGTTGCAGAGATCCCTTCCGCGAGAACCACGTACGTAACAGAGTCCATGCAACCCGGTCAACGCTATTCGATATTCCTCCGTGGGATCACCATAGCCTTGGGCGCACCATCTTGGTTGAGACACCTTCCTCATATACCAGCTGAGGATGTTCCTGTATACGTTGCTCTTGCAAAGCCTCTTCTTCCGCCGCAGGGTCGTATAGGTGCCCTTCTTGAGCAGCTTAGGGGTCTTGACAAACTCGCTTTTCCGACGAACTCCAAGCAGGTAAGTGCGCTTTGAAATCTTTGGCCTTAATTGTCTCACTTTTCTATTTATGCAGGTCATGTTCCATCCGGCAATGGTTCTTCTACAGCTTATGATCGATTATGTGCGTAATGTCATTGATATTACTTCACATTTATCCTGAAAGGTACCAGGAGCCCTCTGTCGACGTGGCCATTGTGGAGGATTCAACGTGGTGCTCCCTGGTCGGCGGTGTACGTCGGAATTCCCAATTGGCGAAACTGAGGGTTAACAAACGATCTAGCGGAACCTGACGCATCCCCAAGTCGTTGAGCTCTTGAAGAAGGTTATTCACTCCTACGAGATCTCCATTGCCGATGGTACGTCAGTATGAACCCAATACGGTTCCATTTGCTGAATTCCCGCCTCTAGGAATCGCAACTCTTGTCGAAAAGCCAGAACAAAAGGTGCAACCTCCTTTGTCTTCACCATTTCTCTATTACTGATTCTCATGACCAGACGCGCCCATCTCTACATCTTGTGTTGAAAAGTCTCCTGCCATGGGCCAAGCCCGTATCATTCCAGAAGAAGGCCTTACGTACTCTGCCCGCCATTCTCCATCGGCCGCGGTCACGATAACGCTTCAGTCCTCGCTTTTGCTTCGATCTTGTTGTCGTGGGATATAAGTTGGAATTGCGCAGATCTAATCTAGTACTATACTGCTCGCCCTTGTAGATAGTCTCCTTGACGAGTTACGAATGCTTTCACATTGCTCTCAAGCACGCCGTTGGCGGAATGTCATGCCACCATGCAGACGAGTGAAGCAAGTCGTAAGGAAGGCGTCGATTAACTCCCGCGCTGTAAGTCGGTGTAAGCGAATACACATTACGATGCATCGTCCAGGAAGTAAGGAGTTTGAATCTCCATGGGAGGTTTGAGGCTGAAAAAACGGTCGCAACAATGATTATACTTTTCTTAGGAGTGCGCGGCTTTCAGTGAGTTCTCGGATAGCCCTCTGTCAAGTTCTACATATATGCTTACTGAGTCTCTCTGTCTCTCAGGTATGCAACCAGCGATTTTTGAGGGGTGAGAGGAAACTAGTCTCGCGATCTCCGTTTCTTCACCAAATTGTCTATTCATTTTGCCTACCATCGAATGCCTGACAAGAGATGGATTCAAGAGGAGACTACTCTATCTGATTCTCGATACGGGTTTCGAGCAGGACTGAAATTCAGCTGCAACTCGAAAGAGGATCCTCTTTTGTTAATTTTCGTCCGGCAGAAATCTGGGTATGTCAATGTTCTACCTTCAACATAGATAAACGATATTGTGCTTTAACGATTTTTACGTCCCCAGGCCCTTGGGGTCACCACATCTACAACTAGACTTAGACACACGCCAACTGGAGTCCTAATACGTTGTTGCTCATGGAGTAGTATTACTGTAGCTGGGGGAGGATTGATATTGATCGTAAGCACTCGGGGCGTCGTCGTGACTCGTCATCGAGGCCAATAGCAGAAGAAAAGCAATCGCTTCGGCGATAGATGGAAACTGGGAGCTGGGAACTAGAAGGACTTTGTCGGCGTTGCGAATGGAGGACAAGGTTCAGGTGGTGCACATGGTTGTGTCACTCTGGTGGCGCTGTCACAATGCTGAGCATCAGTGGCTGCACCAGATTCCCGGTCGCAGAATCACCCATCAAAGGTCCGAAATTAGGGGGGAAGGCGAGAACAACAAGGGGAGCCCCACTGACGATTCTTGGGAACCACAAAGACGAGTAGAGAGCGCTCGAATCTGACTCGAGCATTGAACCTTCCCAATCGGGACAGAATACGTATCGCCAAGCACTGCCGTAAAGCGCGCCGGCAGCAGTGTGCACTGAGTGTTGCGCGAGTCTGATTGTCGCTGACATCTCGTTTACTGTAGTCTACACTCCCCGTCTTTGCCTCAAACTGAGTGAGTCTCATGGGCGCCTAACTGAGCAGCTTATATAAGGCTTGGCGATCGACTCGAAGCTCGATAAAAGGGGTAATAGTTTCCACAAATAGACTGACGACTTTCTACAACTAATGATCGACAAGTATCCAGGACTTCGATTGCCTATGATAATTAGGGCTTATTAAGTTAACGAGGAAACACTGTGTATACAACTCAGTGGGTCATCAATCAAAGGGAGGTCAGATACTAACCTTCATTAGAGATCCTGAGTCTTGCGGCGACCTTGCTTCTTGGGCTGGCTACCATAAGACACGTACGAGATCTGATATCCCATCGGTCCCATTGGGAACATGGGCCCCATATGGCCCATCGGCATCATCCCGGGAGAGCCCATCTGCGGCATTCCGCCACCCATTCCACCAGCCATCCACGCGGGGAACACGCCATTAGAAGAGACGATCGCGTTGGTGTTGTTCGAGTTTGAGTTCTCCATAAACGAGCCCCCGTTGCACTTGATGTTCCTGTAGGTCTTGCTCTTCTTCGACGAGTCCGCAGGAGTGCGTCTCGCGGTCGGCTCAACGGGGCCGAAGTAGTTGTTGCTGAGGGAGTCAACGAGGAATTGATCTCCCGGCCCCAGTTCGATGTTCTCGTATACGTCGCGAGGGGCGTGGTGGGTGGGTGTGTCCTCGTCGGTGGACTCGCTCTTCTTGTCGGAGGCGTCGGAATCGGAGTCGTCGGATTCGGTGGCCTGCGCGTCCTCAGTGTTGATGTGGCGGGTGTTGGCGAGGACGAGGGCTTTGTTGGATGCCGGTTCCGACGGCAACTTGAGCGACTTGGAGAGCATGGAGGAAATTGTGTCGACTTTGGCAGACATAAGTAGGAGTACAGTTGAGTTTAAGAGACGAGGGAGTTATTGGGAAGACTTAGAGGATTGTTGGAGAGATGTGTCGAGTGTAGGCTGATGAGGATGTTCTGAGATTCAGCGCCATTTTATATTCAAGTCCAGACATACGTTATTTCGCTCGCCCGCCTCCGGTCCACATTACGACGGCAAAGTGCAACAATGCGCGGTGTGCAAGCGGAACAAGAAACACAATAGTTTCCAGGAGTCACAGATGCTGGCGTGTGGACCCACACAAGGTTGTCAAGGCATGTGGGGGTTACATTGTGGGTTCTGCCAGACGTCTGGTATGGTGAAGACCGCTCGCTTACGACTGCCGAGGCGTCCACTCTTGGTTATTGTTGTCTTGTGGAGCAGTAACACCACATACCGCACCATTATTGTTGTTTTCGAATACTTTGACGTCCTCATGTTGTGAGTTAGGCCCTCTGTAGCCAGCGCGAGTAAGGTGGTGCATCCAAAGGTCTGAATGCTGACGAGATATCGTACCCGCTAGGCCCCCCATGGTTTTATGCCAATCCTAGAACAAAGTCAGAAACTGGCTCGTCGGTTTGAGAGCATGAGCAAGCGCGCACTGGGGCAACAAGGTTGATGGCAGGGTGAGATCTTCGAAAGCATTCGATCTGCCTGAGATTCCCGGTGTTTTCGGAGATGGTCTTATCTTATCTCCTTGCACAACAACAAACGTGCAACCATCACGTCCGCTGCACCAAGTTTTCGGGCCTTGTCGGTGAGGTAAGGCACAGGTACAGACGCCTCCGAGTCGTTTGCATGTTGTTCAATAAATCCATCATGCAGTCCCCTCGGGGAACCTTCTTCACATTTTGTTCAAGCCCCTCTCTGGTGCACTTTCATCCAGTGTACGCCGACAAGCACCTCTAGTGCACCTCAGTCCAGACCACAAAGCCTTTCTACGCCTTGACGCGCTTCCCTCATTTACACGTCAGGACCCAAGCTTCAAGTTTCAAAAATGACGAAGGGAGCCGGGATAGTCAGTGAGTAGATATAAGCTTTCCCTTTCTTTTTTGCGTGGCTCACGAACATTGTTATAATGCGCCTCAGATACCCAGAGCTCTGGCAACAAGCGCAACTACAAGAGTTTCTCGACCAACAGTCATAATCGCACCATCGTTCATCATCACAATACCAGCATACATTTGAGCCCCCTAGAAGCCGCCCAGCTTGCATCTTTAAGTCAGGCTATGCGCTCTGTGCTCGACGTAATGTCCGAGGGGCGTAGTGGAGGTGGCACTCTGGAACCCAACGATTCATCGGTATGCCCATTCGTTGCTTCAGCAATCTCTCAATCCTGACGAGAATGGTAACCTGAAGGGCGCTGTTGGCACATCCACTGAGGATGAAGACTCCGTAAGAACCTTTTAATATAAGTCGAAGTGTGCTCTGCTCACCATCCGCGTTTCGAAGACGTCCGAATCCAGCCCAAGCTCTTCTCCAGACCGATTCTCGTTTACACCAGAGACTGAAGATGAGGCAGATTCGGTGCCTCAAATACCAGACGCATTGGGTTGGGTTCCTTCGGAATGTGCGAATCCAACGGTCCTGACAAGTCGATCGGCCTCAAGCTCAGAATCCAGCGTCAGCGCACCAAATCATCGCCAGGCCCTTAGCGATTATCAGGAGAATTTAATGTCTCGACGGCCTCGTAAAGGTGTTGCGCCATTCTACCACTCCATTGTCGAAGCTCCAGCTAACTTCCAAGTTATTCAGCCGTCCGAGGTGTTGACATAAAGCTTCTCTCCATCAAGGTAGGCGTCGAATCTAATGTAAATCAGTATCAAAATTGGATGATACTCTCCAGTCTCCTTTGTTTCTTCCGCTGGATACGCCAGAATACATCCGGCAGTACATGCGCTCAGATTTTTGGTTCTCGCCCTTCGTAATCCCGTTGTGGAAGACATGTCCACATGACAGCCTGGGCACTGGGAAGAACATCGAAGTTGGCGACGTCGGAGTGCTCGACTCTCAAGGGGGGTTCAAGACTGAATTCAACATCTTCCTGACGGAGGAAGAGAACGCCGGCCTTGGCTTCCGCACTCCACCAGATTTTCAACCACTGGATCCGGGGGTCGTCCCGCAATCGGAAGGTGTTCTTCCTGGGTGGCACCAAACATCAAGGCAGGATACCGTGGCTCGGAAGACAGAGTAAGTACGTGCGTGCCGTTTCTAACTCGTTCTAACGATTTTATTCAGTTCATCAGAGCTAATTTTTACGTCGAAACCGGACAAAGAGCGACGACACAAGTTATCCGCCATCTGCCTGCCGCACGGTGCCGAATGTCAGAACGTCGTACTCGGTGACCTGGGCATGCCTATATTGAAGGAGTACGCAAAGGACTGTGCTATCTCATGGTATAACCATCTTCACTCAAAGCTCAGGGTATACGACACCCATTCGAAGACACCCACACCACTCTCATGCAAATCCCTTATCCTGGTTACGGCGACGTACACCGCACCTTCTTGGGCGGCCGCAACCACCTCCCCTGTATTCAGGTCGAAGGGGCGCAAGAAGATCAAGCTGTGCCAGTCGCCCGCGAGCGAATATGTCCCTGTGTGGGACCAGGTGTCCGAATTCTTCACAAATAGTGGCCCAGGACTCGACGATCTGGATGAGACGGGGAAGCCACCGAATGCTGGGTACTGCGTTGCGATCTCTGGCGTGGAGATGCAGTATGATGCTAGGTTTTACTGCAGAGACGGTCCTTTTTATAGCAATCTGCCACCAGACGAGCCCGATGATGACTCTGAGGGCGAAGTATCTTTTTTCATGGCTGGCGTTCGGAACTTTTTGGCTGCCTCCATTTGGTGATCAGGGCGTTGGACGAGGGCCGGGGCAAATGGGTATTATACTATTTTTTGAGTCTGGGTCGACTACAATAAAAAATTATAATTCAGAGGTCTTCCTACAGCCGTGTTCTGTCTTGGACAGACTTATCGGGGGATGATGGATGTCGTGCATAGGTTCGGCAGTTGTATTTTTAAGCGCCGGATCGGTATTCCAAATATGGAAATGCTTGCCTCTTTCGTGGGAATTTCGGCCACCATCCCCGGACGTCTCAGCAAGTTGAAGTGAGTAGCATATTCTCCGAATCCGAAGCGAAGTCCAAAGACCAATACATGGATCCTGTGAGTTACTTGTCTACAAGAATTGGAGTCTGCGCTAGCTACTCCTGGACAAGGCAGTTGCGAAAGACGCCAGAGAATTGAACCTCCAACGATCCGTCTGCTCCGGCTTAAAATCGGCTTGTAGTCCGCCTATCGCAATGCACTGACCTCCCACTGCCTTTCCGTCGGCGTCGAGATAATCCTTGCCGGGGCCTGAGTTTGGCCACATGTTGATGTCGTACCTCCAATCGAAGATGTCTTGCCGCTGGTCAGGCTTCTTCAGTACTGCTGTAAGGCTCACCAACCGTCGGAATTTGGTCCGGCTTGAGAGGTACGCCCAGCTGTTAGCTTTGAGAGTCTGGAGAACAACAATGAAGGTATCGGGCCGTTGGAACACTGAGTTAGGCATCCAGCCATCAGGGCTCGAGGACCTGAACCATGATGGTGCATGGAGCTGGATGTAATTCTTCACGAGGGCTCTTTGACCCGTTTCTAAGAGAAGATACTTGTGTCTTGCACCTTGAGGGACGTATATGGCTGAGCCTTTGTGTCTGAGCGATGTATCTGGTCGAGATTTTATCCGAAGAATAACACTATCGTCGGGGTGCTGTTTGAACGTTCCCTTGTTCGCCAATCCCAAGAGCTCATGTGTTGTGGGGGTGGAGGACACCCAGTCAAGGGCCATCGGGATGGGCTCGAACCCAGGTGGTGTTCTCAGATGTCGAGCCCAGTTGCCTTCTTCTGATCAGAGGATGTTGAAAAGCGTACGAAACCTGCCGTGGTTGTCGAGAACCCCAAGATCGCCGACCTCGATGTCCATCCGGATCGGCTCCCTCGAGCATGGACATTCCAGGTTTGAGGCGACGTTCCAGAGGTACACCAAGTTTTGCGAATCCATGAACGATGTGTTCATGAATTGGGAGATGTAGAGAGGAGTGTCTTTTGGAAGTGGGATGCCACGCTGCCAAAAAAAATCTGGACTTGGGAGAAGCTCACAACAGATGACAGCGATGTTTACCTCATGCGAGAGGTTAGTGACCCTCAGTTCACCTGGAAATTGTTGAGATGTTTCATTCTCCACGAATTTCATTGCCCATACCTCCACTTTCTAAGCCAGAAAATAGGGAACTCTGGGCGGAGGTCCCGGCATCGTTTTGTGCTGACCCAATCTTCGTAAGATAAGGGCAAAGTGGCTGCTTTCTAAGCCAATAACCCAGGATAGAGCTTTGGGGCTCGCTTGCGTTATCAGAGACACTCAGTCGAGCTATAGAAGCAGCAAATGTTTGGTTGGTTGTGGGGGTGGGCGTCGAAGGCTCCTGATCCTGGAGCGCTTGAAGGTCAGAACACCCTTCGAAAATACTCTGATGAACTTGCCGGCGCTCTGAGCGTACGGGTAGAGGACTTCCGGAATAGAGAGGGTTCCTCTTCGTCGTCGGATGTTGACTGATGTACAGAAATCAGTAAGGGTACACAATGAGATCGAAAAACGAACCTCCTCAGCTGCGTCGGTCTCGTCTATGGTACCTATCTCATGCGAACGGAACGGTGAAAGTTCGCGGAGCGCCTGCTCTATCCCATCCCTGCTGGGTGAATAGATGTTGATTATCTGGCGGGTGTGCGTGTTGAAACTACCCCGGTTTCGCGAATTGTTGGATAGACTATCACCTAAGTGGGGGAGCTTAAGTGGAAGGACCACAGAAAGTAAGTTGACGATGTACCACTCCGCGACATTCGCAATAAAACAGCTGGCTTGGCAGTGAGGATGATGTGGGAAGAGTTAACAAGTTATAGTGGACGGGGTGGGAGAAACCTTGGCCTCCCTCTTTTACTATTTTACGTGATCTGGATCTAAGATCTGAAGGATTCAATGATACAAGTTGACAACAGCCACAACGCCGTCCGGCGGGCAGGAGAATCGTTGAAGGACACATTGTTCAAGGACGTAAGAACGTTAACCAGGATAGTGCCCGGAGTCCGCAATCCCGGTAAGTGCCGGCCGCAGCGGTGATGGCGTTGATGGCGAGGGTTTCTGTGCCATTGTTTGGTCTTAAACTGAACTTGCGTCGAGGGACTGGCTATATAGCCATTCCCTTTTTCTTTTACAAGTGCCACTCAGCCACTGCGGCCTTTTTGTTCTCGTCGCAGAACAAGAGGAACGGACGGCCTGTGGAGAAGATAGACGACGCGTGGTAGTTGCTTCGTCAACGGTGACCCTCCCGCAAGAACTTCATAGTGTACATCGCACCGTATACATGGAGGCGTCCTCGGACAACCTCAAAAACCTCCTGCCGATGCTGAAGGTGGTGATGCCACGGCAGGAGATGACGAGTCTGTTGGGAACTTCTCCCGTCACAGTACGCATTCTAGTTCCTTGCTGTAGGATATGCTGACCTTCGGCAGGTGGAATAAGGCGTCCATATCGGCAATACGAGGAGGACCGCCATTTCCCTATCTACGCTCCTGTCTGGCACCCCGTTGGTGCACCTCATCGATTCTCTCGTCCCCAGTTGGGCTCAGGTAATGGTTTCGCACCATTCAAACCTCACGGATTCGAAAAGTCCGAGGAGCACCTCAAGGTTGGAGCTGGTATCGGGGATGTCGGGTACCTCAACGAGCTTGGCACTTTCACCTTTTTCTTCAATATCTTCTATCCTAAGGACGACCCTATACAGACCAGTCACATCCCCCGCAATTTCACACCGATTGAACCATCTCTCTCGGAATGGGAGGTGAAAACTGTTCCCGGTCATTTTCCCCCAGGTACAGTTATTGCTAGTAAGGGCCTAGAGGTTTCCCATGTCCCAGATTCCGAGGGGTAATGCTCCTACATGTTGCTTCGGTATAGACGCTGCTGATCCAGGTTCTCCAGCAAGATCAAATTTTCGACCTCAGCACGGGAGGCTGCGGTCATGATTTTACCATCAGGCGCCGCTCGAGAGGACCTCGTTGATACTTCCAGGCTTCACGAATACGTAAAGACCCACGCCACCGACTGGTACCAACATCGCAATCTGTATAGTGGCATCAACAGTGCCCTTCCTGACCCTCCTGGCATGAACGGCACGTTATATCTCATCACTGGGAGCGATAAAGCCAAGTCTTGGGCGAATGCAGCCCTCCCTCAGAATGCAACCATGGAGGAGCTGCCCATGCTCTTTTCATACGATCCGTCCAGCCGCGATGATCGTTTCACGCACATCGACTGTTGCAGGGGAGCCTGAATTGGGAATTTCGCGACGAAAGTGACCATCCAGACTACACGTACTCTGTCTTTCTGCGTGGCATTACCATCGCTTTGAGCGCCGCCTCTTGGGAAAAACATTTGCCCGAGATTCCGCCAGACGAAGTCCCTTCCCAGTCCCTCCATCGACGACCCCTCTTCGACCCGCAAAATCGATTGGTACGAATATGGCATTGGCTGCAACGCTTTAAGAAAGAATATATACCCTATTCCGACGTGAGTCGCTCCTTAATCTACAAGTGACCCTGACCGAGTTGTGTTAGGGAATATTCCATCCATCCACGTTTCTACTGCAGGTTCTGGTTAATATGGTAAGATCCAATGGCATCACTATGCTCTCCTTACTGACACGAGACAGGCTCCTGAGGCGGACCTTGCACTCGTTGAAGACAGTGTATGGTGCTCCGTGATCAACGGGGTTAGGCATTGACTTTAGCAAACCTACCTTACTCGCTAATTCTACTTCTTATTCACAGGAGAGTCTGACGCACGAAACATTCATCCTCTTTTTGCACAGAATTGTCGAGAAGTATGACGTTACAACAAACGCTGGTAAGTAACACAGATCTTATAAGAGCAAGTCGTTCCTCCTTTCTTATGGCGTCTGCCCAGGCATCGCGACGTTTGTATCGAGAGAACCAAAGACCGTAAGTTCTTTCCCCTCCAGAGTTTCAAGGAAACTGGATGTTGCTTCTCAGACCAATCCATCGCTTGTGCAAAAAATGCTGGCCGTGACGTCTCGAAGTTCGACGTCGGACAAGCAAATGCTCAAGATCATCGAGCGACTGCTATCCGATCAACCGAAGCCCACTCGCAAGAAGAATAGCTAACTCGAGGGACCACATCGTGTCTCATATTCTTTGGCGGTGCTACATCTACTTGCGTCTTGTGTAATGCAGCTCTGATCTAGCTTGAATATGGGATGATCTTTAGATTTATTCACTTGCGGTGGTTGTCCCGCAAACCCTTCGCCGAACCGTCCGTGCTCGATTTCTATCTGACCTCCTTGTTCAGAGCAATTTGACCACAAAGAACACGTTCCGAGTTGGCATCTGTTTCTCGCTTGATACACCGTCAATCAGTATCGGTTGCGCCGCATCGACAATTACGGGTGGATCGTAGCGGATTAGAGCCTATAGCGCAACAGGCCGATGCCCTTATCAACGCGCCTCCTCGCTATACCAAGTCTGTCGGTGACTCAATACGAGGAAGGACATCGCTTCAGTGGGGACAAAGGAGTTCGACGCAAGCAAGCCGATCCTCGGGAGTCGTTGTCCTCTTTCTCTTAAACTGACAGGGAATTTTATCAAACCCCGGATTCCCCGTGAAAATGCATGGTCGTCTGGTGCCGTAAATCAGCACCAGCTTGTCGGTTCCAACATCAAAAAGGCACAGGACAACGACACTGCTGTCTTATCGGCGGACACGGACCCAAGAGTGCTATTGTTATCCATTGCTCTTGCCTTGTTGAATGCAAGCATGAGAGAAGAGAGTGGCTTCGCTGCATTAAGCGCATCCCGTGACGCTTGAATCCCTCTGACGAAGACCACCGCAGGAGAGGGTGATCGCAATTCGTGATATTGTTATAGCCGTATCCCTTCTCCCTCAGAGAGACTGACGGGCCACGGCTGAGTAGGATGATGAATTTCATGCACAGGTCTAGATATTCAGGTTCCGCGATCTTTAAGCGCCGGATCGGAATCCCAATCTAAATACGGGAATTCTCGTCATTCTCGTGGGAGTTTACGCCATTGGTTGCGAGAGACTGCGCCTCGCTCAACGCGCTCAATTGTGTGCAAGAACATTGTTCGATACTTTGGGCGAAGAACAAGGACGAGACGATAGCAACGGGCGATGGGCGAGTGCCAACAGTGGACCCACAGGGGGAGAGAGAACAAGAACACCAAATCAGTCACGAATTTCTGCCGGTAGCTCAGGAAATAAATACCAGGTGATGTCGATAGTCTATTCAACACCCAACAACCTCTCAATTTCTTCGATCTCGGCACATCTCTACCTACGCAATGCAGAACGCCAGAGTCGCTGTCCTGACCCGTCCTTCCAGCGCGAAGTCGGCGAGCTTCTCCCTCGATAGTCCCGAGGTATCGTCCGCCTTGGCTTTGGTCAGGAAATCCGGGGCAATTGTCCCATCCTCTCGCTCAACTGGGGAGCAACCGAAGACCTTCACTTTTACTGAAGCAGACCTGACAGCCTTCGCCCAAAAAATCTTGAACGACGCCAAGGCATCTGCAAGGGCGGAAACGGCTGCCCAAGCTGCGGCGAAGGCAGAGGACTCGGACTCGGACTCGGATTCTGATAGCAGCGGTACGTAGTTGGGCTCGAGGATATGTTTCACTTGACTGATCCTCTACGTAAACGATACGGACAGCATCCCACGGAAGCAGGCTTCCACTCGCGCTAAGGCTAAGGCGAGCGGCGGGAGCTACTCTAACAATCGCCGTAATGTCGGCTCCTTCAACAATATCGGAGGTGCCCCTCCAGTGTCCAAGAAGTCTCGTACTGGAAGCAACAAAGGGTCCGATGGGTCAAACAACGATGATAACTACGGGTCCTTCAATTTCAGCACCGGTGAGACTGCCCCTGGAGCACGCATGCCCTGGGAAGTTCCGTACAAATTCCACAAGAGCTCTTCAGGAAAGGGGGGTAAGAAGTCTAAGAAGTGTGGGTCATCAAATTTGTTCATTGGTGTCCGCGTTTCGAAGCTCATCTCAATTACTTTTCTAGCTCAGGACTGATCAACATTGATGCACGATTCTCAACCAATCGATTCTATCTTTATCAAATCCTCATATATGTAGTATTTGCTTGATTTCATGACCACCGTAGCCTCCAGTTTCTGAAGCACTGGTTTTAATGGACATTGGACGTTGTATATTGATGTCAAATCTAGGCTCTAGTTCCTATATCCTCTCATAATAGATCATTATTTATTCTTCTTAAGACCTTGATCTTAAAAATTTCCGTCTTTCTGCAGTCCTATGGGCCATGGCGAAGCAACAAAGTGGATTAACCCCTATCCGGCATAGCGAAGGCGGATCAATCGGCGGGGCGGAGTTTAGAAACTCGGGAATTGCCATAAGCTGTCATCTCACCAACATCCTTTTGATTCAAAACCTCACCACCATCTCTTGTTCCATACCTCTACGACGACATTCAGGGAATGGCGTCAGATCAGCAATTAGCGCTTGCAAGAGCGCACAGGATGTCAGCCCCTTCAGCTCACATATCGAAGGCTGCCAGACAAGTTGTACCTGCCTTTCTTCAGAAACTTTATGAGTGCGTGGCCTTCTGTATTTCGACCGATAAGCGCTCATTTTTCGAAGGATGGTAAATGACCCAGCGAATGCGGAGCTAATACGATGGTCAGACATGGGAGATTCGTTCTTCGGTGCGCGTTTTACCAGTGAACAGCATGACCAGTTACTAATCTACACCAGTCCTCGACCATGAGCGCTTCGCCCATGAGGTGCTGGGGAGATGGTTCAAGCATCGAAATTTCAGCTCCTTCGTACGTCAGCTGAACATGTATGGCTTCCACAAGATCCCCCATCTCCAGCAAGGCGTGCTCAAGAGCGACACCGACACCGAGTTTTGGAACTTCGCCCACGCCAACTTCCATCGCGGCCAGCCTGATCTGTTGTGTCTCATCCAGCGGAAGAAGCAGATGCCACAGATTGGCGAGGACGGCGCCATCGATCTTCGTGACACGAACGCCGGGGTCGTCCTCGGTGCTCCACCAGCCAACCCCGCAGCGACCCAAACGACGACAACCCTCGACGTGCAGTCAATAGTGAACGGTATCAATGCGATAAAACGGCACCAGACGACCATCTCCGCGGAGCTGAACGAACTCAAACGCTCAAACCAACTGCTGTGGCAGGATGCCCTCAATGCCCGCGCGAAGCACCAGAAACAGCAAGACACGATCAATCGTATAGTCAAATTCCTTGCTGGTGTGTTTGGGAACCACGTAACGGGTGCGGGTGGAACACCGAATACTGGTGGGAAGGACGATGGTGGTGATCCTGGGAGGCGGAAGATGAGGCTGATGATTGAGGAAGGTCCGAAAAAGAGCATGATTGAAGAATTAACTGAGATGCCAATGGAGGACTCCAGTAAGTTGTCTCGGTTTCCTGAGGAAGTTATGCTAAGCTTTACAGATTATCCCACAATCGAAACTCCAGGGTCTGATTCGGCTTCTTCCCCTTCTGAGTCCTCGAAAACAGAATCCGACACCACCCAAGCACAGCAAGGGAAGCAAATCTCTCGGGCAGTCACCCCCAAATTCGAATTTGACCCCCGTATGCATGGCGTCCTCAACTCACTCTCGCCTGCGCAAGTTCAGCAGCTTCTCGCCTCACTTGCTTCTCAAACCCTCTCAGACCCAACACCCACCGCGACTATCAATCCCGCTGTGACAACAACCGGCCCACTAACTCAATACTACCAACCCCCTTCTTTCGACTTCTCCATGAATCCTTCCTCACAAACGAATCAAACGAGTTCATACACTTCCAGCGCACCTGCCCCGATCGTTCCTCCCGAAGGTCTCATCTCATTCGACCACTATGATCCGGGATCACCCAACCTAGCAAACCTTGGGATGACGAGCACGGCTCTTGACGAGCAGGCGCATGAGGAGGAGATGGAGACTCAGTGGCAGGCGGCAGAGGACATCGAACACGACGTCAATGCGTTGAATACGAGCATCCAGTCGTTGATACAGACGTTCGGATTGGACCCGGCGCTACTAGAAGATACCAGCATCCAGTCGGGCCTCAGAGGCGTGACGGATGGCGACCAGGAGATGCACGGGCCGACGTCTGACATCCCTGGGACTGGGACGACCGCTACTGGGACGAACCCCGCGGCAGACTTCGACTTCGAATCATTCTTCAACAATATTCCCTCTCCGTCTGCAGTCGATGGTTCTTCGGGGATGCCAATCGACTCTGTCGGCGGCACGGGCATGGACTACGGCGATCTAAGCACTGCCCAGACTGCGTTCCTTGATGAAGTGCCGATGACACCGTCCTCGGACCTGACGGCGTCGCCCGTGCAACCCCTGCGGCATGTCTCTCCCGAACTCAACCTGGGTACGGCTGGCGTAAATGCGAGTGGATCCTCGGGTGCTGGGGGCAAGAACGCGACGGGAGGCAAAAAGAGGAAGTCGGATGTGATTCAGGTGGAATTCGAAACTCCTTCGTTGGAGGTCGCCACGAAGGTTGCTAGTGGGACAAGATCGAAAAGGAGGAAAGACAAGTGAACGACGTTCCCGAAGAAATGAGTGTCAATACCCCACCTTCTTGAAAGGTCTTTCCACTGCCCGAACGACGAAGATTGAAGTTGCCGATCGCATTCGAGCCCAAGCGAACGAACTCCACCCGCATCATCCAACTTCCACATCGCCTGTGCACCTCTTGCTCGGTTTGCCGCCCGTCACAGCAAGTCGTCCATCCAGCTTCATGATGGCCCTCTTCTATGGTGGGCAGGCTGTTGTAATTTTGGATTCAACATCTACCGTCTTCGCCATTTTTCCAATGTCCATCATACAGTTTTCGTCATCCATTTCCCCCAATCTTGCACATCGCTCAGGACGCAATCACGATCATTCCTTGCCATGCAATTCACTTCCGACTTCAAGCTTCAAGTTCGACTCGCAATCTCTCATCATCTCATCCAAAGCTGGTTCATTATTTTTTTCAACCTTACCTATCCTAGTGTTGTCTACTCTAGTTCATTGCCATTCTAGACTCCGAGACTCACGCGCACGATATATTTCATTTGTACGACAAGCTGTAAATTTTTGTATCACGAGCCGAAGCAAAATCTCCCCAGTGTACTACCACCATCCATCCAATATTTAGTTTTACGCCGATTCAATTATTAGCATGCTCATCTGGCAGCAGTGGTAACCCATGTCTTGCAAGTGTTCGTTTTGCCATTTAGATTTTGAGACCAGCAGACAGAATAGAGATAAGATAGGATAATCAATCAGAATCAGAATCAGGTTCGGAAACACACAGCATGAGCTACATTTAGGATAGACGGACATCTTGCCTTACTTTGTTTTCATGCTACAGAACTTCTGCTCAGATGGATGGCCGCGATCCAGCAGGCCTTCGTATTCGACAACTTTTCTTCCCTCGCATCGTCTGATCTATGTTTATTATTTGATCCCTTAGCCAATCCGCAATACCCGCCGTTCTAGCCATCTAGAGAGTTTGTAGGGTGAATCATCAAGTTGACATTAGAGCTTCTACATGTCGACGATGGTGAGTTAGGGTTCCTCTCAGGTGTTATCGATCTATTTCCGGAAAGTGTTTCCCTTTTTATCTTCCCTAATCTCGATCGCCAAGCCCTTATATAAGCCAGCTCATTAAGCGCCCGTGAGCGCTATTCATCTACTTCAGAGGGGGGCCTTCCACAGCGGAAAAGCGAAAAATTAGATTATGTACATAGAATCCAGAAGTGCCCACTGCTGGGCGCCACCACGGTTCAAGCTTACGGCAGAAGGCTTGGCGAGAACCACGGGACTGATCCCAATTTAGAATATTCAGCCGATGGTACGCATTCAACCGCCTGTGGGCTTTTTTCTGTGTACGACTGTTTCAAGGAGCATTTGAAGTCGTTGTTCTCTGTCCGGTCTACGCGACCGGGATTTGATGGTTGATTATGGGACCGGGAATCTGGTGCATTTTGGCATCAGCCTCATGCTGTAAACAATCCATGTTGGGAGCGCCACCAACGTGTGACCATCCATTCAACCTCGATTCGATGCCAAAGCATTGCTGAACAACGATCCCTTGTTCTCCGGCCTCAACGAAGAGTACGTCCGTTCCATGCGGCAATTTTCCTGGCTCTTGTCGCGCATCTAGATAACAACGACGAGGATTAGTGAGTCCATATGCGCTCTTACCCTTTCTCATATTCCCTGCTCATCGAGGTTCCCAGAATAACTGAAGCTGTTAGTTTGCGGGACAATAATGCTCATTACAATTTCACTGTTGTTGCCGCCTGCCAACAGTTTAAGTGCCAGCCTTTGCTATTGTCAGTGGGTCCAACGTACAGCAATCTATAGTGGTCGAGATTGTTTCCTTCCCAGCCTCACTACCTGTCTACCACCACTCGTTAGCGAATTCTCTCATCGTGCACCCTTCCCTAAAATTCATGTTGTCCCGATTCGCCGCCTTCTGGAGTCCGTCTATGTCGGAGTCTAAGGCCACAACAACGTCCGGCAAGCCCAAAACCTCTATTAGTCACTCTGCTACCGCTCTCAAGACATTGCGAACCATTGGCAACCTGAGCCGAGCAGAAACCCTTCGTGATGCCGCAACAGAGGTGACGGCAGTATTGGAGACTTTGATCGTACGTCGATCGCGTCGTGGTTGGAAGGAATTACTGACGGATCACCGCAGACTACGAAACATATCGACCATGACTTCCAACAGCTCGGTCAAGAGATATGCGGACTCATAATCATTATTGCGACGGAATATGAAGAGACCCCCGCGTCTCAAGACCTTCAGGTTAGCATCGGGGAGATTAGTCGGTAAGTCACCCTTTGCCTATCACCACCAATTCTGCTGACTGGCTTCGCTAGACATATCGCCAGTTTAAAGACTTTATGTCGCAAGTACTCTCACTATCCCCGCTGGAAGACGTTCCCACGTCGGCGATATGGTAGAGGGAGAGTAGCTGAGCTAAGATCAGGTGTTGCAGATATTGCCCACAGGGTGTCCGTGAGTCGCGAATACTGTTTCTCATCAGGGTTATTTTAACGGTCAGTAGGGCAAGAATAAACTCGAAGCTCTAGACACCCTGGAACTATGGAACGAGGAGAATGCAGCGGCAATGAAACATTTGGAAGAACTAATGACCTGGCTGCAGAAGACCGAAAGCAAAAACAACGAGCAGCCTTTTGTCCAGAACCTTTCCGTGAGCGACGAGCAGTCAAAGGACCAACCCGAAATTCCATCGAGCTCTACCCCTGCTCGCGGAATTCTCAGGCCAACTGGAGACAACGTGCCAGCTCGCCCAGCATCCGACGTTCCAGAAACACCCTACCCCACCCTCGAGTCTGCCGGAGGGGAGTGTGACACCGTTGCACCTTCGATAAATACGGATAGCGCCAAATTAGAGTTGGAACTCCCCAAGACCAACATAGAGCCCTTCGTTCCCACTCCAAGCCCAATTCGCCTGAAAGCAAACCACCAGAGGTTTACGTCGACAGAGCTTTCTCCGACACAATTATCCACAACTCCTCGGTCATCAGTAATTCGTACAACTACAACGGCCGTAATGCAGGAGCAGAAAACCAGCCGATTATCACTCAGACGTGGAAGGACTCTACGTTCATCGATTCTCAGGTCGTCAGCAATTCCGGCTCCGGCAACGACTTTAGCCATCTCTGGGATCCAACTATGGACGTCGACTTCAGCGCTGCAGCAACCACTCCCATGTGGTATCCTGGTTTCGTCTATCCAGCGCCGTATATATGCCCAGTCCCGCAGATGGTATGTATCCAACCTCCAGCTCTTCCCGCACATCGACGGCCAAGAATCTTTTCAATCCAATATAACCCGACGAGAGCTCGAAAACCTCGTCTCCTCGCAAGTTGGTATTCACTCAGCTTAGCATTGTCGACTATACTGATGTACTTGATTCGCTACATAGATGCTGGCCGACGCTGATCAGGAGGCTCCAAGGCCCAACTAGAGCATGTTTTTCTTCTAGTTCCTGCAGCGATGAATATATGCCCCCTGGTTAAGTCATTGACTCGGACGGTCATCATTTAGCCACAAGGCCTGTAGCACGTATGATTTCGAAGTTGAGTTCATGAGGGCCCATTCTGAGTCATTTCACTGCATGACATGACAATCTGTGTCCTCTACAAGGGGCCTGGCAAGTGGAGAATGCAATGCCGATTGGTTCGGAGAAGGGTGTCGGGAACGCCTTTTCGGGTAATTACGCTTTCCCACGGCTGATGTGGCGCACGACGTGAACAACCTCGTCGGACTTTGCATCTGAGTCAAAGATAATCCCTTAGAAAGTTTTAAGACATTAAAGAACAACTTTCAGACAAATACAAGCAGGACTTGACTATGACTACTGTGACTGACTGGAGAATTTGGAAATGGTGGTCCATAAGAAGCCGTCAAAAGAGAAATAACAAATCCTAGTAACAATCTTGAACTCCAGAAATATCAGACTAGGTAACTATCACTCACACTTCTTGTGGCGCTTCTCTTCCTTAGTCGAACATTGCTGGGTGTAAGCCCAACCGTCTCCGGGGAACATCGACGACATCCCCGGAATCCCAAATGGCATGCCATAGAGGAATGGCGGTATTCCATGCAGGCCATCAACAGTGGTCGTGGTGTTGAATGACCCTTGGTTGCGCTTGTTGTTCGAGTGAGTCGGTCCACTACCTTTCCGCTTCGACCTCGACTCGAACGATGCGCCAGTGTGGTTGAAGGAATGGACGTTGTCCGCATTGCCCGAGAAGCTTCCGTTCGCGTACCCTCCGGCCTTCTTGCTAGCAGAGGTGCGCTTGCTGGACTTCTTGCGTGGCTTCTCAGGCTCGCTCTCGCTTTCTTCTGTAGGGACGAACGTCAGTCGGAGACTAAGGGAAGGCTCGAGACCGGTCAACATACCCGGGACACAGGCATCTTCGGTGTCAGAGTCGGCAGACATGTTCGGGATGTTTTGAGAGTTGAGTAAATTCATGAACAAGGTCTGGAGCTCCTCCTCGGTGAACGTGTATGTCTTCTGAGGCTCGTCCATGTTCGCCTTCTGCTGACGAGCAGCGGGCAACTGGGACTTGAGGACCAAGGCCTTGGCGGCCGCTATGCCTGGGCTATCCAGAGAGAACTCGAGCGACGTAGCGCTGGATGGAGGGGTAAGAATGGCGACTGCGGACTTCGACATTGAGGCGATAACGAGGAAGCTAAGCTAGGTAGGAAAAGGCTTTGAGGAGGTCAATTTTGGTCAATTGGTCGTACGTACATCTCGTTTTTATCCCTCCAGCGTACCGCCTTCAAGTTTTGCGAGTTTGGGCGCGAACCTCGGGCGCTCTTGTTCTTTTGTCCTCCGTGTGGGTCCACCGTTGTCGTGTGCACACCCCTCGACATCGTTGCCATATTGTGGGGGCTGTCAAGTCGCATCAGAGTCGCATCCTTGTTCTTTATGGGTAAAACCTGTGTCGATACAAAGTACCTTGCCGGGGCATTGACGGTAGGAAGAGAAGCTCGGTGGTATGATTATGTTTGTCGCGAAGTGGTTGGCACTGGGACAAAAAGCGTTACGTGATTTCTCCAGAAAACTGTCCGGTCTGTATCTGTAGGTTCGACGTTGTTTTGTTTCCCAACTCCTAGACCCGACTTCCATGCAGGAAGCCAGTTACGCGTTTTGTGCACCGATAATTTGGTTCGAAGTAGGACTCTATTGAGGAGTAGTATCAAGTATGAAGGCAATGGGCTGATGGAGGCGCACACAAAGCCTGTGCCATCGTGCAACGGAATTACCTTTACCTCACGGATGTTATGTGCTACAGTAACTTCTGAGAGTGGGGCTGCTCAAGAATTGGATTTCCTCCAATCAGGGAATCAGGAGGAAGGCCAACGGTTTCCCTCTCACGCTCGCTGAGATTTTAAGATTATCATGTCATTTTGGCGACAGGTACAGGGAAATCCGAGTTAGAGTAGCGTTTAGTGTCCTCAGAAATGCAGCAGGTTTAATCGCGTCCACCTCCACCGCCACACATTGGTTAATTAACGTCGCTTTTCCTCCGCCCATCTCGACGGCTGATGGTCCAGTGTCAACGGAGACATCACGGTGTCGCTTCCATCTGAATATATCCTCGTCTTGGTTTGGTCTGGAGAGGTTCGCAAATAGTCGCCCTTCCTGGGTTGTGAGATCCTTCGCGCCAACAGCGAGCGCCCAGGTGCTAGTCTTGTAGGTGGTGTGGACGATTTTCAGAGACCCGTTGGGGAGCATAGGGCCGCTATTAGGAGATTTGTAATACCGATACCAGCTCTCTGCGTGCACGTTGAGGTAACTCTGAATCAGCAACCTCATCGTCGCCAATTTCAAAGAGAATTTCCAGCCACCCATTGGAAGAACCAGGGCAGATCCCTCGAGAGGCAGTCTTGTACAAGGTGTCTCGCAGGAAAAAAGGTACCCTTCACTGAATGCGGACATATCAGTCGACAGTCACAAGCAGGAGACGACGACAGGCGTACCATGGAACTTCTACAAAGCTGCCTCGAACGAGATTTGGGTCGTTCAGAGACGCTTTATAGATGTTACCCTTTGTGATCATCGCGCATGGAGTAAAGTTTGGGGGCGGGTGGTATCCATATTCCTTGTTGACCTCTTCCGTCATGAAAATATTGAAGAACACCTCGAAGCCACCCTGGACCGTGAAGACGCCAACATCGCCAACAGCAATATTTTTCAGCGTAATTTTTGGATCATGATTGAGTCCAGGTGATGGAGTCCATAGAGCGATAGATCGGCTGCTACCGAAGAAATCACTTCGCATGTATGCACGGATTTTCTCCGGGATGGTTTTTGAATTATTAAAGTTCTGATAAGATATTAGCACAAGGCTCATCGGTGTGTACTTCCCAGTCTCACCTTCACTGTCACTGGGACAAGGGTCCAAGGGCTCTCTAGATGACGCGTCAACAACGCTTTCATGGTTCCTTGCATGCAGACCTACTAGTTGACACTGGTCCCACTGTTTCAAACGAGCTTTTCTGACTCATGCACTCAAACGAGCTGCAGTCTGACTAGATAAATTGTACCACTCGCTTCGTCTTCGAGCAGAATAAGTGCAAGAATAACCTCACGTACAGCATCAATTCCGCCTGGGACATCCATATCGTTCTCGTAGGCTGCTAGGTAGGTCATATGTCGCTCTCCCTGCTAAAGTAACACGATTAGTTTCTTATACGACGATGTGGCAGACAGTACTAACCTTCTTACGGGGTTGCGCGTCCTCGGAAAATCTTACACCTCGCCGCCGAACAATCGAAGCACTAGCATCTGGTGAGGTTTCAGCGCCATCGTCGTCAATGCCCCCCGATCCCCTTGAATCGTTTGTCCCCAATGACCCGTCCTCCGAGACCTGGCAAGACTGACTATTCGGTGACTGATTTAAGAGCAAAAATTTGGTGGATACAGACATCTGCTATCGAGGTGAGACTACTCCTCGAAGGAGGAAAAAAGCCTTGATGATAGTCACCACGATTCGTAGAAGACTGGCCTGCTGGGTAGACAGTCAGTTGTAATTGAAACCCGGGGTGCTAGAGCGCTCGCCTGGATAGCTGCCAAAGTAGTTGTTGACCGTCAAAATCTTCGTGCTGTTGAGACTGTTTGTAACGTCGCTATTATTACTGTAGCTACCCCGAGGTAGGCTGTTGGACGAAGATTCTGGGCGATAGGAATGTGTAGACGGCATTCTATAACCTAGTGGAAGGAAGATAAATGAAGACGGTCATGACCGATTGTTAGAGTTAAGTATAAGGGTGAGTCGTCAGTAGCGCCGGAAGATCCTGCCGGGGTTGGCTGGTAACCAATAAGCTGAGCGGTGAGAAAGAGAACAAGGAGACGCCAAAATAGAACCACCATCATCGATCATCGTTGACGCTGCCATACATCTCGTACTTTGAGGATGATCGAGATATGTATTTGCAATTTTTGCTACGATTTGCCCATTCTGGATCAATTTGATTGAAACTCCGCGAAAATGCGTCGATTTGGTCCCAGGAATTGTTGTTGTTGGCTCATCAATGCGTCAAGCATCAATGCATCAAGCTCGAGGCCAATGCCACTCCTTACGTGTTTGTTCACACGTTCAACTGAAGCTGAACCAAATAGCACTCCTCTCAGTACCACCGTCTCCTGGCGCAATCGTTCCTACTGCTGCAACCGGAGACGGCCTTCAGGCAGGCATGGCCTCCCCTCAATTTCAGGCCGATTCTCCTCCAGATGCAGAAAGTCTCGCTTCAGGCCCTGGTGTGTCTTTCGTTCCATCTCAAGTTTTGAGGTCGGGATGAATCTTTCATTTTTCGCAGGACCTGCAGAAGCACCATACAGCGGGATGAACCAAAATACCTTCATACTATGTAACCTGCTTCCGTCTGATGCTCCTGTGGCTGGATCATACTCTCGTACCCTCTTAGGACTGGGTTTTGGCTATCCAATCTGGGAACCTCTCGCGAACCTCGATGTCCCAGAACCGCATCAAATGCGGGGCGTGAGCATTGGCGATGTTGGTATCGTCAGCGCTACCGGAAACTTCGCGTATGGGTTTAACATATTTCATTCTTCCGAAGACCCGATAAATTTGGGTTGTACCCCACCCAATTTCGTGCCATTGGAGTTCCCTGAGCCTTCGCAATTAACGCGAGACGACGCTCATTTCCCCCCCATGACTATTCTCTCGAGTAGAACAGTGGAGGTTACACGCGTCAAGGAATCTCCCATGTAAGAAATTCTTGTTTCTCTCTTCTTCAATTTCTCATACGACTTTCCTCAGTCATATTTCGTTTTCCCCAACGGCCAAAGAGGGAGCGGCTCTTGTCCTCCCTCATGGTGGTTTCCGCGAAGATGTCATATCGACAGAGCATTTGCGAAAGTATCTTGTCGAACATTCCCTCGACTGGTACCAGCACTTGGTGCATGTGTCAGCTGCGCTGGTCCACAATGCGAGCCTCTACCTCGTGACGGGATGCGATAAAACAGAGTCATGGCATATGGCAAATCTGAGAGGCGGTTCTGCAGATTTCAAGGAAGGGTCCACCAAGAACGGGGAGATCCACTATGATTGGGTCCGCGGAGCGAACAGCCGTTGCCGGTCCATGCACTTGGAGGACGGAGACGGCCGGTTATTCACCCTTTTCGTACGTGGCATCAAGGTTGCTCTCCCAAATCGTGTCTGGAGGCATAAGGTTGAGGAGACCTCGCCTGAGGATATCCCTTACTACGACGTGTTGGCAACATCCGTTGACATCTATCATGCAAAGGTATTGCGCTGGCTGGATTACATTGCCAAGGGTCGAAACACATGGCAATCAAGACGAGAGGCGAGTGCGGTCTCTCTCATTTCGTCATTCTCTGCTTCAACGTTGGTTGAAAGGTTCCATTCCACCCCTTCCATGTTCTTGCACGGATTCTTCATGAAGAGGTACGTTTTCGTCTGACTTTAGAAAGCTGCATTGAATATTGAACATTTCGCAGTCTCCTCATGCGGTCCTTTCACTCATGGAAGACTCTATCTGGACAAAGCACAGCGGCGTGGTATGGCTCCCCCGTTATAATGGAAGAGCATCGAAACTCACATCCCATAGATGGTAGATGGGTCTCTCAGAGAGATCACCCGACTCCTCGCCAAGATCCTCGCTTCCCATGATATCAAAACTGTTGACAGTGAGTCCTTCAAGACGTAAAATATCCTCCACTTAGACGACGACTGACCTCCTGCCCAGAATGTGTCATGTTCGTACCTAAACCCGAACCCAACCCGACGCAGGTGAAGGAGCCAGGGCTCGTGCAGAGGATTGTCGGGAGAATTAAATGGGAGTTGACCCCCGAGGAGAAGGCTGCGAAACGGGTTGCGGCGATCCTCCGGCGCCAGAGTTGATTTGCGTTCGGGCTTGAGTGTGTATGTCGGCGCTGTTCTGTACGTCTTGGAATATATGTGCTGACTATTGCACGAACCAGAATGAGTAATTATGATTTATGGCTCAAGACAAGTTATCCCACAGAAGCACCTTCAATGGTCCGCTTGCGGCCAACCCTCTCGGATTCAGGCGTCGATGCAACGTATCGACGTGTCCAGTCGTGAAAGAGGTGTCCCGTGCTTCCTCTAGACTTTCTGGACTTTCTATACCCATGATGCCGCCCTCGCTTGCATGTCACTCGTAGCTACTTTTGAAGAGCCACAAGGCGACAGCCTCGCGATTATGCTTCATGGGACTAATCGAGTCGAAGGTAGTCAGAGGGTTATTCTTACTCTTTATTACGTTCCTCACCGCTAATTGATTTTGTTCAACACACCTCGTCAGAAAGTCCATAATGCAATCTATCCACCTTTATAATGTTGTCGTCTCCGGAAAAAGCAACTCGATCCGGGGCGGACGTCCGCAATTCCGTTCTTTTCCATACCATTTGAATCCTCCGTAGTTCCGACAACTGTCCCAGTAGCACAATTCCGAGAGAAAGTGCAGTCTAAGCAATTTGGATTTGTCTGCAGCGACGTCTGTTGGTGGCTCGTTATATTCTATTTCCGGAAAGTGTTTCCCCTTTTATTCTCGATCGCCAAGGCCCTCGATAATCCCGCAAGTTAGGCGCCCGTCGGAGTGGCACATCTGCGAGCAATTGAGGGAGAAAAATATGCGTTGGAAGAACAGACGAAGTGAAGTAGCGAACGTCCGAGCAACGTCCAAGGGCGTTCGTCATGGTTTACGGCATGCGGCTTGGCAAGACTCGCCTGACTGGGCTTGGCAGTCCGGGAAAATATTCGGTCATCCCGTACATTCTGCCTTCCTGGGTAATCACCTGTAGTCAGCACAAAGCCAGATATTACTCACGTGTGACAAAAGTAACTACGATTATATAATAAACACGACCCATGTGATCTGACCCGATCATTTGTTGAACGTCCCTCCTCCGCGGTCCTCATCGCTCTTCCCTCATCATGCCTGAACCAAAGACAGAACAACGCCAGTATCCATCGTCCATAAAAGACAAGTTCATCGGAGCCGTGCTCACGGGTACAACAGTCGCCAAAGCGGCCCGGGTTTTCCACATCCATGACAGCGCAGCACGGTACATCTGGAAAAAGTACAAGACAACGGGTTCGACAGAGAATCTCCCCCGGTCGGGACGTCCACACAAGCTTGACGATACTGCGGAGCGTCATATCATACGCATTGCCCGAAGGGAGCGGAGAACACCTTTTACCAACATCGGAAACCAACTCCCATCACCAGTCTCGGGGTCAACTGTTCGAAGGGTTCTGCGCAACGCAGGATACTTCCGCCGGGTAGCGCGCAAGGTTCCCTACCTGAAGAAGGTTCATAAGCGTGCACGACTCACATGGGCTCACCTCTATTGTGACTTCACGCCCCGCCATTGGAGGAAGATCATGTGGACCGACGAATGCTATATTTATCTCGGCGACAATCATGGACGCGTTTACATCACACGGCGCGCGGATGAAAAATACCTCGATGAATGCCTTGTTGCGACCTTCAAGCAGTCGCCAGTGAGAGTAATGGTGTGGGGTTGCGTAATGGAGGGTCAAAAAGGGCCGCTTGTTGTGTTGGAGTACCCAGGAGGCAAAGGTGGAGGAATGAACACTGCCCGGTATTGCGAGCAAGTGCTGGAGGGGGCTCTGAGGGGCTTCTATAGAGAGATGAGGACCGAGAGAGGCCAGGTAATTTTCCAGCAGGACAATGCACCAGCACATACCAGCAAACTAACGAAACGATGGCTCACTCATCATGGCATCACACAGCTCTATCACCCTCCCAACTCTCCGGACCTCTCCCCAATTGAGCCTATTTGGCACGAACTCAAGCAAATTATACGAAGAAGGCCACATCATCCCACATCCGTAGAAGAACTCCGTTTGGCTGTTATCGAAGCCTGGGAGCAGATACCGATCGAGTGCGTCAATAAACACATTTCTGAGATGCCTGACCGAGTAGCGGCTCTCCTGGAAGCGCGGGGCAGCCACATACCATTTTAATGTGTAGAATACATAGATACTGAACAGGACTAATCTACTATGCCTTTTCTCGGGGTGATTCAAGCACCTGAATTGAAGTGTGCTTCACATCTTTGGGATGCCCCGCCTTTGATTGGAGCATGTGATTACATAATCACAGTTACTTTTGGCACCCACAAGTATGTCGGAGTTACATTTCAGAAATCTCTGATAAAGTCGGGCAATTTGACCAACGACTCTGGCTAAAGCTTGAGAGGGACCGGGAAACTGGTACACTGCCCGATGCCGTAAGTAAGCCAATAACTACAAATTCATGTGACTGATAGTTAGTGGGTAGATTATGTGCTTATTCAAGTCATCTACGCCTCCACCACCAGCCCTTCCGACTCTTCACAACTCCCACCGCCTCAAAAGCGATAGGGGAGTCCATTCCACCTTTAATCTATGGCGGAGCGTCGCCGAACAACGCCCTTTTGTACTTCGGCTTCAACAACGAGTACGTCCGTTGCAGGCGGCAATTTTCGTGGCTCTTGTCGCGCTCCTGCAGAGCAACGAGAAGGATCAGTGAGTCCAGATGCGCTGCACTCTCACAATCCCTGCTCATCGGGAGTCCTTCAGTTACCGGAATAGCTGAAGCTGTCGGGTTGCAAGACAACAATGCTCGTGACAATTTCACTCGCGCTATCGCCAGCCTTAGCTATTGTCTGTGGCTTGTAAGTGGATCCAACTTACAGCAACTTACATATAGTTGTCGAGATTGCTTTCCTCCTAGCCTCACCTCCATCTGCTGCCGCTCTTGTTGTTGAATCTCCTTGCCATGGACTCTTCCCAGAAATTTCTATTGTCCCGACTCAACACCCCGTTCTGGAGGCCGCCTGTGTCGGATTCCAAAGCAATGACATTCAGTGAGCCTGAAACCTCTAGTAATCACGCTGTTACCGCTCTCAAGACATATCGACCATGACCTTCGGCAACTCAGTCAAGAGATGTATGTGGACTCATTATTACTATTGTGACGAAGACACCCCCAGTCACTTTGAAGTTAGCCGCTATCGAGGAGATTGTTTGGTGGGTCTCCCTTTGCTTATCACCACCAATTCCGCTGACTGCCTTCGCTACACATATCGCCAGTTTAAAAACCTTATGTCACAAATACTCCAGCTATCCCCGATGGAAGACATTCATACGTCGACAATTTGATAGGAGGAGACTAGCTGAGCTAAGATCAGGTATTGCAGGTATTGCCTGCAGGGTGTCCGTGAGTCACAAAGACCGTTTCTCTTCTGCGTCATTTCAACAGTCAACAGGGCACGAATATACTCGAAGCTCTAGACACCCTGGAACTATGGAACGAATGGAGCGGCAATGGAACATTTGGAAGAACTAATGGCCTGGCTGCAGAAGACCGAAAGCAAAAACAACGAGCAGCCTTTAAATTGTCCAGAAGCTTTCTATGAGCGACGAGCATTCGAAGGACCAACCCGAAATTCCATCGAGCTCTACCCCTGCTCGCGGAATTCTCAGGTCAACCGGAGACAACGCGTCAGTTAGCCCAGCTTCCGGCTTTCTAGAAACACCCTACCCCGCCCTCGAGTCTGCCGGAGGGAGTGCAACACCGTTGCACCTCCGACAAATGCGGTCAGCGTCAAGTTGGCATTGGAGCCTCCCAAGGCAAACGTACCACCCCTCGTTCCTAATCCAAGCCTGATTTCTCCTGAAAGTGAAGAGCCAGAGGCCTACGTTGACGGAGCTTCCTCCGACACGGTCATCGACAACTCCTCGCTCATCAGCAATTCGTACAACTACAACGGCCGTAATGCAGGAGCAGAAAACCAGCCGATTATCACTCAGACGTGGAAGGACTCTACGTCCATCGATTCTCAGGTCGTCAGCAATTCCGGTTCCGGCAACAACTTTAGCCATCTCTGGGGTCCAACCACGGACGTCGACTTCAGTGCTAGCGCTCCGGATGCCGTATCCCTATCCAATGCCATATTTTTACCCACCCGGCTAAATAATGTATCCTCAATGCCAACCTCCGAATTTTTTCAACCGACTGCAGCTTGAAGTCTACACCGTCCGTCACAACGAGCGCGAAGGCCCCGTTTCTCTTTAAGTTAGTACTTCAGCGGACTTTGAAGACGTACTGAGGCATTTATTACAGCTGCTCACCGGTAGAGCTTCGAAGAAGCTGTTAATTGGTTCACTGAAACTAAAACCTAATTCATATGTCAAGACCGTCTCATCTTCTTTTGCCCAATGAACGAGCTTGTGCCATATCACTTGGCACTTAGAGCTCTCCGACCTCACCCACACCTGAGGGATATCATGTCGGCCCATTTCCGTGTATCTTTCGGTGCGATTCTATGAGTCCGATACCATGAGTGCTGACTGTCCTTTGTTTTGGTGAACCTAGAGAAAGTAGGTCCCCGTCGCGACTCCTCGATAGGGGTCATGCAGCTCTATTAGGAAGTTCCTCCAAATTTCCCACAGTCGCGCCTGTGTGGCGCAGCGATTTGGTTCATATATTCTTGACCAGACGTACGGCAAGTTGATTGTTTTTTAGAGTAAGATATATGTTATACTAAGAAATATAGAAATATTGTGGTAAAAAAAAACACAATCAATCCGGATAAATCAATTGCAACTTGCTCCCAGAGTCCGATAAGTAATTGAAGTCAGAAGCGGACTGGTGGATTTAAATGTCGTCAATACGAGTTGGCGAGAGGGAGATAGCTGAGCTTACACTTGTGGGCAGGCTTCCCTCCTTTGGAGCTACCATCTCCGCCAAACATGCTCATTCCAGGGAATCCAAATGCTTTGGCGAAGTCAAACGCGGCCATTTTTGACATTGGTTCACTGCTGTAGTTAAAGGCGCCAAAATTATTGTCGTTGTTTGAGAAGTCAGGAAGGTTGTCTTTTAATGTCATTCCGCCGAGGGTGTTGAAGGACCCCACATTGTGGCTGTTTCCCGAGTAGTTCCCGGTCGCCCGAGGCTTCGTCCCAGTGGAAGATTGTTCACTGGCACTGGGCGCCCTAGCCGGGCTCTTTGGAGCGTCTTCGGCGTCTGCTGAAACGTCTGACTGTCGGCAATTTTTTCAAAGAGACAGGGAATGCTCGCTTACTCTTGGCCTTGGCATTCGTTGCACTCGCGGGAGCTGCGTTTGGGGTGCCCAACGAAAGCTTCTGGAGCTCCTTTAACACAGCATTCGCGATGAGATCCTGGAGCTGCTCTTGGGTTAACGTGATGGTCTTTGGCGGCTCGTCTTGTTTAACGGGATCAGAGGAAATCGAAGATGCGACAACTGGCTCCTTGGGCTCTATAGCCTCGCTGGCCTCGAGGTTGAAGACAGAAGATCTGGCGCTGGAAGGCGGTGTGAGGATGTGGGCTGATGTGTTCTGCATTGCGGATGGTAGAACGGCGGATAAGCTGGCGAGGAGGGTTAGAGAAGAACTGCGGCTGGTAGTAGAACCTCTCACTCACCTGAGTTATTTATCCTGCTGTCCCGCAACGCACGTATCTGTGCTTGCAGGCGTTGTTGTTCTCCCGTTTCGTCTTAGTGTCCATTGTGGTCGGCTTGTGGACGCCCAATCTTGTGTTGTCATAGTATAGCGGTGTACGAGCCTTGTCTATTGTGAGCGCAAGAGAGAGCGTGTGGTCGGTCGCAAAGGGCGAGGACAGGTTTGACACAGTATTTACGTGATTTGCGAAAGGTTTCAACTTCTCCCTTATCCAGTGTAAGTAGCAAACGCTGCAGCGTACTCCCAAAAACTTATACGAGACGGCTAAATCTGAGGCATACACTGCCCAAGTTAATCCACCTTGTTTCCCCCTCTGTCTCAACAAGGGGATTAAGGGGAAGAGCTTAAGTACCGATAAGCAGGAGCGATTCCTCGACACAAAATCCGGGATCCTCGATCGCACGATCCTCTGCAGACCGACAGCCTGGTGCAATCTATTTACGTGAGGGCCCTTTCGCCAATCCCATTCGAAAACAAGGATGATTGCAGGGGCCCGGGGTTGGCTCCCACCCATATGGGATGTTCCCCACTTGCCAGACAACGAGGATGGTGCTTGAAGCTTGAAGCTTGAAGCCCCTGAGCCTCCGACTCCCAAGATGGCGAATACTCGGCACAAATTAGTATGCATGACCCGAAGAAAACAAAAAGCGATCACCAGGCCGCTCACAGCCCACTGTTGATCGACCGCAGTCACTTCTGCCAATGTAAATGATTTTATCGCCCTGTATCATAAACTCAAGCTTTGTTGATTGTGGCCCTAACAGTAGTCACCTCTTGCTTCCAATTGATGGCGCTCATTTGTTCTGGAATCGATGTTGCGACGATATCGCTCGCGAGATCTGCCGACAAGCCTAATACAAACTGTTGGAAAGCACAGCCTAGAAGTGATGTATTACTTACCGCAACGTCGAACGTACGCTCTATCTACGAAAGAAGGATTCAGAAAGCAAAGGGAGGTGTCACTCATTATCTGCAGCCTGCCGCTGGCTCCTACGGTACTCTTCCTGGAAATTGGCGTGGCTATGGACGAACGACCAGGTCGGCCGGGGAAGGAGTTCTTTGAGTTTTGCAAGTGGCCTTCGTCGCCGCATCCACCTCGTGACCATGTCTTTTAGGGCATTGATCTGGCGTTGAATAATTCCACCGGCTGTGGTACTAGGGACGGGGGAATCCTAATTCAAATGCGGGTTACTTGGCAAGGAAAATATGACGGGGAGAAGGAACTGTACCTTTCTTCGCAAATGCACGACATCTGATAGAGGAATAAGAATAGGCTGCCGTCGAATTATTGAAGGCAAGACTTACCTTCTGTCTGAACAATGTCGTATTTATCCAGAAGGGATTGTCATACTTCAACGACGCATTCGAGGGACGGAGTTCGCTAGTGGTACGACATTGTTGTTCGTCATACAGGACAGACTCAGAGGCAACACTCACCCCAGCAACTAAATTAGACCAAACCGAGTCCTCGAGAACGGCTATCTCAGTAGAGGGGATCTAAGACGAAGTCAATGCTTTTTCGTGACTTCACGAAAGAAATGCTCACAGCTGAAAGCATCAGTTGTAGAACGATAATTGCTGGGTGGAATATGACCTGAGATGGTGCCATCCGTAACCCCCTCGTTTTAGCTTAATCCCCTGCCTTTGAGAAAGGTGATAGTATTAAGGTGACTTAATCCGATTAATCTTGTTGAAAGGTCAAAACACTTTTTTCTAATTCTAATTATTATCTACTCTTTACATGGCAGCACTCGACGGATAAAAAAATAAAAACGGATTAAACGGATTAAAATTTGGGGCGGCTTAAATGGATTAGTCTGATTAAACCATAATGGAGACTTGGAGTGAAATGACGGGACCGGTCAACTTGGATTAAGCGACTTGAGAGCGCTGGAAGACAAAGAGCAACAAGAAAATCTGTTTAATCCGATTAAACAGATTCAGCGCAATTAAACTGATGACCTGGTTTAAGCAATGACAGAGGATTAAATCAAGAGGACGCACTGCGGCACGAGGAGGGCACTCATCCACACTTGCGAAGTATGCGGTCGAACATGTACAAAGCGCACCACCAGAATACTCACTTTGGCTGCTTTCCCGGTAGAGGTACGGCGGCAGATGTAGGAACAACAATTGGCTACCCGAAGGTCAGGCGGCGGTAGGATTAACAATTAGTAATGAAAATAATTGTCACTGGGTCGCAATGCAAAGAAAAAAAACCTGAAACTTGGAACCAACACCAAGGAGGTGTTGGGGGAGGAATGCAAACTGGCATAATGCTGGGGGGACAGGAAAAACGCGCTGGGAGAACTCCCCATCTTATAATGACCCGGCAATCTATTTGTGGCTCATCAAAAGAGGCCCGATCGAGTGGCAGGATGAGCCACTTCGCCACAATCTTATTGTTTCTTTCTAGGTCCTTTTGTCATTCGTGCTGAACGCCGTCCCCTCCTGTGGTGATATATAAGGAGTGGCTTAGATCTTGCTGAAACGCGTCGCTCGGTCTTCAACTTGGGGTGGCTGTGCTAAGGTTGGTCCCTCGGAACCGAGTCCACTGTTGCAGCCTTCACCGTCTCGCCATCGCCTTATAATACCCGTCTGCCTTCAAACCGGCACAAGATACTTCAACAAGGTATGTATTCCGAATCTGAAACATATCAGCCCTCCTTTTACTAACAAACATGCCCTTATCTTTAGTTTATCTCTGTCTCTTGTGCCCCCTGCTGTCCTGCTTTCCCCCTCACCTCTTAGCAGGTATGTTAGCCCTTTCCTGGCCATAAATGATGGATTTATGGTGGAGAAGCGAGGGGAGACCCATGGAGCACAAGACCCACACGGTATGCCTCTTATTTTGTGCCTATTATCCTTGCAGACTGACTTCTATCCCTCAGGTTCCATGCTTGTCTCCTGCGCCTACCACCTCAACTCACCAGTCTGCTATCTATGCAGTTCGAAGAACCTGCTCCCGCCTCGTATAGGCTCAACCCCCACCAACTGCAAAATGTCGTTGTTGCCCACAATTCAGCGGCCAGTGCGACGCCGGCATCGCTACCACGGCCAACGCCTATCACGGTCAATGCCCACCACGACCAGGCACAGCTCGCCAGTGCCAACCTCCCCGGCATGTCCAGCCACGGCTCAATGTGCTCATTGCCTGCGTCACCATGATGGTGGAATGAGAGATGGTGAGAGGAAGGCGAGGTAGAAGGGTGAGAACAAGGTGAAAAGATGGTGAGACGATGTGAGAGGGCCGATGATTCAGAGAAGGGCAAAGGCGAGTTCGCTGTCTCACCATTTCCCTCGGCGCACATCCCCCATCCTTCGACCGCTCCTCCTAATTCATCCTCTTATCTCACCAATCTGCTCCAACCGCTGCCCATGCTACCTCTGTCATTGCAAGGGCGACTTCCATGGCCTCCCATTTGCCACTGTTTCTTGTCTCAGCATTAAGGTATCTCAGGTGGGAGACAACGCTCGCAGGTTAGGACAATGCACAATGAGCTGTTCCATCGGTGGCACGTTCAGCAGTTTAATCCGTTCAATCCGTTCAATCCAGTTTAATCCAGTATATATTTCATGCTTTCTAATAGTCTACTAGTTGAGACATTAATACGGATTAATCAGATTAAGCCCACTTAATCCTATCACCTTTCTAAAAGCCCTCAGATTAAGCGAAGCCCAGTGAGTTTCATGTGCCAGTGGCTGAGTAGAAATATCAAAGATAGAGACACCACAGACCTCTCGCGTCATCACAGGATAATCTTTATATCTGTCCTGAAGCTCATCCAGAATAGAGAGTTTGTCAGTAATGGGACGTGTAGTAAGGGTAAATAGTGGGATGGAATCCTCACGCAGGGGCGTTATCGCCCTCGTCCACGATCCATCACCCAAGGCGACGGTAATCCCGCGTAGAAAGAGCGAGCAGGGGTTGCCTTTGGCCCCCATTGTGCTGGAGTGGTCGCCTGCGAAGTTATAGTTCAAGTTGTTAACCCAGACAGAGGCCCTCGCTTGGCTTTCATCATACGTGAACTCGGTCTGTTGCCCGGCCAACTCGACGACATGCGGAATCGTCGCGTATGCCCATACCTTTGTTTTGTCGCACCCAGTCACAACAAAAAGAGTACCATTCACACGCGGTAGTGTGGGAGGGATATCGCTGTAGTGATTCATAAACTGGTACCAATCCGACGAGTGTTGCCTGAGATAGGGATAAAGTTTCTGTGTTGACCAGATCTTCACGGGAAGCACCTTCGGGCAGAACAAGCACTGCGCCTTCACGAGCAGAGGTAGAGAATGCGATCTTTCTGGGGGTAAGGCAGAGTTAGCTGGGTCCGTTTGTAAAAAAGGGTAGAGCAATACAATGGACTTTGGGAAATCGAAGTGAAGGAAACTCCTTCGCCGGCAACGACACTGCCTGGTGGATAATGATCTTGGGATGTTCTGACTTCCCAATCAGCCAAGGGGGGTTCAATGGGGACGAATTCTCGGGGCATTGTATCTTCTTGAATTGGGTGGTCGGAAGGATAAAATATGTTGAAGCAGTAGACGAATGTGCCTTCACTATCAATGTATCCAACATCACCAATGCCTGCACCTCTCTCGATGTGGCTCGCAGGTGATTGATCGTCGATGGCATCAAATGGCGGGAACCCGTTGCCCGCTGACATCAACGACCGACAGTAGACCGTAGCTGACGCAGCGCAGGCCTTGATGGGGCGAAAGTACGGGAATTGGGCCTTCGTTGTCGGAGTGTCCTGAGCATAATACACATTATCTGCAGGATACCCGCGAGGAAGATGGCTTCATGTCATCGTCACCGGGGATGGAACGCTAGACTCACGAGGTTCATCGGCTTCAGAGGTTGGTTCAAAGCTGTCCTGGTCACCACTACGGCATGAAACAGTCATTGAGGAACGATACCTCAGACAGTGAGGAGACGGTCAGAGAGGCAGCTGGGTCGTCGTTCCTGGTGGGTATCAGAATCGGTCAACACTCCCAACAGATTGGAGCAAACCTGCCGGTGCAAATATCAACGAGGCCTTGTGTCCGAAAGGGGAAAGTCCGCATCGGAATTTCACCGACCACGTACGCGACCCAAACACGACCCAGCTGCCTGAGAAGATCCGAGATCATGAACCCTTGTGTCCAATTGTCATCTGTCGTAACCAATTCAAACTCAATTTTCCCTGCCTCTCTTCAGCGCGCTGGGAACGTTCTTTGGTGGTGTTTGGGCTTGCCAACTCTGGCTTCCCCCATGAGTACATAACGTGTGGTAAAACTTTTGGCATCTCAAGGCCAGAACAATTCCCTCTATCATATCCATGCCTATCAAACGTATCTTCTGGAGTAAAACGAACACACTCTTTGGGATATTTTCGAGGTCTGTACACAACTTTGACTGCTTCAGAAACCTGTTAAATAATTCACTCAAAGAGCGGACAAGTCAGAGCGCAAGGTCGAAAAGTACCTCACAAATATATACCTATATAAAACGACAATCGTCTTTACTAAACCATTGGTTTACGGCAGACAGGAGCGACGACAAAGCCATGAAAGTCGGCGAGATGAGGTGTTACCGGAAAGGTTGAAGTTCCTTCCCCACTCCCGTCCTTTGCCAGACGAATCCTGACACCACCGCTTCAGACCAAATCGACTAAATGTGAAGGATTCCGGATGCGGCAGAGAATACCAAACTTGAAATTCCTAGGCAAGTGCATCGAAGTCCGTGCTATGTGTCAATTGTTACTTTTGTACAGAAACGACAAAGAAGAGTCGACCAGGGCTGGCCTGAACAAAAACCACGAGAATTTGCAAAGTTTCAATAAAGAGAGCTTCAATCTCACCCATGCAATGAACTACATTGCCTATCGACAAGACTTTCACATCGTCGTTCCTTCCAGTACGGACGCCTCCCAGTGTGAGCCCAATCGACGAACGATCTTTCGAAAACAGCTAATGAAAATGAAGTCGCGGCGATCTTGTCCCGGGTGAGCTTCATTAACGAGGCCATTCTGATGTCTACTCCAGAGCCCCACTGAATATGCAGCTCAGGCGCCAGAGGACGTCCCATCGACACCTAGGGCCGGACCATCTCGGCTCCCAACCATCCCAGGTGCGAAGGAGACTCAGTTATCGTCGTTCTAATCTCTCAGTTGTCTTCCTATCAATAGAAATGTCGTGTAGCCGACGGCAAACAGTGAGTGTCGTGACATCTCAAAGGACGGTTGAAGGTGCGTTCATTCCTAAGAATTCTGTGAAAGCAATAACCTTTTGTCTCGTAGGACGCGCACGATGTCGCGTCGTCCCTCTTGATGACAAGGTGAGATAAAATGGCCACCTTTTTAATTCACCGTTAGTTATCATCCAACGGAAGACCATGGAAATGCCGAACGGACTATCTCGGGATGTCCAGGATTATATGACAATAATGCCGCGAACCATCAGCGCGATTGTAACATGTATTTTTCTGTTCCACCCTACGCGCCACCGATCTCTTATGGCAAGAAAATGCGCTACCCCCCTATCAGCGTGGGAGACATTGGGTTTTTCGACAGCGACGGTGGATTCGACACGCAATTTAACGCCCTGGACGACGCCAAGAATAAAGAGGCCGATTACAAAACTCTTGAAGGCTTTGTTGACTTCATACAGCTTCTGAAAGAGAACAATCAGCCCGCAGACGATTATCTGCGTTACAAAGAATATGGAATCAGAGCAAATGTCAGTAAAAATATGACAATTGGGATGAGGGTAGCAGAGACAACTGAGTATGAATTTCATGGCAATTCTATGAGTTTTCCCGTTGTCTAACCAGTCCCCCTAGAAAAGGCATGCAATATGAGGTCCTTAAGTCTCCATCGGCGTGCCTATACCCTCCCCATGGTGCGGAGCTCGTGATGATACGGCCGAACAAGTCCCAACTACTATTCGAGGACTTCATGATCCAGCAAGGCGCGCCTTGGACGGAGTTCCTCAAGCCTCGAGGAAAAGGCAAGACAAAGCTCAATTCCGTCTGCGTCATCACCAAGGTCTACCTTACCACCTCGTGGGCTATTGCGTCATCCGAAACTGCAGAACCGGGATCGACAGTGACGCTGATCCACAACGAGTCTGATCCTGAAGTCCTCCGCTGGGAAGACTCCCCCGTGGACATCAAAACCTATGTGTCCCCACCGAGAGAGAGTAGCCCCGAAGACGGCACTCCTGCGAGGCCCACGGAGTGCATTGCCGTTGGCGGATACAAGCTCGACCCTCCAGGCCAGTTCATTCAAAGCTTGACAGACATTAGGCAGGGTGTCCGGAGTTCCATGAATAAGGGTGTGTATGTGACATCGATGTTCGAAAGGTTCTAGTGTAGATTCTCTCCTCGGGACTAATTGGTAGTTGTAATGTATAATATCGGTTGCTCCTCTGTATAGATTCAGTGAATTCTTATTTTATCCGAGGTGTCGAAATACAACCTATGAGTAAGTGTCGGTATGAGGTGCGCAGCCTTCAAGTCGATCCTAAAAAAACTTTCTCCTGACCCCACATTCAGCTTGTGGGAATTATTGCCCCATTTATTCAATCGAGATTCTTGTCGATCGCCAAGACCTTATATAAGCCTACAAGTTAGGCGCCCGTCATAATGGTTCATCCGTAGCACAACGGAGAGGCGGTAGGATGCATGGGACGGGGGGCAATCGACGTCTAGTAGTGAACGTGCTTACGCAAGTGTCTACGCGAGCCTTCAAGCTCACATCTTACGGCACGAGGCTTGGCAAAGGGCTTACGGCAGCGGCCCGGGATTTGTTCGGCATCCAGTGAGTTTGATATGAAATGAGTACTGTCGGCGCGCTGGTGGTGTGTCCAATCTCTCCCTCCTGATGCCCAGTGATTGTTGTCTAGGGGTGAAGTACAGATGTTCTTCTCGATCTCCATATTGCGACAGCGCACAAGGAATTATCTCGATAATTGTGAAACACTGGCCACATTGAACATTGAGGGCACTCTCTTGTCACGGAACCTTGATCATGTTAAGGGAGAAAGGGAAGCGCTAATACCTACAAGTCCTTAATGTGATACATATATGTATGTATGTAATAAATGTATCTGGGTGCTGGGAGGGCGACCGTCGTCGAGGACACTATACATGAAAGAAAGTTGAGCACCATATGGGACGACCTAGGTTGAATGACACCCATACCTTCGTCAGGAGGTGAATGAACCAAACGTTGCTGCAATACGTCTTGATATCCGCTTTCCGAGCGTGATCTTAGAAGTACCTGGGAGGTCGAATTCCACAGCAGATACAGCGCCTAACGGTCGCTTTCCCGTGTTTATGGAAGAAACCTCGATACCAATCGAGACGCCATGTATCTTTGCTACCCAGCCTTCCATCTCCCGTGTAGACGGTCCTGTCCGCGCGATGATTTCTGGAGCACAACGCCAATGGTACCTATCTTCGTTCTCGTGAGGCCTAGTCAGCTTTCCACGCAAGCGGTGGTAGGGAGGCTTCTTGGTCCGGAGGATCTGCTCGGTGCAGACGGCGGATGCCCAAGTCGGTGCCTTGACGCAGCCGGTCACCAGCATCAGACCTCCATTTGGGATCTTTCTCGCCCTAGAAAAAAGTCGGTACCAAATTGGTCCCCACACGTTAAAATAGTGCTGCATGTTGCTGAGGACGTCCCGGGGAAGGAAGAAGGAAGTACCAGAGCCGGGCAAGACCAGGACTGCGGGGACCTTGCCTGTTTCCCGGCGGCCCGTACGCTTCGGTTCGATTGTAAAGCTGTAGACGCAATTTCTAGAAGGGCGTAACATATTGAAGACGTATGAGACTCATGGTGTGTGCCAAAGAGATGAAAAACGAACGGGTTACTTTCCGGCTCGTCCATGTCAGGAATTACAGTCCCTAGCAAGAAATCCTGTTTCTCCATTCCAATGCTGTCCGGTAGAGCGTTTTGTGATATGTTTCTGGCGGAGACGATTTCGATACGGTGTGAAATCGTCGGGTACCTTATATTTCATCTTTCTGTTTTCCTCAGCGGTCATGAAAATGTTGAGAAGGACTTCGAATCGTCCCTCAGATGTAAAATACCCGACATCGCCTATGGTCATTTGTTTCTGTCGCAGTTCCGAGGGCAAAGTGAGGTCGGTAACCGGCTCCCACAAGCAAATGAGCCTGTCCGACCGGAATTGTCGAGAGCACATGTAATTCTTAACGTTCTCGTCGGTATGTTCCGGAAGCCTTTTCGAAACTGACTTCAAGGTCGATAAGCTAACATCAGGAAGGGGAAACAACGTACATACGTTGACCATCACTGGTAAAAGGTAGCAGCCCGCCTCATCCACTGAAGTAAAGACGTTAGTTGACTAAGATCAAGACCTAACTTCGACGCACTATTGCCGTCAACGGAAAATCCGGAACTTGCTGGGGAGACTGGATCGTCTGCCGTTCCCGCGTACACAGACTTGTGGGCACTTTCTGTTGCCCCCTTACCAAGTCAGGGTTCGGAGCGTCACTGGAGGCGTCATGTGGAACTTCATTCTGCAGCGGATCGGCCTAGAGGATGACGTGGAACACAATCGAGGGCCGTTGATTTTTGGGGTGGAAGGGAATTAGCTTACGGATTCGGGGCGCGCTTCTACGGTGTTTGAACAAGCTCCTTGTATCAGGTTTTTCGCAGTCCTCCCATCTTGCTTTACACGCAGCGCATCAGCTAGTCCGTATCAAGAGAGACCCGGTATTGGCGTTACCTCTTGACGATGAGGACCTTGATCTACACGAGTTTTTTTGGTCTCAGTCTCGCAGAATAACAGTAGATTTGTCAGATATTTCTTCTACCTACCTTGAATGTCCATTCGAGTGAAAAGTTCCCCGAGGTCAGCTGCACTCAGACGCAGAACCTCCGTGGGCTAAAGGCGATGGGGTCAATTGTCTTTTCTCAGGAAAGTGGTCTGGGGGATTTACCTCATTGCTATCCGGAGGGTCCGCTCTAACTGTAAACGGGTCAGATTTGTTGGAATTTGAGCTGACGCAAAATGGATGGGAGTGACCATTGTTGATGATGAGGTTTCCTTGAACCTTGAGGATGCGGTTCGTCGTATTGTGCATATTGGATAATCGAAGTTCTCTGCCTTCGTATCGCGGTGTCACAGACATTGGCGTTGAGGCAACAAATTGGGTTGAAGCACTGTGAGAGCCTGTCAGTCCGTCTGACCTCGGAAACGGCAACCTGGTTGAAAACGTTTCGCTCACCTCCTAGACGAGACTTCCATTGTTGAATGAGAGACACGGAGAAACAGAAACGACTGAGAGTAGAGGAGGGCGGAATAGATAACGAGAGAAGGATTGTAGGAATGGTTGAAAGGCGGTCAAGCAACAAACATAAGGTTTTCTACCTGTGGAATCCTGGAGGAGTTGGAGAGGGGATCCGAAGGCTGAGCCGTCACTAATTTCCCAGAAACATCGTCGGTGTTCTTTTCCCCAAAAGATGGGATGCGTATCAGTGTGTTGCTGCTTACACAGGTTCTTAGATTCATGAAAGAGACAAGAACGAGGATTACGAGTCTAACATAGATCCGAGCATGACACCGCTTGGGTGGATCCTTCCAAGGTTGGTGGCCTGCTCATCCAGATAGGAAGATGATGCTTTTGTTTGTGTGTCCAGAAGCACGGGCTTGACATTGCATTTGACTGTCCAGGAGAAATTACTGGCGCATTTGACGTCCATCTGGATGGGATTCAAGGAGAAGGGGAATCTGAGTTTACCTTATTTGTGCCGACTTGGCGAAATCTTTGCCGTATTTCCCACGAACTGCCAGGTTGAACGCCCACAACATCACCGCGTTGACTTGACTGATGGCCGATTCAATGTGTGGTATACTTCCGTCTTCCAGTTATACCCAATATTGCCACGTCCACGCCGTCTTTCGACGCGTCTTTGAGCCACCATGGTGAGTCCGTCGCCTACAACGCGTTCCCTGGCTTCTTACTCTCTGAAAGACCCTCCATGAGGTACAAGAACACGAGGCTGAGACCGAAGGTGACCATGAGGAAGAAATCCTGGAACAGCCTGGTATGATACACCCATTCCCAGTCTCGTAGCTCTACTGAAGTCTCTCTCAAGGCGCTGGACAGAATCCTTACCCAGAACTAATGAAGGACACCTCGTTTACACGCTGTTTACTCGTCACAAGAGCAGGCGAACATACCGACTCGTTTTCTCGTTGTCTCTTACCTCTAGGTCATGGATTTCCACTGTATTCACCCGTTGGCAACCTCACCAGTCGACCACAAGAGCATATCAAGCAAGGAGTCTCTGTTGGCGACGTTGGACTCATAGACGAAAGGGGACAGTTCACATACTTCTTCAATGTCTTTCTTCCTACGACCCACCCGCGCCAGGGGGAAGTTCTGCCCGACTTCGTACCAATGCCGCCGTTGGACCGCTCAGTGGACCTCAGAGAAGAGTCTCAATATCACCCTCCCGGCACCGTCCTCGTCAGCAAAGGCGTACTGACGTCGTATCTTTCAAAATCTCCCATGTACGCCTTTCATTGAACGTGCTGCTCTCATCCTGACCGTGCAATGCAGGTACATAGAGTTCAAAATTAAGGCCCGTGAAGGAGCCGTATGGATATTTCCACATGGAGCATCTCGGGAAGACTTGATTTCAACGACTCGCCTGCACGAGTACATCAAGACGCACGCACTCACTTGGTACCGGCATATCAATACAGGCCTTTCGCAACTTTATCCCAATGCCTCGCTCTATGTTGTGACAGGCTGCGACAAAACCAATTCATGGGCAAATCTGTCGTCGCTTGTCCCGGTTACGGTCCGCTACGATGGCCGGAAAAGGGCCTACTGGGACGCCAACGTGGAATATGTTACCAGTAGTATCAATCGAGATCCTAATAAATACACAGACAACTGTGCCGTCTTCATCCGCGGCATTCGAGTCGCAGTAAATCCTACCCTCTGGACAAAACACCTTCTCGGAAGTCGGCCTCCGGAGCAATTGGCCTACTGCAGCATTCTCGCAACACCAATTCTGGGTATCCGTGCCAGGATTCGGACATGGCAGGAAGATAGGAAGGGCAGACTTCCTGCAGCTATTCCTGGCCAAGAGCCAGTACGTGTTGCAGCATTCTGCGGTTTCCTGTTGCTCATTCATTCCCGACTTAGCGACCATATCATCCTCTGGAATTTGCAGCACAGCTGGTGCTCAACGACGTGAGTAGCAACGGGTCTCCTATGCAATTCGTGGATTCACTTGCAAAACAGTCGCCTGAGGCAGCTATAGCAATTGTCGATGACTATATGTGGGCTGCTGTTGCAGATGGGGTATGGTCTCCTTATTCTCCATGCCCCAATTTCTGACGTCCGCATTGACAGGAGGAAGGGACTTACTTCAGGATGGTCGACCAGCTTATTAGGCTACTTGAAGCTTTCGACGTCGTACTAGAAAATGGTACTCGATTACGTTTCTTGTCTACTTATGGCATGGTTGCCTGACATGTTTTCAGACATCGCCACGTTGAAGCGTAAGGAGCCCGAGCCTCGGGTATGGTTTCTTGTGGTTGCTCCGATTTCGGGATGCTGACTCTTCTTCCCTCCAGCATACAGCCATTCTCGCATGGCTGCGTAGCCTTCTTATTCTAGCACTTGGAGTCAAGCGAAGGGCTCGGAACGCGGCGAGGGCGAAGGTTGGCCAAGTTCTCCCAGGACCGGGGCCAAGATTGTAAAGCTTGCGGCTTAGCTCGCCATGTATGTTCTCATTTAGCATTTGCAATCTGGAATCCGGATTTTTCTTATCTCAATGGGATTCCTTTCAAGACGACACAACAACAACCGGCCGAAGACCAACTTCGAGCAACAGATCTTACCATCTGTCAGCGCGAAATGAATGCTGTGAAAGCGTGCTAAATAAATCCTCGTTTCATCTTGTGGGTCTTGCGCTTTTATGGCGGGTGCTTCTGCAGAAGAACAATAGGGTGCTTCGTCTAGGATGATCTGGGGTTCGACTTAATGCGCAAACCAATTGTTGGATTACTGACGGGTTTTTGATTCTAGAGAAATATTACCACATTTTTCCACTGGCAGGCACAGGTGGCGCGCGGACAAGAATCTCGTGAATCTGGCGCAGAACCCTTCGAGTAGATCTTCCGCTCGCATGGCGGTGGACTTTGCCAGTGCTTTGCCAGTGCTTTCCCACATTTGTCTTCCCTCCCCGCAGGATGTCCATCTTTTCCGGGAGGCAACGGCCACCCTCGATATAAACACCGTAAGTGGAGTCTCTACTTTCATGAAGTCTTATCCTCGTTTGTTAGCAGTCCTTCATCTGTTCTCGTTCCAGGACCGTTTTGTGTAACGCTGAACACGACACGATGTCTGAGTCGGACACTCAGCCTCCCGCAACAAACACGGAAGAAGAGCCAGGCCCCCGTCCACTGCCTGAATACGAAGCGCCAACGAACGTCCCTGGAAACATTCTAAACATCTCGAATGCCGTACTGGGCAGCCTGAAAGTCGCCCTTGAATTTACTTCTGTGCCGTTTGTCGCAGAGGCAGCCGGAATCGTGTGTAGCGTGCTCGAGATATGTGAGGTAAGCGCTGGACATTCCATTCACTCAATTTGGTTTCCTAAGTTGCTTTCGCATGTAGCGTGCCCATCAAATTCTCCAGTCCTGCCAGCACCTTGTGGAAGAAGCCTGTGGGCTTACTTACCTCGTCTACACTCATTTCGATGAGCTGTCGAATTCAGGGAAGAATCCGATTGAAATGAATCCAAGACTCGAGCGGCAGCTCCGGAGTATGGTCGAGTGCGTTTCTCCGCTGTTCGTTATTATTGTGTTACTGTTGTTCATCGACAGGCTTCTAGGAGTCTGAACCTCGTCAAGCAAGAGTGCCTTCGATTATCGAAACAAGGCTGGGTTCAGAGAGTCTTTAAATACGGAGATAACAAAGATACCATCGAAACTCTGCGCCATCGACTTAATACCTCCACGTCCATTTTCCACGTAGGTCATCCTGGTACATCTCATGGGCTTTGGAAAAACTAATTGGCCGATTTTATCTCAAGGTGGAATCATTCATCGACATCCGAACGGCATTGGACAGGATGCTGAAGGAAGTTGAGACTCGACAAGCAAATATAACCCAAGTGAAGACAACGAACATCACGTTGAATGCCAACGAAAATGCGCGGTTCAACGCGATCGGCCAGACAGTCACGGCAACTAATTGCGGCAATACTTCGACCGTTGTCTACAACTATGTCAATGGTGTCTTCCAAACTTCGGCCAGAGACGGCGTCAGAGAGATTGAGGAGATTGCATAAGATATTACAGCGTCATAGTGGTAGAAGAATGTCATCTCGAATGTCATGTTCGAACCCTTATAGTGATGAACAGAAGCTGTCGAGCATTTCCTCCTCCGAGTCCTTCACCAGTTTTCACAGAGTGCATCGAAACTCTGGCCTCATAACGTTCTGGAAGATTGTAGCCGCCCTTGCATCCAACACGTCTGAAAGAGGGGCTCATTGGTTCATCAACTTCATATTAAGTCCTGGGTCCTGACCGATTCATTGCGGCTATGATCTCCAATTCTGGTCTGCTTGGGCCCTTCGAACACAACGCCACTGAACGATTCGTCGATGACCGGGTTCTTATGGTCTACTGGATTGACACCTTCGCCTTATTTGCGACGTAGGCTCCCCGACACTGCGCTGGCGATCATCTCGTTGGCCCGAAGGATAAGGAGAGGGGAATAAAGTTTCAAATTAAAGTGGACCAAGGCCCAGAGATCGCTATCCAGAAGTACTTAGTTATCCACATCATAAAGAGCACGAATATCAGACAGCCGACTCGAAGTGACCGCAAGTATGAACGGCGTAGTCTTTCTTTGAGAATCGAACTATGAATTGTAGATATTCCATGACTGAAACAAATAATATCAGTAGATCGTTCAGGGTAGAAGTCGTCAATACCTACCTCGCGCCATCCCAATCCTTTGTGTTCGTTGACCGGTCCCATGATGCCGAACGCGACTCCCTTGAACCACCAGAAGCAAAGAATGAGAGCGAAAGCCAGGACGCCGAAGATGATGGCTTTTGTTTGTTGTGTAAACCTCCGCGAGGAGAAAATGTAGTGGTCGAGGACATGGGAGAGCATGAGGACCGCGAAGTACAGCGTCGGAAGCTGGACAAGGCTAAGCACGACGGAATTGACAGAACGGAAAAGAGCATACGTAGTGGTGCAGGTATGTTACACGACCCATGATGAGGAAAGGTACTGCAAGAGAGGGCGGTATGAGCGTTGTAATCTCGATAGCCAAAGAATTCAACGCACCGAAGTGGAAAATCCACCCAAACAGCGCAACCTTGCCCACATACAAGAAGTGCTCCCATTCCCTCTCGTTCATATCTTGATACTTCCGCTGCTTCCTCAAGACATACCAGCCCAGCGTAACGAGTGCAAGGCCCAAACTGACCGTGCTGCCCCACCAGATGATCGGCGTGCCCATGAGGTAGTACTTGAGTTGCGTATCATTCCAGCCACACATCCTCAGCCCGAGGTGGAGGAGGGGCCAGTCGAAGGGTTTGGAAGCGAGGATGTCCTCTTTGTCAGGGTCAGGAATGAGTGCGTTGTTGGAGGTCATCATAGCGACATTGAGGTGCCAGAAGTCACGGAGGAAGGGCGAGCGGTAGAACTTGGTGTCGCCGGCGGGTACTGTCAACGTAACCCGATAATAGTTAGTTAGATTACACGAAGAAATAGAGCAAGAGACGTACGTCGATCATTCCAGTGACTCTCCACATTCCAATACGTATGAATATCCTTAGGGTTGTTCTCCTTATCACAGCTAACCTCGACTTGCTTGAAACCCCACTGCGGCAGAATTGCGTTTGCTGCCCTGAGATAGCATCCAAGGTGATTATGCTTGAACCTCAAACGCGTCGTAAGCGAGTGTATCCTGTCCACCTTAGCGCCGCGCTTGATATCATCGACGACCTCGACCTTCCAATAGTCATGGCTGTCGCCAATCGTCTCATTGCCGTAGCACGATACTTCGTAGTTGAGCTTCGTCACAGGTGCATGAACGGTGTGCGAGTGCAGGTTTCGCGTGGTCGGCGCATGACTCAGGCGGATAACGTCACCGTGCTTGAGGAAGCGCATCTCACTGTTCGGGTTGTACGGTGGCTCGTCCCATCGTGGCAAGACGGTCCACTCGTTGTTGTTGTCTTTGTAGTGATAGCAAGTTACTTGTTGCTGGTTTGAGCCGACGGGGTAAGTCTGGACGTGCGAATGGAGGAGACCGCCACCCCAGCCCATATTTTTCAGCGTGAGTTTGGAGCCATAAGCGATGTCTACGATGTATATTAAACGAAGAAAAAGTGGCGGGAAAGGAGAGCATACCGAGGGGATTTTTGGAAAAATCATTGCCAACAAGATTGGCTTGGAATAGCGAGCTCATCTGTGCGTCGCCTGGACCAGAATGGTTTAGAACCATGAAATGGATCTTGAACGAAGCCATGAAGACGAGGATGGGAACGATTATGAGGCAAACGACTCGAGCACCCCAATGCCTAGCTTGATCTCGCTGTTGTGGAGGTTCAGTAATGAGCATTTCGTGTGCGGCGAGATTTACTGACCCAAGACATCTTCGTATCGCCGAACTTCTCCCAAAGATCTTCAATAGTGTAAATTCCAACAAGTGCCGTGACGAACAGACCAATCATCTTGACGCTACGGAAAGAAGAACAGTCGACGTTATAATTAGAGGGATCATGATAGTATGATGCCATACCTAGTGACCGCGCCAATGGACGCCCCAGTTAAGAACAGCCATAGCCACCAATCAATCGAAAATGACCTGGCAAGAGCTGTCAGAAACGAAGCCACGAAGACACTGAATGAAGATAGGACATACTGGTATTGCTGGTTGTGGAATTTTGTGAGACAAAAAACGGTAAGGAACGTGAAGAACAGAAGCATCGAATCGAGGAGAATGAAACGGGATATGCATAACCAGCCCACGTCTGCAATTCAATGTCAATTTGATGTCCACCCCAACTGACGAACGAGACGCAAGGCTCACCAAGCAGGACCATCATAGCCGTAAGGTGGCACGCCCACTGGCTCATGCCCAACTCAACCGCCGTATACCACGCTAGAGGAACCATGCCCACTCCAAACGTCGCCAGCATCACCCGCATCGCAACATATGGCACACTCTCCGGGTACGTCTCCCCGCTCTTGAATTCAAACGAGCCGTCATAGCCTGCTAGCAGACCCGCCAGACCAACGAGCATCTTGCCGAGCGGCGGGTGCACATCGAAGTAGAACTCGCGCTTGAGGTAGTGTGAACCGAACTTGCCGAAGTGGGCTTCATCCCAGACAACGATGTTCGATGCCCCAATCTTGTGGAAGCGCGTCCAACAGGAGAGAAGGGTGTAGATGATGGGTGGGAGGTGTTCGAGGTTTTGGAGGAAAAATTCTCGCTGTTGGGGGTGGGTCAGTACTATGACGCGATGTGAAAGCTGAGGCGAGACGCACGAGAGATGTGGGCGGCGGCTGAGGCGGTTGTGGAAGGCGACCACTGCCAATGCGCGCTGTCGGTTGGCGAACCTTGTTGTACACGTCCTTGCCCTCGTCGTCGTAGTACTCCCCATAATGCCCCTTCACCTCCGAATGTGGCTCATAGCCCGAAATGCCAGCGGGGGCTGCCGGTACCTTGACCCTCCTGCGCGCCTTCTCTTCGGACATATAGTGCAGTGGCAGCTCTTCTTCGCGGCTGTAGTGGTTGTGGTGGTTGGAGGGGTAGTTGGAAGGATAGGGAACTTGCTCGAAATCAGAGTCTGGATCTGTGGATCCAAAGTCGACCGCAACTGCAGACGGTTTCATCAGCAGGCGTTCGAGGGTTGGGGCCTACGGTGGCGGAACCCTGGTCGACGGCCTGAACGACGACGAAGAGAGTTGGAAGAACCCGTCAGCGCGGGGGAAGTTGGTATAAAATGGTTGAAGGAGAAAAGCTGGAGATACTTGACGGCTGCGGCCACATGATCTCCGCTGCCACGTCAATTTTGCGGTCCACTCACACCGCCATCCAACATTTGTCGCGATCAAGGACTACATAGAGAGCAAGGAAAGACAAAACTAAAACACGAGGGTAGCTACGATGTACACGAAATATTTTGTAGGAAGCGAGATCATAGCACTCTCGCGACCCAAGCGAATAAGGATCCAAACTATACTGGTTTTGTGTGTCGGTAGTAAGTTGCTGCGAAAAGATCAATGAATGTTTATGAAAATGAAAATGACATACCTGTGACCATCGCGTGGTCTCGCTCGTAGGGCTCCAGCGTCACCTGCTCGAGGGGTTTAAAGCTGCCTTCCTTCAGTTCCTGCACCTGTTGTGCGAAGACCGTCTCCGGCGGGATTGTTGAATCGATACAACTGGCTTTGATCGAAATTATGACATGCCCTCCGTCTTTGAGGAAGTGCTCCGAATTCAGTATCACTATACGGGCTTGATCCGGCTGAGCGACGTCGGCGAAGACAACATCGACCAGTGATAGCAGCATCCGATATTTGTTCGGTAGACGGGCATCCTCGACGATAGCTGATGCAAGAAAGTCAGTAGGGGTAAGATTCTTGAAGAAGAAAAACATACGAATGACATTCGTCCTCTTCTTTGCCATGTTGATCAAATCACGCCCTGAACGAGGCGAAAATTCTACCGCATATACGATGCCCTCCTGCATCCAATTGTCAGCAAAACATTAGAAGAGGGGAAACAACCAACTCACCGGCCCAACAATATCAGCAACATGGCTCACACTCGTTCCGCTCGCCGCACCCAGGTACAGAACCTTCGCACCAGGCTTGATGAAGATATCGTCCAGGCCGCCCAAGACACCAGCAGCCAACTTCGACCGGAAGGGGTTCCACACCCGGTACTCAACCTTCGTACCCTCCACGCCACCCTCGATTGATATCCGCTTCTCGCCGTACACCGACTCGCCTGGGACGAGGTTTTTCGTAACCAGCATGTGATCTTTTCCTTTCGCGATGAAGACGCCGGGGTGCCTGTGTGGCTCAAGGACAGTATTTGACCCGCCTCTGCCACCTCCACGTCCGCCTCTGGGGCCGCCCCGTCCTCGGGGTGCGCCGCGACCACCTAGATGAGAGAGGCAAACAAGGGATCGTCGGTTGTTTGGGAAACTTGAATTTGATAAAGACACACCAGGTCCTCCACGACCGCCGCCGCGACCGCCTCTTCCGGGTGGACCACCTCGTCCTCCGCCTCGTGCACCACCGCGCCCTCCACCTCGCCCACCCCGATCACCTCCACCTCGTCCTCCAAAACCTCCACCCCGACCTCCAAAACCACCACGACCACCTGAAGCACCTAGAAAAAGCACAAAGGAAGAGATGGATATCGTTAGTTGGAAGGGTCTGTGAGATATAGAGAGATCAGGACGTACCGAATGCCATTATGCTTTTCGTTAGAGGTGATTTTGGTTCGTTGGTTGCAGCGGGTGTTCGCCCATCAATTTTTTCTGGTCGCTAGATTCGGAAGCGGAACAAACAGCAACAACTATCAGAGTTATCTTATCTTATCTATTTTTGAACCCCCCATACGGCATAGGCGCTTGAGTACAGGACTTACGGCAGGTCATGCAGCTGCGTCCGGCAGCTTGCATTTTGCTTGCATGCTATATAGCGTCCTGCATACTCCATCTTATTGAAATCATAAATAGTCCGTTCTGACTCGAACCCGATGTTTGCCTCCGGACGGGCGCCTAAATGTCGAATGATTGCCCGAATCACAGTAAGCTCAGACGAGGGATTGCGTTCCTTTGACTTCTGTGCCAGCCTCTGTTTCCTGAATAGTAGACATCCATGACCAAACGGTAGGAAAGAACGCGAAAATGTCTCCTCTCCGCCGTTTGGTCTTCCAACAAGGTAACAACGTGCAAAACTCGGGTGTCTCATATATTCAACGTATGGATTGGCCTTAAGACCTTTCAGAATTCCTGACCTGAGAGTTTCACGGGGTCATCTAGTCCAGGAACTCACCGCTTTCGGGGCCATTCGACTCAGAGGCGTTGTCGACTGTCGTCTCCGGATGTTCCGAGCCTTCTTGACCATGTTCCAACCAAGTTCCCGGTCCTATTCCAGTTGTGAGTATGATCCTAGAGAATGGCAAGTTTTGAATTGACTCGCCATGGTTATCTCAGAGGAGACGACGGTGAACACCAACTTGTGTTGGAAAATGGAGAGAATCAAGTGAGGAGCTGGTGTGAATAATTAATCGACATCAGGCTGGCGCTGCCATTGTCCGGCCGATCCCCGCCATCAGTCTCACAACTTATTTAAGGGCTTGTCAATGGGCACACAAACAACATTCCTTTGATCTCCGAGCGACCGCTAATTGACGACCGTGCACGGCTCAGTAACCCTTGGAATAGTTAGTTCGCATGCCGAAGAACTCATGACCGCAGTTAAAGTGAAAAACTTGTGCCATAATGGTGGAAAACAAAAGGCACTTGTTCTCCTAGGTGCTAGCAATTCTCCTTACAAAATTTGCCCGATATTCGAGTTGCCCGAGAACTGGCGCCGACGGGAGTGACCGAGTCCCTAAGTCAGGAGTTTGAACTTTCCAACCGGGACACTGGCCACAGCCCCTTCGGTCAGGCATCTGCACCCTCACGCATCGTGAAGCATTGGCTCTGAAAATTCTATCCTTAGGCCATTGGAAATGAATGACTTATAAATGAAACGATTTTGCTAACCCTGAGTCAGGAAGCTACTTCCATGTATGTTTTGAGTAAAAAGCGAAATTAGGAGGAAAAATGATACTTATGGTCATTAGGACCCTGCTCCCAAACTCTCCTCAGGACTACCTTCAGACCAACATTGAGGCCTTTCGGTCCTTGGCTCCTTACCGGTCCATTTCTCTAGCTGCAGAAGAATGGCTAGGGATTACAAATAACGCCGAGGAGGAAGACGAGCCATACCATTCATCCATCCATAGCGCCACGCCTGGATATTTTACACGCGGCCTCGATGAGGACTCTTTATTCTGACACAAAGTATGTGCCATTTGTGCTCTCGGCCATATTGTTTGTTGTCGATACGCGTTGGCATATGTAGGAAACTCTTCGACGAGCTGAGGGTTTTGGAGCGAAGAGTCGCATTTTCTCGCCTCTTTAGTTATCTGTACCCACCATTAATATTTCTTACAGACTTAGGAGCTTGATTTGATTGTGTTGTCCTATTGTAACTGGAGATAACGCACTTCAAATTGGAAATGGGATCGATGAGTATCGCTGAAACGTGCCAGATTCCCGGAATCAGATAGTCAATCTGACTCACATTGGGACGAAATAAACGCACCCTGGACACACCGAACCCTTAAGAACGACCGTCGCGTGCCAGTTGCAAGGCTGTGGGTGTCCAAATCTCCGGGCAGATCCGGCTTCTTGCCGTAAACCGTTCCCGGTTGGGTTCTCGCCAGGCCCCATGCCGTAAACCATGACAAATGCACTCGGACGTTCGCTACTTCACTTCGACTGTTCGTCCAATTCATATTTTTCTCTCTCGATTGCTCGTGGATGTGCTACTCCGACGGGCGCCTAACTTGCGAGCTTATCTAAGGTCTTGGCGATCGAGAGTAAAAGGGGAAACAATTTCCAGGAATAGAATTCAACGAACCACCAACAAACGTCGCTCGAGATGACTCCAAATTGGCTGGCCAGCATTTTTTCTGGGAACTGTTCCACTGGGATAGCTGTTGGAGTTACGGAGGATTGAAAGTGGCCACGTCCACCCCGAATCGAGCTGCAATATCCGGAGACCACAAGGATATGAAGGCAAAAAGGTTTCAGTATTGACTTTCCGACAGCAAAAGATGCCACGAGTGGCACGCCAGCGTGAGGCCCATCATGGGCTTAGAGAGTAAGGAAGTACGGGGCAGCCCTTTGGCCACCGGTCACGCAAATAAGACGTCGCCAACGTATCAACGCCTGGAGCCGAGAGGGTCGCTGGGACTCGGGGGTGACTTGTCTCGAACAAAAGGCACAAGCACTCATTCTAGTTCGTGCAACAGTCAGCACATATATTCAAAGACGTACAGAACAGCGCCGACATACACACTCAAGCCCGTACGCAACTCAACTCTGACGCCGAAGTATCGCCGCAACCCGTTTCGCAGCCTTCTCCTCGGGGGTCAACTCCCATTTAATTCTCCCGACAATCCTCTGCACGAGCCCTGGCTCCTTCGCCTGCGTCGGCTCGGGCTCAGGCTTCGGAACGAACATGACACACTCTGGGCGGGCGGTGGTCAGTCGCCGGTCTACGGAGGGTAATTTTACGTTTTGAAGGCTCACTGTCGACAGTTTTGATGTCATGCGACGCGAGGATCTTAGCGAGAAGTCGGATGATCTCTTTCAGAGACCCATCTGCCATCTGCGGACTGTGAGTTTTGCTGCTCTTCGATTCGAACGGAGGGAGCCATACTATTTCGCTGTGCTCCATCCAGACCGAATCTTCCATGAGTGAAAGAACAGCTTGAGGGGACTGTTGAATTCTCGACGTTGTTCTTCTAAGATTGGCTGAGATACATACCTCTTCATGGAGAATCCGCGCAAGAACATGGAAGGGGTGGAATGGAACCTTTCAACCAACGTTGAAGCAGAGAATGACGAAATGAGAGAGACCGCACTCGCCTCTCGTCTTGATTGCCATGTGTTTCGACCCTTGGCAATGTAATCCAGCCAGCGTAATACCTTCGCATGATAGATGTCAACAGACGTTGCCAGCACATCGTAGTACGGGATATCCTCAGACAAAGTCTCCTCGACCTTGTGCCTCCAGATGCGATTTGGGAGAGCGACCTTGATGCCACGTACGAAAATGGAAAATAACTGGCCGTCTCCGTCCTCCAAATGCATGGAGCGGCAACGACTGTTCGCTCCGCGAACCCAATCATAGTGGGTCTCCCCTTCCCTGGCGGACCTCTCCTTGAAATCTGCAGAACCGCCTCTCAGATTTGCCATATGCCATGACTCTGTTTTATCGCATCCCGTCACGAGGTAGAGGCTCGCATTGTGGACCAGCGCAGCTGACACATGCACCAAGTGCTGGTACCAGTCGAGGGAATGTTCGACAAGATACTTTTGCAAATGCTCTGTCGATACGAGATCTTCGCGGAAACCACCATGAGGAAGGACAAGAGCGGCTCCTTCTTTGGCCATTGTGGAAAATGAGATATGACTGAAGAACGGCGCATGAGACGTCGAAGAACGAAAAAAGAAGAATTTCTCACAGGGGAGACTCCTTGACGCGCTTGACCTCTACTGTTCTACTGGAAAGAACGGTTATGGGAGGGAAATAAGCCTCGTCTCGCTTTAATTGCGAAGGCTCAGGGAGCTCCAATGGCACGAAATTGGGTGGGGTACAACCCAAATTAATCGGGTCTTCGGAAGAATGAAATATGTTAAATCCATACGCGAAGTTTCCATTAGAGCTGACAATGCCAACATCGCCAATGCTCACGCCCCGCATTCTCTGCGTTTCTGGGACGTCGAGGTCCGCGGGAGGTTCCCAGATTGGATAGCCAATCCCCAGTCCTAAGAGGGCACGAGAGTATAATCCAGCCGCAGCAGCATCCGACGGAAGCAGGTTACACAGTATGAAGGTATTTTGGTTCATCCCGCTGTATGGTACTTCTGTAGGTCCTGCGAAAACGAAGGATCTATCCCGACCGCAAAACGTGAGACAGAACGAAAGACACACCAGAGACTGAAGCGACACTTTCTGCATCTGGAGCATTTTTATTGGGAGAATCGGCCTCGGATTGCGGGAAGGCCATGCCTGGAGGCCGTCTCCCGTTATAGCTGTAGGAACAATTGGGCCAAGAGACGGTGGTAATGAGAGGAGTGATATTTGGTTCAGCTTCGGTTGAACGTGTGAACAGACTCTACGTAAGGAGTGATCAACAATTGTAGGCGTCCCTTGACAGAACGACTCCTGGGACCAAATCGACGCACTTTCGCGGAGTTTGGATTCAACTGATCCAGAATGGGCAAATCGTAGCAAAACTTGCGTATGTCTCGATCATCAACTCCTCAAAGTACGGAATGTATGGCAACGTCAACAGTGTGGCAGTTCGAGTTCGGCGTTCCCTTGTCCTCTTTCTCATTATCCACACCCCTCAATTTATTGGTTGCCACTGGCCAACTGGTCCTCGAGGCAGAATCTTCCGGCGCTACCGACGACTTATCCCACTTTACTGAACTCTACCACTCGGTCATGACCGTCTTCATTTATCTTCTTTCCACTTAGTTATAAAATGCCGTCTACACATTCCTCTCGCCCAGAATCTTCGTCCGACAGTCTACCCCCGGGTAACTACAGTAATAACAGCGATGTTACAAACAGTCTCAACAGCACGAAGATTTTGACGGTCAACAACTACTTTGGCAGCTATCCAGGCGAGCGTTCTAGCACCCCGGGTTTCAATTGCAACTGACTGTATGCCTAGCAGGCCAGTCTTCTACGATTCGTCGTGACTGTCATCAAGGCTTTTTTCCTCCTTCGAGGAGTAGCCTCACCTCAGCAACAGATGTCTGTATCCACCAAATTTTTCTCTGAAAACAGTCACCGAATAGTCTTGCCAGGTCTCGGAGGGCGAGCCGGTTGGGACAAATGATTCAAGGAGCTCGGTGGGCCCTGATGACGATGGCGGTGAAACCTCACCAGATGCTAGTGCTTCGGTTGTTCGGCGGCGAGGTGTAAGATTTTCCGAGGACGCGCAAGCCCGTAGGAAAGTTCGTACTGTTTCTATCTACCATATCACCGCATAAGAAACTAACAACGCTGCTTTAGAAGGAAGAGCGACGTAAGACCTACCTAGCAGCCTACGAGAACGATATGGATGTCCCCGGTGGAGTTGATATTGTGCGTGAAGTTCTTGTGCCTACTTCAAGTTTGCTCGAAGACGTACAAATTGTCTAGTCAGACTGCAGTTCATTCGATTGCGCAAGTCAGAAAAGCTCGTTCGAAACAGTGGGATCAGCGCCAACTAGTAGGTCTGCATGAAAGGAGCCATGAAAACGTTGTTGACATGTCATCCAGAAAGCCCTTGGACCCTTGTCCCGGTGACAGTGAAGGTGAGACTAGGATGTACACACCAATGGGCCTTGTGCTAATATCTTATCAGAACTTTAATAATTCGAAAACTATCCCCGAGAAAATTCGCGCCTATAGGCGAAGTGATTTCTTCGATAGTAGACGATCTATCGCTCTCTGGACTCCATCACCCGGACTCAATCATGACCCAAAAATTACACAGAAAAACGTTGCTGTTGGCGATGTTGGTGTTTTCACGGTCCGGGGAGGCTTCGAGGTGTTCTTCAATGTCTTCATGACTGAAGAGGTCAACAGGGCATATGGATACCACCCACCCCCAAATTTTACTCCATGTGCGACGATCACAAAGGGCAACATTCATAAAGCATCTCTGAACGACGCAAACATCGTTCGCGGCAGTTTTATAGAAGTTCCATGGTACGCCTGCCGTCATAGATCCCCTACTCGTAACTTTCGACTGACTCGACCGCGTTCAGTGAAGGGTACATTTTTTCCTGCGAGACTCCTTGCACACGACGGCCTCTCGAGGGATCCGCCCTCGTTCTTCCAATGGGCGGCTGGAAATTTTATTTGAAACTGGCAACGATGAGGATGCTAATTCAGACTTACCTCAATGTGCACGCAGAGAGCTGGTATCAGTATTACAGATCTCCTAATACCGGCCCTATGCTTCCCAGCGGGTCTCTGAAAATTGTCCACACCACCTACAAGACCAGCACCTGGGCGCTCGCTGTCGGCACAAAGGATCTCACAACTCAGGAGAAGCGGCTGTTTGCAAGTCTTTCCCGGCCAGAAAAGGACGAAGACGTCTTCAAGTGGAATCGACATCATGACGTCTCAGTTGACACCGGACCTTCGACTGTCGAGATGGGTGGAAGGAAAGCGACGCTAATCAACCAGTGTGTGGCAGTGGAGGTGGACGCAATCAAGCCTACTGCATTTCTCAGTACACTAAACGCTACATTAACTCGGGTTTCTCTGTTTCTGTCACCGAAATAATATAATCTTTTGAAGCAATGAAATCTTAGCTAGTGGGAGTAGGGAAATTTGTTGACCTTCCCCTGATCCCCTGATTGGAGAACGGAATCCAATTCTTGAGCAGCCCCATTTTTCTCGGAAGTGACTAGAACTACCCAGACGCGTAGCACACAATGCCCATGGGGTAATTCAGTTGTACAATGGCATAGGGTTTGTGTGCGTCTCCATCAAGTCATGCTTCCGAGCACTGCCTTCAGGCTGACTGCAGTATATCAAGTCCCCGAAAGAGTCTCACTTCGCACCAGATTATCGGCGCACAAAACGCATTACTCTTTCACAACGGTCATTTGTCCCGCATCTTGTGTAGAAATCACGTAACTCTTTTTGTTCAAGTATCAACCACTTCGCTAACAACATATTCAGCCCACCGGATTTTCTCTCGTCATACTGTCAACACGCCGGCAAGGTACTTTGTGTCGACGCACGTCACTTTGTGTACTGCTTTCGGTACGATCTTCGGAGACTGCCGACTGAGTCCAAAGGTGGGTGATGGCTACGCACAGTCTAGGTCACGATAAGTCCGTAAAGCGGCAGTACGTCGGCAGACTGGCGATCAGCGCGACCAGCTGTCCCTGTCACGGCGTGGGAAGGAAGCAAGCCCCTCCCCGTTGTGAGACGATAACCCCCCTCAACACCAGTTGGATCGGGGTCCAAATGACGCTAGCTATAATATATGTCATGGAATCCCCGGTTGTCGAATTGGGAGTGACAAAAGACAAAGAGTGAAAAACTAGGTGTACACCTTTTGGCCTAGTGGTTCAATCGCGCTGATAGCTGCTTTATCGTGTGAAATCCCACAAAGTCAATGCTCTAAGTCATCGGTTCAATTCCTGAGACCTACAATTACCCATAAAGAACAAGGATACGACTTGACAGCCCCCCGCAATATGGCAACAACCATCGAGGGGGATACACACAACAACGGTGGACCCACACGGAGGACACAAGAACAAGAGCGCCCGAGGCACACGCCAAATTTGATAAACTTGAAGGCGGTACGCTAGAGGGATAAATAAGATATGTACGATCAACCCAATAACAATTGACCTCCTCAAAGTCTTTTCCTAGCTAGCTCAGCGTCCTTGTCGCCCCAATGTCGAAGTCTCCGTTCTTACCCTTCCGTCGAGTGCTACATCGCCCGAGCTCTGTCTGGACAGCCCAGACGTAGCGGCGGCCAAGGCCTTGGTCCTCAAGTCCCAGTTGCCCGCTGCTCGTCAGGAGAAGACGAGCGTGGACGAGCCTCAGAGGACATACACCTTCACCGAGGAGGAACTCCAGAGCTTGTTCATGAATCTACTCAACTCGCAAAACACTTCGAACACGGCTGCCGACGTTGATACCAAAGAAACCTGTGTCCCGGGTACGTTGACCGCTTAGCAAGGCTCGACCAAGAAAGAGAAGAGGTGTGAATGACCGTTACCTACTCCCATATTTCTGGAGTTAAAGATCGTGACTAGGATTTGTTATTTCTTTCTGGACGGCCTCTTATGGACCATCATTTCATTTCTCTGGCAAGCTATAATAGAGAGTTTGTGCAACAGCCACAGAGCCACCCCGTGGCTGATTTTCGTTGTGCATGACCGTATAGCCACAGGTTCGCAGAGGTAGCTCTACCCAAAGCTTTCCTCGATAGTCTCCCATTTTAATGGAAATATATTATGGACATTGAAGCTCGGTATTGGCAAAGAAAACTCAGACCCTGCCAGCACAAAGGAGGGAGAACTGACGTCTCACCCCAGAGCCACGGGTGGCTCGGCCCGAGGAAAAAAGTTCGTCTCTTTGAACCACGCTCCCCTGCACATTTCTTTGGATACTGTCAAGTACCCTTTCAGGAGTCCAACATGTGTTGCTAGCATAGTACATATGTCTATAGAAATTCACTGACTACCGAAGGAAGGAGCAGCACAATGAAATTCAGCCACGGTGTGGCGCTGTGGCTGATGCACAAACTCTCTAATAGCCACAGTCATGCCCTTCTACTTGTATCTCTTTGAAAGTTATAATTCAATACCTTAAAATGTTTTTGGGAGAGGTTCTCTTTGACTTGGGTGCAAAATCCCACAAATACAGGACGCTGCCCACTTTGTTGTGCGCCACATCAGGCGTGGGAAAGCGTAATTACCAGAAAAGGCATTCCCGACACCCTTCGAAGCAATCGGCTTCAGAGAATCCCTTCTCCACTTGCGCGGCACTCTGTAGAGGGGACAGATTGGGATGCAATAGTGAGAAAAAATGTAGTGTAGGCTCTCATGAAATCAAATCAAAATTTGAAATTCTACTTAGCAGCTCTGCTAGGCTATACCAGCATTGTCTATCTCGCAACAGCACCTCGTGGATGGATGATGATTGTCAATCAGGCGACATAAATTCATCCCTGCGGGTAGAAGAAAAACATGCTCGAGCTGGGCCTTGGAGCTTCCTGATCAGCCTCGGCCAGCATCTGTGTAATGAAGCAAATGCATTAGTATAGTCGACAATGTTAAGCTGAGTGAATACCAACTTGCGAGGAGACGAGGTTTTCGAGCTCTCATCGGGTTATATCGGACTGAAAAGATTCTTGGTCGTCGATATGCGGGAAGAGCTGGAGGTTGGAGATACATTGTCTGTGGGACTGGGCACATATACAGCACTATAGACGAACCCAGGATAGCATATCGGCAGGCCAGCGCTGGCGCTCTCGTCAATTTGCATGCTTGAGTCCCGGAGATGGCTGAAGTCGTTCCTAGAGCCGGAATTGCTCACGACCTGAGCGCCGACGAATGTAAAGTCCTTACACGTTTGAATGACAATCGACTGGTTTTCCGCTCCAGCATTATAATACGGCCATTGTTGTTGTACGGATTGCTGATGACCGAGGAGTTATGGACAACCGTGTCGGAGAAAGCACTGTCGACGTAAATTTCTGGCTCTTCGGGAGAAATCAGGCCTGGAGTAGGAACGAGGGTTGGCACGTCGGCCTTGGGAAGTTCCAATTCCAATTTGGCGTTGTCCGCATTTGTCGGAGGCGCAACGGTGTTACACTCTCCTCCAGCAGACTCGAGGGCGAGTTAGGACGAGGTAGGACGAGGTAGGACGTTTCTGGAACCTCGGAAGCTGGGCTAGCTGGCGCGTTGTCTCCAGTTGGCCTGAGAACGCCGGGAGCAGGGTAGAGCTCGAAGGAGTTTCGGGGTGGTCCTTTGACTGTTCGTCGCTCAAGGAAAGGTTCTAGACAAAGGGCTGCTCGTCGTTTTTGCTTTCGGCCTTCTGGAGCCAGGTCACTAGTTACTCCAAGTGCTTCATTGGCGTTGCGTTCTCCTCGTTCCAAAGTTCCAGGGTGATTAGAGCTTCGAATTTATTCTTGCCCTGTTGACCGTTAAAATAACTCAAGTGAGAAACAGTCTTCGTGACTCACGGACACCCCGTTGGCAATACCTGCAACACCTGATCTTAGCTCAGCTGCCTTCCCCCTATCGGATTGTCGACATATGAACGTCATCCATCGGGGATAGCTGAAGTACTTGTGACATAAAAGTCTTGAAACTTGTGATATGTCTGGCGAAGTCAGTCAGCGGAATTGGGAGTGATAGGCAAAGGATCCCCTACCGACCAATCTCCTCGATACCAACTTGGAAGTCTTGAGCCGCGGGCGTCTTTTTATATCCAGTCGCAATATCAATGACAAGTCCACATATCTCTTGACCGAGTCGTCGAAGGTCATGGCCGATATGTTTCGCAGTCTACGGTGATTCGTCAGCGATTCCTTCCAGCCAAGATGCCATCGACATACAGTCAAGGTTTCCAACACCCCCGTCGCCTCTGTTATGGAATCACGAAGTGTTTCTGCTTGACTCGGATTTCCAACGGCTTTCAAGGTCTTGAGAGTGGTAGCAGAGTGATCGTTAGAGGTTTTGACCTTGCCGAATGTCGCTGGTTTGGAATCCGACACGGACGAACTCCAGAGTGTGTTAAATCGGGAGTCGGGACAACGTGGATTTTCGAGAAAGATCCATAGGAGAGGATTCAATAACGAGAGTGGCGATGGACGGAAGTCAGGCTGGGAAGGAAACAATCTCGACAACTATAAATTGCTGTATGTTTGACCCACTTACAACCCACTGATGATAGCAAAGGCTGGCGTTCAACATTCAACTGTTGGCAGGCGGTAGTGCCAGGGAAGTTGTTACGAGCATTGTTGTCCTGCAAACTGACAGCTTCAACTATTCCAGGAAGTGAAAGTCTCTCGATGAGCAGGGAATGTGAGAGAGCAGCGCATCTGGACTCACTAAGCTCTTTGGTTGTTATCCATGAGCCGACAAGCCACGAAGAGCCATGAAAGTTGCCATCTGCAACGGACGTACTTTTCGTTGAGGCCAAAGCACAAGAGGGCGTTATTCAGCGATGCTTCACCATCGATTGGAGGTGGAATGGACCTGGAATAGTAGATGGACACATTGTTGCGTTGGTTCCCAACATGGATTGCTTACATATAGCATGATGAGACCAAAATGCACCAGATTCCCGGTCTCACAATCAGCCATCAAATCTCTGTTGAGTAGACTGAACAGGGGCCAAGCAGAGAACAACGACCTCAAAATGCACCTTGCGCAGAAAAAGGCCGTACGCGCACCATCGGCTGAACATTTTCAACCGGAATCGATTGCGTGGTTCTCGCCAAGCGTTCTACGCAGGCTTCAACCGTCATGGCATCCACTTTCAATCAAAATTTTCGCTCTTAAACAAATGGAATGTCCCCTGTCTGAAGTAGACGAACAGTGCTCACGGGCGCTTAATTACCTGGCTTATATAAGGACTTGGCGACTGAGATGAAGGAACATGAAAAGGGAAATAACTTCCACAAATAGATTGATAACACCTGAGACGGTGACTCCTACATAACTAACCGCTGATGGTCATATGTAAAATCACCAATGTCTATGTAATAATTCACTGTAAAAACTCTCTAGGTAGGTAACCAGAACAGTGAGTATTGTGATCGATTGGTTAAGAAATCAAATAATAAACATAGATCGGATGATGTGAAGGAAGAAGAGATTGTTGAATACGAACGCCAGTTGGATCGCCGCTATCCATCTGAGCAGAAATTCTCAGGAAAACAAGGTAAGGCAAAATGTCCGTATTTTCCACAGCCACGGCGGTGTGGCTGTGCGCCACCACTCTAATATTCGGACCAAGAAGCGTCTAGGATCAGTGGTGGCTTTCGTGGGGACAGTGGGACCCTCCGTTGGAGGCTCCATGCTTCACATCGTTGCAAGGGGGATCATACCCGCCGTTGGGTAGGGTGAATTGACAGTTCGCTTACCCTCGTTCTAGAATCAAAGAGACGAAGAGGATATTCGGATAATAATAATCGCTTCGTTCTTCACCTTCCGCCCCATTCTACTTAGGTGAGAGGGTGAGATCAGGGCCCTCTTTCATCCCACATTGCTTGCTGAGGTACATGTGTAACACTGACGTACGTCGGCGTTAGTGCCAGACGCATCGGCGTATCCTCCGAGTTAGCGTTCTATTTCGTAGCTGTCGCGAATGCCGCGTCGTTATTTGGACGGTATTTCTCCGAAATTGCTTTGGTCTATCAATAAATGTTCAATTCGGGAAGATCCTTTCCACCGCAGACGTTGGGATCATAACATGCGCATGGCCGTTCACGCATACCCAAGCGTCGCTCATCGTCGTTACTCTCATGCGCGGGAAATTTCGACTGGTGCCCTTCCTTTCTTCGCCATCCTCATCCCGATAACACAAGCTCAACTCCGGTTCCTACATCTCCCTCCTTGCCAATCTGATAGTCGGAACGGGCATAACAGGCCACATCGGGCCGAGAGTTGGGATGTGGAGTGACTGTCCTTGCCACGAACCCCCTAGCAAGCTCCCCTATTTCTGTGTGAATCAGCTCGCCAGCGGCGGGATATTGCGCCACTGCGTAAGTACATATGCTTTGCGTTTCTCGCTGGCTGCAGAGCCAGTTACTCCTTTCTATGGACGTGCATCTTAGTAGAGGTCGACCTGATAGTAATACCTCCGCAGTTCATCCAGCGAAGGGTGATCAGCGAAGGATGGTCGGGAAATACGAGTCTTTGGATGTAGACACCATGCAGTAAATTTATTGCGAACGAAGAAGAGACTTCTCGAAGCTTGGAGACCTGATGACGCGCTCCGGGGATGTTGAGTCATGGAGTTCTTTCAAATGTACTGATTCAATAGAAAGGCAATAAAAAGGGTGTTGAGCTTGAGCTCAAGCTTCACAACGTCAGAGACCTTCTGGGCGTCCAAAATGCGGGTGCCCGGTGCGGTAATTTCCGCTCCAATCTTATCTTATCGCCCAAGACTCAGACCTGCCAAAATTTGAACGCGAAGCCTTTCTTTATCCCGGACGACGCGACACGTCTTCGCTTTCAGGACTTATTGCTCAAAGTCCTTTGTTATATGACTGCAAACAGGGCGACCAGCACAGAGAACGCTTTGGCTTGTATTGACTCCCATTCCGCACTCTTACTTTGGCCGCTTTACGTCGCAAAAACGCCTGTTTATGCTTCCAGAAAGCCGCGTCTTGTGAGCTGCACTTGCTCAATTCGACATTTCGAACCGTCTTCTGGCAATAGGATCACTATTCGTCATGTCTGCGCCATCTATCTGAATATTCGAGAGCGTCGTTTCCTGGCACTGCCAGTGTTCCGACGGAAACGCGTACGTCTTTCCATTACTCTCACTAGCAGTGTGTTCATGTTTCATGATTTCAAACAACAGCCATGTAGAAATTCCTACGAGCCCAATTTTTTTTTGCTTCGTAGAGTTGTGGAACGAATCCCAACCAAGTCGCTCCAGGAACCGCCTTTCCTTCCTTCAGCATGTTACCCAGGGAGGCTCTTGCCTTCCACCCCCCGAAGCTTCATTACCTATAGAAGCCTACAGAAGTGAATTGGGCTGTGGGGTGGAGGAAGGGGTTCTAGTACGTCCGGCCTTCTATGACGACGTCGATTCTATTCTGCGGCTCATGCATCTTCGCACATCTAGAATGCTGGGTTCATCTCTTTTGAGGAACGTTAATTCTACTTACCTTCATTCCACCTCTCCTTCGCTAGTAGCTGTCCTCCCCTTCCTCTTCGTTTCCGCATTTTCTATATTTGCGTGTGGGCGCCGGGCCGTTCCGAGTCGGGACACGTTCGCCTTAGTATGTCAAATCTCCGAATCTCCGAAAACCTCAGCACCTGAAACCAAACTCAAAACCCTCGGCGACTCTCTTCAATTCTCAACCCTCAAGGTTTCATGTTCATGGACCTCGGGCATTCAATTCTCATAGAATATGCTCGTTTCTAGCATTTCGCTAGAGCTTATCGGACCGGAATGATTCCCCCTTGCTCCGTCGAAATTTCCCGCCGTACCGCCAGCTTCCGCGTGGTGGGCCACAAGTGACCGGACGGCACATGCTTCCGCCGCTCGACGCGCACTGATTCTATGATATCAAAATGTAATGATTCCAGGGATGGTAAATTGCTAATCCGTTTATAAATTCGCGAGCTCTTTGTCGTTCTCGTGGTCGGAGTCAGTTCCTTTACCCCCCCTCTGTCCCTGGAGTCCAGTCCTTCCTGTCTCTTTCAGCGCCTCTTCTTTGATCTAGTGCTTGGCTCTCCTCTTTGAATTCTGTTGATACTCAACTTGGTTAAATCATGGTTCACGATCACCGGCACTCGGTCGATGCTACTTCGCAGTCTCGCGCATCTCACGACATCACTGTGGAAGAACATGGTGCTCCCTCATTGCATCCCAGCGACATCATCGAACGTCTTTCCATCGACAAGGAGAAGTACGATGTCGTGGAAGTGGCCGTCAGCCCAGTGCAAGGAGACGGCGAGTTCCCAGACGGAGGTCTCAAGGCCTGGCTGATCGTCTGCGGTGCGATGTGCAATACGCTTGCGACGTGAGTGACCTCTTCCTTCCGCTGGTTGATTTTTTTCATGATCCCTCGGTTTCTTCGGCGTATTCTTCTTCCCGTATTCCGTGTAATCCAATCATCTGACGATATTTCTCGCTATTTTTATCTTGCCAGGTTCGGCTACGTCAATTCCTGGGGGGTGAGCGGATTTAACATCTATTTTCGCTTCTAGTTATGTTCTAATCCCGAAGGACATGACAGATTTTCCAAAATTACTACCAAGAAACGCTGCTGAGCTCATCACCACCGTCTAGCATGTACGTTCAAAACGTTCCCCTCGCACCTTGCATGAAAGGTTCACCGATCACCCTCTTGAAGAGCATGGATAGGTTCGATTCAGGTACGGATTTTTGCTTCTTTCATGCCATGGTGTCCTAAAATACCATCCTGTAGTATGCGCTCGTGTTCCTGCCAGGCCTGGTGGTCGGCCGGTTCTTCGACCTCGGCTACTTTCGATCCATCTTCCTCACATCAAGCGCTATTCTCGTCGTTGCGACGTTCCTCGTTGCCGAATGCAAAGAGTACTGGCACTTCGTCCTCTGCCAGGGTATCATGGTCGGGGTACGTTCCTTCCCTCATCTTCAATGATTGCACAAGTAGGCTGATTCGATCATTTTTGTGGCGATAGCTAGGATGTGGGGGCATATTCGGGCCTACAGCCGCGGTTGTTGCGCACTGGTTCAAGAAGCGGCGAGGACTTGCGATGGGGTTTGTGGCTGTTGGCTCCTCAATAGGAGGGACGGTACTTCCGATCGCGGCCAAAGGCCTGATACCGGCTGTGGGGTGTGTGCTTCTCGTTCTCCATCTCGCATAGATCGTGCCGCTCACCTTGTACACAGGTTTAAGTGGACGATGCGGATATTCGGGTTTATCCTGATGGCGGTTCTTGGGGTGTCTAATTTAGTGGGCCTCTCTTTCGATACTTTTGCTTATTCACAAGATTTACGAGTCCCTGCAGCTTCTGGAGAGGAGGCTTCCCCCTCGCCACGTCGAAGGCGGCCTCCTCAACCTTCGAGCATTCAGGTCTGCGGCATACTCGGTCTATTGCGCCTCAGCGTTTGTTACCTTCTTGGGTGTGTATACAGGTGAGAGAAATCATCGAATTCGTTCTCGATATATATACTCATTACCCGCTGACTGTAGTGCTCACCTACGTTGGCGTCAGTGCGACAGCCATTGGGATTTCAACAGACTTTGCCTTCTACTTCGTGGCCATCGCAAATGCTGCGTCATTAGTTGGACGGTACTGCGCTGGTCTTGTCTGCGATCGCGTTGGTTCGTCTGTGGGATTTAACCAATGAGGAATTCGGGCTAATTCTTTTACAGGAGCCATGAACGTCATGATTCCTTTCACAGCGGGTGCTGGAATTCTGACTTACGCCTGGCCGTTTGCACAGACGAAGTCCTCATTAATCGCAGTGACGTTGATTTACGGGCACACCCAACCTTCCATCCCTCCTCTCCCCTGGACTAACACTCCTTACACAGCTTCTGCTCGGGTGCCTACGTCTCCCTGCTTTCCAATCCAATTATGGATATGGGCGAAACTGGCGACGTCGGGCGAAGAATAGGGATGTTCATGAGCATCCTCGCGATGGGCGCTCTTGCCGGACCGCCCATCTCCGGCGCCATCAGCTCTGCGACGGGTGATTTCAAGGCTGTTGGGTACTACGCTGGTACGTCTACGCGACTTTGGCCTTGAGCACTTCTAAAGTGTGATGCTTTTCAGGTACTTCTGTCTTGGTCGGCGTAGGTCTGATGTCCGTCACCCGACATCTTATCCTAAGGAAGATGTTCGGGAGAATCTAACCCTCGCATCGCGCCGACCATCTTTTAGACACAATACGGACATTTGGACGGAGGACACATTTGACATCATCCAAAAATATTAGAAGACCATGACTAACGACTTAGACTACGACCGACATCCCTATGATTCATCTTGCCAACAACCCGGAAACACTCTGTATAATAAAAAACCCATTCTCGCTGCTCTTTGCCGACGATGCCTTTTATTTCGAATTGACAATGACTGTGAGCATGTTTTACCCCGTAAAGTGCAATCAGACAATTCTCCTCATGCGGCTAGAACTCGAAGTCGGTGGGGACGCGAAAAGCGTCGGGGTCGGTCGCCGGAGAAGGCGAACATCCTTGGATGCTGCAAGTAAGAAACCCAGAGCTCGAGTCAGTGTTTTGTGTCACAAATTGTGTGCTTACCAGACAGAAAAGACCCACATTTTCTTTGCTGAAGCTCATGGTGGCGGCCGCAAGGTCAGAAGAGGGGAGATGTAAAGGCGACGATGATGGAGAACGTAGGGCCATTTCGCTGGGTTGGGCTGGTCTGAAGCCGACGAGGGATAAGAGCTTTGGGGCTTTCAAAGCTCCGTGTAGGTCTTTATGGCCGTGCATCGGAACTTTGAGAATATTAAGTATTTCCAACTCGGATCGGCATTGTGGAGCACGATGAATTTTTGGGACACAGTATGTCAAGTCCACCAATCATCCGCCGCGTTCAACGATAATTGAGGAAGTTAAGGGGAACAACTGCTTCCATTTCATTTGCCAGAGGTTGACTGACGTTCAATGAGAAACAAAGGAGACCAAGTGATAAGGGATAGTTTTCTGAACGACACTGACGACAACTCCAAGCGAATAGGACCTGACCCAGGCCGCTCTGAGGCGCAACACGAGAGAGAAGAACCCGAGATAATTGTTATATTTCCCGGATTTTGGACTCTGGCCGTAAACCTGGGACACAATTGATCAATCAAGTTCAGGGCTGACAGACCAATAAACCTTCGAACTGGCCGCCCGCGGCACATGTGGAAAACGTGCGGTGCGGAAGCCAATCGGAGAGAAAAAACCCTAGGAAGAACATGACAAGTTGACCTCTCTACAGCTGTTTGAGAGTTGTCTTGAGAGCGCAGATCCTAACGTGACTTGGCCGTTAGTTCATCCCACCAGCTAATCACAGTTTTCTGTGAAGGCCTTGAGTTTCGGCAGAGAGGATAGTCTTTCGTGCCTTTCTTTAGTGTTCAAATGACTCGCAAGTCGGGACGTGATACATTTCAAGTAAAATCGATGGCAGATTTCCTACGATGGAATTTAATCAAATAAGCGCCGGTGTGTCGGCTCGTCGCGCCCTTCCGTCAGCCGCATTTAGTTCTCTGTTGAAAAAGAGAAGAAAGTATCGTCAATCAGATAAGATTCCTCATCTCACAGCTCCAAACATAGATTTGACGTGTATGGGAGAAAATGACAGCGTGGGCTATCGGAAAAGTCAGTGTGAGTCCTGGAAAAAGTGACGAGGACTCACGTACGTTCTATGTCATGACAAAACAGAAATTGTGGTTCTCTATTGGTTTACATCAGGCTCTTCATTTCGACCACTGATAGAACCCAAGTCCGATTCATTCGAACGCATCAGTGGAGCGAGCCCGAGAGGGTTACTTCAGGCGACTATCCACCCAGCCACGGTCCCTCAGTCGCCATGATCTCCTGGACGCCAACCCGCATCCCAACATTCGTGGTCGTCGGTGTCCTGGTCACAATTGTCGCGATAGCCGCCATGAGAGCCGCCAGGCAAGACAGCTCGTCCCTCGTCTCGAAACTCAAAAATCCTCAGTGTCAAAGCGGCTCTCTTCTTTGCTGCAAGCACATCGCGAGCGTTCGTATTCTGGCGCGTAGTCCTGTTGACCTCGGCTGATTCTCACCCCTACTCGACAGGGTCAGGACGAGCTGAAGGTTGTCACCGGTCTCCTCAAACTGCTTAACTCCACGGTCGAGTTAGACGGCTCTGCCCACGTCGGGACGCAGTGCAAGTTGATGGCCAGCCATGATCGGTGTGTTGGAAAGACAATTTGCTGCGACACCATCCACCAGGTAGGTGGTCAACGGCATCGGTCGTCCTTCGGACTTCCTTCTTTTCCGTCCTGACTGAACCACGTTTCGCGAAGGATGGCCAAATCGTCACAGGATGTCAAGAGCCTGTTGAGAATGTAGATTAATGAAAATTTGTAGAATCACGTAGGGTCATAGGAACACAGAAATTCGAACCTCGGAGCATGAACCTCCCGAAATCGATTGGTCGCGTCCGATTCGTCCATGGGCAAGACCACCGTCCAATCGAGCTTAAGGCTCATCCTCGTGATCCATCTGTCGGCAACGACAATTGGACGCTATGTATTCGGCCCATTTCACAGGAATGTGTCCAACAGTTGATCGAGTGTCGAAGAGTGAATGATGTGGGACATGTCGGTGGGTCCCAATCGTAACAGAGCGCAGATCCTTTGACGTTATGACTCGTCGACAAATAACATGATAGGCTGGAAGCTTTGCAAACCGCCAGCGGGGTGTCAATTTGCCTCCACCTTGAAAATTGTCCTGGATTTTGGTTTTCGAATGACACGCCTCGAGTCAGGATTTCATTTGAGAAGAGGTCGTTTGAGATATGTTGAGCTCCGAGAAAAGCCGGATCCAAAGTAGTGGTTGAGATTATGGGTACTGTTACAGGAATACGGAGTGAATGTCATAGGCAGCAGACGGGGAATAAAATAGGAAAATGGAAATAAAGATAGGATCGTCAGTAGATGGAACAAAAGGATATACAACCAGGAGCAGGCACTACTTCTTTCGGCCTTTCCGTGTTGTCGTTGTCGCCGGCATTGGTGCTGGAGTTGGTGTGGCCGGTGGAAGACCATGATCCTTGATACAGACGGAGCAAAACCATTTCTCCGCTGGGGGCTGCTTGAGGCCCACGCAGGAGAGATGGAACCATTCGTACGGACAACCTCCTTCGTTGTCGCATGCAATCATCTGTAGAGAAAATAGGACCTTCAGTAGGTTTGCAGGTTGAAATGGATGAAGCCGTACATCGCCATAACTCTGTTTCTGACAGAAACAGTACAACCTTTCGTCTTCGACCTCCTCTTCCATGTCAGCGTCGTCGTCGTCGCCGTCCGCATCTGCATCCATATCCATGTCGTCTGGTGGAGGGTGGATCTGCCGAGAAAGACGCGACCTCTGCTGCGTGTGTGTTGGCGCAGCCACCGCGGCTGGAGATGATGAACGACGCCTCGATGGAGATGGGGCAGGGGATATCTTGATGGAAGTTGCGGTTGCAGTGCGACGTCCTAACGAAGGGAACAAAAGCGGTTAGTTAGCAGGGAAAGGACAGCGGAAATGACACGAGCGCACTCTTGTTTGAATATCCCGTTGAAGGTGTGGGTGAGGGAGCAGACGAAACACCACTTGCCACTGCGCCCCTGCCACTGACTTCTACAGCTGGTGTCATTCCCAAAGCATTCCGCAAACTCTCGCTTATGGCGAGAGCCGGGTTACTTCCGGGTACCCCCAAGCCACCTAGAGAAGCATGTGAGCCTACAGAGCTAGCACCTATCATCACGAGAGGTTTTTGGGCTAAGCTGGAGGCCACTGAGGACGCTGCGATGACTTCTGGAGATTCTCCTTGCAAGAGTCTGACTTTCGCGATGTCAACGTCGAGTTTCTCGCGCGTCCGGGCAATAATTTCAATGAGCCGTTCTGCCAGAGCACATTTCTCTGCTGCTAGCTCCTGAATCTCGGCATACGACGCAGTGATCTTGTCGGGGATGGCTATTTGCGCACCCGCCGCTTTAGGGGACCCAGCGCGCGAAGACGGTGACTCGGCGGACGGCGTGGACGTGGACGGTGTGGTTCCTCGTACATTCATAGTCGTCAATGGCATAGGTGATGAGGAGGCGCGACGGGCATAGCGAATGTACTTCGCTGCATCTTTGTCGATTTCCTGTTGTAGCTCTGCGGCGTGAATTCAGCCCCTTTTCCAGAGAACAAGAAGATAAGGCGGCTCACCCTGTGTCCTATTATCCCTATGCTTGATTTCTTGCAGAATATGCGACACTTCATTCGGAAGATTATCAATGCCTGCGTGACGAAAGTGAGCTCCTATAGCATGACTGAACCCAAAATATGGCGCACTGTAGATGAATTCTGACGCTACATTCGCAGCTTCCTCAAGATTTGGAAGAACCGCGTTCATTTCGTGGCCCTAAGCCCTCTCGAGGTGGAACGTTGGTGATAGACAGGGCGAGCAGTTGGTGGGGAGATCTGGAGGCCATCGCCGTGCTGTGCAAGCGTTGCTGAGTCAGCATTGTGGCCAGAACCGAGTCAGAGCGGCTCCCGGCCTGGAACTAGACCACTTCAACTGATACTTTCATGATCTTTCCATGAGGTATTATTCTCTCCTCGTTAGATGTCTCTAATTTCTCTCCAGTCTGATGGCTACCAGCTGCTATCCATACCTCAGATCTTACAGCCCTCTGGATTCTGGATTTTGCTTGAATCCAACTTTTCTTGGCTTGCGTTCTCGTGTCGCAGGTGGAACCTCTGGGCATCCGAAGAAATTTGCACGATTGGCCACTAGACAACAGCTCTACTTGGTTAAATTTTCCTCACGAGCCTTGGAGAAAGCCTCAGACAATTCGCCGCCTTCATCGATAAATTTCTCTCCTTGTCTTGGGCGTTCTTCACGCCGGTCCAAAATCTACGAACTACGAAAGGAACCACGTTCTCATCAACTCCTTGAAGGCCGTTACGTTGTGTCTATGCCTTACAGCATAGGGCGTGCACTGCGGCGGCATCCCGCGCGAAGATGTCTCTTGTCCGTGAGCTCCGACTCGGAACTGCGAATCACCGTCTATCAACCTTTTTTCCAAGTCAAGCACTGTCAAGTAGGTAGGGTTACTGCTTCCTCAGACGAACCCCGCCCAGCATATCCTGCCTATCATCTTCGAATGTTCGTTTCCAAAGTCTTTTTCTCTACTTCCTAGGTATCTATGTAGGTATCTCTCGGTATCTTCGAGCTGGATGTCTTCCTTGCTTCTCAGGAGTTTCGTCGTTTGCAAACAAGACTGTGCATCAGTAGCCTCGGATTCAGCCACCAAGTCCACTGTGCATAGAAGGACTGTCACCCTGTGGCGTCGACACGAGATCGCTGCCTCGAGGACGACCTTGGAGGGATGTCATTTTCTATTCCTTTCCGTACAATCTTTTTTTTGGCACCTTGGCAGACGATTTGCTCTTTCTTACGCCAATTTTAGCAGACGTGTATGTGGCTGTCGAGACCTCGGCAACTTGATCTCAGCGTCATGCCCCGGATGGTGGCTTCACAAACGTGCTCCTTCGTTGTGGAGAAATGATCGAAGGGGACCCACCTCAAACTCCTAAAATGAAGAAAGCATCCCGGCGAACCTAATAGTGCCCCAGGTATGCGTTCCTGATTTTGAAAATAAGGCTATACAGTTTGTTGGAGCTGGGGGCGTCGGGTATCGAACGGATGACACGGTCAATGCATCCTGGAAAGAGCATAGCGACTTCGCTGCGGGAGTTGAGCGGCCAGGGCGATGCTTTGTGCCAGAAATTTGCTTTTATGACATGTCTTTCATTCTTCCTTCCTTGACATCCAACCGGTATTAACTAGCCAACGTTGAACAACCAGTCTCATTGACAATTTCTGCCATGAACCTCGGTAATGAGGGAAGGAAGAAAGCGATACGTCCCCTCAAACGCCGTGCTCGTTACGATCTACAGCCAGTTCGTTCCGTTAAGCTTTCAGACAACTTTCTTTGCCGACGAAGACGTTAACGGAGGCTATGTAGCAGCGACGCCTTTCATGTCATTGGGACCCTGACAAAATTAAGGACAATTATACTCCCCACCTTGAGCACACGTCTAACTGTGCTCCCACTCCACAGCGCCCAGCGTTTGGCACTCCGGATGAAATACTAGGTTGGTACGTACTGGTTTGGTGGCTGCGACGCCCAGATCAGCCGGTACGAGATATCAGAAAAAGGTAGTTGAGGGACCGACGCACAGACCAGGATTTCATGTATAAAAGCACCCCTTAGGACTGCCCACATCCTCCAATCGAAAGCCCACAAGCATCCGATTAACTCAACAAACTCAACTCACAATGCAATTCCGCACTGCTCTCGTTCCTCTCGCTCTCAGCGCCCTTGCTGCCGCCACAACGACCGTCACGGTCACCGCTCCTTCTGTAGGTGTCGCTCTCATCGTCGTCGTGGTCGTGATTGCTTATCGACCTTGCTCAAGCCTCCGGTCTCGACCCCGATACCCGCCAGTCAATGCAACACTGGTCCCGTTCAGTGCTGCAACTCAGTCCAAGCCGTACGCTTTGCAGGCCTCGTCCGACGCTTTGCACCGCTGACATATCCTACAGGCGAACTCAGGTGGTCTCCTTAGCCCTGTGACCTTGATCCTCGGCCTCCTTGGCTTGGTCGTTCAACCGGTCAATGCCATTGTCGGCCTTACCTGCAACCCCATCAGCGTGATCGGAATTGGTGGCAACTCTTGCACCGCTCAGCCTGTCTGCTGCCAGAACAACAGCTTCGTAAGGTTTCCCTGCTCTTCTACATTGTGCAATTTCCTAACAACTTGTTTCATGCAGAACGGCCTCATCGCCATTGGCTGCACTCCCGTCAACCTCAACCTTTAATTGCTCGTCGCTCTCAACTCAAGACGTTCTTCAGGCTGCTCGTGGTGCCCTACGACTTACAGGTGACCTGGAATTCAGGGAGGTTGTGATTATAATTTGGTCGGATAAATCTGGATGTCTTAATGTGGAAAAAAATACAAACAAGCGGAGACGATTTGACATCGCGTATATCTGCGGACACGAGCTCCGAGTGAGTTTCGCCGATCAGAGTTAATTTAGCATTGTGGCGCAAACTTCCAATTTAGGCCAGTTCGACTTCGATGAACACCCGCGGTCTGGGAACCATTTCCCTTCGTTTTCCTGCGACGCTTCGTGCCTCTCCGCTTATTCGGATGTTCAACGCCTATGATAACCGGTTAGGCGATAACCGCGGCACACCGGCATGATTGGTCAGCCTGACTCATTCGCCGGCGGCATGCTCGGCAAAAGATATTACCCATTTTTTGACACGGCTACCCTCAGCACCCGGAGATCGGTCTCGGGTCCAGCTTTGCTCTTCCCCTCGTCTTTGCCATTCGATTCCCTCGGCTCCTCTGAGCTGTTCCCTCCGACTCCGACACGGTCTCGTTACGGGCGAAGTACACGAACAGAATGGAACCCATTCAGAAGGAACTCGCCAAGGAGCTGGTCATGGTGGTCGAGAAGGACGGCGAGAAGGCCATCGATCGGGCTGACTCTGCTTCATCGGTGGAGAGTACAGAGTACCCGGATGGTGGACTACGCGCCTGGTTGATTGTCTGTGGGGTACGTCCGTATGGAATGCGCTTCACATTTCGAACCTTTGGCTGACGCTGTCTCCAATAGTCCATGTGTTGCACATTCTCTACGTAAGTTACTGTGGCCGTCAGCCCGAGGAAACGTTGACTTGACGGAACTATATCGATATCAGTTTCGGATTTGTGAACGCCTGGGGGGTATGTAATTGTCATTGCTTCAATCCGTTGAGCATTGGATCACCCAGGTATCGAATACTGCACAGGTGTTTCAGTCTTATTATGAGACCGATATCTTGAAGGATACTCCCGCTTCTAATATGTGTGTTTTATATCGTCTCCGGCTGTCGCGTTGTGTTTTAACGAGAACTGTAGTGCTTGGATCGGATCCATCCAGGTAGAACATGCTAGATCCTAAATTCATTCTGAATCTTCTAACCGGATTCTTCTTTCAGTATTCTCTCGTCTTCGGATGTGGCCTTGTAACAGGACGCCTACTTGATCTAGGACATTTTCGTGTGCCATTTACAATAGGATCGGTGCTCGTCATTGTTTCGACGTTCTTGGTCGCGCATTGCAAAGAATACTGGCAGTTCCTTCTATGTCAGGGCTTTGCGATTGGAGTAAGTGGAATGGCTTTTTTCTTGTCATATATATATCTTATGTGTATATACTCTAGCTAGGAGCTGGTATATGCTTTGGGCCGACACTGGGAGTCGTAGGACATTGGTGGCTTAAGCGCAGAGGGCTTGCTCTCGGGCTTACCGCAGTCGGCGCGTCAATCGGGGGCACCGTATACCCAATTACTGCTCGACAGCTCATTGGAAGAATAGGGTGAGGCCTATGCAACGATTCTATTTCTTTTGTGATCATGGACATGATAGGCTTTTTTTATCAGATTCCCTTGGACGATGCGCGTCATGGCCTTCATCAATATTGCGGCTCTTGGAGTCTCAACGCTCACACTAAGTCCTCGTTTACTGCCCAAAGATCTTCCTGGTGGATTGTTCAACATAAGAGCTTTCAGATCGGCGTCATTCACCATCTGGTGCTTTGTCGGCTTTATCTGCTTCCTCGGCATTTACACAGGTGCGCATACACCCAGGATGGCAGCACTTTCGCGCGAACAAAAGGCTGACTTCTTTTCTCCCATAACCTCCAGTCCTAACCTTCATCGACGTCAGCGCGATTCGGGTTGGAGTGTCTCCCGACTTCTCCTTCTACCTTCTGAGCATAGCTAATGCCAGTTCGGGTATCGGACGTATCCTCACCGGGTTGATGTGCGATAGAGTCGGTGAGTTTTTTTTTCTAACTCAAGCTTCAGCGACAATTTTTCAAATTCCCGCCAGGCGCGATAAACGTCATTGCTCCGATGTCTCTCGCCGCCGCCATAATGACATTCGCTTGGCCTTATGCCCGAAGTCAAGGATCGCTGATCGCAGTGGCCATTCTGTATGGGTGCGTCTTGCCCAGTCCCGCAAATTCTTTTCCTTTTGCTAAGATAGAATTTTCCTTTCGTGGTAGGTTTGCTTCGTCATCCTTTGTCTCCGCCTTCAACATGCCGGTATATGCTATGGGTGAGATGGGCGATGTCGGCCGACGTCTCGGGACCGTCATGGTGTTCACTGCAGTTGGCGCTCTCTGTGGACCTCCGATTTCGGGTGCAATTAACACTGCAACTGGGAACTTCGAGGCTGTCAGCTATTACGCAGGTGTGTACTCGTCTCCTCGGCCCGCTCCCGATCTTTCGGTCCGAACGACCAGTGCAATGGGAGAAGGCAGATGGCGTCTTTTCGTTCCGTTTTGGTTCCCGTCCCGGGATCAACGTTATGACGCATTGCTTTTGATCCCCCGACCCCGAACGGCGGAAGTATTTCAGGATGATGATGAACAGAACAGAAAGCTGACCCTCGTCATGACGTTATTTATTTTGGTTTTTAGGCAGTGCGATTCTTGTCGCGGTCGCCTTGATGCTCATAACGAAACGCCTCGTTCTGCGTAGCTTTTGGGGCAAATTTTGACCCCATCTATCTTCTATCATAGACGCTGCAACCGGTCATTAGAAAATGGTGAAGAGCATGAGTGGCACTTCATCGTCGACAATAGAAGCTGGGAACTACGACCCTCTTAGCCCCTTGATCTTCAGGGAGCAATAGCTTCAGTTCGCAAGATTTAAATTGCAACTACTTCGAATTCCGAGCCTTATGGTAGACAACCTTATATCCCGTGTTCTGATCATCATGCCAGTTGTGGTCATGATTTGCTGTCATGACCCAGGCTCTATCTCGGCGCTTGTGGTGTAGTGATCTAATTATATGAATTCTGGGGAAACGGGGCTTGATACCATCGCGCTCGAGTTTATATCCCGGGGGCCGAGATCTTGATTGGCCGAACTATCTGAGCTCCAGCCCCAAGTTCGACCCGCAGGTAGATCAACCACTTGACCAACCTTTGATGAAGACCCTCGGCGAATCATCGACGAAGTGAGAAATGCGATCAGGAACTAAGAATTTCTTCTCTGCTACCGGAACCACATCACAGCCACTTGCCTCACTATCTTGAGTCCTGATCTATGTAGGTGCTTGTGGACTTTGAGTGGATGTAGTTATTGATGATCAACCTCTGTCCCACTGCGTCGTACAGCATCTACGTACAAAAGCTACGACAACGTTGATCAGATCATGATTTAATTTTAGTCCTGAGGAACGACGAGTAGCGATCAGTTGATTTACCGACGATGGCGGAGGAAAGCACCAGGCATGACCAGGACACTAAGGTATTAGCAAGCACCTGATTCCTGAAACTCGTTCTCGTCAAGAATAGCGAACGGGAAGCCAAGAAGCTTCGGATTCGTTAGTTAGGTCGTGCGGCGCCAACTCACTTCGAGATGATTCTTCCAAGTCAGAGAATCATGGGCGCTATGTCAGTTAATACTCAAGGATCGACAGAGAAAGCTGGTGCCACTGTCTTTTCTCATTCGTGATGTCATAGATAAAGGAATAAGCGAGTTATCATGTTTGGGCCACTTTCTGTCAACCTTCGCGTGTATGGTGCCAAACATAGGCTCAATACAACTCTTCCTGTGTTCATGAAAGCAGAACGGGATCAAGGTTGGACGCACTGCATCTGTACCGGGGTTGGCAGTACTTTGATGTACTTAATGGGAACGTGAATAGAGCGAGGAGCAACACTGATTAGATGGAATTGCGGTGACTGATGATCGATTGGATCAGCGTTGCAGGCAAAGCCATCTTGTTAACGAGGATGATTTACTGCATGATTGGACAGACCTTAGGCCTCGAGGTCCAGATACCCTGTGGCCCAAGGGTTCTTCTGATTGTCGGTGGGAAGGTAAGACGGGCAAGAGCTTCTCAAGATCGAAGTCAAACGCTATGGGTTTGCAATGGAATGGAAGCATTTGATCGCCTTTATGTCGCACGATTCTACCAGACAGATTGGCGCTAGACATCCAGTAGTTGCGCGCATAGCTCGCGGCTCTAGGTAGCTATTTGGTGGGCGTCAGTGCTCTTTAGGCGCCGGTTTGACCGTTCTGACAAGAAATATGGTCGTAATGTATGATGCCGGAGAAAAATATCGAGAAACATGCAATTCTTACAACTCCTAGATGTAACGGAGTATCAAATCGGTCAACCTTGGGCTGGAGGATTCTTCGGATCCAGAGGGCCTCGAATCACTTCACTGGAGCTCTTGTGATAACATCGCGTTTGACAATGTTGGGTTGAATCAGAATTGAATCAGAAATTCGAAAGATGCCTCGCAGGAAGGAAGGCTCACCGATATCCCGGGTCGCTAGCACCATCACGAGCTAGACATTCACGAAGCATTGCTTTCGGGTTTGTGGACCGCGGAATAGAGTGTATAATTGAAATAATTATCCATCAGTTTCGTGATTCGCCCCAGGAGCTATTAAAATCAGAAGATTTCCACAGCATCGATAACGTCGAAGCCACATATGTAATGGCCGGGGTAAGTTCAGTTGGAATCCCTAGTGTGCTGCAAAGGGCTTGGAACGATGGGAGACGGAAATAAGGCGATTTCCGCCGATTTATGCGGCTAGGATGGATCGGAATTCACGGAATGGGTTAATACGCCTGGCCGTCAGTTTTTCTAGTACTTAGTTGTACCAGAGACGAGAAAACCACAAACAAGGAAGAGTTGGCCATTTACGAATAAATTGGTCGGAAACCTCATTTATCTGCGGTGATGTTGAAAAGAAGGGCACACGGCCTCGTTTCATGATGTATGATGCGTCAAGCTCCTTCAATGCGTTAGCTGAAGAAAAAAAAGGGGTAGGTTGGTCCATGAGGCAGTTCCAATTCTAGAAGTGAACTTAGTGAAGGAAAAGAATCATCTTGTGGGACTGGCTATGTTGGGCCGCGTCTTGATTGGAAGCGCCCGCGATGAAAGTTGCCCCTCCGGATCCGTAAAATATCCGTGGACGTCGCACACTCGAAGGCCTTTTATCCTCCGAATGGCAACTACCCAAGGCGGTTGTAGGCTGCTCATATTCTGGACAAAGCAATGGAAAAGAAGACGAGAAGGTCGACGATCAGGGAAGGGAGACGTGGACTCAGCAGGACCTACGGCGGGTGCAACCACATGTAAGTTACCATACACCATGTCCAGAAAGCAAAGACCCCTTGTCGAAGCCATGACAAGTCAGTAGACCAAGATAGCGCCGCTCGGAACAGCTTCGAAGGCTTTCCAAGGCTCCTGTGATCGAACTGAACAAGAGAGCTCCCAGGAACAAATCGAGAAGGACGGCAATGGTACAAACTATAGCCTCGTTGATGGGCCTTGAGACGCTTCTCCCTGGGGAATGATCCTCCAGATGAGCTCCCAGCGTCGTTCGCCGGTGCAGGAGGAGCAGATGCACAGAGAGCCACGAAAACGCCCTCCTCGGGCTCCAGTAACGTTGGGCTATCTTTGGTGCACTTCTTCAAAGTCCAGGAGCCGGGAGATCGTATCAAACGGAATATGTTCGCTGGCAGGGTTTGTATGGAAGAAAGTGGCGAGAATCCTGCCGCGAGGGACCCAGGGTGTTGTGTTGGTAGGGGATAGTGTATCTCCGGTGATGGGATGGTCTCGAGGGGTTCAGAGCGGCATGAGATACCCAATGCTCAAGACAGCATCCCGTGGCGGAGAAGTTACAGGTATTCTTGGGAATCATAGGATTCAAGGTTCAGCGCTCGGGTGTGAAAAGGAATCCTCCTACACCCTGACTGCGGGACCAATTCACCCACGACAATTCTAGCGAATAGTCAGCGGGTATCGAAGGTCATTCGTTAACTTCTTACCCATCTTCTGGCCCATTAGACTTCCATTACGAGCGATGCTGCTGGCAAAGTCAGCGTCGTGTGCAACAAAAAGATCGAGAGCCACGATGTTAGAGAAGAGAATCTTACACGCATGTACGGGTGTAGGAAACATAGCGATGATTCTTCCTGCACCTCGATGTGAGGTACGGAATTTGGGACCGCCATGATTATAGACCTGAAAGAAAATCCAAGTGTAAGACCCTGGCGATTAGTCGAGGTCACGAGGGCCGACGCCAATTGGGCAACCGTGCGAGAGAAGAATATACAGTAGACGGTCCTTTTGTCGAAACTGAGTCCAGCAGGAGAAATTCAATTACCTTACGACTTCGGGGGCCGTTCGCAGACATGAGAGATAGGAAGCTACCAATGGCTTTGGAAACGATGACAACCTTACACCCGGCCCGAGTGCCGACGTGATTTTTCACCACCAAGGCAGGTTGAAGTCAAGGTTTCATAGGGGTTTTAAAGCTTTTCATCTTCGTCACCAGGCGCGGACACAATCCAAATATTATTACTCCTCGAGGGTGAGAGATCGCCCCGTTCTTTTTTCCTAGGCAATCTCCACACGCAGGGAGTAATAATAAACGAGTTCCCAGCGTTCGTCTCCAAGAAAGCACTTCCTTCTCTGGCACAAGAAGTAATTACTCGTTAGCTGCAATATTCTCGACAATGGTCTGCATACAACGACCTCAGATTTTGATTTCCACGATACCTTTGGAAAATAACTAGACCGTTGCTCCTTTCCTCATTGTCGGTGTGCCTTCATGATGCATCACTTGAATGCCAAATTTCCCGAAATTTACTTTGACCCGAAAGGTCGGAATCGATTTTATATCCGGTTCACGATATTAGTTTGTCGCTGTATTTTGGGCGGTCCTTTACGGGGTCAATCGGTGGCGCTCTGACTTGAGCAGAGTCAGAGTGCGAGATACTTCGGAAGCGGTCTGAGCCTGAAAGCGGCTCGGCAATTTCCGGGCTCAGGTGCAAAAAATTATTGATCTCGATGCTTGACCAGCACCGTACGGTACCTACCATCGACTTACAGCCCTTTCGCTAGAAGAAACACCCTTTACTTTCTCAAGACTCGTCGACAACAGCAGTCGACACTTGGGAATAGCAACTACAACTCATTCATGTCAGCGTATGTCTCTCTTTTTTTCTGCTGCTTTTGCAGCCTAGGGTCAAGAAAGATGCTGATTGACGGGGCGCGCTCTTTCCTCTTGGGTCATCGATATACAGAGAAGAACTTCAGGATGTCGCCGAAAACGAGATCGAGTCCAACTGGGACCAGGTCGTGGACAAGTGAGTCGGCGGGACGCTCGGGATCTGGGTTACCCAGGGGAGGCGGGGTAACTGATATGGGATCTTTTATCTAGCTTCGATAACATGGAGTTGAAGCCCGAACTGCTTCGCGGCATTTACGCTTACGGGTGAGCCCCTACACTCCCTTACCATCGCTGTGTGGAACGCCCGTGGCTGATTGCGATGGGATTGCTTTGACCAGTTTCGAGCGCCCCTCTGCTATCCAGCAGCGGGCCATCGTCCCTGTCGTGAAAGGCCACGACGTCATTGCACAGGCCCAATCCGGTACTGGAAAGACCGCCACTTTCTCTATTTCGATTCTCCAGCAGGTGAGTATCTTTGTTACTGGCCATCATTGGGCGGGGTTTCGTGTGGAGGAGGAAAGATGGGTACTGACATATGGGCCATCGGTGCCGCCTGTTTACAGCTGGACATGTCTATCAAGGGCACGCAAGCCCTCATCCTCGCCCCCACCCGTGAGCTGGCTCAGCAAATCCAAAAGGTCGTCATCGCCTTGGGCGATTACATGAACATCGAGTGCCATGCCTGCGTTGGAGGTACCAACGTCCGTGAGGACATGGCCAAGCTCCAGGAGGGCGTCCAGGTCGTCGTCGGTACCCCAGGACGGGTGTTCGACATGATCAACCGCAGGGCGCTCAGAACCGACAACATCAAGATCTTCTGCTTGGACGAGGCCGATGAGATGTTGTCTCGTGGATTCAAGGACCAGATCTATGAAGGTTCGTCGCCTTGGTTTTCGTGTCATCCTGGAGAGATTTTTTAGCAGTTCGACAGTCTTCCAGCTCCTGCCGCAAGACACCCAGGTCGTCCTCCTGTCCGCTACCATGCCCGCCGACGTGTTGGAGGTTACCAAGAAGTTCATGCGTGACCCCGTCAGGATTCTCGTGAAGAGGGACGAGTTGACGCTTGAAGGTATCAAGCAGTTCTACATCGCCGTTGAGAAGGAGGAGTGGAAGCTCGACACGCTCTGCGATCTCTACGAGACCGTCACCATCACCCAGGCCGTCATTTTCTGCAACACCAGGCGGAAGGTCGACTGGCTCACCGAGAAGATGCACTCGCGCGAGTTCACAGTCTCGGCCATGGTAAGACACCTGTTCTCATATCCACCGCGACGACAGGCTGCTTACTGTGTACTCGACCCGTTTAGCACGGAGACATGGAGCAGAAACAGCGCGAGGTTCTGATGAAGGAGTTCCGTTCCGGATCATCTCGCGTCCTGATTACGACCGATCTCCTCGCCCGCGGCATCGACGTGCAGCAGGTGTCGCTTGTCATTAACTATGACCTGCCCACCAACCGGGAGAATTACATCCACCGTATCGGTCGTGGCGGTCGGTTCGGTCGCAAGGGTGTCGCTATCAACTTTGTCACCACCGAGGACGTGCGCATGCTGAGAGATATTGAACGTACGTGTCCATACTTGCTGCTTTGTTGACTTTTCGCTATCGACTTTTTTGCATTCTTGGTCTTTGTCATGGATGGTTTGATTAATTTTTTTGACCCCTCGACAGAATTCTACAACACCCAGATCGATGAGATGCCTCTCAACGTCGCGTAAGTCCTTCCCCGAGTTTGATTTTCAGGTCCTGACACGGCGATCTGACGTTGTGCCTTTTCTTTCTCTTTGCAGCGACCTCATCTAAGCAACCTCTACCTCTTCGTTTCTTGTCCGCCTGTCTCCGTTCCTCTCCTGTCTTTCTCCAACGTTACGATTGACCTTTCATGACCGACACCGACGTCTCCGTCGCATTGTGCTACTGTACATACAGATCCAAAAGGCAACTTGCCTGCCATGCTTAACCTCTCTCCTCCAATTGTCTTGATGTAGTAATGCTCTCCTAGATTGTACGTGGAGTAGTTGGATGTGGACGGTATGATACTTATCGGTTATGAATTCTCTGTCTCCCATATGTTTCCTCTATGATTTTCGCCTCCTATGCAATTGGCCATCAATCGATGTTATATGGTATGGATATTGGTCGAGATGAGTACCGCTACCTGTAAGGATATTACAGGTACGAACCTGACCCACGACGCGATCCTGCATCGCGAGAGTTGATGCTTGCTCGGTTCAGATTCCAACTTGCACAATCCGAGGCCGAAACATCATTGATCATTTCTGTCAAACCCACTGTATGAATGGACTACTCTATCGATGGATAAGCAATGTGCTGAGGCATCCTACGAGGGCGAACTCGAGGTCGGTGCACAATCTCCTATGACCTTAGTCACATCGTCTCATCAGTGATAAGATTCAGAGAAATCTGCGACGAATTCTCTGTGAAAAGAGTGTTATCAGTAATCAGGATTAAAGAATGCCTTCACAATCGATATCAGGCGATCCTTGACGGTGTTGGGGAGTAAAAGGGGCTGTGATGATGATGAGACTCCTCCGGAGGCGCCTTTTCCCGCCAGGCCTCCACAGCACAGCCTCCTCGCACACCCCATCGTGCCAGTGCCATCGACATCTCCCCTTGCACTTGGCACGCTGCCCCTCCCACCGCTGACCCGAGATTCGATTCAGGACCCTGGGCCACAATCCCGTTCCACAGACGTCAGCGCACCGCTTTCTTCCCAATCGTACGAGCTAGCAAGGTTCCTCCGCCCGACCCCTAGACTTTCCGTGCGCCGTCGGTGGTGTGCTGCATGCGCTTCCTGCCAGATCCGAAGCGGCCTGGGTCCCGCGGAGGTGTATTTTCTCTCTCTTTCTGGATGACGGAACAGAGGATGGATGACCAAGTAATTGACTAGGCACCTCCGAGACCGAGCAAGCGCTTCCGGGCTCGCGCGGGTGCGACGCTGCAGGCCCCCGATGGCACGGAAACGGCGCACTGCGGGTCGCTGTGCAATATCGAATTACAAGTGGGTGAGCACAACGGAACCCTCGAGGCTCGGTCGGCCGGCCGAATCTCGTGGATTCCAGCATAGCAGCATATGTGCAGTGCTCATGGTGGGAAAACAAAGTAGGCTGGGGTTTCATCTCTTCCGTCACAGTGCTTCAGCAGCCCCTCGCTGCCCCCAGTCTGCCGAAACCGCGTTTTATAAAGGACGACAGCGTTTGATGGCCCCATCCGTCGACTACCTGCTCTCTTCCCAATTTTCCACTCGCCTGACTACCACCCCAGGACAGGCGGACACGAGTGGACAGGACCGCGTGCGGACGGTGGTGAGCCATCTTTGGATTAATAGTAGCGCTCGTCTCGAGTCTGCTTTTGTCCGTTGCTCCATCATCAGCCCTTCTCCACCTTCCTCAGAATACCTTTGTTTGCCGCAATCCCCTTTCAGGATATCACCCAGGGCCTGGGATCTTGCTCCTGGTAGGAGTGCGTTTGTCCATCAAGAACCTCATCATACCTTCCGTGCATCACCTTGCGACTCTTATAGCCCTTTGCTGTCGCCTGTCGCACCCATATAATACCCCTCTGGACCCAGCTCGTTTTATTGGCCAGCCCCACCCGTCCATTCCGGCCTCGCGTCTAGCTGGGCGTTGACAGGCTGTGCAATCACATCTCCCGACATTCCAAACGTTCGTGCGGCTCCTCCTTCACCTTCGACTTCCAGTCCGACACACGCGAACATTCACGCGTCGCCGCGGGAGCATAATAACCGCAGACCGCCACCATAATCGGCAATTCACCACTTTGCCCATTCGAGGCGTTACATTCGACGTCTGTCAAAACAAAAGAAGAAAAATTAGCCTTTGTCGAAAACCGTTTGCTTCCGCCCATCAGCAGCGCATTCAGTCATTCGACGCGCGACGGAACACAAGGCCACGCTACGGGATTACCGGAGGTATTCATGTCCTGTGTCAAAGCAGCTACTCTGGTGAGTCGGGATCCCCCTGACATTTCCTTTTCGATGCGATGAGGGGCACCGCGGTGTGGCAGAGCTAAGCTCGCCCGTTTGCTATGGCCTGCGCCGCCACTATAAATATGCATGCACAATTACGCATACCGTCGTCACCTTCCCCCTTGCCTCCCCCTCTCTTCCCCTCGCACTCCGCTCACATCGTCCTCTCCAACAGCCATCCACCTTTAACAACTACCAAAACTTTCAAAGCCGGAGTGCATCCACACACGCACGCCAATCCCGTCCTCACCACAACTCCAACATGTCGTACCAACGCGGCGGCTACCAACAAGGCTACCAACAGGGCTACCCACAACAAAACTACCAGTCATGGTCGCTAACACCGAGCAACCCCACAGCCTCTCCGCCCTCCGCGTCCCCCTTCTCCCCCTCGCACCACCAGCGCCCCGCGCGCAACGTGAGCGAGATCATCCCGCGCCTCTACATCTCCGACCTCGCGTTCGCCGAGAGCCCTGCCCTTCTCTCCTCCTACCGGATAACGCACATCCTCTCCACACTCCCGGACACCATCTTCCGCCCGCCACCCTCGCTGCTCCCCATGCAGCCCGTGCGGATGCAGATCCGCGTCGAAGACCTGCCCTTCGCGGAGCTAGCCGCGCACCTGCCGACTACGACCGCGTTCATCCGCGACGCGCTGGCGTCGAGCCCCGAGACAAGGGTCCTGGTGCACTGCGCGGAAGGTGTGAGCCGGAGCGTGAGCGTCGTCGCGGCGTTTTTGATGGCGCACTACGGGTGGTCGCCAAACGACGCGTTGAACTATATCAAGAGCAAGCGGCGGGTGGCGGACCCAAATTTTGGGTTCATCCAGCAGCTGCACGAGTACGCGAGGGACTCGCTCGGAAGGACGATTTCGAATCCGACGCCGCCGTTCTCGATGCCCCCTCCTCATTCATAGATGCGGTCTTTACTTTTCTTTTTCTTTTTTGTTCTTTATTTGGCTTTCGGTCATTTATGTTTTCCACCTTTTCCTCGTCCTCTATACCTCATTACCAGCTTTAAGGTCAATGCATTGCACTCTCACTTTCCTTCTGTTTCTCGAAGATGACGACTCGCACGACTCTCCTTTCCTGCACACTGCCGTCTGTACCACCAGTCCGTCTCCGCACTACACGCATTAGCACTATCTCTCATCAATCACTCTGATACCGATTTCATTACACAGTAGTTATGTTGTACAATTATAATTCTCTCTCGCAATCGCATGCAATCGTTCCGCATTCGCAACGTCCGGTCTGACTTCTACATACGCACTGTTGCTTATCGCAGTTGGAAATGAGCACGCCCAAGCAACGAAGGATGTGAACATCGTGCATGGCGTTGACGCCTGCCGACTCCCGAGCACTTACTCCCATCATTCCATGAAATTGGCCGCTGAGGGTAAGGTGGACGTCTATTGGACCACTTCATCTCTTGTCAATACAAATTTCAAAACAAATCACCGTTTCAGACCCGTCGGCCGGCCTTTACGTGGAGTGTTCAACGCGACGGTGGGCACTCCGAGCGGCGCGAACTCACCCCCGTCAAACAAGTGGGTTATACCAGGTTATACCTTACATCTCGCCATTGAATCATGATCAAACCTGGATCCACAACTCGCCTTGGGAAGCCTTGGGAATGGTGGAATTTCACATCGCCCTGCCTTAGCCTGCTTTCCATGGCGAAGCGTGATGCGCTGCGCGTATTGAACGTTGGTGATTGGGAAGATTTGTTCGCCGACGGTAGACACAAAAATAGATGGAATGGGGTATCCCTAAGTGGTATTCAGCTGCGGAGGTGCGAACTCGAGCCTCACACATAAAATAGGCGTTTCTAGAGCTGCATATGGCAGTTGGTTGCTAATTGTGCGTTGAAGAGCACTTGGTGAATTAGGAGGTTGGTCGTATATGTGTGACTTGAAGCTTATTCGACTCCGAGTCGAAGGACACCATAAGCTGAACTGACTTTTTTAGACCTTACAATTTCAAACATGAAGTTCGAACTTTTCTCCCTCACGGATATGCGACCCGACACGACACCAATCACCACTTGGCAGCAAGCCGAACCACATCCCAGATTTTTTCCCCTTGGGTGTTTGAGCCTCTCGTAACCGCTGCGCTTAAACTTGATGCGCCTCCTTGCACTCGCCGGAGACGCCGCACCGATCAGCTCGACGTTTGCCTTTTTGGGCCATCGACAAGGGGCGCATCAGGGCAGGTCGGGCATCATCCTGCCTTAAGCGCTGGGAGCTGCGAAGGCACCGGATGTGCGGGAGCAGCCGTTTATGGGCTGGATTTGGTATCGTTAATTAAGTACTTAAATCCAGGGAAGAGGGAGTCGTTGAAGATGCTGAGAGTCGTGTGTTATTTTTGTGATCTTTTCCCCTCTCTCTCCTTGAGCCATATTCCTCTTGTCTCGAATTAAGGCGTGGGTAGTTTTACTCGAGCCCCTGTGAGTGAGGTCTCAAGGATGACTCTTAGGCAATATGCATAAGAAATACCGACTAGATGGATTCTGGGAAAACCTAACATTCGCGCGATCAACCATTCTTGCCCATCTTTGTCGTCTGATTGCTGACTGCTGACACCACCCTCGTGAAGCGCCCGTGTTGCATCTCGGAGGATTTTGGCCTCAGAGATCATGCTGTTCCATGACTTGAAGAAATCAGATTTACAACATCGTACATTCCTGGTCGGGTTCAAAAAAGGGAAGAGCTGACATGAGGCTCGTGGTATTTATTCTTGTTATCTGCCAGTGCCATCTGCCTGCCATGCCAGACCGTGCGCCCCGAGGTGTCTGGGTGACAATCAGAATGTCGGCCCCAAATAATATGAGACGCGGCCTCTGACTCCCAAGACTCCTTGGTTGAAACCTTTTGGTTCCGAAGAGTCGGTCGGATACGCAGGACGAGCAATAGATCCATCTTATTAATTTCTCGTCGCTGAATGGTCCTTTTCCCGGTGAAATCTGGTCCATTTGTAAGGCAAGGTAAGTGGGTAAGCAATGCGTCAGCGATTTTAATTTTTGACCTAAAATCCACGGCGAAAGGAAAATCCCGCAAACCGTGCCGTTGAGTCTTGGGCATTCGTAACTCGCAACGTTGTACGTGCTCTCGATGTCGATGGCCCTGTGGCGCTCTCCAAGGGATAGTAATCAGCGCCACTCACCTCACCTCACCTCCAGGAGAAAAATGCGGGGTTTTCTGTCTGTCGAAGTATTCGTTTTGTTCTATGACCACTTGATGTTCCGGGCCTACTGAAGAGCTGATGAGGACTAAGACCACTCAGTATTCTTGTTGGTGGCCCGCCTACAGCTGGCCCCATGAGACCTCTAGCCTCCGGCCTTGCCATAGACCCGACTCTGTACCTTTTGAAAGCGTGAAGGGACCTTGGGGCCTTGAGCTAACCCAAAGGCTGTCCGGACAATCCTCGGACTGCGAAAGTGTGAGCACCGAGTACCAAAATTAACGGCTATGCATTCCGTTTGTACTCCTGCGGGCGTGGGGAGGGCCCTGGATGCTAGACCTACACTGCCTTCAGGACAGTTCAGAAGATAGCTTGACGAGTTTATTTTTTAATTGAGCAGGCGAGAGCTACTTATGCGTTAGAGTCTATACCACTTTCGTCGACTGCGCAGAATGTCAGCTGCCGATGTTCAAACCTTCAACCTACAGCCTGGAAACTCTAACCATCGTGTTCAACGGAGTAATGAAGAACTGTGATGGGTTTATATAGTTCATCCGCAATGAACAAAAAAAAATGCAAAGAGCGACTTCAATGTGTCGAACAGCCGAAGAGGATCATCCAGGACATGACATTGGACATGTCTGAGGAGCCTCCGATCCCACAGGAGAATAAAGCTGCATTGCTGATGGTAGACCAAATGGAAGACGGAGTCTTGGGCCTTGGGTGAAGCATGCGGGAGGAGGAACAAATGATATAGATTGAGTGATTTCAACCCAAAGAAGTCCCCAGCGGCCGGGCTACCATAAACGTTCACTGGAGGTGCTCTACTCTGGTGCTGACTCGGACCTGTGTATTTCGAGGTCTAAGACAACGTAGCAAAGGATCTCGTAGCACGAAGAAACATGATTCTGATGGATCAAACGCGCATGCCCGCATCGCAATGGAATCGGCATTCGGAACGCGCTGTGGTCAAGAACGTGGACACCTATAAACTCGAAATCGAGATACCAGCCATTGCTTTGGAGTCGGCTGTCCAGAACCATTGAAAGAAGCCTCGCCTGAAGCTTGAAGCTTAGCTTACAGATCGACGACAGTATCAAGATCGCATGTGTTAGAAATACCGGCTCCAAGGGTCAGGTCGTCGAAGTCACATTCAATACAACAAAATCGTGCCCGTAAAGCAGTGCTGGGCTAACGGCATCCATCGCATCGTTCGTGAGCTTGCTTGAAGGGAATCGAACGGACGATAGGGTTCCTCGGATCAGGCAGCATCAGCGCAGAACGTAGCCTTCCGGCCAGTGCAACTCTGTGCTCCCGCTATTCCTGGTTCACTGTTCACTGGGGATTGATGCTCAGCGGGCGATCCTACGAAGCCACTGGGAGACAAGTTTTACCCGTCTGAAGGCACTGGACGGCGCCAGGCTCCTTCGGGATCACAAGGCAGCGAGCACTGCGGTCGAGCTCACGTTGCAGTTGCGTGATGCCTGCGAAGTGTTAGAGTGGGCAGCCCTTTGAGTCATGCCTACTGGGAACGACCCATTGAGCTTATTCAAGAGCAGATTACCAACCAGATGCCGTACAAACAGAGCCTCCCCCAAAGTCTAGCCGATAAATATAGCTCTGAATCATAGAGTTAAATCAGATAAATCGGCGCAGGCGTACGGGCGTATGAAGGGCATTCCCAGCCACTGATAGATAACCGAAGATGAGACCGGAGACGGAATAAAGCCACACAAGACTCGATGGGGTCGAAGTTCGAGGTTGTTGAAAGGCTCTTGGCAAGAAGCTGTACAAAAGAGGCCTCGACCGGCCCTCGAGGAAGGTATATCTGACTGAGCCTCGCTTTGGTGATCATCAAGAGAGGTATGCCATAAGACGGTGATACGCACTCTGGGGTTGGATAGTGCAGTAAGCGAGGCAGTGAAAAGGCCGAAAGGAAAGGCCGAATTGAGACGATATTTATGAACGACGGTCGAGACATGGTGAGGGAGAGTAAATCAGAACTCTGGAATGAAGGCATGGAAGGAGAGAAATGAAGTGGCGGCGAACAGAAAACGGCTTCTTACAAAGACGAACATTGCGGGGCTGCAATGAGGCCTGGTGCAGAGATAAAATTAGTAAACAAAGATAATCTGAAGAAGTAGAAGCCTGGTATGCAAGTACGACACGGAGAAAGCCAAATCGCTGGAGCTGCAAGAGATGTTCGCATGATCCGGTCCTGAAGAAACGCGGTGCAGACGGGAGAACCCACTGTCAAGGTGCTCAACGAGAGCATACCGCGTCGGGGTATTCGGAGCGACAGAGCGCGTTCGGAACATACGCGGCATACCAAGAAAGCAACACACAGCTTGATGGGCAAGAGGCAGGAGATCTTATGCAGGGCTTTGTCCGTGCTTGATGATGAACTCGGCGAAAAAAAATCTAGTTGGGATTGGAAAGGAAGGATTGCAGAGTGGACCATTTTACATTCCCGATATTGAAACCATGTTCACGCCTAAGCTGACTTCTGAGCTTCCTCCAGCAAGATCTGGCACACAAAAATAAGTTCCAACACGACCGTGTTCAGCTACGACAATACCCACCTGCTTTCCTCCGACACCGTTCTCCCATTTTTGATAACGCACAGTCGTGAGTCCGCGCTTCTCAGCGATGAGACGCTCCTCCTCCTTCAGCGATGAACGGAGAGCCCTAGCGGTGATTTGGGCGTACTTGTTGTAACTGTAATAGCAAGAAGTTGGTTGTCAGTTACACTGAACATATTCTAATGTGGTAACGTACGTGAAGAGTGTCCTCCAGGCGGTCATGGTGGTCAAGACTCAACGGTGGCGAAAGGTGAAGAAATTTGGTTGGAGAACACGAACAATGGTGACAGCGAGCTCAGCGAGCTCAAGGTTCCGGAACTGTCCGTGATCCTCACGTGAGACTTGATGATGTAAACACCCCTGACAACAGATTTAGCCAATTGTGACCAAGTTTGGCAAACGTCTCTCAGTGTACCACCACCATCTCTGCTGCCCTGCCGGCGCGTTTCCCTCATTTTACAATTGGAAATCCCGCAAACTCAAGTGCGGATACATATCTATAGGATTTGATATCCTACCTCTCTCCTCGCGTTCGGGAAACTCGCAGCAGCCCAACCTTAGACGAAACGGAGTTGAAACGAAGTACGATTTGGGATTTAGATGGCAGGCATTACATGGCATTATGTCCTCAAATTTATCATCACAGGTAAGTGTGCAACTCGATTTAGTCTTGTAACTCCGCGTATGTGCAGGAATGCATATTGAAAGCAGGCTGACACGCGTTATGGCACCGTTTCAGGTGATGCAGCTGTCGGCAAGTCATCTCTGCTTATCCGCCTTACGGACCAAAGGTTTCTTGCGAATCCGGATCCCACAGTGCGTTTCATATGTGATTCTGTGGATATATTCGGGACTGACTAACTCATGGCGTTGTATCTGCACCTTCACTGTAGCTCGGCGTGGAGTTCGGGTCCAAATTAATAACGATCCCTGAGGAGGACAAGGTCGTGAAACTACAATGTGAGTAGGCGCAACTCGTCCCTTACAGTCCACGAAACGTGCCGTAGGCGTTAGAAGGGATCATTCTGTCCGGTCGTCATGCCACTTCCCACCGCTTCCAACCGTATTCGGTGCTAATAACCTCGTGTTTCTCCTTGCTCCAGGTTGGGATACTGCGGGTCAGGAATCATTCCGCGCCATAACGCGATCATACTACCGTGGTGCCGCAGGCTGTCTGTTAGTCTACGACGTGACATCGCGAAAGAGTGCGTGTGCCACCCACGAGTCTCTTTCGTCACTACACGACTTGCCAATTGATCTTCCTTGTTGATACAGGCTTCGAGAACGTACGGAATTGGCTTTCAGATGTGCGAGAACATGCAGATCCACATGTTTCATGCATCTTAGTGGGGAACAAGGTGGACCTGTGCGATCCACCACCCGGATCCTCAACAGCAGGAGAGTCAACAACGTCCCTGACAGCACCGAAACCAACCAAGTCATCGATATCTCCGCATAAGGGGGCTGCGAGGGGAAAGGCGAGGGAAGTCCCGTACGAGGAGGCGGAGCGATACGCGAAGGAAGAAGGGCTGTTGTTCGTTGAGGCGAGTGCGAAGTCGGGGTTGAACGTGGAGCAGGCGTTTGTGGATGCTTCGAGGGATATTCTGGCGAAGATCAAGAGGGGCGTGTTTGACGACGATAGGGTGCGTGGTCTCTTTCTTGCCTCGAGGTGGCGAGACTGACTTCCCGTTATCGTTTAGTCCCCTGGTGTGAAGCTCTCGAAACCCAACACGAATCTCACGTTGGAAGGCGGTGCCACAAAGTCCTGCTGCGGAACTTAGTCACCTTTTCACCATTCCTTCGTTTGTTCGACTCACACACGATGTGTCAATCCGCTGTCTAGAAGATACGACTCTCATCCATAATCTTCAAGGTACCGACCCTCGCCTATCCCTCTTCAACAAATTAAACTATGTACTACTTATGTTCTCTGTGACGACCCCTCCATGTTCGACATACCTTCCTCGCTGTTCACTGTACACAACCTTCCTTGTAACAACTGTTCTACCCTAATGTCCTTTTTGTGTTTCTTTCATGTTTAAAACAGGTGCTGTTGGTTGTTGTGGTGTAATCCACGGGATAATTTCTCTTCTTGGCTGTAATAGAACCGTTGTCGCGATCGCCTCTGGTTGGCCTCCGTTCGATCCTTGGTATCGTGGATTCTCACTGTCAGTAGGTACTTGTTTGATACCAACCAGTGTTCATTCAGGCGTCAAATTGACAAGAGACGATTAATCAATATCTAATCCTACTTTGAGCAGAATACAAACCCGAGGTCTTGCAAGAAGCCTACTCTATGACGAATTGCTGCGACTAGTTTCTAGGTCCTCCACGGGCCTTTTTCATTGGGCTTTGGAGTGAGTGTTCTCCCGGCGGGCCCTCGTCCTTTGCCTTGCGGTTTCTTCTCTTCCCCGCCGCCTCTGTCAAAGACCGTTTCCCTCTGTCTCCAGGTGGACCTTCACAGGCTGTCCGACGATGTCTTAGCACACAGTCATTCCTACGATTTTCAAAGTCAGTACATCGTACGCTCCTGGGTCTGTGGAACCTCATACCGAGAGAGCTTGTAATGACATACGGGGCATTCATGGCCTGGTTGTGCTTCCGCCTGTCCCAACCTGCGCTTACAAGACCAGTCCATGTGTCGCTTTGCGTCAAATTCTCGCGTGAAGGTCTTCATAGTTCCATTGCTCTTCGTGCACCCAAAGAGGCATCTCCAAAGCCCATTTCCACAGCGTATTGGACGTGGACCTCCTTTTTCGCCTCCTTTTTTTCTCCTCGTCCTTTTTGGTGGTATGGCAGAAGGTGGAGAGTCTGACGCATAGTTCAGGTCCGTTGGGTCCTCCCCATCGGTCGCTTTTCTTTTCTTCCGCGGGGTCTCTGGGTTAGAAATATCTCCCTTTCTGACTTTGGATTCAGCAATTGACGGATCTGTGCCTTCATCAGGATGCGATTGTGCCCTGTTAATATTCAAGGCATTCGTCAGCTTGCTCGAGGGATGGATAATGCCCAAAATTTTGGATCCGACTTCGGAAGCCAACGGCAGCTCATTCATCGATTTGGCCACGACGTCGGATGCCAGAGGGAGCGGAGTGTACGGGGGAGAGCGAACATTTTCAACGACATCCACTGTGGGCCATGGAACCTCTACTGTGGCGTCCTCTTCTTTTATAATGCACGCAGGGGACATTTCAGCTTGGTATGCCGGTATTTGAACTATAGGTTCGACCTCTTTTTCTATTTCTTGCAAGCTAGAAGCATCTGTAGGCATCTCACGGAAAGTCTCAGAGTCCAGTCTATCGTCAAAATCTCTGCGGCGCTCGAAACGTCCATCGTCGAGCTGAGGTTGGGAGTCCCAAGACGGACGCCGACGCTCCTCTTCGAAATCTTCACGAATTTGTCTGTCCCATTCATGGAACTGGTCATAGGTCATGCCTCCAGAGTTGTTTTGTGGTTCGTAGTCGTAATTTAAGTTTAAGCCCAGGAACCCACAGTTGGAAGGTTCCTCAGGTGGTGGGCCAGCCTGAGAATAAGTGTGATCGTATCTCCCGTCCGGTGCGAATATTGAAAAGTAGGGCACTTCGAATCCCAGGTAGGATTCTGCAGAGGCGAATACTTGATCGCTTCGTTCGGCGAAGGCGAACAATCTTTCCAGCAGGTCTGACATGGGTGATGTAGTGGCGGTTTGCGGAGTAGTGTTTCAGAGAGGATGTGGGGAAAACTGTAGGCTTAATGGCACTGAGGCGCTGGCTTTTGAGCGACGCCTGAGAGCTTGGCAGGTGTCAAAGATCGGCACATGTGGCGCCAAGTGCGCACTGCTTTCCTAATTTCAACCACGATTACCTTATAGGGCGTTGTCGTTCTACGCAGCGATCCGCGGGACAATCCTGTTTATTCTGAGGAGTCAATTCCAGCGTCAATGTGTAGGACATTAATTGAAACAATGGCGTCGATCCGCATTTCTTCCATTTTTTTCTGACCTTTCTCGAGGTCCCTCCAAGAACGGACAGATCGCACCAGAGGGTAGGGTCTTGCTTGCCAGCTATGTTTGCACTCCTACTATAGATTTTTTGGCCATATGGGACAATCACGCTGGAGCAGAACGTAACAAAGACCAGATTAGAACTCTTCCTACCTCTTCTCATATCTCTTTCCGCGAGCGAGTCAGCGGGGAAAGTTGACAGCTCCAAGTTCCTATAGAGAAAGATTAGTGTTTGTTGGTGCCTGCTGCGTGGCTTGGGAAGATTCTCGCTGTGCTCTTGCTCTTTGTCGCATGAGGAAGATTAACCTTTTTTCGAGTTCAGAACGGAGTGAGGGATGAGTAATATATATTCTGACGTGCACGACGCCACAGGAACTTGATTTGTCCGCGTCGCGCTGATCCATGAAGCACCCAAATCTCTCAAGAATCCCTATCTCGTATAAGGCGAGTCACCAAGGACAAACAATGGACGCGATGGAGGTCCCAATTAATGGAACGGAACAAATGATTTTGGAGAGACGCACTCAACTGGTTTGATTATACCCTTGTCAATTGGACGCTCCGGCGATTGACAATTGCAAATCGGCAGACGGAAGGGGACAACTGATACGCCTTCAGAGAGCTTACCCAGAATTCAAGGACAAGAATCCGGGGAACCTGACAGGAAACAACCGAGGGAATTGATGAGGGATGTGGTGCATCACCAAAAATATCTGTTGTTGTTGTTTTCCCTCTTCGGATAGTATGGTGTGCGCCTTTGGCTATCTTCAAGGAAGTCCTTTTTCTACAGTTCTGCCAACTGGTTCGTCTTGTTCGAGCTCTCCGACTGTCAAGAAACAAGGAGCCCCAAGTATTACTCAGCATTCTGCCAACCTGAAATTGTTCCCCGTTCGTGTGTGCAAGTGTCCTCAGAAAGACGCCATATTAGCTCTGAGCAGGTTTGCCGTTACACTTCTATTTCTTGAGTCTTTGTACTACCAGCCCTTATGTCGATTTATCTGGAAAACTCTTCCGTCCCCCTGAGAACCTCGGCATGACGATAAGATAAGATAAGATAATGTGTGTCGTCCAATCGCCAAGAAAAATGGCGGCCGCTTCTCCAAGTTCGAATTGTCTTCATACCGTCGGGGGTTGCTCTTCCTGGTTCCCTCCATCATGTTCTGTCGAAGCCGACGCCCTCCTAGTATCCCTCAGCACGCCATACGAAGCATATGTCGCTGAATAGCCGATACCTCCTTCTATAAATATGAATACCACTCGAGTTTCCCAGCACTTGAAATCCCACGTTTCACAGCTACGACGACGCAGACGATGGGGAAGGACCCTTCGCAATCGTGGCCGGCTATGGCGCTCCAAGAGCCTAGGATTGAACGACGAATGAAGGCGATGCTACGTGTCCACTTAGTCGTCATCTTCACTTTGATCGTATACTGCCTTTACGCTGGCTTCCAGCGCGGGGACACTTCCTTGGCGGCTCGACTCTCACAACTCACCTCCTGGCGCAACAGCGGAGCGCTCAAGGTCCAACGAGCGACCCTTCAAGCGCAATGTGCCAACGTTCGTGCCGCTGCGGGCCCACCAGCCTCTTTCAACCCTTCTTCGCGTCTCCGAGACAGCAACGACCACTGGGTACCCGGCACGCCTCCCACTCTTATCAGAAATGCGAAAATATGGACCGGAGCAGGGAATGGGACAGAGATTGTCTCTGGCGACGTGTTGTTAGATCGTGGGCTGGTAGTTGGAGTGGGCAGTATCTCGGCTAGGGTGTTGCAGGCTGTGCGCAAGAACTCGAGGAGGGATGGAAGCAAGGCGGAGCTAAGGGTTGTCGACGTTGGAGGGAAGTGGGTCACCCCAGGTTTGGTTGACTTGCATTCGCACATTGGGGTGTACAGCGCTCCAGAACTGAACGGTGTGTACCGCCTGTTCCGGCATACGAATATCAGCTGATGACTTCATTCTAGGTGCACAAGACGGCAATTCTCGCAAAGCACCCATTCAGCCCTGGCTGCGGAGCATCGACGGATTGAACACGCACGACGATTCCTACGAGCTCGCTATTTCCGGCGGAGTGACCACCGCGCAAATCCTCCCAGGAAGTGCCAACAATATTGGTATGAGATTCTCTTCTTGATTCAGCCGTCATATTCTGACTCATTTTTTCAGGCGGGCAAGCCTTCGTCATCAAGCTGCGTGAAACTGCCGAACGTTCGGCAACAGCCAAAGTCATCGAACCACCCTACTTACCAAGCAATTCATCTGGATATCGTCCCTGGAGGCACATGAAGTGCGTTTTCTGCTCTTCTCGTTTATTTGAACACACTAACCCGCTCTTTAGGCATGCCTGTGGCGAAAACATAAATAACGTGTATAGCCAAGTGCGCATGGACGCGATATGGAATTTCCGCCAGGCCTACGACCAAGCGAGAAAAGTGCGCGATGCACAAGATGCCTTCTGCGTTCGCGTCGAGGCGGGCGACTGGGAATCGCTAAAAGTGAACGAGAACGCATACGAGGAATTCCCGGAGAATCTGCAGTGGGAGTCGTTGGTTGATGTGCTGAGAGGGCGGGTCAAGCTCTCGGTTCACTGTTACGAGGCATGTCTCGAGGTCTTTCGGAGAGCATACGCTGATGTTCTATACAGGCTGTCGATTTCGACGGGATAGTGCGCCTATCTAATGAGTTCAAGTTTCCTGTGGCTTCCTTCCATCATGGCGGAGAAGCCTATCTCATCACAGACCTTCTGAAGAAGACCTACGTGCGTCGTTCTCCTTCTTCATAATCTTCGCAAGACCAACGTTCGTCTAGGGCGGTGCACCAGCTTTGGCCCTCTTCGCCAGCAATTTCCGAAAGAAACGCGAGGCCTACCGGGGCTCCGAATTCGCTCCCGCCATCCTCGCCGAGAACGGCGTCCCCGTGGTAATGAAGTCTGACCACCCAGTGCTCAACAGCCGCTATCTCATATTCGAAGCTCAGCAAGCGCATTATCATGGTTTGAGCCCAGAGCTGGCGCTATCTTCTGTGACGAGTGTCTCTGCTAAGGCAGCTGGGCTTGACCACCGGGTTGGGTCGATTGCTGAAGGTAGTTTCATACATTTTTGCCGTCCTTTAATTGATCAAATGCACCATTAGGATACGACGCGGATGTGGTCATTTGGGACTCCCACCCGCTTAACCTCGGAGCTACGCCCGTTCAGGTTTACATCGATGGCATCGAGCAGCTCAAGGATCCGTTCGTCTTGAACAAGCCGGAGGAGTTCCAGAAGGTGCCCGAGGTGCCCGATTTCTCGAAAGAGAGAGCGGATACAGTCAAATACTCAGGGTTGCCGCCTCTGACTGGTTGGAAAGACGAGAAGAAGCAGGCTGGAAGAGTGAAGGTTGTCGGTGTGAAGAGCCTGGTCGCATATGAAGAATCGACTGGTGCACAGGACGATACTCCCAGTTTCGCTCTCAAGACCCTTTTCGATGATAAGCACTCTTCCAGCGGACGGACTGTCATAATCGAGGGCGGCCGCATCGTTTGCATTGAAGGCACCGCCTCTTCCTGCACCATTAGCGTTCGTGTTGGCGAAACCATCGACTTGCAAGGCGGCTCAATCGCCCCAGCGTTGACGACGTACGGCTCGCCGCTTGGTCTCGTCGAAATCCGCCAGGAGGCGTCGACGAACGACGGTTCTGTCCCGGACCCGCTGACCGGCAGTGTGCCTTCAATTGTACGCGGGACTGGGGATGGGGTGATCAGGGCTGTTGATGGGTTGTCGTTTGGTGGGCGAAGTACTCTGTATGTTTTTTTCTAACCTCAGACTCCCTCGTCATGGTATTGACGGGTGCTTGTGCGTTCTAGGCTCGCATACAAGGACGGCGTGACTACAGCCATAACCGCCCCAAGCGGCGGCGGCTTCCAGCGCGGTCTCGCCACAGCATTTGACACTGGCGCTCCGCACTCCGCCGTCGACGGCGCGGTCCTCCAGGAAGAAACAGCTTTACACATAGCGATCAACTTTCAGATCAGCACGAGCGTCAGCACCCAGGTCGCCGCTTTGCGGAGTCTTCTCTTCGCTGGGGGAGATGAAGAAGATGCTAGCGCGTGGGGTCGTGTTCGCGCCGGCAAGATCCCTCTCGTCGTTGCTGTCCAGAGCGCGGACATCATTGCTACGCTGCTTAGCCTCAAGGCGGACTATGAAGAGGCAACTGGACGGACGCTCAAGCTTACTTTCTCTGGAGCAACCGAGGCGCACCTCCTTGCCAGTGAGATCGCGGAGGCAGGCGTCAGTGTCATATTGACGTCGCCGAGGCCCTATCCGGGGTCTTGGGAACAGCGGAGGATGTGGGTGGCGTTTCTACTTTTTGATGAAGTGTGCTGACGTTGTTATTTGTTTAGTGTTCATGGACCCCCGTTGTCGCAAGAGAGCACAGTGACGACTCTTGTCAAAGCCGGAGTCAATGTGGGCATTGGCGTTATCGACGAAGCAAGCGGGAGGAACACGCGGTTCGATGTCGCTTGGGTGCGTCTTACCTCTATCCACCTCTGCCTCTCCCTCCTTGCCATATGATTTACATTTCTGTAGACTGCCCTCGAAGCCAACGGCACCATTTCCAAATCCGAAGCCATTGCACTGGCTTCGACTAACCTCCACAAAGCTCTTGGGTACTCACCCCAAAAGACTCCTGATCTGGTCCTGTATCGCGGTGGAGATCTGTTTGGGTTTGAGAGCAAGGTCGTTGGTATAGTGTCGGCTCAGAGAGGTGTGGAAGAATTTTGAAGGAGGTTCGGGTTACGCTTTCTATTTCAGTACTAACAGTGCTATATACGATATATCTGGAAGACGACGGCTGCATGAAATGTGATTAGAAAAATTGACATACAATCTATGCACAGGGCTAGGATTACACATTGTGATAATACATTCTCGAAGACTTCTACTCAGTTCTTTTCACCTGGCTGCTGTACCAGCTCGTTCGACGCGCTAGAGAATAGATCGAGGATATCCTGAGCTGGCGTCATTCCCTGGTGAATGGTAAGTTGCGTCAGATCTTCCGCCTTGTAATGGTACTTTCAAGGACGACGTACCCAGAAAGCCAAGGACAAGAAAATAGATGTCGCGCCTCTCAGTCCATCAAGAGTGAGAATATCCGTCCGATAGGCCGTTCGTGCTTGTGTAGGGCCTTCGGTGACTAGAACGCCGAACATCCAGTCGAAGCCGCTGGTGGAGCACCAGGTGACTTGTTTCTTCTCGAATTTGTCCGCGCTATTTGGCAGAATAAACATTAGAACAAGAAAGGAGTAGGGAGGCACGCACAGAAGGGTTGCTTTGACGAGAACGCTGGGGAGGACCTGTTCGAGGTCGGTGTCGTTGTATTCTGTGACGAACATGAAGGACGGATCGTCTTCCTCCCTGAGCTTCGTGAAGATCGGCTCTTCTAAGAGTTCGTCGAGTATCTCAGGGTAGGAGTTGCTCTCTAAATGTCGAGGATGAAAATACAATCAGCTGAACGAATGATGGATGCAAGATGAAAAGAAATCTGACCCTTTTCTTCGAGCCCTTTCCGCATCTCCTTGCCCTTTTCTTGAGCAAAGTAAACTCGGGTAAAGTCGAGCGCCCCCGTAAAGCACGTTATGCGATCCGCATACACCTTTTTCTGTCCCTCTCCCTGCGTTGCGGTGGCTTCCTCGTGCGCAACCCCATCGGCCTGGACACTCGCTACCCCGCTCGTGAAGTACTCGATCACCGCTGGGTTGTCGGCCTCATACTCCTTCGTGAAAGGCCCATGCGCGACCTTGAAAAACAGATCGAGCTCCTCGTACAACTTATCAAGCTCATAGACCATACTGAAGCTGAGCAGCTGCCCGCCAGATCGAACCATCAGTTGGAAGGGCAGACATTCAATCATGGAGTCCACGCGTAAGGAATCACCCCAGTAGTTTTCGACAGTTTCAAGGATTTCGCGCTGGGCGAGGTTGGATTTTATTGTGGAGAGGAGGGTGGCGGTTGTTGGAGTGGCGGAGGCGCAGAGGACGTGCAGGGTGAGGCCGACGAGGTCGAGGGTGGACGCGTTGGTGTCTTTGAAATTTATTCCCTGGAGGCGTGCTTAGAACAAAAATATGCCAGAAAGAGCTTAGGAAATACCTTGATCCCGCGGTCAGGATGCTTTTCATGGTAGGCCCTCTCCCATCGAAACTTAGCAACGACGGACGTGGTGTGCTCGACGCCACGGATCACCGAAGGTATCTGTCCTGCGAGAGGATCCGTCGAGATTCTTTCGAATCTCTCAGCAATATCGACGAGGCTTGCTTCCATCTTGTCCAGGGAAGTGGCCTTGAGGTGGTCTGGGACGTCGCCGAGGATGAACTCGGTCATACCGTACGTTCGGTCGGCCACTGGAGCAACCATGTTCAGCCTATTTGGCGTAAGCGGGTTGAGTGTTGTAGCAGACGCTAGAGGGAGAAAAGAGGTTCTGGCGAGTACGTCCAGATCGCTCAATTAAAAGAAACTAGAGCAGTCATCATGTGAGGTCGATGGTGATCGGCTGCCCATTGTTCTTAAATCGATAGGCATCTCAAGAAAACAATGGAGCTCTTCACTTATGAGTGGTCCTCATCAGGATGTCCTGTCGGTCGCGAAGAAGATTAGGCTTCCTTCAAGACAAGTACAATAAAGACAACAAACTCTTTCGGGTGACTTGCTTGACTTGAACAACTTGTTCCGACGCTTCTTCACGGGAGCCATCGGGGGATATATGCATTGTAGATTCAGTTTGTGGGCGCCTTGGAAGGAAATGACTTGATTATCAGCGATGGCGGGATCCAAGAAGTGGGCGGGAGTCAAGAAGGGCGCATCAAATTTGATGGCGGGACCGACCCAATAATGGCCGTGAGAAAGTTGTCAAAAAGGACAGATGTGACTAGTGAGCTTGGTCTGGCTTCCATAAAAGCCACAACAGCCTTAACATCTCGAACCCACCAACCAGCGATACCTCATCACCTATGGTCCTGAAACGCAAACGCGGAGACAATTTCGTTCCCTGGACGTCCTCTTCTCAGGAGCAACCCCAAACGAGTGCGCAAACTGGCGTGAACGCGACAGATCCGGTTTTGCCACCCGAGAAGAGAACAAGGAGCAACCCGCCACGCTCGAAAAGACCTATACCATCGGAATCTGCTGCTGCGCCAGCCCCGAAGGCGAAAGCAGCACTTCCGAAGAAAACACGTGCACCGCGCACGAAGAAAGCCCCTGTTGCCGTACCACCTCCAGTTGCTGTACCAGGACCATCTTCGAGCCAGGCATCCGCACCGACTCCAAAGCCCGCTCCTTCTAGGAGAGGACGGAAGAAGGCCGCGAGTTCTGAGCCGAGCGGGTCGCAACCGAAGCCGGAAAAACGCCTGGCACAGTTCAAGCCACACTGCCCACAGAATATCTTGGATAGACTTGCACGCGTTCGGAGTCAAAGGTGCGTACAGTACCCAAACCCTGGCATACCATCACGCTATTGCACTCTTGCTGATGCTCTAATACAGAATTTTCATGATTGACCGTGAACGAAATGGCAACGAGTTGAAAGAGAAGTTCACGATTCTTGGTTCTACGAACAACGTCAGTATTCGTCTGCCCGCTATATCAAATAAATTTTCTCATTTTTATCTCCAGGTATACACTGTGACGATTGAGCACCTCCCGCAATGCAATTGTGCGTTATCAGCGCATCATTAGATGTCATCATCCACCTAAGTTTGTCTCCAGGTCCCGATGCCGTTAAAGGGAATCACTGCAAACATATCGTGCGTATCCTTATTGTCGTTTTCTAGACTTCCTTTACTCATACCTTTTCACAGCTGTTTGTGTTCACGAAAGGTCTGCGCCTATCTACCAAGCATCGCGCGTCGTAAACTCAATGTTCAACAGTGCTTCAAGTTAGCCAAGACTCAGGTCTCTGGTATCAGAAGTATGTCCTCCTACCCACTTATTCCCGCCTGTCTGAACACTATGAACAGAGCCCTCCTCACAAGCGAGCTCGAGAAAATCTTCGCAGAAGCGCCTCTAGCTCCGAATTCCATGGCCCATACCCACATTCGGGACGCCTATGCGCGCGCCACGGGCAAAGCGCCTGCCGCTGCTGCACCGGCCGACGCAGGCCCCAGCAACAAGCGCATCCCGGGCCCAGACGACGACTGTCCGATCTGCTACGACGGTATGCATGGGACGGCCGAGGCGTCGCTCGTGTTCTGCGAAGAATGCGGGAACGCGCTGCATAAGGAATGTTTTGGCGAGTGTGAGTGGGCGTTTTCGTTTCGCTTGTTGTGGGCGTCGCGCTTAACGGGTGCCTTTTTGCATGATTTTTCTTCTATTTTCCTTGCGGGATCGCGTTTAGGGCAAAAAACGGCCCGCCACACCGGGAAGGAGCTCACTTGTGTATGGTGTCGCGCAAAGTGGGTCGTCGCCCCTGCACCTGGCGAGGTCGGTGCCAAAAGGGTTCCGGGCGGGTACCTCAACTTGGGTACAGCTGCGGGAGGCAGTCCTGGTCGCGATACGAGCACTTGTGAGTCGTTTTTGTTCAAATTCGTGGACGGTGGTTGCTGATGCTGAGCTTAGATTATCATGGACCCAGGAGAGGTCAAAGGTATTATGGGTTCCAGGCTTACGACGATTATTGAGCGCTGGTCTGAATCTGAAATGCGATCTTTCTTGATATGTTTTCCCTTCCTCGAGTCGGTTACCGTTTCTGAAGCTTATGCCTCATCGTCGATGTGTTGTACCTTTCTCTGAAGTGGTTATGTCCTATTTTTCGTTATCTGTGTTATGTCGTCATCGCTGCCCAATCCCGTATCAACTATTAGTCTATCAATTGATAATCTTATCTAGCTTTGAAATGCCCGGTGCCGGTCAATTACTTACAAACTCTTATCCTCACTCTCATGAGTCAGAGTCATCCGATGAATTCAGACTCGCTGCCCGCACAACCTTCGACACCATCCACAGAGGGCGTTCTAGAGGGCCCATCCACAATAATCCGAAACCATCCGATATACTTCTTCGAAGATGGATCTCTTATTCTGGACGTCGAAATCCAGCGGTTCAAAGTCCACCACACCCTCCTGTCTCGCCATTCGCGGTTCTTCTCTTCTAGGCTGCCCACTGAGCGGGGTTCTGCGGAGCATTCTACACATTCAGCTTCAACTTCAGTGCACAAACACGATGTCAAAGATGAATCCGAGGGCGAACGCCCACAGGCGTTGCAGAGACCGCCAGGAAGTAATGGATTCCATCATGTAGTGCTCGAGCCGAAGCTCCAGGTCAGGGTTGAGGATATAGAGGCGCTTTTTCAGCATCTGTACCACGATGCGTGAGTTTATTATGCCAATTTCTCTGAGACATGACTGGGAGAGGCGTGTTCGACAGTGCGAAAATTGGCTGGAACGAAGATCTCCATGGGATCCACCAGGAGTTCGCGCAGACACGCGTCTTGATAAATGGAATTCCGGTCACTTTCTATGGAGGCCCAGGTGCCCATTTGAACCAGTATCGGCGGAGTGATGTCCTTTGAAGTGGGTCCTGGTTCTAGTCGCGTTTTCTGCAAATCTCTTGTTTGCAGGATCCGGCGGACGCGCTGTTATCGATTGAACGCGCCACGTCTCCGGCCTTGGGTCGGTGTTTATGGACTTCCTTGTTTGCGATGGATGAACTCGTGTTTTGTGGACACCCCTCTCATTTGCCCTTGCGGGGGAACGTTTCTCCCTCAGCAAGTTTCGCTGGGTTCAAAACCGTTAAAACCTCTGGCTCATTGTATTGCATTTTAGACCCCTGGGCAAGGATTCACCCTTCTCGCGCATCGCGGGCATACTGCGGGTGTCAAGCCCTCAGCAATTGGACTTCCCGGTGCTTCACAGCACCGCGAAAAGCATTCTGCAGGGCATGTTTCCTACAGATCCCGAGACCTTCACCCACACCCACCCGCTTCATGATGCTTTGCCGATAGCAACAGATTTTCATTTGCCGATGGTGAGTGGGTCCACGACCCCTTCCCTCTCTATTTGATAGCTCAGGAGTATGCAGATACGCAAGGCGATCCTCTACAGCCTGGTGACGACCACAGACTTTGATGTGTCGGATACCACTCCGAACGCGGACGCGGTACCAAGCGTGGACCCACAGTCTGAGATTCAAAATTCGATATCTGGGTCCACGGGCGTACCTACCCATGCGTCTACGGGGCCCAACTCCGATTCAATCGCGCCTTCTGTGGGCGCGTCTGAATTCTCGTCGATAGCAGACGTAGCCATCCCCGAGAACACTGCCACTCCCGCACCGGCAGGAGCAATCCGGCGAACAGCGCTGCTGTCCCCCGCTGACGCCGAGACGTGCATGACCCTGATGACGCGCCTCATCGAGCACTTTACGCCTATCCTGTTCACGCCGGCTGCGACGCCCCACATGGCGTGCACGGACGTGTTTGCGGACACTTGGATGCCTCTGGTGATCGAGCCCGCCCTAGCGGACGATGGCGTGTACAAGCCCCTGGAAACGCTCGAAAGGATGAAGGGGATCGATTGGGCGAAGAGGGGCCTATGTGCCGAGTGTGTGCTCGAGAAGCAGGAGGAGTGGACTGAGGAGCAGAGGGTTGTGTGGAAACATATGGATCAGTGGTTGGGTATAGACGTCGAAGGGGAGTCGCGTGAGACGTGAGGGAGGAGAGTAACGCGACAGCGAAGCTTTCTTTGTGGGCAATCGAAACAACCTCTCGTGTGTCGCGGAAATCTTTAGCGCAGAACAGGATAGATGAGAACCGAATCGAATTCTTGAAACGTCCAATTGACGGGGATGTGCCCTTGGTTCATATCTCTCCATCCACTCGCGTCACATAAGCCTTTCTCGGTTTCGCTAAATGCCCCAGTCCAAACCCCGGCACATCTGATACAAATCCGACGAATGTAGTCTGCGAATCGATTTTTCAAAGGTGAACGCGGGGCCTGGTTGGAGATATTGCAATTGACGAGTGTGGCTCTTGTCTGACTGCCGTCCTTCCCGAAGGTAGACGGTGTTTTACCCCTCCTCGACCTGACTTTTACCGCGATGGCAGGTTGATTCAGCAGACGCGACCATAAGGAATTTTATTTCCCGTTTCAGTATAACCATTGGGGGAAGGATTGAAATGATGACATGCATCGACTCGGAGCTGACAGGCGGCATACCGTGTCCGTGGAGGTCGTGAAGTGAGCTTACCAGCTTTGCGCTGTAGCGTTCTGTGTCTAATCTCAGGTCGGTCAGAAGTTCGCATCTCTGTGCAGTGACCGGGCATGAAGAAGAGATGCACTGGCTAAGTATATCCGTCACTACGCTTAGTGGGTCCAATCCTATTGTCCATCCAAACCACCTCATCGATAAGCAAAAGCTTGTCTAGCTGTCTGTGTTTCTACGTTTTGAGACCGGCCGAGGCGTTCCTCAAATGGTGACACATTTTCTGTCAAAAGAATTCACGCTGCCGCGTGGCGGTGACGAATCAAATATTTGGAGGCAGAAAACTGCTTTTTGAATGCATTATACTCATCCGCCTGATGCGCGTCGTCAGTGTGATAAAGAACAAATGTTCCTTATTTTCGAATTTATTGTTTCGGTACGCCAGGCAACAAGCGCCCATAGCGCCTTGTTCCGTAATAAACAACAGCAAGCCAAATATTTGGTTGGTGATTAAAATCACTAGCTGCATCCCGACCGCGACGGCGATGCGATTGTTGTGCGCCCTCCGACCTCTGTTACATTTTTGCCTTGCCGAGCATGGCCCCTTACTCGGATTCTTTGGACTCACGGTGAGTGATTTGTATTTGTTTCCTGGCGTTCGACCCTGCAGCTCCCGGTTATCAGTGCACTCGTGACTACCAACCTGCCAGGGATAAGCATAGGATGAACATAGCATACTTTGACGAGGGCCCGTCAGATTCTTGCATATGATATTGCCATTCATCAGCTCGGGAGCATCTCTGCGCGACCAGGTGCTTTGTTGATCAGTTGCCTGGAAATTAGCGGGCTTAGGGGCCTCAAAGCCTCAAGGCTGATTTTCAATTGGAAGGAGACGGGCGCCCACAAATGTCACGCGTACATTAAGCTTTTCATGGTTATTTGTACTACTTTTGAACTATAAGAAAATGGGGATCCGGAGGTGCCCAAGTTGACGTTCCGGAAATGGATGGGGACTCGCCCACAACTTTTACTCCATTCCTGTCACTTGTGAGTCGCAGTTTTGTCATTGCCTCTCTCCTTTATTCTTCACCTCTATGCGCCTTAGCACAATTACAATGGCATCGACTGGTGTGTCCCTTTATAAAGCAGCCGGTTTGCGCCATCGTTTTCCACCAATATCCCAGTCGGACCCATCGTCTCCTTCGACATTCCCTGAAGCACCACCGCACAGCAACCACAGCAATAACGGCACTATGGACCTCGAAAATTCGAAGGAGTCACTTCTCTCAGGCGCGACCTCCGTTCCCAACTCGCCTCAGACGCTTCCTCTAGACGACCCAAATGTCCGTTACCGAACCTGGGGGATCTTCACCGTCGCACACGAGAAGCCATCATGGCGCTTCTTTCCTTTGCCGATCACTGGGACCATCCAGGAGTACAGGAAACCATTCAGCGCATTTCTCTGCTTCCTGCAAGACCTCTGGACTGTCGACCCATGGCATAGCGCCCAGTACTACCTATGCATGCTGTGGGCAACCATGGCTCCAGCGGTTGGTTTATATCTGGCGTCCCTCTTCATCACCACCGTAAGCTTCACCCTACCCTATTTTTGTTTCATGTGAATTAATGAACATATCATATAGGTTCAGCCGCTTGTTCATTCTCCTGAAGTCCAAAGCGAACAGGCAAAGGACTTCCAAGTTATTGGATTCGCCTGGCTTGCGTGTGGGCTAATATCGACTCTGGTCGAGAAAAACATGTTCGTTTCATCCCTGGATCCTTCTACGTCGACTAACTGCGTCTAGGGTCCAACTACGGGTCGAGCTTGGGGGCCGATTGAAACTTCATTTTACTCCCCAACTGGCTGCAGGTAAGGTTTCATGAATTCCCTATCTCATACTTTTCTCATTATGAGTATAATATCGCCCATAGCGACTCTACGATGGGATCTCGATCACACCCTAGGTGCCTTCAGACTGCCTGTCCCCTGACTTTTTTCTAACAAAATGACTGTAGAGAGCCTCCGTTACTTTCCTAGTCCCTACGAGTACGGCGACTACATTCCAGGATGGAATTTCTTCAACCACACTTTCACCCTTTTGCGCCATATCCTCACGGTGGTCTTCCAAATTCTTGTCGCCTTCCTTATCCTTTCCAAGAACGATAACCCAGACGCCGTATGGCTTTCCGCTTTGACCGGACTTTTCCTTTCTGTGGCATTTCTGTCGCCCACAAACGACATGGGGGGATCAGGTGCGTTGATTTCTCCTTAACACTTGCGGAGTGCGCTAACAAGTTCTAGGCTATACGTTCTGGACGAACAATACGCACTACAATCGACTGATGTACCTATTCAACATCGTCTTCGATTCAGACATGCGATCAACCTTGATCAAGGACGGATTCGCCGAATCACTTGTTGAAGGTGGGTAATGCCTCTTCATGGTTTGTGCTATTTAAAAAAAAAAATATCCTACATAATATAGAGTACAAACGCGAGTCGCAGGCTCTCGGAGTTGTGGGAGCCGATACCTGGATTCTCGGATGGAACCTTCTACCCCAGGGGTACTGGTTACTGGGACAGATTTTGCTCGGTGCCTCTCCCATGGTACGTCGCAGTTGTCTAGTGTGTTCTCAGGAGCTGACATTAACAGGTATTGTGCGCACTTGCCGCGCCATGGTCGGCGAAACCATTAGGAACTATCCTCCCGTCAATCGCCCTTGCTCAATACACCATTTTAACCATGAAGTATAATATCGAGATGCTTCGAGGCTTCTATGGACAGCACTCCTTCCTTAGTCTCCTTCGTGAGGCCGAGCAGTTTTACTACGCTTTAGGATATGGATCTTCTCCAATCCTTGGTTTCTGCAACTATCCTGATCTCAAGAGCAACCCAAAAGGGATGAAAATACAGTTAAGGCAAGTGCCATCTTCTTAATCACGGCTTTTGAAGGCCAAGCTCATCTTATTCAGGGACGTGTCGTACAAGCCGCGCGACGCTGACACTTCGGCGCCTAATGTGGTCGAGGACATCAATCTGACAATCCAACCTGGTCAACTCGTGGTAGTGACTGGAAGAGAGGGTTGTCGGAAGGAGACTCTTCTCAAATTGCTTTCTGGAACCTTGCCGCCAACATCTGGTGAGGTCCGCGTAGACGACGAAAAGCTTGGGAGCTACGACATCCGCGAGCTGCGCCAGGCCACCGTCTTTGTCGAGAAGACAGATGCGATTTACCCGCTGTCAATCCGCGAGAATATCTTGATGGGCTTGGGCTACCTTAGCCGAGACGAACGTGATGTGATCCCGGATGAGTGGATCGAAGAAGCCGCCCGTCTCGGAGGTGCCTCCGAATTGGTCAAGGAGATGGGATACGAGACCGTGATAACTCCCTGCAGTATCCCAGCTTACAGTCTGACAGAGCGACCCGGAGATTCTGCGCTCAAGGCTCTTCGACATCATTCACCTGACCCAATTCCTATCATCTTGACGGAAGCACAGAAACAATCTTTGATTGCGTACGTTCCTTATTCTTCAATTACGATTTCTGTGCTTATTGGGTTCTTGAGATCACGGGCGGTTATGAGAGCTAAACACGGTCTGAATATCAAACTTGTGATACTGGACGGCATTCTCGATGCTTTAGCGCCTAAGATCCAGGGCGAAATTTATACTCGCTTCAGGCAGATCGCTCTCGAAAGAGGCCAGACACTAATGGTGTCGACCCACCATCTTCCTCAAGTAGCACAATATGCTGATATAATTGTGTGAGTCCACCGTAATGGCTGTCGAAGTCTGCTGATCACAATTCTCGCCTTACATCTAGTTATATGGAGAATGGTAAGATAAGCGCCCAAGGATCACATGATGCGCTTCTTCGGTCTGAGCATTCGTATTTGTCTCTTTTTAATGCGAAAGAGTCCCCTTACTTTTCCTGATTATTCTTTTTTGCTGTGTCTACTTCCTTATTCCCAATGGACTATGTATAGAATCTGACCAAACTTGTACTACGCCGCATCAAATATTCTCTTCTGTTTTGTTCCCTGTCTCCCTGGCTCTCACCAGTCTTGTCCTATCTAGACCGCCTGTAATTTCCGGCATAATAATTCTCTCCTCATGTACCAAGTATCTTGTCGATGTTTATCTGCCGCGCTGGTACCCAGTCTATGACTCTTCTATGATATCACTTCGAAGTCGATTAGATGTTCTTGACACTTCTCCCACGAGTAGGTACTCCGAACTCTGGTTCGGATCCACTCTCACTTTCTGAGTCACCGACCGCTCACAACTATTGAGGCAGGGTATTTTTGGCGTCTTCGTGGCCGTGTAACCGTTGAAATGAGGCTTTAGGGACAGAATAGAAGGTTGCAGGTAGCTTCTTTCGATGCTATCTGCCCGAAAACTGCCAGAGGGGCAGTGCTAGATAGACGAGATTTTTCCTTCCTGTCTCTCCACTTCATTGCCTTGATGATGTAGGCCGAGGTATTTCAGGAACTCCTTGGACATGGTGCTGCGTGGGCGGTCATTCTTTGCTCCAACGCAGTCTCCGAATGTGAAAGTTCGGGACAAAAAGAACGACTTCTGACTTTTTCACGGAAACAACTGCCAAATCCGTCCATCAGTTCGTGCCAGGTCTCTTAGAAGTTGGATGTACGGCGGACCTGACCCGCTCCTTTTCGATGCTGTTTCCAAATTGCCGGGCACGGCACCCACCAAGCCAGCCACTCAAATGTCAAGGGGTCCTGAAGTATAACATAACAAGAAGCCCCGTCATCGACACTCCTTTCACGATTGACGGGCCCGGGTCGATACCGCAAGTCTACCACCTCGATAAAAAGCACGGTAGCTGTGCTGTTCATTGCATCTCTCCGATCGGCTCAACTCTTTCTGCACGATGACGGACTCCCCTGCTTCCAGTGCACTGTCGCCCCCGCTCCTTGCGAGCAAGGAGGGAATCGCCTCGAGCGAGTCGCAGACGGACGCCTTGGTCATCAAGCGACCGCCCCGGCAGAGAGCGTGGTACACGCGCAAGAGAGTGCTCGCCCTCGTTGGGCTCGGCGCTCTGGTCCTCGTCTTCCTCGCCGTGTTCCTGCCCGTGTTCTTTGTCGTCATCCGGAAGAGAGGTGGTTCGGAAGTTAGAGCGGGCGCTGGTAGTACGATTGGTGGGAGTGGTGGAGGGTCAGGCAGCGGCGTTCCAAACCCTGCGTCCCCGTCAGGGGCCACGGTAAGCCACCTGGGTCTTCTTGCAATTTTCGTTTGTTCAAATTATTACCGAAGAGCGGCGGAGATGATTCAATCATACGGTTGGTGAATGGGACAGAGTTCACCTATAGGAACTCCTTTGGCGGTTATTGTACGTCCTCATCACCTTCCCCACACATTCATCGAGGTGACACCTCTTGTAGGGGTACAAGATCCCGCTGATCCTTTCAACAATAACGCTCGGCCCAATTCTTGGACGCCTCCCCTGAACACAAGCTGGACATGGGGAAAAGACCGAATCCATGGTGTCAATCTCGGGGGTCTCTTCGTTCTCGAGCCTTTTATCACCCCGGATATCTTCCAACGATACCCGGGCGCTGTCGATGAATATACACTCAGCCAGGCGATGGCGGCGGACACGGCCAACGGCGGTCTTTCGCAACTGGAGCAGCACTACGATACTTTTATTGTGCGTCTCACCCTTCTCTTCTTGATTTCATTTCGTTGACGTCGACGCCACGTCGCCAATCATTATTATCGAACTAGACGGAGCGAGATATTGCTGAGATTGCTGGTTAGTAGTTGTGATTGACTCCGCATGCACATGCTTCAAGCTTTTAACTCAAATCGTTTGCCTGACAGGTGCCGGCCTGAATTTCCTGAGGATACCTATTGCTTTCTGGGCTATTGAGACGTGGGATGGCGAGCCCTACCTCGCGAAGACTTCCTGGAAGTATGTCTCCTCCTCCTAGTCATTCTATTCTCGTCGTTTGTCTTCGACATCTGACAACGGTCGTCAGGTATTTCCTCCGGGTGCTTGAGTGGGCTAGGAAGTATGGTCTGCGGGTCTGTTTAGATTTGCATGCGGTACCGGGGTCACAGAACGGTACGTCATTCAATCAAAGACTATTCGAGTACTCAGCGCCGTTCTCGATCCGGTGCAGGTTACAACCACTCCGGCCGGTGCGTATCATAGTTTCGCATCAAAACTCGTTTCACATCTCAATATTCAATGCCCATTCGAACCTTAGGATGTCGCCTGTCAACTTCCTCGCTGGAAACATGGGCCTCGCGAATGCGGAAAGGACGCTCTATTACATTCGGGTTTTGACCCAATTCATCTCGCAGCCGGAATATCGATATCTCATCCCAATTTTCGGCATTGTGAACGAGGCGCTGGTCGGCATCATTGGACAGGATTCAATTACCAGCTTCTACCTTCGTACTCACGATATGATGCGGAACATCACTGGATTGGGAGAAGGACACGGACCGGTCGGGTTTCTTCCTTGTTGCTTAGTTGGAGATGCTGACTTTTCTAAACATAACAGTATATTGCCATCCACGACGGATTCCAGCCTCTTTCTGTATGGGATAACTTCCTTCAGGGTTCCGACCGCATCATACTGGATGAACATCCCTACTTTGCTTTCGGTGGAATTAACACGGACCCCATTGCAGCAGTTGGTGATACAGGAATCGCTGGTGGTCAATGGCCCCTATCGGCGTGCAACGCCTGGGGCCCTGCTACAAATTCCAGGTAAATTCACTGTCGACCTTTCTTCTTTGACCCTTCTGACATGTCTGTGTTCTAGTCGTAGGAATTTTGGAGTCACCTTTGGCGGAGAGTTCTCGGCTTCGCCCAACGACTGTGGATTATTCATGGTGGGAGTCGGTCAAGTGTCGAGCAACCCTCAATGCTCTGAATACGACAGCTGGGAGACGTACAATAGCACTATGAAGGAAGGTATCCAGAATTTCGTGAAGGCAAGCTTCGATGCTCTCGGAGATTGGTTCTTCTGGACATGGAAGGTGCGCCACACTCGCTTTGTCATCTAGTAATCGTATAATGTTTTCTTTGCACAGATCGGTGCATCCCAAGAATCAGGAAGGATAGAAACACCCTTGTGGTCATACCAGCTCGGTCTCCGCAACGGCTGGATTCCTCAAGATCCTCGAAGCGCCGTCGGCATGTGCCAATCATTAAATGCCGGTACAGAGCCTTGGGATGGCACGTTCCAGCCCTGGCAAACGGGCACACCCTCCTCCATACCCGAAGCATCCTCTTCGCAATTCCCCTGGCCGCCTGTGACTATCAGCAGCGCAATCGTACAAGTCAACTTACTGCCAACGTACACAAACACCGCCCCGATTATCACCCTTCCTCCTGCCACCTTCACAGCGGCACCGAGTTCCATCACGGCTTCTGCTGACGGCTGGTTTAACCATCAGGATACAGAGGGTGGTATCACGACTGTGGCTGGATGCCCCTATCCGAGCGAGTATGATGGCATATTTTCTGTTATCCCGACTGCTCCGTGCACTGGACCTGAATCGGCTACGACACCGACACTCCCGCCGGTGTAAATTTACCAAAAGCGCAAATACCCTGTCGAACAGACCATTCTCCTTCATGACCATACGAACACGGAACACATCATTATTGTAGGATTGCCATCGACTTTTCACGGACTTTGTTTTATCTGGACCGTCTTCTAATGTACCCATACCTTCACCCGTTCCACGGACACCTTTTCCAAGGAATTTCGTCGACCACTGCGCATGGAGAACATTTTGACGTCGGGAGTTTGTCTACAACCTCGACGATCGACTCTTTACTTTTAATTCGCCTTCTTTTCTCCCTATTTTACGATATGTATCAAGTACCAGATAGATCTCCTTAGTTTCAGGGTCCCCCTACATGACTCTATTTGCCTCTTAGAGTTGTTTTATATTTTATCTCTAAAATGTCTGTTAGCATGTTGTAGCTGTCGACAGATTGCGGTTTTCAGACCAAACAAACTTGGAAGTTGGAAGTGATGATCACCTTCAACATCAACGCCAACCATCGTCAGCGACTTTTGTCGTCTTACGTTCGACCAGGACACCACATACGCGTGTAGGACGTCTAAATCACTTCAGCCAGATACTCTCTGGAGCCTTTGCGGCTCCTTGCGGTCACATCGGCATCCTGATATCAACCACGACCCATGTCCATCAGCTCTCCCCTGCTCACACCGACTGCTTCGGGATCGTCAACACCAGTCGTATCCGACCGAAAAGCGTCATGGGCGCCACAAACGCGCAACCCGGTCTCTCAACGAGTGTACAAAGTACTCAGCACGAACTTCGATGACGAGGAGACACGACAGGCTTTACGGACGCTTTCAGAACTCTATGCCTCGCCTGTACCCAAGGGCAAGGAGGTCCAAAACGTGTCAGCTGAGGATGCCGATGAAGACTTTGGCCAGGAGGGCGCTGCCGTTGGTGTGGACACGTCTTCCAACGCGGCACTAACGGAGAGCATACCAGGGGAATCAGCAGCTAGGGCAAGGAAGAACCTGAGGAGGGACATGGAAAACAAACTTGCAGAGGGTAGCAAGAAGTTTCTGGAGGCTTTGGGTGAAGTCGACTCTGTGAGTACCTGTGCCATTTCGTGCGTAATGCCCTATTGACCATAATTCATTTGCACAGAAACTCCGCGAACTTCAAGCCCACGTAGCGGCGATGCGGGCCAGTTGTGACGAAGCTGAGACCCAACTGGCCCTGACGAACGAGTCGAGCAAGATGCTATTGGAGAGAGCAGGACATCTACGCGATGAACGGTCTGTTTCATCCCGGTATTTTGTATCGTTTTCTGGCGCTGATATTGGAGGGTTAGGCAGGACGTGGAGGATAAGAAATCGATTATTACGCTGTTCCTGGCGCGGTTCACTCTCAGTGACTCGGAGGTCGAAGCTATGACTTCGAGGGAAGTGCCCGTTGGCCAACGATTCTTTGAGGCCATGGACAAGACGGAGAGGATCAGAGAAGATTGTCGTGTCCTTATGTCAGGAGAAGAGGGGCCAACGAAAGCTGGGTGCGTGATCTTTATTCTGTTCGAAGACTCCAATTGAGCGTTTTGGATTTTCGTAGACTCGAAATCATGGCTTGGACATCGACACATCTCGAACAAGGCTATGAGAAAATTCTACGACATTGTTCGAACGAATTCCGGCAAATCGGACGCGATGCCCAACTGGAAGTTGCCCCTGGGATGCGCGAAGCTGTCTCAAGACTACGAAAGAGACCTGAACTTCTAACGTACGCGTTTCCTGTGGTTCATGCTCTCTGGTCTCCTGATCTCAAGTTTACCGTCTACCAGAGAAGCTCTAACATCCCTCTCCGAAACCCGCCAAGCTACACTGCTCTCCGCCTTTATCAACGCCCTAACGCGTGGCGGACCCTCAGGTTATCCTCGACCAATCGAGCTTCATGCACACGACCCTATGCGCTATGTTGGCGACATGCTTGCGTGGGTGCATCAAGCAATTGCTGCGGAGCGCGAGTTCCTGGAGAGCCTGTTTGGTGTCAAGAGTGATGGGCGGATGGTGGGTAGTGTGCGGAGGTTCGACTCCAAGGGAGAGGAGGAGGAATGGATTCGCGAGCTGATGGATTTGGCTGTTGGAAAGCTCTGCGTACCGTTGAAGGTGTGTTGTCTTTGTCAATTTGTTTACACTGGATTAAGAGATTCCATTTAGATGAGGGTTCAACAAACCATTCGATCTCAAGAAAGCAGTATCGTCTCGTATAAGATCGCCAACCTACTCCAGTTCTACCTCATGACGATGCGAAGAACGATCGGAGAAGAAGCCCTTCTCTCGACAACCTTGAAAGAGTCTGCTCAATCCCAAGTCTTCTACACCGGCTGGCTAATGTCCACATTGCAGGATCACCGATATTGCGTATAAAGTCTTCTACGACTCAATACAGACTCAGAGCGAGGCCTTGGCGCGAGTTCCTCTGGTACGCCTTCTCAATGTGTTCTTGTGAAATTTTCTTTGAATACTCGCTACAGGACCACGATGACCCATCTCTTACTCCTCCGCTTGCAATCTTGGACCACGCCCAAATTCTCCGCGAAGTGATGTCTGTATACCAATCATCGCTTCTCGGCGACGAGGATCAAGACGATGTCAACGAAGGCTTCCACCAAGTGCTAGATATCATGGTCGATCCTGTCGTGACGATGTGCATTTCACGTAGCGAAGAGAAGAAGAAAGCTCGACCGAGATGGGATGTCGCTGTTTTTGTGCTAAATTGTCTGTGTTATCTTCAGGTACTCATTTCTTTTCTCATCTGACAACGAATTTCTTTATGACGTCTTCTCTAGACGGTCCTTGCCTCATTTGACTTCACGGCCAAGAAGCAAGCAGAAATACGGACCATTCTTGATCAGCGGATATCGATTCTAACCAACGAACATGTACGAAACTTTTCTCTATTTCTTGGCTATTTGGCTGATGCTTTTCGTGAGCAGAGTGCCAACGTCTTGCAGGACGCTGGTTTGCTTCAAGTTGCAGAGGCTTGCCGGAATCGCACAACCAGCGTAAGCTTTCTAGCCATATACCCATTGTCGCATCTAACTCCTTTGCAGGAACCCCTGTCCCGAATTCCGTCAACTCAACTCGCTGACCTCCAACGTGCATTGCGGCGTTTCTCTCAGTGGCTCTCAGGACTTGAAGTTGTTCACTCCCCGCGTCTCGCCCAGCTTACGGTCCAGAAGCTTCATTCGCAAATCCACCAGGCAGCGTTGGCCAGACTGGCCAAAACATACAGAATGATCTGTGAGGAGGTGAAGAAACCGGAGAACAGATACGAGGCGGCATCGACGCTCCTGGGTACCGAGAGACCGTTCGGGCAGATACACTTGCTTTGGCAGATCTTTGGGTTGGAGGAAGAGGAGAGTAGCAGTGAAGAGGAGGACGATGATGACGACGACGATGATGATGAAGGCGAATCAGAAGATGACAGCGATGAGAAATCGTAGATGTCAAATTAGATGCTTTTTCACCGCTTTCTGGGATCTCGAGCCTTGAGTTGAGTTGAAGGCCTTTCAGGCAAAAGCACGAGAGCCTACAGGAGGGCGGAATGGTGCGTATTTGGTTGCGTGCGGTCTGACACAAATATGCTTGGCGCGCGGCTTCAGAGGTTTCTTTTCCTCTCCTACTTACTGTGCGCCCTCCTCTCGGTCAACTCAAGTGGCTCCGTCCTGCTCGGCGAATGGTGTCCATGGCGAGTAGAATTCATACCAAGAAGTTTGGTGGCAATCTGAAAACCGCCATTCGCCTAGATCGACAAGCTCAAGTCAAGGCTAGAAGCAATTATCAGACCATCCGAGGACCACATTCATCCCACTGTCAGGAATTCCCCAGTTCCGCGACTGTTTTCATGCAATGAACCTCCCTCAGATTCGGAAAGATTGCTGATCCTCCTTACTGTCAAAATTCAAGAAAAAGAGATACAGAATCTCGACCAAAGGATGAAGCTTTCCAAGCGGTGTTGGGAGTCTTCAGCTGGACAATGGGCGAAGGAGAGCACCAGGGAGGATTTTATCCGCCTGCACAAACTTCTCCTATCCCCAATCCGAATCTTACCTACGGAGATCTGGAGGGAAATTTTTTCTCTGCTGCACCATTCCGAAACGCCTCGCTTTCGTCGAAGACATTCTTGGACCCTGGCCCAAGTTTGCAGATCATGGAGAGCCATTGTTCTATCAATGTCACGCCTCTGGGACACCATTACTGTCGATTTCTCGCAGCCTCGCTCGACGCTGCGAGTGTCTCTCAAGTACTTGCAGATTATGCTCGGTCGTTCCAGCGACCAACTGTTGAGAATTTCCTTGATATCCGGGCCTACCAGCAGCTCCGCAGTCTTCGAGGCCCTTGCGGATGTTATACCAGCTTGTGAAAGATGGGAAGAGTTCTCCATCTCTGCTCCCTACGATGTCATCGTAGCTTTGGATCGTCCGCCTTTGAAGTTACCTTCACTGCGGAGATTGGACGTGAAATTATGGAGTGGTTTTGGACAGCACCCTCCGCATGAGGTCCTTCTTCGGTCCTTCAACGATTGTCCGGTCCTTCATACGGCGTCGATCACCGGAAATGGTGCCACCGTCCTTCTAATCTCGCGGTGGCATCAACTACATTCCTTTGGTGGACGCACGAGCGACTTAACGACAATCCAAAAATTCCTCGCCTCTTATCCTCAGATCACCTGTTTGAGCATCACCATCGTCCCTGTGCCACTTGCTTCTAATCAGCAGACATTGAACATGCCTGCTGTCAGGTGTATCAAGCTCTTCTTCGACCCATCACCAAATGACAGCTTATTAGAGGTAGGAAGGACACTCTTACGCCTTTTGATCTTGCCATCCGTCGAAGAAATCACCACAAACAACCTTCCCGGAACGCTCATCCAGGACTTGAAGCTTCTCCTGAAACGTTCCACGTCGACGCGCGTCAAGAAACTCTATTTGCTGGGGATGCCGTCAGGCATTGTTCCTGCAGGATCCATCACGGAACTCCTGGAGCTCTGCCCCGACATCGTCGACCTCGAACTACCGCTGCCACCACCTAGAGACCTCTCTAACTTGGTTCTCGGCCAAAATTCCACTCACCTCGTACCAGGACTCAAATCCTTGACTTTCCACAATGACCGATTCGACTGGAACCCTGGTGCAATGCAAACACTTACAGCAATCACCTCTTCTCGTTGCGAACCACGCCCACCATCGGCTTCGCCTTTTTGCTCAACCATACACTTGCGTTTCCCGACCGAAGACGCATGCCTCGACGCCTTTGCCATGCTCCATGACGTCCGCGTTGGGTACGGCCGGATATATTTGGAAGATGTGAATGAAACGTTCTGCAAAGTGCTCGACACACTGGAAGCTCCTTGTGAGGAGAATTGGGTTCTGAAGGGTCTCCAAAGCGTCAAGGCTGTCGCAACGAAATCAACGACAACTTGCATCCAAAGGCTAAGTTATGTCATTGAGTTTTCTGAGGACTCTGAGGCTGAAAGCGTCAAAGCTCTGTATGTAAGTTCTTCTTTCCTCCTTTACCTACAGGATGCTATCTGAGTCTATCGTCTTTGAAGCGCTCAAAGGTCCATCATGCAATGCTCCGCTTCATACAGCTCAACGATAGCGCTATTCCCGGCAACCAGAAGCACAATTTCAAGGAGCGGGGCTTGCAAACTTTACGGCAATGGTGCAAGATACTTCTCGAAGATGCTCCCAACTGCAAGTGGGGGTTTGAACCTCCTGGCTCCTTGGTATACATTCCGACTGGCGATTGTAAGTCCTTGTTCAGTCAGGCATCCTAATTCGTGGTCCTTACACCGTCCGACACTAGCCATTCGTCAAAGCAAATTGCATGCCTTGAAGATGTTTTTCGGGCTGGACATGTCTTCAGGATCACTGCAGTGCCTCATTTCGAAGGAAGATTAGTGAATTTCATCACAAGTCCCCCCATTCAACCTACTGCTCTAGTACATTGGATATCGATTACTATGTAAATACAGAAAGCATTTCCGACAGATTTTAGCATAATTGACCAAAAAAAAACAGAGGTATGAAGTCCACATCACTTAGAGATACTGGGGCCACCACACATCCGCAACCTCCATCTCATCTTTCAGCTCATACACGAGGTCTTGAATAGCATTGTCCGACTTGCGAACATCTTAAGAACGTGAAGGACATCAGTTGGAAGGCCTCTCTAGCCCATCACAGAAACTAGAACGCACCAGCATGCGATGGAACATACACAAGAGATGTCGTGCCCTTCGTAACCCACTTGTATTCGTCGAGACAGCCTGTCAGGATCGGCTTGAATTGATTGTCTAGGATCCGCTGGGCGACCTCGACAGTCGTTCGCGGATATTTAGGGAACCGGATCGGCGTTGCCCGAAGGGCGATATATGAGAGCGCCAGATGAAGCTTGGAAGACTGTATAGACAGGAATAGGAATCAAGAAAAAGATGCAGTCGACACAAAATAGTACTTACCCTTATCGGAATGGAGTCCTGCAGTTGGTACAACTCAATGTCGCTGAAGATCCTCATCAACTTCTTGCCTTTCGCTATTTTCTCCTTCTCCTTGCTCTTGTCCTTTTCGGCGTTCGGCGGCGCCTTTGGCTTCACGAAGGGCTCGACGAACACCTCTGGCAGCTCGTCCAACAACTGCCGCCTCCAGGCGTTCAGCAGAGCAACCTCACGGAACTGGACCTTCGACGCCGGCGCTTTCCACTTGTTTAACGCTGCCTGCGAATTGTATCGGTTCTCGCGACCGGCGAGGTTCAGGCGGAGGGTGCGTAGTGGGCGGAAGGAGGAGCCGGATAGGATAATGGCATCAGCATCGCCCGCGGGTTCTGTGGCGTTTTCGCACCGCGTTCGTGCAATGTCGTTGAAGGTGCCTTCAAGTCCTGTGATCGTCTTTGCTGTGATTGAGAGTGTCTCGAGGAGCGGCGCGACGGGCTCGATGGGTACGCTCTCCACTGCTGTGTCTGGAAGGATGAAAACATGGAGGAACGCGTCGTCGCCGTCGCTGACCTCCATATCGAGCTCCTTGAGCCAGGGAACGAGCCGAAGCATCGTCCTGAGCTCTTCTGGCGAGATCGACGTCGTCCGGAACGCGAGGGATCGCAGGTGGTTCGTCATCCCGATCGTGCCTGTGTCCAACGCCTGTGCGGCTGCGCTTGTGAAGGAGGCCGTGAGGTGCTGCACGAGCGACTCGGGATACACGATCTTGAGGTTGTCCAGTGCCGGCGCAACGAGGGTCGACAGGAAGACGTCCGCCTCAGGGCTCACGTCGTCTATCCGGATTCGCACGTTCTTGAGTGCACTCAATGTCGTTGGGACAGGCACTGGCGCGGCATGGTGGTTGTTCTTCACAATCTCCAGCGTCTGCAGACCGCTCGCTTGCTGCAGCACCTTCGCTGCTGACGCCCCATCGTACTTCTCCCGAAATACGGTCAACTGCGACCACGGCAGCGCGATTGCCTCGGGAACTTTGCCGTATAGGCTGACGTTCTCCAGCTTGGGCGCAGTTTCGAATACGTCCATGTCTTCTGTGTGCTGGATAAGGCTGTGGGACCAGAAGTAGAGGTCCAACCGTTGCAGGTTGGTCAGACGACCCTTGGCGCCTTTGAACGCGGTCATCGTCGTCGCTGTCGATTCGATCGTAAGTGTCTTGAGCCTCTCCGAATGTGTTACGAGGACGTCGATGAGCGGGTGTGTCTTGAACTCCTTGAACGGCGCATAGACGTACACCTGCAGCGTCGCCGAGTCTCCTGACCGCCGAAGCAGCTCGCGGACGAACGCCAGGTACGAGATCCTTCGCGTGATCACCCTCTTTATCTTGAAGCATGGAAGTTTGTCCCAGAGCGCAGGCAGATTCACGGCAACCTTCCGCCATGACGAACAAATCTGGCCTAGGACGAAGGGGAGGGTGACCCAGCGATGGTATTCGGTGGGCGAGTAAGCGTAATGTAGGAAGATCTCCTGCAGGAGTTCGGTAGGGAGGTTCCTGATGGGGACAAGTAGACTCTTGTGTGTCTTGACGAAGGCTTCACAGGCCTGGCGCCTCCTGATGATTCTGCTTCGTGTGAGGTTGAACTTATCGAAATCGACTGGCGGTCCGTGTGCAACCTCGAGTTCGACGAGGCGTGTGATTCGTGCTTCAGTGTCGGCGATGGCTTCTCGAATAATCTTCCGCTCTTCCTCGGTGGGCACCTTGTTTTCAGTAAGAAGATGTGGGAGAGGTGGAGAAGGAACCGTTGGTGCGTCTGACAGCTTCACGGCTGGAATTCTGCCGCGAATCCTGCCAAAGAGACTCTTAGACGCGCCGTCCATTGCTGGGGGTGTTGGTCACTGTGGAAGTTGTTTCCTTGGGGTTGGGATACAAGTTCAAGCCATGGTGGGCGGCCATGGGCGTTGTCAATGTCATCGGCATCGGCAGTGGCGATGACCCCGTAACGAAACAAGGAAGTTTCTCCATTCGAGCTGTGTTCCTGAGTTGCAGATCCAAGTTAAAATCTCTGAACAGTTTGTCCCGTCGAGACTCGTCGAGACAACACGAAAACGAAGCGTATGAAAGGGGAACATTGGTAGACTGCTTCGAGGATTTCGTAATGACTACGCCTTTTCACTATTTCATGTTTTGAAGATCGACGCTGAGGGAAACACCCGCAACACTTGAACTACGGAAGGAAGCGATTACTTTTCTCAACAAAATGCTACAGAGCAAGAGAACGTATGAAAATGAGTGTCCAATGCTATGAAATAGATCGCGACGGAGCTGCCCTCAAAATACAACTGCGAGGACATCCAAATCTACTTTTATAGATAAAAAATACAATGCTTTTGCTTGATCCAGTGAGTATTAGATATAAGTCTAGAGGTATGCAAAGGTCGTAGAGTATGCAAAGATATTTGTGCAAAGCAACAGTCCTTCTGATAAATTCCCTTTTACTCAACACCCAGATCATCGTCTTCACTCTCCTCTTCCTCCTCGTCCATCTCCTCCCCAACTTCTTCGCCCACCTTCCTCACCTCCCTCTCAGCACCCTTCTTCGCCACACTTTGCGAGCTCTGAGAACTGAGCGACGTCTGCCTGCTCATACCCAACGGCGACCCTAGCCCGCTTCCACTCACACTTCGCGACATCCGCCCCGGGCCCGTCGCAGACCCGGGGCTGGACAGTCCAAGCATATACATCGTCGACACCGTCCGCGTCCGTGTGGGTGTGGGTGTACCAGCACCTGGGTTGCCGTAGTTGAAGGTCGGAGAGACAATCGAGTTGAAAATTCCGAAGCCGAACGGGCTGGACGAGGCGGAAGGCGGTGGAGAGACAGCGTTGGCAGAATTGAGTGAGGAGAACGAAGCGAAACTTGGCATCGGCACTCGGAGACCCAGCGAAGTTAACGGGTCCGTGCTTTTCTCCTTCTCTCCACCTCCGAGGTTGAGCCCGAAGAGGCTTCCTCTCCTAGACCTTGACCCTTGCGCTTGCTGTTGCTGATGGTCGTTCGCATACCCGTGTCCGTTACTCTGTCCCTGGAGCTGTCCAGCCCCTAGAGAAGGCGAATGTCTAAGTCTTGGGTTCGTCATAATGTTTCCAAATGTCGTTGGCGGCGCAGGACTGGATGGCCGGCTCGTCGATGGCGAACCGCGAATCCATGATGTCCATCCTCCAGTGTCGGGCTTCGTAGGCTGGGGCGAAGTCAACGACGAATCCGGAGCTGAGACAGGCGGTGCAAACGGAGGAGAGAGCGGCGATTCGGGATCGTGGACTGCCCGCTTCAGCTGCGCGATATCATGCTGCACGTCCTCCAATTTCCTCTCGAAAGTTTCTCGTGCTTTGCGTATTGCTGGGTCAGACCCGCTAACGAAAGCTTGGATTTGAACTTCGACTTCTGACTGAGTTGGCGGGTCATCATCTTCGCCGCCAGCATTCTTGAAATTCGTAGAGGACAAAGCCCCAGGAACACTCAACAGGGCTTCGTACCCCTTGGCCAACAGCTCCTCATCGCCGACCTTGATCTCCAGTTCCACACGAACGTCCTCGGTATAGTCATCCAATCTGCCAACGGCGGCATCGAGGATCTCCTTGGAAATGCCGATAGACGGTGTAAGTGTCTTGCTGGTGGATGGTGGTGAGGCGAGAGATGCTTTGAGGCCCTCCAGGGCAAGGTGGCAGTCGCGGAATGCACGTTGGAGGTCGTCGTATCGCTTACTGACTTTGTCGAGTTCGGCAAGGAGGGGATGCGGAGCTGGAGGTAGTGTTGGTTCGGGTTCGAGTTCGATGAGCTCGGTAGCAAGGCTTTGAGCTTCAAGTGGCACTTGGGCAGGTTCAGGCGGATTTGGGGCCAGTATCGCGACATCGGTCGAAGGAACGACTGGCTCGGGTGTAAGTTCTGATGGCAGCCCATTTGCGAAGGGTGTTGGGGCGTCTGGTAGTGTCTCGTCCGCGAGAGATGGAGGGACGGCCACATCTTCGACCTTCGATGTAGGAACTATTGATGCAAGAGGAACAGGGGTGCCAAGTGCAGCAGTAGGGAAAGCAATAGTGTTCGCATTGTTAGTCGGGCCTGTGGTCGTCTGAGCTCGAAGAGCCTCGTCCTCTTGGTTGGCAATATCGACGAACGAATTTGAACCCTCAGTCGACGAAACGGAAGTGGTTCTCGTTGCAATCGCCTGCTGTACATCCTCCTTATCCGAGCCGGCGGCCTCTATGTTAGGCGTTGTCTCCTGCTCTTCCAGGTCATCGCCACCTGCGACTTCCACTCCACGAACAATATCCGTAGCCTGCAGTGCCTCAGCAACTTCTAGGTTGAGATAAATTGTCGGAACGATGACTTGAGCATCGAATTGCACCTCAACTTCAACCTCAGGAGGAGGTGCGCTCTTAAGCTCCTCGTCGAGCTCAGCAGCTTCGGGTAGCGGAAGTTCCGCAGAAGGCGGGATAGGTGTAGAGGGATCTGGTGTGGTTTGAGCGACCTCAGTCGTAGTTGGAGCATGGGACTTGTCGAGACTGACTGGGGTGTTAGAACCGGATACATGCGCGTCATTTAAGGTTGGAGGGACATTTGTTGGAGGATCTGGCTCCGGAGACACGTGAGGGAGAACAGTCGGTGAGGGTGGCACGTCTGCAGTCGTGTCCAACGCGGAAAAGGGGTCATTCGCGGTGTTGGTGGAAGAGGATGTGTCGAGGGCGATGATCAGCCCCGAAGGAATTGCAGGCAGCTCTTCAACCTTCTCTTCAGGTTTAGTCTTCGCGTCAACGAGCCAGTCGAGAGCTTTAGGAGGTGGTCGCGGAGGTTCATCCGAATATGTGGGTATTGAATTTCTGCTGCCATGTCGTTGGCTTCGAGCGATGTCTTCATCGTCATCCGTCTCTTGTCCAGCTATCTCTGCAGCTTCATCTATGACCGCCGAAACCTTGGTCATCATGGCCTTCAGCTCAACGAGATTGTGCTCCGCCCTCGCCTTCCGCTCACTCTCTGTTTTCAGTTCGTCCAAGAGTCCGTCCAAGCCTGCTTCAAGGAGGATTCCCCGTGCCTTCGCTCCTGAGGCGGTCAACGCAGTCTCAGCATCGAACAGGCCTTCGTCAAGTGACGCCAGCAAGATACGCGCGTCTTGCGACATCGCCAGAAGAGCTTGCCTCTCTTCCGACTCGCTCGCTTCTCCTTCTAGGGTGGTATCCAGCCTCTTCAGGGCCTCTTCACCTCTTCTGACCCACCGGCCCAGCCCCTCTCGCATCCCTTCCTCCCTTCCACCCATCTTGATCCTCAGCCCGACCTCCCGACGACGGCCATAAACCTCCTTCGCGAGTTCCGCACCAACCTCGTCAAGTCTGTCACGTAAGACCGCGTTCTCCGCCTCGAGAGATTGACGTTGGAGGGACAGCTCGTTGTTCTGCTCGGACAGCGTGGCAAGAGTAGCTGCATGGCGCGTCTTGAGGGAGGAGAGGGTGTTGAGGAGGGTGTTGGTTGAGGACTGGGAGAATTGCCTGCGTTCAGGGCAGATTCATGAGCTGAGGACAGGTGCATGGAGGATGTAGACACGTACATGTACCGTGCAACCATCTTCGCCGCACTCCCATTCTCGATCCGCAGTTTCTCCAGCTCGGTCTTCGCCCGCCCGAACTCGGCCAACACGGTCTTCTCGCCCTTCTTCTCGCCCTCCAGCTTCGAGTTGACAACCTCCAGCTCCGCACGGAGACGCTCGACCTGCTTGTGCAGCTCCTCATGCTCGGACTGGAATTGGGAAGTGAGTTGCTTGAGGTTGAACGTCGCCTCCAGGAACGAAGAGGAGAGGGGATCGGATAAACTTGAAGTCGAGGAAGTCCTGACGTGCCCGTTCTGCTTCCATGCCTCTGGAGTGTCCGGTGTCGTTGGAGAGGTAACTGAGGTCCTTGCACTGACGAGCTTCGCCTCCAGACTCCTCACAAGCCTCGCATACTCTCCAAGCACGCGGTCGGTCATCCTTTTCTCTTCTTCCAGCCTCCTGACCTTCCACTCCGCATCCCGTTCTCTGGCCAGACCGGCCTCTTCCCTTCCTCTGACCCTCGCACCCAGTGCATAGGCTTCTTCCAACGCTGCCCTCGACTTGGTGAGATTGGCATGCACAGTGACGAGTTCAGTCGTTTTCGACAGAAGCGACTCTTCAGTAAGGGTGAGTTTGTGCGATAGCCGCCGTAGAGAAAGTGTGAGTTCCTGAATCTGGGTTGAAGGAGGAGATGAACTCGGAGAAGATGAACTGGGGTCGGCATCGGGATGTGGGGTAGCACGGAGCACCTGTAGCTCAGATCTAAGCACTTCGTTCTCCCTCTCGATCTGTACGGCGCGTTGTTGCACTTGCGACACGTCCAAGGAGTGCCTCTGGAGCTTCAGCGCCGAAGCATGTGCCTCTTCCTATGCAGATGACATTTATTCCTCCTCGCAGAAATGGCCAATTTGACATACCTGGAATCGTACCAAAGACGCCCGGAGACTCTTGAGCTCGAGCGCAAGAGGGTGCTCATCGGACATCGCGCAGCGTCACAAGGCGGCGTAGGGCCCTTCGGAAGTAGGATTCTTCAGGGAAGCCTTTCTCCAAGCCTCAGCGGCAACTTACCCTTCAACAGATTTGTTTGGCTATACGATGCGACCCTAACATGACAACCGGGCCGGAAAACCACGCTTAAGGCGCTAAGGGACTAAGGCGCTTAGTGGATATGTAACTGACCTGAAGTCTCTATTTTATAGCGGTTTTTAAAAAAGAAACAAAGAAAGCCCAAAAAAATTGAATATTGAAGCTATATTGAAGACCCGCCGCCGCTCGACGAACCAACGCTTGCGTTCTCCAGGTAACCTAAGCTCTCGTCAGGTATTTCAAAGGTGTTTCATCTAGCTGAGCTAGCGCCTCTTGGGGGGCTCTTCCGAAACGGGCCCGCGGCCACGAGCCTCAAAGCATTCAATCGAGGCGGAAGTTGGTCGGAAGGGTCCTAAAAAGCTTTACCTACCGTTTCAGGGTAACATCAAGACAACAAAGGAGGGCGAGGTACCAGATACCGCAGGACATCACTTTCACTGGCAGCGGCACCGTTGTAAGCCTCATTTGCGCTGCGCTCGATGTTGCTCGCAGACTGCTCAGACATCCCGAGATCGCCGAGGGAATGCCGAGTCAACAATTCGCACCGATGCTCCCCGCTTTGGGCCGGAATTAGGCCGGAATCATCCCAAATGCCTCGCAACTTTTCTTTCTGCTTGCTGCCACCCGCCTCGGAGTCCTAGAAAATATGCTGCGTTATCCCACTCCTTGCTCTTCTATTCGTAATCAGAGCTTGAGGAAGAACCACCAATGAGGCAATGCCAGGAACAACTGTATCTGACATGGCCATGGCAAGACCCGAGAGGCTTCGAACCGGCCATTCGATAACAGCGACGAGTCGGTGCTGTGTCTCTAACTTCGTTCTTGTTCCCGTATCCACGAAACTCAGGCGGGATGGACCTAATACTCGTCTCTGTCGTTCTCGCTTCGGTGTTGGCTCTGGTGTACGCTTCTTGGACCTCGAAACGAAGAGGAATGCCTCCTGGACCGGCCCAGCGAATCTTCGGCTCCAGAAAGCCCTCCACGGTACCACCATGGAAGATATTTGCTGCATTGCACAAGCAATATGGTATATTTCACTTTTCTTGCTCACTGGACATGGTTAAAGGGGAATTCTATCCCGTTCCTCAGGGAAGATTTTTTCCTTTTATCAGGGAAGCACACCTGTCGTCGGTAAGGGACGCACCGTCGTTCTGGGCGGTCTATATTCTGATGACCTCGCATCTATTGTTAGTGCTGGGGACCATCAAGGCCGCAACAGATCTTCTAGACAAGAGAGGGAGTATCTACTCGAGTAGGCCGAGGAATATTATGGCGTGCGTACTATCTGCTTCTTCTATAGCGACTTCTTTCCTTACAGCTGTTTAGTGGTGAACTACTCTCTGGAGGGATGAGAGGTCTAGGTATGCCCTACGGGACGAGGTGGAGGAATTGGAGAGCGGTGAGATCCTCCATGTTCATGTTTGCTGCAAGAATCGCAGTTCCAATACGTGTCCTTACCTCCAGCTCATGCATGCCGGTATGAGCGTCGAAGCATCGCAGAACTACAAAATCCTCCAGTCACTCGAATCGAAAATACTTCTTCGTGACCTCCTCTCCGCCAGTGATTCAGTCGAGTACTCGGCACACCTTCGTCGCTTCGCAATCTCCGTCGTATTTTGTGTTGCTTATGGACGCAGGGTTCTGTCTCTTGACGATCCTCTTGTCGTCGAGAACATGAAGACGGACGAATGTAGGTTTAATTCTTGAAACAGAAGCCCCTTTACTGACGTGAACTTCTCTTTACAGGTTATATACGGTGAGAGAATAAATCGTTCGAACGAGAGGCCCGTTCCTTACAAATATTCGATAACCGTATCAGGATGAGGTACGTCGAACATACTCCCATCGTCTGCTTTATCTTATATTTAGCTACAGCACGCCAGGGAGATACATTGTCGAATCTGTAGGTCAACCTCTGCCTTCTGAAAGGACAACAGATGCTCACAGAGGTATTGGCTCAGTGGCCCATCTTGCTCAAGCTCCCTCACTTCCTCCAATGGTTCCGTGCCGAGCCCTTGGCCCAACGCGCCCGAGACACCGCTCTGTACACCAGGCTCATGGAGGGAGTCCGTGAGCAGATGAAAGTGGGCGTTGCCCAATCGTCAACTGCGAGATGGGGCCTAGAGAAGCAAGCAGAGTGGGGATTGAATGACTTGGAAATGGCATTTGCGTTGTCTGCGCCCTTCTCCGCTGGCGTTGGCACGGTGCGTATGGAGGTCCTGGTAGTCGAGATCTGGTTATGCTGACCGAGTTTGAGTAGACGCTTGCTACCTTCGACGTCTTTCTTCGTGCGTCCCTTCCACACTCCGTTCCTAAAGGCTAAACTCACACACCGCATTCAGTTGCGATGTTATGTCACCCCGAAGTCATGAAGAAAGCTCAAGCAGAACTCGACGGCATTGTAGGTCCGCATCGTCTACCAGACTTTGAAGACGCCGAATCGCTGCCATACCTCAGAGCCGCGATAAAGGAGTCCATGAGGTATTTCATCGTTTTCCTCGTCGTCTTCAACCTCTGATAATATCCGACAGATGGCGACCCGTTGCCCCTCTGGGTGTTCCTCATAGTGTTATCGCAGAAGACATGTATGAGAGCATGTATGTACCGAAAGGCACGACGGTCTATGCAAATATAATGTAAGTTCCCCCTTGAACCCCCTCTTCAAGTCTGATTAACTTTTGAATATTGTAGAGCAATGAGCAAGGATGAAGAGGTCTTTTCTTCACCTGAAGAATTCCGCCCTGAGCGATACCTCGACGAAATGAAATCCGACTCCAAGGTTCTCCCTCCCCAATCGACTTTTTTCTTTGGCTTCGGGCGACGCGTCTGCCCTGGTATGCACGTTGGACAGAACTCGCTGTTCATTCTCGCTGCTAGGTATTTGTCGCCTTTTTATTCCGCCTCGCCGACTCATTCAGCAAACGTCGACCTTGCAGGCTGTTATGGGCTTTTGATATCAATCGATCCGGCGATGCGACTGGCGAGAGCGTTCTCCCAGATAAAGATGACTTCATAGGAGGGCTTGTCATTCGGCCGCGTCCGTTCGCTTACTCGTTAGACCTGCGAAGTGAGGATCGGCGGTCTTTGATCCTGGAGGAGTCCAGGAAGGCCTTGGACGAGGCGTCGATGTGGGGATAATATTGATATTTTTGTTTCAAGAACATGAATACAGTATGCAAGGGTTTGCGTCCGACTCATGAGTTTTCTACCTTTTCAAACCAAACCTCAGCACTTTCTTTCCCCTCCCCTCCAGGCGACTTCGAATCTAATCCCTCTTTCCCCCAGAACCCACCTTTGAACGCCAACCCTTCATTCTCTCCCGACACCCATTCCACTTCGAAATGCTGATCCAACCCAATCAGCAAGTCGCCTCCAGAACCGTAGCGCTCTTTCTCCCTGACCTCGGCATTTGACCAGAGGATCGTCACGTTAAAGAGATTTTCGTCAAAGTGTGCCAGGCGGAGGTGCGTTGCAAAAGTCCGTTTCCATGGGATGATATATGTGGGGATGGAAAGATTGGAGGCAGATAGGATCCGCTCGACGGCGTAAGACGAGAGGAAAGCGCCGCAGTGTGCTTGAGGTGAATAAAAAGGCGCTGAAGGGACTGTCTCCGGAACGAGGCAGGGTCTGAGTGTGCCGTACGCTGGGTGACTGAATGAGGATTCGGCGAGAGATGTAAAAGGCCTCGACGGTAGTGTAGGTGGCGAAGGCCTGGGTGTCAAATTTTGGGCCTTTTCAACATTCTCATTGGACATTTTCTCGTATCTGCAGTTCGTCACCTTCAGCAAGAAAGCCATTGCTGAGAAAGTCATGACCCACCTGTCGTTCCAGTCCAGCTGCTTCAAATCAAGCAGTTCGTCCGCAATGCGGAATTTCACCGCCTCAAGCAGAGGGCCGCCGTGTTCGTCGTTCGATAGTGTAATGATCGCGAGGTTGTCATCAGGGAAGCGGGCGACCTGGGTCTTGTAACCCGGGTTGCTCCCTCCGTGCTCAATGATGTCGTGTCCTTGGTACGAATAGCGCCACTGTCCCGCGCCGTATACTCTGACGCTCTAGGAAGGTGAAAGGTCAATGCGTGAAGTAGGTACTAACAAGAATGTTAGAGTAGACTTACGATCTCTGGGAAATCGGGCTTCCCGTGGCTCACAGAACGTCCGTGGGCGACGTGCTCGACGATCTCCTCAGGTATGATGGTTTCATTCGTGTACGGATGGCGCCCTTTGTTGAGGAGCATCGAAACCCAGACAGCCTGGATGCGACATTTGAACTTTTGGACAGAATTACCATCGTGAAAGACGCACCAAATCGCGCGCCGAAGTTAGAACGCCGCCTGCGCCAGCCCAAGTGCGCTCTTCACCCGGGCGTTGGAAATATGGGACAGTGGGGATGAGCGTGCCATTCTTCCCTTGTGTGATGTCGCCCAGATCATATTGAAACCCATCTGCGAGCGTTCCTCTCCGCTCGGCTTCGGCAACGGAGTACGTGGAAGCGCTCATGTTGAGCGGTCTGAAGAGATGTTGCTCGATGTACGACTCGTATGTCTGGTTGAGGAGAACCTCCGGGAGATATGAAAGTGTTTCATACATAAGGTTATTGTACTGGAAGGTCTCGCGGAATTCGGCAGAGGGCTGGAGGTATTGCAACGTTGAAATCTGTACTTTTTGTTCAGTCTGGTGCACTTGAACAGGTGCCCAACTCAACTCACCATTTCCGAAATCCCTCCCTTCCGTTGCACTCCGGAATAATCATGCCTTGGCATTCCCGTCCGATGCGAAAGCATGTCCTGCAATGTCACACCACGATCCATGTCCTCGTCCATAAGACCCCATTCTGGCACCAAATCGCGTATCTTTGTCGACCACTTGATCTCCTGCCCTCTCTCCCGGGCTAGTGTCTTGTTCGAAATCAAAAGGCCAACAGAGAACGCGAGAAATAGCTTGCTGTTGGACGCGATGGCGAAGACTGAGTCTGGTGTTATAGGCGAGCCGTCTGCCTTGGCAATTCCATACGAGCCGAATTCGTGTCTCCAACCGCTAGGTTCAGTGTCGTCCTTCCTGACGACAGCAACAGCTAGGCCAGACGAGCTCCACTTTTTGAGTAGGCCTTTCGCATATTCCTCGGTAGCAGGCGAGATCAAGACACCTTTCTTTGCGGCAGCAGGGGCATCAAGGATGAGAGGAACCTGTAAGGCGAGTCCATGGGAGGCCAAAAGAACTGTAATGAAGTGCTTGAGGCGCATGGAGTGAAGGAACGGATTCAGGTTGCGCGTCTTCCGACTTTTCGGCAGCTAGTTTAGTCAGTCACATTTTATGCGTACAGTAGTGACATAACATCGATCCTTATCTCGCTTAGATTAAGGTGCTGAGAAATTCGCAGGTATGAAGGAAATGCATAGCTCCCCCCTACGGCAGTTGAAACCAGCAATCCGCAAAAAATATGTTGGGCAAAATGGTTCTCTTGGTGAAATCTTGTGCGCCACACCTTTTTTTCCCAACATAGTCGCCGAGCTCACGAGACCCAACTCGATCGGACTGTCGAGGCAGAAACAATTCTCCTCTAAGGGGAGACCAAAAAAAATCTGTTAAGACCTCACCTCTGACAGTTAATGCCAATTGGAGTTTTGCTGCTTAACCACGAGCGTTTGGCTTTCAATGATATGGGCCAGACGCCCAGACCAAACGTCAGGGGCACATTCAGCGCCTTACGTCGGGCTGGATGGGTGCATTCCCACAGCACGAAGTGGGACAAGTGGAGTTGATTTTCAGACCTATCCTGCATGAGTCAAGCCCCTTAGATTTGCCGAATTTCTCAGTACGGACAAACTCGAACTTGGACGAGGACTCTTCAGCATATAAGGTCCACTTGCGACATACGGTGGAACAGCGAGCTCGGGATGCGCCATTCCAGTTTTTGATCAAAGGATTTGTGGAGGTTAGAACGAAGCGATAGGCTTCCATGAGAGGTGCTCCGATTGAACATTGAGGGTATATTTGGCAAACGAATCATCGTGGGGTAAAAGAAATACTCCAGCTCGGGATCTACTTCCACGTTTCGCCTACGTAGTGTTCATTAGCAAGGAGAAAAGGGAACCAGAGTAACGAGGAGTCACAATAGGTCTACTCTATCGACCAGTGCTCACATACCGCTCAATGACATCCATCAGGGGAGCTCTCGCTTCCGACGTATCGAAAATATTCGCGTGGTCCAAGTCAGGGTTGAGAAACACCTCCACATCGTTTTCCTCACCAGCCGCCGCATTCAGCTCGCCCTGCTCGTCCACATGGCCAACCCACCGCTCGACCCTCCTCCCCTCCTTCGTCAGGTATTTCCTGATCGCCTCTCCTGGTACAATCTGGTCTCGCCCTCCTACAAAAACGGCCATCTTCCTTCGCTCCGGTGTCGAATGATTGGGCCCGCCCGAACTCCCATTCTGTATGGGGATCGAAGACGAAGGCCCCATGTGAGTATGACCAGAGACGAAAGCTCCGATCTCTTCCCTCCAGATACCACCCTCCGCCCAGAAGAATGCCCGATGCAGCGTCCGCGCCACGTCCGGGTCGCGGCTAGAAAAGTACCATATCACCCATGCCCAAGCAGACGAGCGCCACTTGGGCGCCGGAGGTGGCAGGGGATGAGCGATCTCGACATCTTCGATCGTATCGTCGTGGGTGAGGTGAAGGATAGGATGGTCCTCGGAGCAGACGGAGGAGGGGTCGCGGTAGAGGAAGTTGTGCGCTACCGTGGGGTTGGAGAGGAGGATGGGTATTGGGTCGACGAGGATCGCGTTTGCGATCTTGCCTGCGAGGTTGTGAGGTGAAGGGTGAGAGGAAGAGAGGGTGTCGAGATCGACGCAATGCCGGATGATCCACCCAGCTATGAAACTCCCGTAGGAGTGCCCGATGAGGACGACCTTGTTCCAGCCAACAGCGGAAGGGGATACTGCTGAGTAGTTGGCACCGTTCACATTTTCGAGCAACGGTCTTTGCTCTTCGCTAGCACCAGAGGCTGGCTGACGATCTGTTTCGGCCGCGGTTAAAGATTCAAGTACGGTGTTCAGCGATTCGAGCATCAGCGGCCGAGGTGGAATAGAACGGGGCGTCATGTGCATGCAGATGCAGAGCAGCTCCGGCAGGAGAATCCCAACATCGCGGTTCTCGCCTTTGACAAGGGACTTTAGGAAGGGGATATATGGAAGGAGACCGATCTGGAAGCAAGCTTAGCACTGGAACGTTGGATTGCGAGATAATACATACTCCTATTCCGTGAAGGAAAACCAGGGGAATCTTCTGAGACGACCTGTGCGGTCGATACCAGTACGGAAAGGCGACACCTTGGGGTGCACGACGCGACAACAGCCATAAGAGCGGTCGGAGAGGGAACGATAGGCTCCATTGAGCCTCGCGTGGGGTGTAATGCTTGAAGCCCAATAATACCAGTACGACTGAGGTACCAGAATCGACGAGCGCAACGATCTTTAGAGATTCAGCTTCCTTCAATCACGCAATAGAGAATGGAACTCACCAAATACCACGATAATGGACGATGCAACATGAGGACAGGGTCGAGGGTAGTCCGTATTGACCGTACCCCTCCTTCTCCCGAGTGGCCTTCCTCCAGCTTCCTCCCTTGCAGCTTCTCAATTCCAGACAGGTACTCTTCCAGTTCCTCTGCATATTCATCGACGCCGATGTTCTCCCGTGATGTAGTGAACAACGCCCAAAGAAGCCAATCAACAACATCCTCGCGCTTCGGCGTCGAGTTCTTGGGCAGAAACCACCCGCTGGGATATAGGACTTCGGAATTTGGATCGTGAACGGCCGATTCGAGACATTTGTGGAAGATGGCACGTCTCTGCTCTCTTGTAAGAGCTGGAGGGAGGTGGGACGGAGGCTAAAGATACCTCAGCTCTGGTTAAACGTCTAGCAAGTTTCACTTACAGATTGAAGGCGCAAGCGTCGTGGAAGGTAGACGAGCAGGTAAAATGACGCTTCAGCTACGGCGAAGCATGCGATTGGCCAGTAAAGAAGTGCAGGTTTTACGGCACAAGCCGCAAGATATGCAAGGCTTGCTGGAGCCACCAGTCGGAGTGCAGCGATCGCCGTACGGAGGAAGACATAATTGAGGAAGCCTTGGCTCATGGAGTTGAATACGAATATTTCTGAAGGCGAAATGGGCTTGAACTCTTCCTAACCGCAGCACAACATGGTGAAACGTTGGGGAAAAGCCAATTCGGAAGGTGTCTGTGAGCGTGAATGTGGTGTTGTGATGGCAATCGGGCCGCCGGCCCGTCTCTCTGATTTCAGTGCAGACTGGCGCAACGCTTTTCTGCAAAAACCAGAAAAATGTGAGCTGAGAAACTTCGAGTTCAGAGCATCTAAAAATAGGCTTACTCAGTAAATATCTCATACCAAAGAGTTTACTAATCACTCTGTTTCATGAATGTGTCAGCAGTCAACTTTTCGTCCAAATTCTTGAGTCTTTGCTAAGATTGCCGGCAACCCTTCATTGCCCGTCTTCTTGTGCTACTTGGAGAATAAGATATCGGATTTCGAAAGAGGAGAGCTCTGGCCTCGCTCTTGATAGAATTTATCCGCCAGCTTCTCTCCGAAGACAGAACGCCGGGATCCCCGACCAAGAACCTTGGTTCTTACATACAAACAAGTCTTTGGTCTTCGTCTTTTCGTAATATTTATACCACAATATGTGGAGCGAGTAAAGTAGACAGCTTCTTAGGGGCCTTCCCTGTCTCTCTTTCATAATATCAAAATTGCATGCGCCACCGGGGAAACACGCATCATTTCCTCAAATAGAGTCGGAGAGTGAGCGCTTTGATATATCTTTCCTGGACGGCCAAATGATCTCATGTTGGCTGCCATTATTCTGAGTTTTGGATGAGTGGATAGGTTCTGTCAGGCGGGCCATTTGTTAATCGAGTTGGACAATAGCATGACAGCATATCGTTTGAGAGCATGAATAGAACGGATACAAGGGTAAGAATCTGCAGCTTCTCTCTGATTAACTCTGATGAAAGGAAAGCTCCACCGCCTCTTACAAGGACCCTTGATTAACAGCACCGGACGTAAGTAAATTCCGACGACGTTAGCTAATGACGTATGTCTTTAGTGATACAATTACGCACCTCCGAGGCTCGACACATTCTACTTTTCACGAGCTGGAAATGAGATTCACATATGAGTACAGACAACTCTCCATCGAGCTTCAACCTCTCTCGGGATCCTTGCGACGAGGGAAATAAATTAACCAAAAAAGCATAATGTGGCGCCGTGGTGAGGCGGCACGTGCATGACGACCGCCCCTTTCCAAGATCTTCCTATCGGAGCAACAGGGCGATTCTATTGTTTCTCGGGTGGAATTGACGGGCCTTTCGCAGAAGTCCGAATGTGTCTAAACTACTCGTTTTCTAAATGCCCGGCTATACTTATTCGAAAGCAGTGTACAATTACTATCTTGATACGACTGTCGAGCTTCTGCAGGCTTCTGCCGCTTCAAGGACAAGCCAAACATTTCTTGAGACACAATTGATGCCTACATTTACGTAATCATTCATGATGGCCAATCTTCGTTGAAACTCGAGGGCTGCCTTCTTCCTCATAACCACTGCTGTCAAACGACATCGCCAAGCTCCCAAGACTAAAAATCCGCACGACTGCATGACGAGAGGCTTCTAAATCCAAAGTAAGACAACACCTTAAGAGCTAACTTCCTTCCGATCACTGATCATCTGGACAAAAGCTGCGATGACTATTGTCCAAAATCTCCCTGTCGAGATCCTTGGCGAGATATTTCTTCACTCCCTTCCAATTACTCCAGATCTGTCACAGCCAGACCCAACGATTCCTCCGATTCTCCTCTGCCACATCTGTTCATCATGGCGAAGCGCGGCTCTTCGTTTTCCAAAACTCTGGTCTTGCCTCCGCCTGCACTCAACATTCAAGGTGCTTTATCCTGTCTATATCCGCGTGAACGGACCCGAACGCGGCATCTTGAAACACCCCGAATCGTACACTTGAATTCCTGGCCTGGTGGAAGAACAATGCAGCTTCCATCCCTATCGACCTCTACGTCGCCAAGATAAAGGAAGAAATCGTGAACTACTTCGTCAACGAAGACGATGTCGTCATTGGCAACATTCGCCCAGATCCGACGATAGTGAAGGCGCTCGATTTCGCGCTCGATGCCCTTCCTGCAGTGAGGCATTTCGAGATGGCCATCAATCGGGACGCAATGGAAGTACTTTGCAAGGCAGCCACGTCATCGACATTCGAACGCCTGGAATCCCTCGTTGTTGAGCAGTACTTCCACATCGGTATCAGAGTAAAAGAAAAATTCCTTTTTGCCTTCCCGCCCGCTCCTCGCCTCCGTCGTGTTGCGCTCGATAGGTACAATTGTACGCCGTCGTTCTTCTGGAGCCAGCTCACCCATCTGTGTGTCTCCTCCGAGATAACCGAGGATGATTGGCTTGAAGTCCTGAAGAACTGCGCGAACCTAGTGTGCGGAGCTTTCAAAATTGGGCCAGATGATGAGCCGGCGAAATCGGAGCGACTTATTCACACAAACCTTTGTCAGCTTATCCTCGCTCCAATCTGTTTCCGTTCAGTGGTCTCCTTCCCTGCTCTCAAAGCCCTCCGACTCCTCAGAAACGAAACCGATCACACCCTCATGGCGCTCACTGAGCTTCTGATGGCGACCCCAGTGCTTCGCGAACTTCATTTCGATTCAGAAATTTTCAACCCAGCCATTTTCTCGTTCGATTCGGCGATTGAAACGACGGATGGGTTGCGTGAAATACTTCCAGATCTCGACCATCTTGTTTTCGATGCGACAAGGTGCAGTACGGACTCAGGCGGAGACACAGTAGTGCGCCTCCTCAGGTCTGGATGGATGGAATTGGCTCCTCACAGTGGCGCAAGAGGTCATCTACTAATCATTTTTGATCCCGAATACCAGTCAATGAATTCTCCCATTACGCCTGAAGAATTCGACGTCATCAGAAAAAGTGAAGTTGCGCGAGCGCTCGAAGAATTCCAGTCAGGACAGGAACGATCCTATGACGTACAGCTCTGTTATCCTTCTGTGGGCGGCCGAAGGCGAGATTGTCAACCAAACCTTGAAAACTTGCCCAACTGGGATGAATTCATGGGTTTCCATGACAAAGTGTCGCTACCTATGCAATAGGTTTGTCCACCAGCAACGATCTATTAACATCCTGTCCAATGAAAACATCAATTTTCAATCGTTCTTACGTCGTGGTGTAGGAAGGTACTGAAATAGCCATAAACGATGTAATGTGGCGCAACATCTAACATGTACACGTGTGCGACAAGTATTGGTCCTGGGGTCTCATCTCGCGTGACTAATTTGAAACGCACGCTGGGAGCGGATTTAATTTACACAAAATTTCCTCGAGCCCTCCACTTGAATACCTGACTCTTCACCATACTTGCTTAGCGACGGCCGAGTGCGCTGGTTCGGGATCGCAGCAATGTAGATCCCGGGGCATAAGCACACCGCTGTATATTCGCTCCAGCGCTCCTGGATGCTCCTATTAGTGTTCCCTCGACAACTTCAAGAGTCTCTAAATACCCCTGGGCGGTTACTCGTTGGTCAAGCGACGCAAATCAGGCCGTGACGCACCAGGATCTTCCTGAGTCACGACCTCACTCGGGACCTTGAACTACACGTCCGGTCCGAGTTGTTTTGGAAGATCTTCTAATAATCCCCCATTATAATTTGCGAAACCTAGGAACAGGTAATTTATCAAAGTTTGGACTAAGTCCATGGGTCAAAGACGAGGGGTCGCATATAAAAGTATTGTGGGGGAAGTAAGTTCATTGATCGATGCCTTGTAGATCATTCCGAAGGCTCCTGGCTCACTACATTGGCTAAATGATATGTAAAAGAAAGCACCGGGAAGATAAAATACCCCGTTTCAAGCATGCCGGTTAGACATGAGAGGCAACCAAAAAAAAAAAAAAATCATGCGCGAGTGGCTCCTTCCCGCTCCACGAGCGTATTATTAGCGCTCGATTCACTAGTGGGCGCTAGACTTGCTTCGTTAGTCAATGTCCATTAATAAACGGTGAAACACGGGGAAGGGTACTGCTTAAATTTATTCGAAGGTGTGCTCAGTCCTCCTTGGCCCGCCAGACCCACTTTTCCTCCGGGGCGGAGGAACAATGCCGCCAGGACACACAGGTGTAGCGACACTTCATGGTAGATTTCTCCCTTCGTCTTACTGCACAATTTCTCGAGGGACAGTAGCTATTTCATATCATCAAACGGATTACGGGAATAATTGATCCAATAGGTCAGTCTGCCAATGCCTGCCCGATGCTCCAACTGTCCACCCGATACACACCAAGCTACAAACAGAAAGGTTTCTCCGAAGGTCCAGCACTATCACCGCTCCTTGCACTGTGGGCAGCCGACGCTCCTAAAAAACCCGCGTCGGAATAGCACTGATATCGACGGTATCTTGTATGCACCGTAAACTACCACCTGTTTTAGCCTTGTTTTAACCTGCAATACAACCGGAGTATTAGGGGTTTCAGGCACCGAAAAAAAGTGGAAACACGTGGCAAAAACCCCAAATTTCGGCGCCTATTGCAGATTTTTTCGTGGCAGTCAGGCAGGCATTTTGGGCGCCTACACCCTGCTGCTATTTTCATCGGTCTCATAGGCAGTCATAGTCCTGGAGCTCAAAGCAGTTGTATTTGTAGTTAAATATTACATCTGTACATAGTATCTGAGGCTCCCCACTGACTGCTGAGTTCCGTCGCACCCGTGTCGAGCTCGCGGCGAACCGCTCTATTCATCAAAGGCCTGGGGAAAGCGGGGCACATGACAAGTGATTTATTGAACGGGACAACGATTAATTCATACCTAGCAGCTGTGGATGACGTAACTGGCGTTTCTGAGCTTGAGAAAGGTCTGGACGACATCGGGTCAGCATTTGTGTACAGCGAGAAGCAGCGGAATGAAACATACTATCGCTAGGGATTCCACATTTGCCACGACTATGGTTGATAAGGAATCAGTGTGCGAGAGTCAATTGAAGGCATAGATGTACCGGACAAGCCAGTACGTAGGCCGTCGTGATCCTCTGCTCGCAGTGGCTCTATGGAGCACTGGCGGTCCCTATAGAGCTCTTGATAACCGGGGGTCCTCCTGCGATCTTCCAATGCGAATGAGACTGAAACCCGGCGCCCCTCACCGAGTGTAATGGGAGCGTGAGCACGCACTAGATGTTGGTACAAATTACTGATCAAATCAGTACCAACACAAGGGGGCGATGGAGGGTGCGTACCTTGACACCTCCTTCGTCAACGACGTAGACGCCAAGTTTCGGGCTGTGGTGCAGGTTAGCAATATTTGCAATGTCGAACCAAGCACACGAACAGATTTTGAATCCTGTAGACGCGTCAACAAAATGCACTCTCAAAAGTCGATGAGCTCAGGAACAACGTACCTGCCTCACAAGAGCCACCCATGGTATCATTTGCTCCTTCTCGCAACTGGTCTTCGCAGGAATAACACTGTGAGTGAGTACATAACAGCAAAACCAAAGGTGAGCTTACCTTCGCCTGGCGCTGTCTATAACCACCTTCGCTTTCGATGTGGTTTCTATACCACGCATGTGCCCTACGGCTTCAGGAGCCATCCCTGCCAGTTGTGCATATGCCAATGATGCCGCGCTGAAAGTTAGAGAGGGCTGGTACTCAAGAGTAGCTTCAACTTGCCAGAGATGGGGCCACGGTGGACAAGTCGTGGATGAGTAGACTCCAGGCCATAGAAATCCAAAATATGAGCATAAATGAACGCATATATTGAATAAGAGGCCATACTTACAGCACCAGTATCACTTCTAGATGCGCTCAGGCTCCAGCAGCGATCCGATTCGTGATCAGCCAGATCGGAGGGCAGAATTAGTTCGTTCGGGTATTCCATCTAGTTTTGAGGTAGTTATATGGCCATCTGTGCCCACAGATAGAATGGGGAGGGGGTGGTTGGGGTGCAAGCTGCGGAGGACACGTTGCGGCTCAAAACGGGATGCATACTGTCACGTGCTCAATGTTGTTTGGCATTGTCTTGTTTGTTCCAATAGGCGTCCAAACAAAGTGGGGAAGAAAACCTCACTTTGTTTGGACACCTATTGGAACAAACAAGACGATGCCAAACACTAGTCGAACTGACCCCCAAGTCCGCTGTCCCTTGTCGGCATGCCAAGCTTTCCAGGTTTGCGCTACCACCGCCGATGCTGCCCATTCGCCGGTGCTGGTGTGTACTCTTCTCCTCTGTGTGTATCCACAAGTAGCTAATTAAAGTGTCACAATTCCAGAGTCGTATTCGGTGCCTGGACTCATACCCCAATGAGCTGTTCAACCAGGTGCAGCTCAACAACGACCAACAGTCTCGCATTGACGAATGCCACCCACTCTTGCAGGACCAGCTACATGAACTCCTTCACACTACCCCGACAACAATGGCCAAGCGTGGCTTGACGACTGGCAGACAACGGCGTGAGCGAAGGGTTTCGCAGAGGTGATTAGGCCCATCTTTTCACGAGAAAACTACAAGCTAATCATGCCATTTGCCCACATCGGACTCAACCGCAACCTCAACCTACCCACCTTCTCTCTATCGTTCCACTGCCCCTCTGTCCTAGGACTGCTCCACCACCATCAACATGACAACATGACGGGAGGGAGCTTATCAACACACAAAGGTATCACCCATGGCAAATGACGAGGTGTATTACAGCGCATATACAAAGCTTGAAGGTTGTGAACGTAGGCATATTTTTGGTGTTAGAGCAGCAATAAATTCCATTATTTTAGCTGGATTTTATTTGCGGAGATAGCTAAGTGCCAGAATGACTACCTCGTAGGGCATAGGCAGGTGATTCACCGAAAGAAGCCATAACCCAGGATTTTACCTGCCCTCCGTAGCAGGGAAATAGACGGTTGGACCCATACCAGGAGATTTTAGGTATTTTTGGATATGGGTTAATTCCCGGTCGCCGGAAAACACCGGAAATACCTGCCTTTTGGAGGCAGGACGACCGAAAGCAGGGAATTTCATGTATTTTTAGATACAACTTATTTACCGGCTACTGAAAATCCCCGGAATTCCCTGCCTTTTTGGGGCAGGACTCCCCGAAGCAGGTATTTCCCCAGCTCCGGCTTCCCACAGTGCTTGCACATGTCCAGTGCCCACTATCGAGCCACCCTAGCCGTCTCAATCACTGCGGCTCAATGATTTTTGGCTTGAGATATGCCGGTGCGGGACACGTGCATTTTTCCGTACAACATTCGGGTAGGAAAGGTCAGATATGGCAGGCCGGAGCCTCTGGCACGGGGCGTGATCGGGTATGCTTCGGGCTCGTGAGATGTTGACATTTCTCGGGCACGATGAGTTCGCCCTCTCGCTAAGTACATACTGTCCCTTTTTGGGATCTTAGCCCTTGGGGTTCGGCGCCGACGCTGAACGGAGTTCGGGGTTCTGGTGAAGAGTTAGCTTACAGTTAGCTAAGTCTCTCTTGACAAGGAACCACCGGGCCGCGGGGACTTTGAGTTCATCGATCTCGAGAAGGAAGATCGGGAAGAGTCACGAGAGCGCCTTAAGATGTACGAAACTGCCCCAAACTCTGGAAGAATTCCATTCACCCAATTAGAGTTCTTTATTCGCTTTCTGCTTTCGTCCAAGGCTCTATAAAGGGAAAGGGCAGCCAGCGCCGTATCGCATGACCAGCCCTGATATCGGACCTCTAACACGGGTGCACATAGTAAATGAAGAAGAATGGGTCGAATTATGGTTCCATTTCGACTTGTTTAACCGGCGTGGCTGCAGCAGATGCATGACGGTATCTGAATTATAAACGTAACCCGGAGGGCCGCTGTGGGGCTTGGGATCTGCAGAGTGGGGCAGGTCTCAATTGCCATGATGCGGGGTGTTGGACGTGGGCCGAGTCAAGACGCAGATCCAGCTTCCAGGCCTGTAATTTGACGTCAAGAAGTGCCGAGCACCTGTCCACGCTCTTGAGTGTTTGACAGAAAGAACTGGAAGAATAGCCACGCAAATGGATGCTCAAGAGTGATGTCATGGGACGCTCGTCCCAAATTCCATGGCTCTCTAGTATATCGCCACAGGGAGCTCCGAACCTTAGGGCAAAACGA